GTTTCCTCGTTTGCTCCTTTCCACAATAGTTTCTCTTTCATTTCAATAGCACGAAAGACAAAGTTCAATGCAGTCTCTTTAGGCTCTTGGGTTATGTTAAGAAGCTGGTGGTATAGTTCGGTGGAGCTGTCTACCCTGTAGTGGCCTTTTAGTATGATGAGCAATTTACTAAGGGTCAGTCCACGTTTAATCTCTAGCATATCTCTTAAAGGCAAGCCTGGGCTAATGGCTCTGATCACTGCCTCAACTACTTCAGTTTCTGGATGTCCTTTTTCCATCCCCATCTCAATTTGGCGGACAAGGCTAAGGTAGGATAGCTTTTCTTTCTGTCCATGTTCCCCTATCTGCCCACTTATCTTAAACTCCCTTCTCAGTGTTACCTCTTGTAAGTTGTTTATTGGCTGTGAGAGAAATCGGAGTGGTGGAGGTGAAATCTTTGGTGGAGTGGCATTGACCGGTTCTTCTTCTGGTAAGAGTTCTGATTGCTTGTTTACATCTGACTGAATTGTACTTTTATTCAGTTTCCCAATGTATGTCCTCAATTCAATGTAGAACTGCTCTACCTCATCATCTTTATCCTTTTTCTCGACTTCATCAAAAACGTCCTCTGCCATCTTGATGAGTGCCCTTTTTGTCTCTCTGGGAGGTTCTCCGCTGCTGAGGCCGTAACATTTCAGTCGCCCACAAACATCGATGAGAAGGTCTCGCTCCAGCTGCCATAAAGCTGCACTCAACTGGTCACGCAGTAATTGTATCTTCTCCATAGTTGCTTGAAGAATAAGGTTCGACTCTTGGGAAGGAGGAAGGGTCGTGACGGTGACTCACTATCACCTCCTCCTGGCTGGCTCGCCAAAATATGTTACACTTCTTTGAATGATGGGCCAACTCATTCATGTGCAGCACATTTAAAATTTAATTCAGGCTCTGCAAAACACGTAAAACAGACATTGAATGCAGGAGCTCACTCGGTGCAGTCTCATCACGTTAAGTACTAACTGTACTTCTACTATACATTTAAGTATAATTACACAAATAAATACTGTACTGAAATCTCTATCTGCAATATGATCAAAACACACACAAAAAAAAAACACATTCCTCTCAATATTATTAATTATAGATACTGTTCTAATATTTCCCAGCTTACAATCATGTCATTACCAGTATGAAGTCACATTGTATGGAGAATACGCTCTGCCCTATCACATTAGTCATGCAAGTCCACCTATCTCACCTTGACAAAGGACCCGTGTTTTATTTTAAATAAACTCTAAATTCAGTTTGACTCTTAAGAAACATGTTAACATTGAGCCATCTTTAACCACTATCAAATATACAATTCTTACAAAAAAATACAGTTTCAGATACGTTTGTGGCCGTTGTCTCGCGACTACCAACGGTTACACTGTTGACTCGCGGCAACCCCAACTGATACAATCACCCCAAAGTATCCCTTTTGCCCCTTTAGCTCAATCAAAGGCACTCAAAGCTGTACACAATACATGTCACCACTGTTAGCCATCATCTGTGTGTTTTTAACAAACCAGCCTACCTGCAAAACACGTAAAACAGACATTGAATGCAGGAGCTCACTCGGTGCAGTCTCATCACGTTAAGTACTAACTGTACTTCTAGCGTTGCCCCGGCAGCAACCACTAGTGAAAGCACCAAGCGCCCTCTGCTGGCGGAACCAAGCATTGCATTTCAAAATTATGTACAATAAAACGGTGGTTATAAAATAAAACTATGGGGTGCAACTATTATGGTATGTAATAATATTACACAGGGCTACACTTCACTTACTTGGCTTCGTATTGCTTTGCTGGGAGCTTGCGAGGAAGCCAGTAGGCGTTGTGCAGCCAGGATAGCGGACGCGTCTGGGCTGATGTAGGCGGAGAAAGCCGAAGAGGACCAGCTCCCCAGCTGTTGGAGAGGTGGGGGAGCCCCAGCGAGGCCGCGCGCGTGGCAGCGCCTATCCTGAAGGAGTGGGCTGTATAGAGCTGGGGAGACAGATTGCAGAAGAGCAGTAGGGATCTTAGTTGAGCTCTGAACCAGGTTGCTGTCATGGGAAGGTTGTCCGGAGAGAGATGTGTCGGAGCGAGCTATGAATGGTCTTTGAATGTTTGAGATGAAGGTTGAAAGGGTCAGGGGACATTATGTTGGGTGAAAAAGAGCGACCTTTGTGTGATGCTTCCACTACGTCGAGATTATCGCGCATGACAGAGATCCTCTTTCTCTGCCACGTGTGATTCCACGGCGCGCAGGCCACGACCACTGGGAATATCTCGTGTAGGGCAGAGGAGATGCTCTGGTGGAAGTAGCGGCCACGGCCCGGCAACCCAATGGTCCTGGAAGAATCCCCCAAAACCCACGGAAGGGGCACGTCCGTGTAGAAGCGGAGACCTGTAGGGGCAGAGAGACATATCGGAGAGGGCCATTGATGTTGCAGGCGCCCTTACGCTTAGAATCTTGGGTCGGAGAGTAGATAATCAGGATAGTAGGATGGTCGGGAAGCCGCGTCTCGGACCGCATGAAGGTTGAGCGGGCAGTAGTGGACGCTTATGCAGAGAAGTCATAGAAGGCGAGCAGGAAGATGCTGCGAGGAGGGCGGACATGTACTTGGAAGACGAGCCAGAGTTCAGTGCCGCTCAGAGCCGCTGCAGGATGGGCAGCATGATGGGGGAGCCTGCGATCAGAAGAGTGAAGAATACAGGTATGGATGCCTTTGATTAGGAGTCCGATTGACGGCTCAGCGCAGCTACTCGGCCGGCTGCATCTGATAGAATCAGAAGATTAGGTAGAGAGATGAAGCATGACCGCCGAAGCGACCCTGGGAGCATAGGTACGAGGCCAGCGCGGCGCGGCATACTAGCCGGGCAGCATCCATTAGAACCAGGATAAGCTTCTGAGAGAGTGGGTTGCAGCAGTAGCGGTAGCATCAGCGGCAGCAGCAGTACCTCAGATAATAACGCGATAACCTGTATCAAGCCGCGGCAGCAGCAGCAGCAGCAGTAGCAGCATCCTTAGAGATTACAGTAATAATACTGTATCAAGCCACGGCAGTAGAATGTTGTCGTAGCTGATCAGTGTTTCAGTAAAAGAGATGCAAGTGAAGAGAGATGGCAAGTAAATGAAGCAGCAGTAGTAGCGCAGTAGCAGTATGGAGCAGCAGCAGCAGCAGTAGTAGCCGTAAGAAGCAGCAGTAGCAGCAGCAGCAGCTGCAGCGTCCGTAGATAATAACAGCAATGATCCTGTATCAAAGCCACGGCAGTAGAATGTTGTTGTAGCTGTTCAGTGTGAGGGATTTCAACAGGTTTTTTACGGTCCAAATGATTTACGGTCCGAGTGAGGGATTAACTGAGCCCGCAGTCCAAGTGAGGAGTTTTTTTTTTTTTTTTTTTTTTTTTATTTATTTATATTTATTTATTTATTTATGTTTATTTATATTTATTTATATGTATTTATTTATTCATTTATTTATTTTTAAAATATAGCGTTCCAGATATAGGCAGTACCATATTTGCAGTTCCATGTACTGCATAACAGTTCCAGGTATAACCGTACCATATGAGCAGTTCCAATATAGCGGTTCCATATATAAGCAGTTCCATATGAAGCAGTTCCAGATACGGTACATAAGGGATTCATTTTGGGAGCCGCAGTCCGAGAGAGATTTAAACAGCGCTTGCAGTCCAAAGAGAGGGATTTAAACAGAGCTCGTAGTCCCAGGGAGGGATTTAAACAGAGCCTGCAGGCCAAAGTGAGGGATTAAAACTGAGAGCATGCGGTCCAATGTGAGGGATTTAAACAGCGCTTGCAGTCCAGAGAGGGATTTAAACAGAGCCTGCAGGCCAAAGTGAGGGATTAAAACTGAGAGCATGCGGTCCAATGCGAGGGATTAAAACTGAGGTCTTGCAGTCCAATGTGAGGGTTTAAACGGAGCTTGCAGTCAGAGTGAAGATTTAACGGAGCTTGGTTAAAGAGAGCCTGCAGACCAATGCGAGGGCTTTAAACTGAAGCCTGCCCACCAGCACGGGGCCAACTGAGCCTGCAGTACAAAGCGAGGGGAATAAACCGTCCGCGGATCTCATACTTACCCACAGCGCCAGAAGACAAGGGACAACACGACGGGACCACGCCGTACCGGCACAAGGAGGCAGGGATGCGCACGGCTCCCACCGCACCGGGCTAGACCGGCCGTATGCAGTAGCAGGGGATGACGAGACGAGCAGCGGCAAACCCGCGGAAAGAGCCCGCAAAGGAGGAGAGCGGCAAGACCCACGGACCACAGCACGAGACCCGCAGCAGGTGCAGCGACGCGGAGGAGCAGACCACACGCAGCAAGACAGAGGACAGCAGGGACCGCACGAGTAAGCGTGAGTAGACAAAAGCGATTCCTCCAGAACGATTCTTTGCGAGGCTTCAGAGGCCGGTAGTGGGAGTTGCTCCGTTTTTATGCGGCTGCGAGTCGGTACAGATGATTGGAAGGCGGCGTCTGCTGAGCGATAGGCTGGGGATGACAGCCGGCCTGGAGGGGGTAAATTTGGTTAACGTCTACCAAATTGAATTTTCGCGGGCTGCATTTGTCATCTCCATTGTCTTCTGGGTGTAGTGAAGTTGGAAGATTTTTGCCAAGTTCTTTGAAATAGGAAACCATTTTAGCTGATAATAGTAGAATATTTCATTTCAATTAAACATTCACAATAATCTATCCAGTTACAGATTAATGTTGCTGTTTATCTTCGTCAGTTGAAATCAATTACTAACCTGCTTTACTGGCTAGTTTTAATATCATGATTTTTTTAAATATATTTCTCAGGCAATGTACTGTCCATCCAAATGTGTTGTTTATACATGGCTAATAAAGCTGTTTCAATCATCAATTGGTTGTAACTCATTTCTTTCAGATCTTCAAAAAATACATGACCAGCCTTTAGGTCCTGTATATTGCTGGTCCCGCCTTCATTCATTCCCTTCCTTCCCTTCTTGCTGTGTTTCAGTGCGAGACAATATGACTCATTTTTGGAAGACTCACTCCCAAAATGCCACTTTGGAGGAGATGATGTTGGACACTCACGCTCAGCAGCTGACGGAGCAGGAGCTGCCGGAGATCCTGTCCTTGCTGCCCCCTTTGGACTCCTGCAGGGTCCTGGAGCTGGGAGCGGGCATCGGGTAACTGCTGCGGCCACTCACACTGATTCATGCAGGGATGTCAAACTCATTTTAGTCGGGGGCAGAGTTTAAAAACATAGGAGTCGCTAAATGTATAAAAGTATATAAATTTGATCTTTTATCTTGCACATTTTTATTAATTTCAATGTTTATCTTATTTGACTTGTAGGTTTGGATTCAATCACAACTAATATCAAAAACCAACCAAATATCAAAAACAATATATTTGAAGATTATAATCAAATGTAAATCTTTGGTCAAAATTAACTTCTAATCCCATGTTAGTTAACATTTTCAAGCATGGTTGTTTTCCTGATAAAATAAGCTTTAAAATGAGGTATAAAGTGCCATAGTATCCCATTACAATCTGCAAATGACTGTAATAATGATTATTGAAAATCATTTGAGGGGCCATTAACAGAGGTGTTGCGGGCCGGATTTGGACCACGGGCCTGACTTTGACCTGCCTGGATTAGTGTATACAGTTTATCAGACATCAAGGCTGGGGCGACATCGTTGAGGTTTACTATTTATCATGTGCACAATTAATTATCAAATTGTCACGTAAGCTCATGGGCTGGTCCAGGTTGAAAACTAGTTTCTTGTAATACTAAACTATCCTAATACTAAATTAGCCGATCCATTGTGCTAGTTTCAGCTTTCATCTTCTGATATGATTGCCTTTTATTCCTCCTCCACAAAATAATTAAAATAATACATAGTACTTTTCACTTTTCATGTTCCAAAGACGCTTCACATGGTATTATTTATTCACTTCATAAACCGATGTAGCTACAGTTCCCCTGGGGCAGATAGCAAGGAAATCAATATGTGACATCCTTTTCACCACCACAAACGTTCACAGGCAGGTGGCGCCACACATAATAATATCAAATGTGCAAGCTTGCCTTTAAATATCACACACTTTCTTTTAAATATCAACCCACAAAACGCACATCCTATAATATAAGATGGACGTCACTGTTGCACTGTTGCACTCCAGACCAGAGGAGACCCATCCTTCCAGGATGTTGACTCCTTCAGAAAAGGCCCATATTTCGCTCTTCATGTTTCACAGTCCATCCTAAGCACATGTATGATAATATGATAATAATTTGGGTGATACACCAAAACAAACCCCTTCATAGAGGTGTATCTCTGCTCCTCTGCCTGTGAGCACGCTGACTTGGTGGTAAACACAGCGTGGGGGTTTAGCGTACGCCGGTACATAGCAATAATAATAATAATAATAATAATGCATCGGTTTTATATAGAATTTTTCACTTTACATGTCCTTATTCTTTCACTCCATACACGGTGGTGATAAAGCTACAGCTGCCCTGGGGCACACTGACAGAAGCAAGGCAACCAGTATGTGCCATCGGCCCCTCCGACCACCACCAACTATACACACGCACACCAGACTTATTCTTGTCAATATGAATGAAGTATCTTGCCAAAGGACAAAAGACAGTGGTATTGTGGTACTGTACCTGGTGTTCCCTGAGATCTCCCATCTCACTACTAACCAGGCCCTGCTCTGCTTAGATTCAGTTGTCTGATAGGATCTGGCTATCACATGCAGATATGGCCATGAGTTATTCCAGACCTGAGAACAAACTTTTTCCAACCATTGCTACCCGTCAATCCAGAATCAGACCCTAATTGTTTTGTTGATATTAGCATACGGCGAGTTAGCACTGGACAGATCTAGGCTTCTCGTTAGCATCTTTTATCGTGGGAATAACGCCAGGTTTCAAGACCAGCTTTTGAGTGCGTCCAGTTTTTTTGTAGCCGCAGTTCTAGACGCAGTGTTTGGTGAAGTGTCACTCGAAAGAAGTTGTACTATAATATGTTTGTGTGCAGACGCTACACATGCCACTTGCTGACCAGGGCTCAACATGTGATCGCTGTGGATTTTATGCAAAACTTTGTGGAGCGGAATAGACAGGACAACGGTCACCACGGCAACGGCACGTTCCTCCAAGCAGACGTCACCAAGCTTGAAATTCCACATAACAGGTGGATTATTGGACTGGATCCTCAAAAAGGGCCTATTTATGTGAAGAATTCTGTTGTGTAATTGTTACTTCCGTGTTCAGTATTGACTTCATCTTCTCCAACTGGCTGCTGATGTATCTGAGCGACGAGGAGCTCCAGCGTCTGACCGAGAAGATGTTGCTCTGGCTGCGGCCTGGGGGCTTCCTCTTCTTTAGGGAGTCCTGCAACCATCGCTCAGGTGATAGACACCGTTTCACCAGTGCATGTTGGGAGATACAGTGGTTGGAAACTGAACTAGAGATGATCTGCAAAGAAGAAGGGTCCAAAATACCTCCCACCACAATCCAGACTCTAATCAGAAGTTAGAGGAAACATTTTGGAGGATGTTGAGTTATTTTTTCTCTTGTGGTGTCTAAGTTTATGCTCGTGACTAATTTGGTTTAAGTAATTCTTGCACACTTTCTGTATGTGATGCAAACTTTATTTCACTTCTCAAATATCACTGTGTTTTTTTCCTTAATGATATATTTAACTGAAATGTGTTTTGCAAAGAACCAATTCTTTAGAAGTGAAGATGTTACCAGGGTGGGGCCTGATTAGTGCTTAGATGGGGACCCATGCTTTAGGCCATTATGCAGATTTATCCACTGTGTCATGGTCCTATGTGTCTATTCAACTTTCTTCTCTTTTTTAGGTGACTTTCATCGTGAATTTAACCCAACTTGCTATCGCTCTGAGGCACAGTACACTCAGCTAATCACGTCAGCACAAGCAAAGGAGCAGAAGAGCGGCCAGACATTTGGGTTTGACAGTGTCATGAAGAAACAGATCCAGACATATGTTAAGGTATCATTTTGAGTAGCATTTGTGCTTTTTTAAAAGGCTGTTTTTATGCTTAAATGTCTCTGTGAATCCTGTCTCATGCAGATGAAAAACAACCCAAATCAGATCTGCTGGCTTCTTGAGAAAGTGCAGAGGTCTTCAACAGGAGAGGACCATTTCAAAACGTTCCAGCAGTTTTTGGATCATAAACAATACACTCGCAACGGCATCCTGCGATATGAGAAGATGTTTGGGGCCGGGTATGTTAGCACAGGCGGTCCCAGCACAACTAAGGTACATAATTTAAACATGGCCGTCGGCATTACTGCAACGTTAGAGACATGGTGAAACGTGGTTATAATTACACAGGTGGAACTCTGAGAGATAAGAATACTGTTCAAAGTCCATTTTCTTAGCAATGAATTTACAATGTGAAACTAATATATGACAAACTCATTACACAGAGTGAAATATATCAAGCAGTTATAATGTTATAATGTTGATAATTATGGCTCCCAGACTTTAAAAGCATAAACATGAGCTTGTAGTGAAAGTTTTGTTTTTGAGTGCCTAAAAACTCATAATCAAATGGTAAAAAATGTTGAGTGGGTAGCACATCAATAAAAAAAGGACTGAACGTTCAAAAAGTTGTTACTAACATACTTTCTATTCGGCTACAGTAGAGTAAATGCTGTGACAAAGGCTTTCATCAGTCTGTTTTTTTATTGACATGCTGCATACTCATAAAATAAACAAGCAAAATGACATGTAACTTTGCAAGTAATGAGTCTATGTTGTTTATTGGTTACACATTTCTTTGTAAGGTTAAAGATAAAACGATCTTTTGAACAATATTTTAATTTTCTAGATGTACTGAATTTAAATGATATTACTTTCTCACTGAGCCCTATATGCAAATAAGTCAAAATGATACACTATGCCTTACTTTTCTTCTTCGTCATTAGCACTGGTCGCTTTTTCAGAGGCAGAATAAAAAGTAAAATGAACTTTCGAATGCTATTTCACTTTGCACCTGCAGTGAAGTCAAATGGATAAATGAGGCCCATATAGAGGTAAATCATACAGGATAGAAATAATACAGGTGGGGGGGAATCAAACCAAACATCTGCTGCCAATGAAGTCTACACACTTTACATTTGTTACATTACACACAAATCACACCACTTTTTCCAATCCATTACTTCTATTTCCTTCTCCTCGGCTCATGAAGTCTTGAATACATGTGGGATTATATACTTTACTGAGCTGCTTTAAACCTTGCTTTGTAGGAATTTGTGGATTGGTTAGACCTGAAGCCCGGAGAGAAGGTGTTGGATGTTGGGTGTGGGATTGGAGGCGGAGACTTCTATATGGCGAAGGTAAATGTAGTATGTGCTGTGGGAGTACTATATATGTATTGCATTTGTTTGTTTTTTGACGTTGTCAGACATTTGGAGCAGAAGTTCTTGGCTTGGATCTGTCTGAAAACATGGTGGAGATTGCCTTAGAGAGAGCAGCGCAGGAGAATCTACCATCTGTATGATTGGTTCTATAGATCTACAGAGCATAAACATGACGTAAATAACTAATATCATTGTTTTGTTTCATGTTGAAGGTTCAGTTTGAGGTGTCGGATGCCACAAAAAGGATTTTCCCGGAGTGCTCCTTTGATGTCATCTACAGCAGAGATACCATCTTGCATATCGCTGATAAACTGGCCCTTTTTAAGCGCTTTTTTGTGAGTAAAAATAGGAATCATTTAAAAAGTGGCATCTGAAGAGAATAAAGTGACGCTATATTCTTAACTTCCTCAGTCGTGGTTGAAACCAGGAGGACGGTTGCTGATCAGTGACTACTGCTGCGGAGAGAAGCCTTGGACAGTGCAGTTTGAAGCCTATGTCAAACAGAGAGGATACATATTGTACACTCCAGCAGAGTACGGACAGGTACCTGCGGCAGAGGCTTATCGGAGTAAAACAAGAGAACGTTTCTAACAGGTTTCTCAGCGATGAAGAATGTAAGATTGTTATCTTCATAATTTATGTGACATACAGCAGTTATTGGGGGTTTTTTGTTGCTGCTGTGCATTTCAGTGTAGTAGAAACCAATAATTTGTGCCATGTTGATGCAACATTCATGTCTGCGTATCTGAACTATGTGTGTGCAGTTCATTGAGAGGGCCGGTTTCTCCGACGTACGAGCAGAAGACAGAACCAGCCAGTTCATTCAGGTGATTGAAGAGGAGCTTCAAAAAGCACAGAAACTTAAAGTGGAGTTTATTCAGGTCAGTTTGGACATAACCAAAATGATGATGCATTCATGCATTCATTTCATTTTAACTTCACCAAATATGTTTCTGCAGGAGTTTTCCAAAGAAGACTATTATGCTATTGTAAACGGGTGGCAAGACAAACTGGGGCGATCCAAGAGTGGAGATCAAAGATGGGGACTTTTTCTTGCAAAGAGAAAATGAGTATTTATGTAAATAAACTATTAAATTACACAACATTTGTGTTTTTTTATATTTGGGGAGGGAGGTAATTACTTTTACACTGTAAATGAGATGCCATCTGCATGAGAAACCGTTTCCAGCACTTTTTGTTTCCAGTACTTTCTCTGTTCTCTGGACACAGTGCAGCAGGTGGGGGAAAGGAGGGTCCTGGACAAACTAACATCTATGCTGGACCATGACTGTCGCCCCCTGCAGGACACTCTCTCTGCTCTGGAGAGCAGCTTCAGTGACAGACTAATTCACCCTCGCTGTGTGAAGGAGAGGTTCCGTAGATCTTTCCTTCCTGCTGGTGTCAGACTGTACAATAAGAACTGCTGAGCCTGTAAATTTCATTCATCTGTGATTAAGTACATTCTTAAATCATGTGCAATGTGCAATACTGAACAATGTAACTTTACCTCATGTCACTTTACTTATATACTTTTTATCCTGCACTATTTAACTGTACAGTATATAACTGCACTACTACATATATATTTTGACTGGTATTGAAGCATTTTCAGCATCTACAGCTAGTTATGTCAGCTAAGAAACATAGCTACTACTTATTTGTATATATTGTATGTGCTCCCTGTGTGCTCTTACTACTGTCCTATATGTGCGCTGCAACATCGAAATTTCCCCACTGTGGGACGAATAAAGGAATTCTTATCTTATCTTATCTTATCTTTTAACCTTGTTTTATCTATGTACTATAGATACTATAGAATGTATAGATATATTGTCTTGTGCACTCCGGGGACTCTGCAAATATATTCTAATGTGGTTTTACTACAAATGACAATTACAATGAATCTGAATCTGAAAGCAAGTCAGATCTCAAAAGTTGGGCTGAGCAGAGCCTGAATATAACTCTGATGGGAGGGGCCAATGGCACTATTTGCCTCATTTCCCTCAGTCTGCCTAAGGGCAACTACCGCTACAATAGACTGCTTTTACAGTGTATGGGGCATGTATCTTGTAGAAAGAGGAACAAACTATCTATTTTTATCCATTCAATGTTACATGCATTCTGATATGTAACTGTTGTGTCTGCACTAAACATAATTCAATTGTCTTCAAATTAAAAGCTAATGTTTATATTACGTATATTTTCTATCATAATATGTGTGCTTGTCCTGGAATGTGTGAGTAATTGCCTTTCAAAACACACGTTAGACAATGAAGTTATTCTATTCTAACAAAAACACTGAGTGACAAGACTGCGTTTCTATGTCATACTGTAATTACTACTTCAGCAGTTATCGGTAAACAGGTCAGACATGTCTTTCAATAATCACACCTCTCTATGCTCAGCCAAACAGGTGCACGACACGTAGTCTGCAGAAACATCCTGTGCAGCGCATGCGTCCAATCCAAAACTTGACAGTGTCCACGGTCTCATGAGTGACGAGGTTTGCGTCATGCGTCTTCTTGTGGCATGATGAGCGCGTTGTAAACTTCCTATTACACTGTGTACACCCAGCAGCGGTCTGTGGGCTCTGTTGATCATTAAACCCGACGGCAGCGGAAAAGAAGTGCAACATGGCCAAACACACGGAACAGGGCATTCGCCTCAGCTCGGTAAGAGAGAAAGACAATAATATTAAGAAGCAGATCAAAAGATTCTACTGATTGTGCATTTACTTTGGCAGATGTGTCCCACCTTCCTGAACAGCAATTCGACCAGTCACACTTGGCCCTTTAGTGCTGTGGCCGAATTAATTGGTAGGTTGTGTTAATAATACATATAAATATAGATATAGGTTGTATGTTGTGGACTCCCCGAATGTGGCGCACTTGTGTTTGTCTTCTGCGAGATGAGGAAAAAGCGCGCATGTGGGTCTAACATATTCATTCACGTGGTGTTTATTATGCCTAACATTTTCACACTGTGGCCCTCAAGCGATTTGTTTTATAAGAATCATATCCTGCAATCATATTCGTAGTTTTAAAACAATCCATGTTTTTGAAGTCAAATATTATAATTTGTCCATCAATTGTAATTTATTATATTTCTGTTAAAATGTGACATCAGAATCAGAAATATTTTAGTGCTGTTGTAAGTAACAGGAAGTCACACACAAACTACGAATTTGTGTCAAGACATGCATACAAATCTTGATATTATTTGTTTTTATACATACACACAAAAGACATATAACAGTGCAGAATATCAATTAGTGTCCAGAGGTATGATGATATAAAGTGGCAGAACACGGCTGTACTTACATGTTCCACTCTCCCTCAGACAATGCTTCAGACCCTGGTGTTCTTGCTAAACAAATCTGGATTAACGTTCATGAAGAAGCAGGTCAGCTCTGCCTGAGTTTCACTGATAATGGCTGTGGTATGACACCAAACAAGCTGCATAAGATGCTCAGGTACAAGCCTCCATACAACTCCTATGTCCTGAGTACGACTTATATGTAAATGTGTCATGCTTTAGGCAAATCCCTGCTGGAATATTCATGTGTGTCCTGCTTTTAGCTTTGGCTTTACAGACAAAGGAGGAGGGCGTGCAGGCTTTAAGGCCATCGGTGTTTATGGGAATGGTTTTAAGTCTGGATCAATGCGCCTTGGTAAAGATGCACTTATCTTCACTAAAAACGGAGGCTGCCAGTCTGTGGGGATGCTCTCCCAGACTTACCTGGAAAACATCAAAGCCCAGTGCGTCATTGTCCCTATTGTCCCTTTCAATCAGCAAACCAATATCCTTTCCTGTTGTTCTGAAGCATGCTGTAGTTTGCACATACACATTACTCCTGGAGATGATAGTTCTGAGTACTCTGTGATGATGACCTTAACTAATGCCACAGTCACTGGTGGTGACTGAGGACTCTGAGGCCAGTTTAGCTGCTGTCCTCCAACATTCTATTGTCTCTTCCCAAGAACAAATCCAGGCTCACTTTGACTCCATCCCATCAAAAAAAGGCACAAAGATACTTATTTGGAATATACGCAGGTAGGTTTGTTTGATTGTGATCCTGTTAACTAAAGCCATTATTACAGTTATGTCATCCACAAGATATTCACTGTTTCTAAACATGTTTTCATTCATAGGGCCAAAGATGGCAAACCTGAAATTGACTTTGAGACTGATCCAACGGACTTCCGGCTGCCTGAAATTCAAATAAAAGAGCTTAAGGAAAGTTTGAAAATAAGTGGATTACTGACAGCAGAACAGAACCTCCCAGACATGCATTACAGTCTCAAGGTATAGTATATATATGTCATGGGTAATGCACACAGGCCATAGATCCACAGTGGAAATCACATGTTTAATAAAAACAGAGGACAAGTTCTCAAATTTTTAGGTCAATTCGTTTTTTCAGACATTATTTCTGGCTCAATACCACAACATTGAGGGAAGTCATTCTTTCTACAAAGTCAGAAGTCTAATTTCAGACAAAGAAAAAAGTATTTTTACATATTAACATCCACTGTCCATTGTGCAGGTTAAACCTGTCACATACAACATACACACAACATGTATGACCAGCACACAAAATCCTTTTATCCACTGGATATTCCAAATCAGTAGATGATGATATTGTCATGTTTTATTCAATCACAGCTAAAAACTCACCTCCTCCGAGCCTAGAACTCGTAGCTATAGTTTCATCAAATTAATATTATTATTGTTCTTTTATCTTTGCTTACAATTTATTAATGAATATGAATGTCTCTCCTTTGTCCCTTCTTAGCTAGATAAAGCAAATGTATTATTATTATTATTATTATTTGGAATTGTTTTATAAGAATTGTAGAGCTAATTATGAGATGAAAACATGTATTTGATTGCAGGCTTACCTCGATATTTTGTACCTGAGGCCAAGAATACATATTATCCTGAGAGAAAACAAGATTCCCACAAAGTTGGTGTCGCAGCAGCTGACGCATGTAGAGTACGATGTGTACAAACCACACTTCAGTGTATCCTTTCACCCATGTTTGCATCAAACACATTCATTATAAAGATTAAGTTGACCATAAGTTGAGAACCTAAAGTCAATGTCAGCTACTTTTCAAGTTATGAAAAGAAAGAACATCCTCAACCTGATGTTAATCCTCAAATACAAACATAAAGTAAATATTTACCGCATCCCGGGACTAAAATCAGGAAACACTTACCTTTCCTGATTGCTAGAATCAAAAATAAGCCATTTTTTACAAATGAAATATAATTTAAAGCTGCACTAACTGACTTTATTTTTGTATTCATTACGAAAATGCTATCCATGTCCATGTAGTGCATTGGGATATACGTCCTTTTGAAGAATAATTAGCGCAGATTTGTGCTGGCGTGACATTATATTTTAGATCGAGTTTTGATAAAACAAGGAAGAGAATGTGTTTCGGGTCGCAGATTGTGACCAATCACAGCGGACCACTAGCCCCCACTTTCGTGAGAAATCTACAGGTCCGTTAGCATAGACGGCTGAGTTGGCACAAGAAGCCGAGGAGCTAACCTGAAGCTTCGTGTCTTCATCACCGGTTACTGCTTACACAGCGAAACAGCCATCCAAAAGAAAGTCTCGTTCCTCCGCGCTTCCCGGTTCTATCGTTTATATGGTCACGCCATCCACGTGCAAATCCATATCCATGTATTATCCATATTGGGAGACGCTAGCTCCGTCCCAACAGTGAGTGTGTGTGGGGGGCGATAGCTTCGTGGGTGCGGGGAGGGGAGCAGAAAGAGAGAGGCCAGCGAGTCCACGGCTTCAAAATCCCAAAGTCAGTTAGTGCAGCTTTAACTGACTGACATCACCTTTAACTTGAGATCATCAGAAAGACAAAGTGAAGGTGACTTTTGGCATAAACAAAGAAAACAGGAAGAACTATGGCATCATGATGTATCACAAAAACCGACTTATTAAGGCCTATGAGCAAGTGGGCTGCCAGCTGAAGGTATTGTACAGATTGTGTAAATCTTACTTTATAAATGGTTTGTGTTTATATACATCTATTCATCCACTCAACAGACTTCTGGACAAAGGGCCGGCGTAGGCGTCATTGGTGTCATTGAATGTGATTTTCTCAAACCTGCTCACAACAAGCAAGATTTTGAGTATACAAAAGAATACAGGTACAGTTGTTTTGTTCAGTGATATTTTTTTATTTCAAACTTGAGTATATATATATTCAACGTAAATCAACATGATACAAAATAAACAGAAATACAATGTTTGAAAAAGGGCTGGATGAAGCTGGGGCTAATTTGCCTCCAACTCCTCCCATGCATACAACACAATTCAAAGCACACACACAGCACAAAGCATACACACAAGCAGCACAAAGCATACACACACGCGCGAACACACACACACACACACACACACACTCGCTCAGACCACATAAAACACAGGCCCATTATTTTTCTCTCCCAACATCCTGTCCTCTTACTGCTGCCCATATGCAAAAAATCTTGGTGTGTGTTTTGATGGTGCTTTTAAAATGGACAAACAAAGAAGTGCTGTTGTCAAGGCCAGCTTCTTCCAGTTGAGACTTTTGACCAAGGTTAAGCGCTATCTTCCACCAATTCACCTTGAGAAGCTTGTCTATGGCCTAATGTCCACACAGCTGGGCTATTGTAACTCTCTGTACTATGGCCTTGACCAGTCCTCAGTTCACAGACTGCAGCTAGTGCAGAGCGCAGCAGCTTTGATGCTGACTGGCACCAGACGACACGAGCACATCACTCCTGTGCTGTCGTCTCTACATTGGCTTCCTCTCGCTTTTAGAATTCAGTTTAAAATAATATAGTATAAGTCACTGCACAACCTGACTTCATTAGATCTAACTGAATTGCTTACTTTGCACACTCTGGGCAGAGCACTGAGGTCCTCTGACCAAGTTATTTTGCACTGTCCCAGGTCTAGATTAAAGACCAGAGGAGACCAAGAATTGTGGCAGGGCCCAAATTCTCTACCTTATTGTGTCAGAGCTGCCCTCTCTGTAGAGAGCTTTAAATTGCAGCGAAAGACGCGTTTCTCTGCTCTGGGTTATTAACGCCTGTATTTTATTCTTATGCTGTATTTTATGTGTGTGTTGTGTTGAGTTTTGTAATGTCTGGAAAGCACTTTGTGACAGTCATGTCTGTTTTTTTCAATGTGCTATATGAATAAACTTGACTTTGACCTTGACCATTAGAACTATCAAAAAGAATATTATAAAAATAACTTTATTTTCTTTTTGAAATATAGACTTACTCTTGGCGCTTTGGGCATGAAGCTTAATGATTATTGGAAAGAGGTGATGGGAAGAAAGTCTCGACAAGGAGAAGATGAGGTTGTAGGAAAAGAACAAAACAAGAACACCACACCCACAAGAAATGGAGAGAAGTAAGTGGTGTTGATATTTCTAAGTCTTGTTTCATAGTTTTCTCTCTGCTCTAACCAGGCACCTGTTTTCGTGAACTGCTAACCACTGAGCCATCCTCAGTAGTTAGTGACCTGTCAGATATCAGCTGAGGGTGCGTCCTGAGAAGGCGTGGCCAGACTAGCGGTCGCTCAGGTCACTTAGACTGACCAGGCCACCGCTCGCCCGGTGGTCTCTGGCCTCCTTGATCTAGTGTTTGAACTCGTTTGTTTTTCAGCTTCTATGACCTACTGTATGCTCTTCCCCAGTCCATTGTGTGGTTATTCCATGTGGTTTTCTGATATAGTTTTTAGTTTTCTTGTTCTGCCTTTTACGTCTTCCCAGCCAAATAGTGTGGAAACGCAAAAGTCAAACCCCGAAGCTTTCAATATATCGGTCAATCTATACTCCCACTCACCTATGGTCATGAGTTTTGGGTTATGACCAAAAGAACAAGATTGCAAATTGAATTGGTTGAAATTAGTTTCCTCCGCACACTGGCCGGGTGTTCCCAATCGGTGAGGAGCTCAGTCACACGGGAGGAGCTCAGAGTGGAGCCGTTGCTTATCCACGTCAAGTGTTGAGAAAATCTTAAATTCTTGTAATAGACGCGCCTGTATAGTTTGTGTGATGCTTTTGCAGCAGTGCCACCTGGTTACAGTGTGAGGAGTGCCTCAAATGGAGGAGTGTCCCAGTTGGTCATTACAGTGTTATTCCTGAAAACTGGACCTGCAGTCGAAATCCAAACCCACGGTTCAGGTGAGCTGTCATTCAACAGTGAGTCTCATGTCGTTGTAAACTGCATGTCTGCACAGAGACAATAAAGTAGCACAACGTCACTTTGAACAGTAACATCACAGTGAACAATGCCCCCCATTGTTTTTTTGCATTCAATAAGTGGTTGGTCTGCTGTATGCAAGCATTAGTTGTTGGACTCTCTGATGTTCATTTTGGGGCAATGGGCAATTAGCATTTCTATTTCTATATTTATGTATGTATGTATTTGTAAATGGGGACTAAATATAATTGGGAAAAAAACTGCTTGATTGGCTTCTTAAAAAAATATTTGAAAGAAATGTCAATGTCAAGTTGAAGTTAGGGAGTTGTGGGGTACCGCAAGGGGTATTACTGGGACCCACATTATTCCTAATGTAAATAAATGAAGTAGGCAAAAATAATAGCATTAAGGGGTGTCACCTGATTAAGCCGAGATTTGATAAGAATATTAATAATTTTCATTACATTTAAAAAGACAACAATCATGTTATTTGATATAAAAGTAGTATATTAATCAGGATAATCTTGGTTGATACCCTAGTTAATTTGATAGTTGAGTTATTGCTATTGCCTTGAAGCACGGGGAAAACTGTTTTAAATCTCATTTGCAGCTTGTTTTAGAATATCTTGGGGTTTAAAATGTAAAAACAAAATACAAAATACAAATAAAGCATGCCTTCTTTATTGTTTAGAAGCTGCTCAAGTCAAGAGGAGACTAATGCGATGGAAGACCTGCATACAGCCAGTTACACAAAGACGCACTATAAACGGTAAAAGTGCTGCGTGCTTCAGATTCTGATATCTGCGTGGTTTCCTGAGCTCTCATATTTCAATTCCCTTTCTTAAACTTCCTTCCTACAGGACTAAAATAGTTTCATATCTGATCAAATAAATGTTCAGTTTAATCTAACTTTGAAAGCACATACAATTAACTATGTAGTAAAGTCCATGTCCAACTACTTCTAAGCTCTCTGAACAGTTTGTTACTCTCTCTAGTTTTCACATTCATGTATTTTTGGCCTCTGACACATCTTTAGATCTACTTTTCCTGTGAAAAATAGAGAACCAGCCCTCACTCCACCAAGAACAGAGCTCAGTATATAAATGATAATGACAGCAAGTACAGGTCACAAAATGTTACTTACAAAAGATTTTCTGTGGGGACAAATAAAAAAATGTAACACTTGATATTGAGAATGATTTTAATCTGGGAAATATATTTTGTATTTTTGTTTTCTGCAGAGACTATTCCCGGCATAAACGGAGAGAACAATCCTCAAAGGTAGTGGAGACGATGCAGTTGTATACATTTATTGTTGATTTCATGTGTTTTTTGAGTTCTTTTTTCCTCATGATTTCAGGTGGTGGAATCAGGGCCCAAACACGTCGGTATTTTTTCAGAAACCGTTTTATCCAGTGATGACTCGGCAGCGGCAGCCACACTCTCTAATGAAGCAGAGATATCAGATATGATGACAGAGCAGGGCCCTGAGGCAGACGCTGTAACACAACCCCACACACATCTACACACTGCAGAGGGACCTGAGCCAAGTTATGCACTGGCCCATAATGCAACTGAGGAAACGGGGCACGAGGGCAAAGCCATGGCCTTAAGGTAAATTTTTATTAGTTATGTAGGAATTTGATCCATGAGTGACAGTTGGTAAAAAAAATAAACAAAAAACAACAATACATTTTTATGCAAATTGCTTCCATACTGTTGGAACAAACTGTAATAGTCAACTCAGAGCTGAGTTTTTTGGGGGAATTTACAACTCGTGTGTCAATTGTTGACTAATTAAGGATTTATTTGAATTTAAAATTATCCAAGTTTTTATACCAGTTTTAAAACATTGTCAGAACTTACGTTGTAATCCACATTATTTTTTATATTAAGGTTTAACTACAGTATGTACAGGAAGGAAAAACACTTTTGGTATTATAAATATCATTATAAAATGAAATACAATTCAAAGCAAATTTCACATAATATAGTAAAATGATATTGCAATTTTTTTTATAAATATTAATATGTTCCTTTAGGAGCTCTCCAAAAAGGCCATAATAATAAAGTTAAGGTTAAGGTGAATGTAACTTAATAATAATGATAATAATCAGTTTTATAGAGCGCTTTTCAGGACACTCAAAGACGCTTCACATGTCATTCTTTCACTCCATACACGGTGGTGATAAACTTCTACTGTAGCCACAGATGCCCTGGGGCAGCACAGACAGAAGCAAGGCAACCAGTATATCCAAGCCCCGGTGATCCAAGATGGCGGCCTATTCAAATGAATGGCTTGTGCTCAGTAGTGCACGGGACTTCACGGGGACCGAAAGATTAGCGGAACTCGCCCATATTTGTGCATCGTCTGGTCCTCCTGGTTCTGCGCAGTGGACGAGCTCCCATGATGCGTTGCGCCAAATACGTGTGTGTGGCTCTCATGCACGCGCACAGTGGGGCTCGGCTCCACTCTGACCAATCAGAGCTGCTGATCAGAGCAAAGTTAGAGCGGAGCAAGAGCGGGAAGGAAAACAGCAAAGTTTGTGGCAGTAAAGAGTGGATTCAAAGAAAACCGAAGGATTTAAGAAGAGAAAAGGTTCAGGATGACAAGGGACACTAAAATCCCCACAAAATCCGATCTTTAAAAAATCTGTAGGTTCTCTGTCAGCTGACGTCGAGCTGTTTTAGTTTACATTGAGTTCTATGGGACTTTTTTCTGGGTAGCCCGCGTGAATTTAGTCGGCAGTACCACGGGCGCCCCCTGTGCCCATGGGTGGGACAGCTGTAAGCTAGTAATACCCTATCCAGATATTATTATAGATCCATGAGTATATCCCATCGGCCCCTTCAACCACCACCAGCCATTCACACACACACACACACACACACACCAGACTCATTCTAGGCAATGTGGGTGAAGTGTATTGCCTCAGGACTCAACGACAGTTTGGCATTTTACAGCCGCAGCCTTTTAATAAGAATATGAATAGATTTCTGATGGGTCCTTTTAACGGGTCTAATGGACATTTTAACGTTGTACAATGATATGAAAGTATCAGCAGGCTTATTCCCACTGAGTATAAACACAGCACTTTCCTTGTGGCCCGGCTGGCAGGCTGAGACATGTTATTGCCAGGGTGTGTTCAGTGATCATTGAAAATACAGTTTTAAAAAAAGTAACAATGTTTTATTACCTGTTGCTCACATGTGGTTGAGGTCAGACAATACTTTGCATGACAACAAATGCAAAACTCTTACCATCAATGTTTGGACTTTTGCACACGCTCTTATTTCCTTATAAAGTTGTCCTTGTTCCAAAATATGTTTGAAAATTTTTATATTGCTTTATGTGGATGATTAGCTTGGCACAGTTCATTATTATGCAATTATGTCAAGCTATTAAGGCAAAATGACAACATCTACATTGGAATAGAATGATTTGAAGCCTCCAACTTTTAAATAGTGGTTAAGAGCATACTTGCGAAAGCCAAATCCCCTCAGACTTCTGAAGCTGTGCAGGGCAGGGCCTGGTTAGTACTGTGATGGTAGACCTCCAGGAACACCAGGCGCCATATTGGGGCAACAATAGCTATAAAGTGCTAAACTGTTGTTGTGTCCTTAGGCAAGACATTTCACCCACATTGCCTAAAATGAGTCTGGTGTGTTTGAATGGCTGGTGGTGGTCGAAGGGGCCGATGGCACATACTAGTGGCCTCACCTTTCTCAGGGCTACTGTGGCTTCGGTAATAGTTTATCACCAGTCTGTGGAACAATGAATGAACAATGACATGTGAAGCATCTTTGAGTGTCCTGAAAAGCGCTAAATAAGACTGACGCATTATTATTGGACATAACATGGATTTGAACACTGTCAGAGAAGAAGCTATAACCTATATCCTAAACTACATCCTCAATTTAGAGACATAATTGAGGCTGCAGCTACAATCACTGAAAGATATTATTGGGTTGGGAATGTTTAGGAAGTTTCACTATCTGTGTTAAGAATACTGTTGCTTTGATTTGCACTAAAATGCTAGTATATGATTGTCAGTGTATGAATAACTGCTTTTAACTAAGAGCACTGTCTACAATTGTTTTACAGCTGCATGAAGAGAAAATCAAGAGAACTATTTCCACTTGCGGAGAAGAAGTCACGGCTTCATGAAGAGGTAGATTTGTCCAGGGACTCGGATGACAACATCTCCGATATCACAGACAGAGCCAAAGAAGACAGCGTCAGCAAAACACGGGGGCAAAACCCTGTCAGTAAGCCGTACCTGGTACAAAAAGAGCATCTGAATCTACTGGAAGAACTGACGCGTGAAAACCGCAAATCTCATCAGCTTCCCGCAGATACCAGGACGCCAAGGAAAGACAAGAGCCCGTGCTCCACCAGAGAGATCGGCTGTCAAGTAGAAGTACTGCATGTTTGTTTGTTTGTTTATTTATTCATTTCAAGTATTTCACAAGTCACCTCTTATCCATCATAGTTTCCAACAAAAAATAAATAAATAATAAATGGAAAAAAATCTAAAATCTAAACAAAAATAGTGTCCTGAAAGGGAGTAGGAAGAAGAAAAGGAGCTATACCCGTTTCTGCAAGGTTTGAATGTTTAGCACCGCCCCCCAACTCGCTCACTGGCTTCTCGGGTATAGCATCTTTAATCATACCCCCACAATACATTTTAAACAAAAAGCGTCACTGTAACAGGGCTAGCCACAACTTTCCAAGTTGACAATACTAGCAAATGACAAATGCATAACACAATATAGAAGTACAGAACAATTAAGACCCTCTCTCTGTGCATTGTGACCAGACCTGATGTGTGTAGAAAAGTTTGAATCTGTGAATATGTTTGTTCTTTTACTTACTTTTAAATATTACTGTTTTTTATCCTTTAGAAATCTGCTCCACATGAGAGCAAGGCTTCTATTCCCCAGTTCATCGCCGACAGCACTCGGGCCGTGAGTGGATTTAGGGATCCTGAGCAGAAAAAAGAAGAAAGCTGCAAAGGTGATCCTGAAGACAACAAAGCCATGTAGGTTCCAGTCCATTTCAAACAATATTCAACAATTATAAATAGTCTTTATTTTGTCTTTGTTGTGATGGTGTAAAAGGTAGGGCTGCAGTTGGCCATAGAAAGGCTTTTATGACTCAAAATATTCTGGTTTCATGTATCTAACCTTTTTCAACTCGAGCAAAACAACTAAAGTTAATGGTTTTTGTTTTCATTATTATATTTGAATTAAGATTAAGAAATTATTTATTTGTTCCACAGTGGGGAAATGTCAGTGTTGCATCACCAGTTACAGAACAGTAGGAATGAGTAGCTCACAGTACAAGATAAATTAATAATAATAATAATAATAATAATAATAACAATAGTAATAATAATTTTAATAATAATGATAATGATAATAATAACTGTATAATAAATAAAATAATATATAATCTCTAACTCCAGCATAAAAAATAAACCGGTATAAAATCTCTATTTTTTTGTATTTTAATTACTTAATATACGACTTCTTTAAAATAAACATAAAATGTAAAGCCTTTTAGCTATTAATGGATTAGAATTTAACCTGAATGAATGGGAGTGAATAAAAGTCAATACTCAATGAAGGTTTGCAACTTACCATTGCAGGTCGAACCTCATTTTAAAGCCATCTTTCAACCACAAAATTATTTGTTTTACTCTTTAGCAATGAACCCAAAACACAATTACTAATAATACAATAAAAAAACTCCAGGCCTTTATAGCGGTTGTGTTTTCCTCAGGCTGGTGCAGGAGACACTGCGGGGCCTCCGGGTGAATGTGGTGGTCCTCCTGTCCACACTCCTGCCTCAGCTGGACCTGTCCGACATCAATGTGGAGACCAGTGACGTGGACACCATCCTGCAGCAAATCATCGAAGTCAACGATCTCAACACACGCGTGCATTCATAGTTTATATTTACAACCCCATGTCCGCTTGTTTAAAGTAGAGACATGTAACAAAAAATACTGAGAAATGACATTACGTACGTTCTTATCTTGTTCATGTTTTATTCTGTTTATTTTTATTTGTTGTATTATTACATTCTCATTATACATTTGTCTACGTTTATATTGTGATAATTTTTTTGTATGTAATGCAATTTGTATTTTGTACTGGTTTGAACCATTTAGGCGTATCTCTTTCCGCCGTATTATTTCCGTTAAATGTGGTCTATTTATATGTTCAAACAAACCCTGTTATCTTCGTTGAATTTATATTTTGATATATTTGTTGCTGTTGTGCTGCTTCCTGGCAACCATAGAACAAGCATAATGTTCTCCACGAGGGGGCGCCATGGCGTCATACACTGTTGCCTGGGATTGTAAAGTTATTTGTAACCTTTTTTATTATTTTTTTACCAACATTTCTAGTAAATTATTACAACCCAGACACTTTTGAAGAGTATGTTTCTTTACACACAGCTGTGCTTCTGTTCTGTAGGATACTGAATCATCGACAAAAGGATTTAACGTACTAATTTATTATTCTTGGCGTCATATATTGTGAACAGTCTCGCGATAAAAAAAACAAAATAATTACACATTTAAACCACCCAAGTCATGGAATTAAAGTTGGTCTTCCTTTCAGCGCCACTGACGTCCCTCCTCCTTTATAACCTGCAGCACGCACTTCAAGTCTCACAACCTTCTACTTCTACTACTACTGCTACTACTACTACTAGTCCTACTTCAAACATACTTCAGTGATGGACGTGTCTTACGTTCTCGTGGTCTTCTGTTGTTGTACACTGGTGCCTGTTGAGGCTATAACTCGAGATTATTATATTGCAGCGGTTGAAATTGGATGGGATTATTTCCACGAGGAGAGAAGAGATTCTGGGGGCAACCACAAGTGAGTATTTATTCATTTATTTATGTATTTATTTACAGTGGTCATTGATGCATATGTCACCTTTATTTCTATTTTCGTTTTCTTTTAATAAGTTATTGTTTGCTTGTTTTTTTTTTCTTGCAGAAAAACATATAAAAATACAATACAAAAATATATCAAAGCTGTTTATAGAGAATACACAGACGCTACGTACACTGTTCCAAAACCAAGACCAGCATGGGCCGGTACGTGTCTATTGTTGTTGATATGTTAATATATAACACAACACTGCAAAAAGTGATGAAAAATATGTCAAATGAATATGTATCTTAGTTGGAGCACATTTTCTACTGCCTTAAAAATATGTATCTTGTTTTATAAATTTACAGGGGCGGCACGGTGGCTGAGTGGATAGCACTCTCGCCTCTCAGCAAGAAGGTCCTGGGTTCGAATCCCGGTCGGACCAGGGCCTTTCTGAGTGGAGTTTGCATGTTCTCCCCGTGTCTGCATAGGTTTCCTCCGGGTACTCCGGTTTCCCCTACCACTAAAAATATGTCCAATAGTTCTAGCATGTGCCTCCTGTACTGGCGACCCCGCTCCCATCTCTGTGTGGAGTGAGAGATAAATGCCCAAAATTAACAATTGTAAACCGCTTTGAGACTCAGATCTGCAGTGAAAAGGCGGTATAATAAAAGATTACTTACTTACTTACTACTACTTACAAGAAATATCTCCCTTGGAATTAGAAAAGAAAGCAGTTCCTGAAATAAGACAACATGGGTTTATCCCTTTATGTGTTAAACATTAAGTAAAAAAAAAACACTTGATTCAGCAATCAATAACTCATTATCATTTTGTGCAGTGAAAGGGTAATTAAGAGCTAGTACTGTTTAATTAGTTCAGTTTCCTTCATGTGTTTCCAGGCATACAGGGTCCAGTGATTGTGGCCCAGGCTGGAGACACTGTGGTGGTCCATTTCAAAAACCTGGCCTCTCAGCCGTACAGTGTCAGCCCAGTGGGAGTCACATACTGGAAGCAGTCTGAAGGTATGAGATTTTGCAATTCCTGCTTAGTCCTATGGTTACTGGAACAGGGTAGTTTGCATTCGGTTGTCCGAAACAAGAATTGTTGTCTTTTTTGTGTTATAGACGTAATATGTATTTTTCATTTCTCCTTGGGTTGAGAGTTGATTGGCTGAATGAGGTTTATTTTCTCTTTTTTTTAGATGCAAAAATAGATGCATGCTAAAAGAGCGAGAAACTGGTTACATGGATCTTTTTACACATATTAGAGTTATTGTATGGTTTGAAACCCCAGCTTTAAATCACTCTTTAGTAGAGTGAGTGAGTAAGTAAGCGTTATTTATATTGTGTTTTTCACAGACAGTACTGCAGAGTGCGAGAGGAGCACTAAACAGAGGGGAAATTGCTCTAATTTCACAACATGTGATTTAAATAAATTGGCTAAATAGTGTGGCCATCTGAGTGTTTCACCATGGCATAAAACCAGTTTTAATTGTGTTTTAAACAGAATTGTGAGTTTCTTTAAATAAAATATATGACATTGAGCGTCACCTGCTGTAAAATCAGATTTTTATTTTTATTATATCATTCTTAGATTGTTGTCACACATCCTGTCGCTAACCGTCGTTATTATCTTTAGTTCACACAGCTTCAGTACATAATAAAGCATCCCCTCTCACACGCTCTGCGGGGAAAGTCTGACCTGCTGTAACTGTAATCTGTGCTCATTTCCTTCCCATCATGAAATACTTGCACTGTTAAAGCAGTAGCAGTAGTGTGTTACTTACCGTGGGAATAAAGTGTTAAAATTATAAGAACTTTCATGATGGATTCTAATTTATTTATTTGATCAGGGACAGCGCACAAATAAACAGTTGATTCAAGATTCAAGAATTTATTTGCCATTTGCAGTAAAACCACATTTGAAAACTGTGTAAGACTAACCCAAAGACGACCAAGATGCTATACATCAGATCTTTTGCCACGGCGCCATATGCTCTGTGCCAGGTTTTTAGCAAAAATGCTAGTTTCCACACGTGGTCCCTGGACTGGTTGATGATGTAGTTTAATGCCATGTGGTGGATTATTATAGACAATATTTAAGATCAGGGGCAAACTAAGGTGGCATGATTTCTCTCTTTTTTTGCCATTATTATTATTTACATATTTTTTGGCCTGTGTGTGCGTGCGTACATGCGTGTGTGTGTGTGCGTGCGTGTGTGTGTGCAACTGTGCGTGCGTGTGTGTGTGTGTGCATGCGTGTGTGTGCACATGTTTGTGTTTTGTGTTGTATCCTGTATATTTTTATTTTTACTTCTGTTCATGAATTAATTCATTAAGTAATTCAACTTGTATATTTATATTTCTTACTTTTATCTCTTTTCAGCTCTTTGTAAATGTTTTTTATAAGACGTGCTATAGAAAATAAAGTGGATTGGATTGCATTTTTTAAAAACGATTTCTGTTGAAGTAAGATATATGAATTGGACATTTCCAGGGGCCGGCTATGAAGACTCGACAGGAGGCCAGGAGAAGGAGGATGATGCTGTGTCTCCGGGTGGATACTATGAGTACGTGTGGGACATCCACTTTAAAAACGGCCCCACCCAAAGAGACCCGGAGTGCCTCACGTACTCCTACTCATCCCAAGTGGACACTGTGCGTGATATGAACTCTGGACTTATTGGGGCACTACTCGTCTGCAAACCAAGTCGGTCTATTGAGCGAATATTGAAAAAAAAAAATACAAATTCATATCTTTTAAGATGTACTTATATGCGTTTTTCCTGTCAAGATGCCCTCACAGAAGATGGGGAAAGGAGAAACCCAGCCTTTGTTTTGATGTTTGCTGTTTTTGATGAGGCGAGGAGCTGGTATGGAGAAATTGGAGAAAGAAGAAGCAGAGAGAAATTCAGAAAAAGCAACACACGGAAGGAATACCACACTATAAATGGATACATCAACTCCACGTTACCTGGTGATCTATTCATGATGGAAGCTTGTGTCACTGTTGTTGTTATGTGCTTCATGTTGTATGTGTGCAGGGCTGACTATGTGTTACAACCGTGGCAACGTGTTTTGGCATCTCGTCGGCGTGGGCACAGCTCCGGACATCCACTCCATACGCTTCCATGAGCACACGCTGCAGGCAAGTAACATTAGATTGTTCAGATCAAGTATTCTTTCTGGTATCAGTAAATAATATAAATGAACACATATGTTGTCAACTGTTCAACCAAAATACTTTTTCACTTCAATTTTCATTTCAATTAAATGTATTCTCGTATAGCCCTTAACAGTAGGGCTCGGAGGTCTCGGAGGACTTAACAAAACCATTGAATTCAGATCAGAGAATCAAGCTGTTTGGTTCAAGCCATTGGTTCATAAGGAGCAGATGACCAATGTTCATAAATGTTGTTAAATGTCTATAAATGTTGAGTTGAGTGTTCGGGGTCATCACTACTGTCATTTTTGTTACTCACAGTATGTCTATACAAAAATGGTACTCTTATACTGTTAGTTAAATGAAGGCATGAACTTTTAGCATTGTTGGCCAACTTTGGAAAAATCTGAAATTGCGTTCACAGGTATTGTCCCATCGTAAAGTCACCGTGGAGATTACGCCTATGACTTTCATCACAGCAGAAATGAAACCCTCCTCTGTCGGTCACTTCCTCATCACCTGTAACATAGTGGCTCATCGTCATGGTAAGACAAAATAAACGTATAACACTTGACCTTAATTTAGCACCTAATTTTTAACCCACAAAAACAAAATTGAGCAATACAACAACATTAAAATCCTTCTCGCTAGTTCATCTACTGACAGAAAAGTGAACAACAGAGGACTCCCCCTTTCTCACTTGATAAGCTTTTAGGTCAAACGAGTGACTCACAGGGCGCTCTCTTCCAAAATTGTGCAAAAGATAACATTGTTTTTTTTACAAAGATAAAGCATGTTGTGTTCTGATTTGTTGAAAACCTTTTACTTTTACAAAACTCTTCCAGTACATTTTCATTTTCTTATTTAGACTTTATTAAGGACTCATATGCAGGCACTGGACCCATTGCAGAGAAATATGTCGTTCAATGGGCAAAAGTTAGGTATCCCAGCAGCTATATAAATAATACTTGTCACGTGGGGAAATGATAGAGGACCCAAAATGCAGGAAGGCCAAAATAAAAAGAATTGAATGATAAAAAAAACAAAAGTGCAGGAGATAACAAACTCAAAATCCAAAGGCACAAGGAACACATAAGCAGGAGCAGGACGGAACAGATGTTGACAATACATTGGACCAGCAACAAGAGGAGAGGAGCACAGGGGAACAAGACAGGAAGTAAAACTAAAAGCACAGAGAACTGATATCAAAATAAAACTAAAGTACAAAAATAAAATCCACACCATGACAATTACTAACGATTTGAATGTGGTTTCTCCTAGCTGGCATGAACGCCTTCTTCACCGTGGAGAAATGCCCCGATCTTGTGTTACCCGAGCAGCGAAACGCCAAATACACAGACAGCGATAACTATGATTATGCATATGACCAAGACAGTTTTAATGTCATAAATATGGAACCCTACAAACCGAAGGTGCAAGCGAGGGCCAGCGGAGGATTTTCTCCCAAAACCTGGCACCACTTCATCGCAGCTGAAGAAATAATCTGGAACTATGCTCCTCATCTGAAGCACACAGACAGGTACAACACTCAGCACTGGTCATGTTACTCCACTTAAGCAGGTCTAAATATTTAAGGCCTTGAAGGTTCTTTTGATAAGACATGAAAGTAAAGAAAGCTAGTACTGCTTAATTACCTGACATGTTTGGCCGGTACACTTCCGCCTTCATCAGAGGTGACACAGAGGAGAGGTGAATCCCAGGTGTGAGCCAAGGTGAAAGCCCCCTCGTCTCTGTTGATGGTCCGTGCGCCCGCTTCCTGATTTCAATCGCCTCTCGAATCCATCTTTTGTATTTATCTCCTTCTGTTCCTACTATTTTTGCATTGTCCCAGTCCATTATGTCATTTTCTCTTTTGCCGTGGTCTGATATCGCCGATTTGAGGTTTTCCTGTGTTGCCTTTTCCTTGGTTGATCTTGTTAGTCGCGCTGCCGTTTTTTTTTTACATTCGCGTCACACCATTGTGTCACCTCTGATAAGTGTACCGCCGAAACATGTCAGGTAATTAAGCAGTACTAGCTTTCTTTACTCTCTTGTCTTATCAAAAGAACCTTCAAAGTCTTAAACAAAAGAAGACAAAATGAACTTGTTATATTTAGGTCCAAATATTTTCATGTTGTTTATTGTCAGTGAGATGCAGACTCCATATGGGCCTGAAGCTCCTCATCACCTGGAATACAAATATAAAAAGGTTGTGTATGTGGAATATTCAGATGAATCCTTCAGCAGCAGAGTTAGCCCCCCCAACACACTGCTGGGCCCACTACTGAGAGGGAAGGTCAACGATCAGTTTTATGTAAGTAATGACAAACACAACTATCTACCTGTGCGGAATCATCCACTGAGCTGTGCTGAATGGTGTCATCAGATCACGTTCAAGAACCTAGCCACTCGTCCTTTCAACATCTACCCAAATGGTCTCACCAAAATTTACCCATTGAAGAAAAGTGAAAACGGTTTGCATTTCTGTCTAAGCTAATTCTGGATTAGTATGTCCACATTTAAGTCTGATTGGTTACTCTGTCCAAACCCAGAAGCAGAGAAGGACCTGCGCACAATGGGAGTGGCCCCCAACGGCACTTTTGAATACATGTGGAAGGTCACCGCTGAGGACGGGCCCCTAGACGGAGACCCTCAGTGTCTCACACAGCTCTACCAGAGTACAGTGGCCCCGGAGAGAGACCTGTCCGCTGGGCTGGTGGGAACGCTGCTCATCTGCAAACATGGTGCCATCGACAGAAAAGGCCGGCTGGTACGTCCACCAAACCCTCGGCGATCCCCCTCACATTGCTCTTATTTTATTTTGTCTCCACAGCTGAGCCCAGACCGGGAGTTGAGTTTGATATTTGGCATTTTTGACGAAAACAGGAGTTGGTTTTATGAAGAAAACATGTCTAAATCAAAGCAATACCCCATGGCCAACGAAACTGTTGAGTTCTACGAATCAAATGTTATTCATAGTAAGTTTTAACCATTTTATGACAATCTTGCTTAAAGCTGGGGAACCTAACTTTCAAGAATATAACTATAGTACTATGTCCATGTTACTGCTGTAGTTCCTGGCTCTAAAATACTTTGACACACATGCATTTTTGGCCTCTGTCTTTATCGTTATATAAACTTTTCCAGATAGAAACTGAACAAGAGAAGAGAATCAGCTCTTAGCCCAAAACGTCAAATAGTGACTCACATGGCTCTTTCTTAAAAGTTTGCAAAAGATGTGTATGTTTACATATTGTTTATTAAGATGAAGATTGCATGACTAGTTGACAAGATTTTACTCTTACGTGACTCTTGTCCACTGAACAAACTACGTGTGTTATTTATGGGGGGGAGTTAGGGGCCCCAGCTTTAGCGTACTTACATAACAACTATATTAGAAATGAGAAGACCATATTCTGAGTGGAGCTGCCCCTTCACACAAGCCTGTCCTCCCTGAAGGTGTGAACGGCATCATGTTCAGTGGGAGACAGTTCGTCGTGTGCCAGACAGATGTCGCCTTCTGGCACATCGCTAACGTGGGAACGCAGAGTAACTTCCTGTCGGTCTACTTCACTGGGAATCTCTTTGAATACCAGGGGGTTTACCAGTCGGTCATCACACTCTTCCCAATGACTGCTACCACGGTTTCCATGGAGACGGAAACAAATGGTACCACATTGCATCCATCCAGATATACATGACTGGTTTGTGTTTGTTTAATACTCGTGTCTATTCAGGTGAATGGGAGATCAGCGCATTCGACAGCAGCCGCAAAAGCAAAGGAATGAGCATTTTTTATTCGGTTCGTCCATGCGACAAAGGAAGGCTCCCTCTAGTCGATAGTGACGAAGAGGAAGATGATTTTGATTATTTAGATTACATAGACTTTGGACCTCGAGGCTCCAGGCCCCTGAATCGCTCCATCACTGTTCGAGTGTGCAAGAAGGGAGCAAATGCCACAAAGTTTGAAAGAAAAGGCACAAAAATAGATTCACGCTGCCTTGTCAAAAATGTGACTGTTGCACAATTACATCAGTTAAGCGGCGGGAGAGCCAAAAAGGAGCAAGAAGAAGAAATTCCACTGGACATTTTGGAGCAGACGGGAGTTAAAACAGACTTGAATGTGCGGTTAAAAAGACATACACATGATGATAATTTTACAGAGGATGAAGACATAGCTGAGTACTGGGAGTTGGAACAAGATGTAGAAAGTCACAATGTCTCTTCAACAGCCCTAGAGCAAAAAAAACATATATTTAGTGACTTCAATTCAACAGAGTATGATGCTAAAGAAGATAATGAGATTTTACCGGAGCCAACAGATTACATTGAATCAGAGACAGGAAAAATTCTAAATGAACTTCTAATGCACCCTCCCGCAACCATTGCGAAACAAGCAGGGAGTATTGAGTTAAAAAATAATACAGAGAATCAAAATGCCACCGATTTGACTTTGTCTGTAGATTACGATGATTACAGCGAGGAGGTAGGTTTGAATCACCACCTCTTGAAAGCAACACTTGAAAGCAATCTTGTAAGCATTTGTATTTTCAGGATAACGCCACTGATATGTTTTACTCTGACTACTTGGACATGCGGTCTGGTGAAATTAGTAGCCGACACTATTACATTGCAGCAGAAGAAATCACATGGGACTACGGCATCAGGAAGCCTCAGCAGTCCATCGAATTGGGGTTAGTTTTCCAAAATGAGTGGAATCTTCATTTACTTCTTTAATTGTGATGTTTCCCCTCTAGAGAGAGTCGGCGTGGTATGCTAAAGTTTCTGCCCATGTATAAGAAGGTTGTATTTCGAGCATACAGAGATAAAGACTTCCAGCATCCATTTCAAAGAGGAGAGCTGGAGGAACATCTGGGAATCATGGGGCCGTTTATTCGAGCCGAGACCAATGAGCTTCTCACAGTGAGACCTCCATGCTTTCTGCTGCATGTCCTCTTTTGGGCTTTCTAATGTCTATTTTTTACAAGCTATAAAATAACAAATGTTTTGAGATCAATTCATGATTTTGCTCTCCTGTTTAACCTTTTGTGCTTCATGACAGGTTGTATTTAGGAACAAGGCTTCAAGGCCGTATTCTTTTCACCTTCAAGGAGTGTATGACCGCAGCCAAGGCGCTGGTTCAGGTCAAACTTATGCTTCCGATGCTCCCCCTGGGGTCCCTGGAGATCCTGTGCCCCCTGGAGAGGCCAGAACATACAACTGGAGAATTACCACGAGACAAGGCCCCTCCGACAGAGAGCTCAGCTGCAGGACAGGAGCGTACTACTCTATCCAGGATAAGGTTTGTTTATGAATAACACTAAGACTGTTTATCTGTTCTGATATTGTGTTTGTAATTGTAGGACAGAGACCTTCACTCAGGCTTAGTTGGTCCTCTAGTTATCTGCAAACCTGGCACCCTTCAGGGCCGGCTAAACAGGCAGCAGGATATCCAGGAGTTTGCGCTGCTCTTTCACACATTTGATGAAACTAAGAGCTGGTACCTGGAGGAGAACCTTCGAGAGCACTGTGTCCCTCCATGCCGTGACAGTCGTGCAGCGCCCGGGTTCCGCACCAGCAACCGCTTTGCAGGTAACACCACAAAAGGCTGTCTAAATGAATATTTTATAATTTTTTGTTTTGAAATAATACCTCTGTTCTCTTGTTAGCGATCAATGGGTATGTGGCAGAGACACTTCCTGGTTTGTTAGTAGCTCAGCACCAGCGTGTGAGGTGGCACCTGCTGAACGTGGGCAGTGATGGAGAGTACCACGCTGTGCACTTCCACAATCTGCCCTTCACTGTTCAAACTGGAGTGGACCACCGCATGGGCATCTACCAACTTTTTCCTGGTAACACTGTACTGATAAATTACATTTTAGCCTAGGAATAACTGTAGAGTGGCTAATTGATAAGAATTATTGATTATATGTTTGAGTGCAAAATGCCATTGATAGTGTTTTGTGTTTCTTGGCTCTGTCAATTGTGATGAGGTGTTTTTGGTACGCTGGAGATGAGGCCTCCCACTGTGGGCACGTGGCTAGTGGAATGCACTGTTGCAGAGAACCAACTGGCCGGTATGAGAGCAAAAATACTGGTCTACAACCCAAGTAAGTCTCTTATTGTATGCATATTCAGCTTTTGCTTTGTGGGGGCCGTTAAGTTCTTCCTTAATTGTTTGATTAGAGCGTCCTCCTGTGGACTCACCACCTGCAGAGGGTCAGTGAGGGGCTGGTGCTATGAGACTTGGGTGGCATCTCTGATTGCCACCCCCCTGACCCAGAAATGGATTAAAGGGTAGAAAATGGATGGATGGATGTTTGATTAGAAACATTGTTTAAAGTTATGTTTGGCTTAAGGTCAAATAGTTGTCATTCTAGTATCAATTCATGGGTCACATCTCATCTGTTACATGATACATTTTTAACAAACTTTAGAGACATTTCTATTTTCTATATTCTAGTATGCATTATTGCTTTTGAAAAAGTTTGGATGTATGTATTATGTATTAAAATAATTATGCATGTATTTATTCAGAGTGTGTCTTGCCATTGGGAATGAAATCAGGAAGAATTGATGATTTACAAATCACAGCATCAAACCATTTTGGTAATTATCTTTCTAATGTGATTTTCTCTCTGTTGAAAACTGTATTCAGTTAACATTGTCAACACTTTACTTTGTACAGAAAGCTGGGAGCCTCGTTTGGCCCGACTGGATCAGTCTGGATTCATCAATGCCTGGATGGGCCAGGGGAAGAAGCCCTGGATACAGGTGTTCACATTACCATTATAATCAAAGTATCAGTAATAATGTTGAAGCTATGTTCATGCTAGTGTGTGACTTCAGGTGGATTTGTTGAGACCTATGCTCCTACATGGAGTGAAGACGCAGGGAGTGAGAGCAAAGCTGAGGGACCACTACATCACACACTTCTCTGTGTCCTACAGCCTGGACCAGGACACATGGAGCCACTACAGAGGCAACAGCAGCAGGCGCATCTGTGTAAGCCCTGCACACATATACACGCTTCTCTTCTTCTGCAACAATGCACTGATATTTGGTCTCAATGGGCTTCAGCTTTTCTTTGGGAACATGGACAGTGCTAAAGTAAAAGAAAACACCTTCTCTCCACCATTCGTGGCTCGTTACATCAGGATTCATCCTGTGAATGTTGTGAAAAGACCAGCGTTAAGAATGGAGCTTCTGGGATGTGACCTGAACAGTGAGTATGTTAGCCAAGAGAACATGAGACAGTCACAATCAGAATCATTTGTATTGCCATGTAAGTAACAGGAAGTCACAGACTACGAAATTGCTTTGGCTCTCGGTGCAAACAAGTCAAAAAGAATAAGGCATAATAAAACATTTCTAAAGTATATACGGCCCAGTCTTGTTCACGCCCCCCTAGCGAAGGAAGGAAGGAATAGCAGAGTATTTTCAGCGATTGTCAGGTTTGCGATTAGTTATAGCATTTAGGTAGATTTTTATTAGCATAGTTGTTTGTATTATTGATAATTGTGTATTGTTAATAGCGTTGTTGGTCACAGCTTAGACCCGCCCAACATTCACCCCCCGCCTGTCCCCTTTAGTCCTCCAGGCTACGCCCATTTGGAGGAAGATTTTAACAGGAAATGTGAATGACGTAAGCCTCGAGGAGCGGGGGTGAGAAGTTCTTTAAGCAGTGCAGTAAGGTGACACCTGTAAAGTGACATCATAAAGGGCAGTAAAGTGCCTTTTAATGGGCAGTAAAGTGACTTCATGAAGGGCAGTAAAGTGGCTTTATAAAGGGCAGTAAAGTGACTTCATAAAGGGCAGTAAAGTAACTTCATAAACGGCAGTAAAGTGACTTCATAAAGGGCAGTAAAGTGACTTCATAAAGGGCAGTAAAGTGGCTTTATAAAGGTCAGGGGGAAAAGGTTATGAAGTGTTCAAGAGTCCAACAGCAGAGGGGAAGAAACTGTTCTTATGGCGGGAGGTTCTGGTCCAAATGGACGGTAGCCTCCTGCCCGAAGGGAGAGGTTGGAACAGTCCGTGTGCGGGGTGAGAGGGGTCGGCCGTGATACAACCAGCCGGACTCAAGTTTGGGCATTGTACAGAATAGATGGCTAATCATCAGCACTATTTGTGCGTGCACGTGTGTGTCTGTTGTGTGTGTGTGTGTTGTGTGTGCATGTGTGACAGGCTGCTCTCTCCCTCTGGGGCTTCAGGCCAGGCTGATCCCTGACAGCAGCTTCAGTGCTTCTTCTGTTCATTCATCACTGCTGAGGACCTGGAGTCCTTCCCTCGCTCGGCTTCATCAAGAGGGCAGTACTAATGCCTGGCGACCTAAGGTAAGGTGTGAATCTTTCAACCGTCCACTCAGCATTACATTTACTTTATGAAAAAAATATATATATATATATTATACATATATATATAAAAATTGTCCACTCGCCTTTGGCCCTCCGCGGGCGGTTATCCCTCTCTCTAAGCCCGGGTCCTCTACCAGAGGCCTGGGAGCTTGAGGGTTCTGCGCAGTATCTTTGCTGTTCCTAGCACTGCACATTTCTGGACCGAGATGTCCGAGGTTGTTCCGGGGATCCGCTGTAACCACTCTTCTAGCTTCGGGGTCACTGCCCCGAGTGCACCGATCACCACGGGCACTACTGTCACCTTTACCCTCCAGGCCCTCTCCAGCTCCTCTCTGAGACCTTGGTATTTCTCAAGCTTTTCATGTTCTTTTTTCCGGATGTTACCATCGCTTGGAATTGCCACGTCCACCACCACGGCTGTCCTCTGCCCTTTGTCTACCACCACGATGTCAGGTTGGTTCGCCATTACCATTCGGTCGGTCTGTATCTGGAAGTCCCACAGGATCTACGCACGCTCATTCTCCACCACCTTTGGAGGAGTTTCCCACTTAGACCTTGGGGTTTCCAGCCCATACTCTGCACAGATGTTTCTGTACACTATGCCAGCCACTTGTGGCGTTCCATGTAGGCCTTCCCTGCCAGCATCTTGCACCCTGCAGTTATGTGTTGGATCGTCTCAGGTGCCTCTTTGCACAACCGACACCTTGGGTCTTGTCTGGTGTGGTATATCTGGGCCTCTATCGCTCTGGTGCTCAGTGCCAGTTCCTGTGCAGCCATGAGGAGTGCCTCTGTGCTGTCCTGTAGGCCAGCCCTTTCTAGCCATTGGTAGGACTTCTTGAGATCAGCCACTTCTGTTATGCTCCGGTGGTACATGCCGTGTAGGGGCTTGTTCTCCCATGATGGGCTCTCCTCCAGCACCTCCTCATCTCGCCACTGCCTGAGACATTCACTGAGTACGTCATCCGTTTTGGCCTTCTCCATGATGTAGTTATGGAGTTTGGATGTTTCGTCCTGGACAGTGGCTCTCACACTCACTAGTCCTCGGCCTCCTTCTTTACGGCTTACGTACAGTCTCAGGGTGCTGGATTTGGGATGGAACCCGCCATGCATGGTAAGGAGCTTTCGAGTTTTAACATCCGTGGTCTGAATCTCTTCCTTTGGCCACCTGATTATTCATGCAGGGTATCTTATCACTGGCAGGGCGTAGCTGTTAATTGCCCGGGCCTTGTTCTTGCACCTCTCCGAGTCACCATCTCGAGTCCGAATGACATCCCGATGTCATGGCTGTAGATCCTGATTGTTTGGATCAGAGAGTCGATGTCTCTCTCGCTCTTGGCCTTGATGTCATCCATGTAGAGGAGGTGACTGATCTTTGCTCCGTTCCTGAGGCGGTATCCATAGCCAGTCTGGTCAATTACTTGGCTTAGAGGGTTGAGGCCTATGCAGAACAGTAGTGGGGACAGAGCATCTCCTTGGTAGATACCACATTTGATGGTCACTTGTGCGAGCGGCTTGCCATTTGCCTCAAGGGTGGTCTTCCACATTCCCATCGAGTTTGCAACAAAGTCCCTTAGAGCCCTGTTGATATTGTACAACATCAATGAGCTGATATATATACTGTATATATATATATATATATATATATATATATATATATATATATATATATATATATATATATATATAGATATATAGATATCAGAGGTCAGAGGGGAGATCCCACCAACTGCAACTCCCCAACCAGATATTGGGTATGGAACCGATAACGCTGAACGAGGCAGCGACTGACCTGAAAGCTAAGATCATGGCTAGAATGGGCACAGGGCAAAGATACCGGTTACAGCGGTTGTGTGAAGTACCACCTAAGGATCTCATAGAAAGCGTGAATGCAGCAGTGAGGGCAATACCTACCACCACAATCACTGAAACCAATGAGCTGATATACACTTCAGCAGCGGTGATCCTAGAGATGCTTGGCTATAAGAGCAACCATGGGAGCCATGGACAATACCCACCATGGAAAAGACGGTTGGAGGCTAAGATCAAGGCGGCTCGGAGAGAAGTGAGTCAATTAACAGAGGCCCAGAGAGGTGCAATGAAAAGACCAGTACCCAGAAAGTACAGCCAGATGACCATACCTGAAGCACTCAAAACTGCCAAACAAAGACTCCAAGCCCTGGCCAGCCGCCTACAGAGGTACACTAAAGAGAATGAAGCCAGAAGGGTGAACAGGCTGTTCGCAACACAACCTGCGAAGGTGTACGCTCAGTGGCAGGGTAACAACAGGGGAGCAGACCCACCTAGGCTGGAAACTGAACAGTTCTGGAAGAACATATGGGAGAAGGATGCAGCACATAACAGAAGTGCACAATGGCTGGTGTCCCTGAGAGAGGAGCACAGCCACCTCCCAGAACAGAACTCAGTTACCATCACAGAGGCAAACATCCGAGAAAGAGTCTCAGGTATGAAAAACTGGACAGCACCTGGCCCTGATATGGTCCATGCCTACTGGCTAAGGACACTCACATCACTCCATGAGCGCCTAGCAGCACAAATGAACAAGTTGCTGAGAGATGGGACTCACCTAGAATGGCTAACCGAAGGGCGAACGGTCCTGATCATGAAGGACCCTGTCAAGGGTGCAGTCCCCTCCAACTACCGGCCAATAACCTGTCTCTCCACAACATGGAAGCCCATGTCAGGCATCATTGCGGCTAAGATAAGTGGGCATATGGAACAATTCATGAGCACAGCACAGAAGGGCATTGGTAGGGACACCAGAGGAGCCAAACACCAGCTCCTGGTTGACAGAACAGTCGCCCAAGACTGCCGGTCACGATACACCAACCTGTGCACAGCCTGGATTGATTACCAGAAAGCCTACGACTCAATGCCACACACATGGATCATGGAATGCTTGAAGTTGTACAATATCAACAGGGCTCTAAGGGACTTCGTTGCAAACTCGATGGGAATGTGGAAGACCACCCTTGAGGCAAATGGCAAGCCGCTCGCACAAGTGACCATCAAATGTGGTATCTACCAAGGAGATGCTCTGTCCCCACTACTGTTCTGCATAGGCCTCAACCCTCTAAGCCAAGTAATTGACCAAACTGGCTATGGATACCGCCTCAGGAACGGAGCAAAGATCAGTCACCTCCTCTACATGGATGACATCAAGCTGTACGCCAAGAGCGAGAGAGACATCGACTCTCTCATCCAAACAACCAGGATCTACAGCCATGACATCGGGATGTCATTCGGGCTCGAGAAATGTAGCAGGATGGTGACTCGGAGAGGCAAGGTAGTCCACACAGAAGGGATCTCACTCCCAGAGGGAACAATAGCAGACGTTGAGGACAGTTACAAGTATCTCGGTATACCACAGGCAAATGGCAACCTCGAACAGGTGACGAGGAAAGCGGCAACTGCCAAATACCTCCAGCGAGTAAGGCAGGTCCTAAGAAGCCGGCTCAATGGCAAGAACAAGGCCCGGGCAATTAACAGCTACGCCCTGCCAGTGATCAGATACCCTGCAGGAATAATCAGGTGGCCAAAGGAAGAGATTCAGACCACGGATGTTAAAACTCGAAAGCTCCTTACCATGCATGGCGGGTTCCATCCCAAATCCAGCACCCTGAGACTGTACGTAAGCCGTAAAGAAGGAGGCCGAGGACTAGTGAGTGTGAGAGCCACTGTCCAGGACGAAACATCCAAACTCCATAACTACATCATGGAGAAGGCCAAAACGGATGACGTACTCAGTGAATGTCTCAGGCAGTGGCGAGATGAGGAGGTGCTGGAAGAGAGCCCATCATGGGAGAACAAGCCCCTACACGGCATGTACCACCGGAGCATAACAGAAGTGGCTGATCTCAAGAAGTCCTACCAATGGCTAGAAAGGGCTGGTCTACAGGACAGCACAGAGGCACTCATCATGGCTGCACAGGAGCAGGCACTGAGCACCAGAGCGATAGAGGCCCAGATATACCACACCAGACAAGACCCAAGGTGTCGGTTGTGCAAAGAGGCACCTGAGACGATCAAACACATAACTGCAGGGTGCAAGATGCTGGCAGGGAAGGCCTACATAGAACGCCATAATCAAGTGGCTGGCATAGTGTACAGAAACATCTGTGCAGAGTATGGGCTGGAAACCCCAAGGTCTAAGTGGGAAACTCCTCCAAAGGTGGTGGAGAATGAGCGTGCGTAGATCCTGTGGGACTTCCAGATACAGACCGACCAAATGGTAATGGCGAACCAACCTGACATCGTGGTGGTAGACAAAGGGCAGAGGACAGCCGTGGTGGTGGACGTGGCAATTCCAAGCGATGGTAACATCCGGAAAAAAGAACATGAAAAGCTTGAGAAATACCAAGGGCTCAGAGAGGAGCTGGAGAGGGCCTGGAGGGTAAAGGTGACAGTAGTGCCCGTGGTGATCGGTGCACTCGGGGCAGTGACCCCGAAGCTAGAAGAGTGGTTACAGCGGATCCCCGGAACAACCTCGGACATCTCGGTCCAGAAATGTGCAGTGCTAGGAACAGCAAAGATACTGCGCAGAACCCTCAAGCTCCCAGGCCTCTGGTAGAGGACCCGAGCTTAGAGAGAGGGATAATCGCCCGCGGAGGGCCAAAGGTGAGTGGACAATTTTATTTTATATATATATATTCAATACTTGTATTAACAAATACTTTCTTATAACTTTCTTATTGCCATCTTTGATGAAACTTTTTTTTAGATTTATGGTAACAAAGCATTTAGTTTCCCTGGATTGCTTTCTATTGTGATCCAGGCAAAGGTAAACCAAACTCTACCTCATGTAAATGTCGAACAAGTGTTTGGTTTATTATAATCATCTCACTCATAGTTCATATGTTCTGGTCCATCTGGTCCTGAAATACTTATGTGGTTCTAGAACAACAATCCGCATGAGTGGCTCCAGGTGGATCTGGGGAAAGTGCGACGCATCGCGGGCGTAGTGACTCAAGGAGCTCACTCACTGCTCACACAGATGATGGTGACCGAGTTCTCCCTCACGGTCAGTCAGGATGGACAGTCCTGGGAAAGTGTGTTGGAGGGGGACTCACACAGGGATAAGGTATTGGTCTCATTTATTTCTTGACCATTTTGACCAACATTGAGCTACATCAATCAATCAGATTTTGATTATAAAGCGCTTTTCATACGAAAAAATGCAACACAAAGTGCTTTACAGTTTTGTTAAAAACAATCCAAAATGCAAAGCCCTAAACCCCACCTCCCCACAGACCCACCCAAAAACCACATTTATTATTATACAGTATATACACCCACATGCGTGTACACACACACACACACACACACACACACACAAACACACACACATATACATTCATCACATTCATAGTTTCTATTTCTTAAAACAATTGAAGTTGTGTGTTGTGTCTTTTTTGTTTTCAGTTTAATCATTACAATTTTTTCACTACAGATCTTCACTGGAAACAGTGACCCAGACGAGGAGGCTCTCACTGTCTTTGCTTACCCGCTGTTCGGCCGCTATCTCCGGATACACCCACTCGGGTGGTTCAACGACATTGCTCTCAGACTAGAGGTCTTCGGCTGTGACACACAACAGCTTACTTTATAGCCCAAAATGTTCAATTAATAATTGAAAAAGAAGTGGTAAACCATCTACCTGCTGCTGTTCTGCTGCTACAGTTATAGGCTACTAGACAGAAACAATGTTTTCAAAAGAACTCTTTCAAATGTGATGATGTCCTATACACTCTTTCCACACAGGATATACTGTATTGTTGTCTTTAAATGCATCTTAAAGGTGGTAAAGGCTTGCTTTTTCAGAGAAGATTTGTCCTCCCTAAACTTTATTATTGAGTCTTGATTTAAATTATGCCATGTTGAGTAAATCTAACCATTTTGAGCTGAAAACCAGCCTTAGTGTTGTTTGTTTGCTCTCATGTCATGTACTGATGTCCTGGTCTGTTGTTTTGGCTTATCTCCCCTTCCAGAAGTCCCATTAGGCTCACGTTATTATTCTTTGTCATGTTCAAGCATGCAGCATTGTTTGTATGTCCACAGACCGGGATGGTGTGACATCAGCGTTACTGGATGTCAGTCAGTGAAACAAAGAGTTTAGGCCTAATAAAACACTTGTTGTTGAGAAGTATTATCAGTGAGCCATTATCAGAGGAACTTTCCACTCTACTGCTGTTTCATTTGGAAGACACAGGGACAGGACATGCTTTTGCCCAACAGGGCACTCCAGTGTGTTCAATTCCTCAAAGGTCCAATCCAACACAATTCTACCGTGTTTCTAAATATGACAGATCCAGTTTGGATTATTGGATGCTGTTTGGTGTTGGAGTGTACTTTATAATTATAGTAAATCCTAATAATATAGTGATTAGGGTTAACCCTGCATTGTGTGTTTACGTGTGACGATATATTATAATTAACATCTACATGAATATATTCTATTTGCTCACTTCTGTATTTACTTTACAGACATACTACATGTGCATACACTTTCGAAGCGGCCTCTTCATTACACTGCAATTAGAGTTAGAGCGCCGTCTACAGGCCTTCTAGTCAACATCCTGTTTTAACTGAATGTATGTACTTATCTTTGAAAGTGTATTTATTTGAGATTTGAGATCAGTATTGACGTTATTAACCCTTTCCAAAATGTACAAAATATATTGTACTTTGTCATTTCATGTTTTAGAAGAATGAGATTTGTGGTGAAACAAGTATCATATCAAGGGTGAACAATACTAATGCCAGAGGGAGTTGAAATTGTTTAAAACTATAACTAATTACAATTGTAGCAGGACCCTGCTATGATTACAATTGCATCATATAATAATATAACTGAGATAGGAGCTTTTAGATTTGTTACATGTTTCTTTTATATTATGGTTAAACAAAACAAAAACTCCAAGTCTGTTTTTGATGAGGAACAAAGGTGTGACCTGGTTATTAGCTCAAAGAAGCGTATAACCAGGTGTGCGTCATAATACGTCTCCTTTAACCAACATTGACCTACTTTTGGACTGATTTTACATTCCAGGAAGTCTTTACTGCACTTACATGGTATAGGCCTGTATCCCAGACCATAATCCTCTGAAAACAATCCTAAGCCTGCAGCTGGGGTTTTTTCTATAATGGAGCACTGTTCAGTATTGATCCCCTACGTGCATATACAGTGAGGGAAACCAGTATTTAGTCAGCGAACAATACTTAAACATTTGAGGGAGGCCTGTAATTTTCATCACAGCTATACCTCAACTGTGAGAGTCAGAATGAGAATAAAAACAGAAAATCACATCTGATTTTTAAAGAATTTATCTTCAACTTATGGGGGAAAATAAGTATTTAGTAAATAACAAAAGTTCCTATCGATACTTTGTTGGCAGCAACAGAGCTCAAATGTTTTCTGTAAGTCTTCACATGATTGTCACACACTGTTGCTGGTATTTTGGCCCATCCCTCCGTGCAGATTCCAATGGCCAAAGTAGAGTTTGGAGTATGACTTTTTGAGGTTGTGAACATGTGTCTTTCATACTGATAAGTTCAAACAGGTGCCATTAGTACAGGTAAAGAAGGAGATACAGGTCTGAGAGAACCAGAAGTCTTGCCTGTTTTTAGGTGACCAATTACTTATTTTCCACCATAAAATGCTAATAAATTCTTCTCTCATAGTTGAGGTATACCTACGGTGGACATTACAGGCCTCCCTCATCTTTTCAAGTGGGAGAACTTGCTCATCTGGTGGCTGACTAAAAACGTATTTGCCCTACTGTGCATCTGCATGTGGGAATGTACTCAATGCAGTGAAGCGTGGGAGGCAGACCATGGTGAATGAATAGCTCCTGAGCTGAGGTAAACGAGTTCCCAGGAGTCATGCTAGGACTGTATCCCTGGATGAACTCGCTGCTGCTGTGATGATTACAACAGCAGTCGCCTGGCCGTGGACGCTGCTCGGGTCCCTGAACTTCCTATTCATCTGTAATGCCAGTTTTTGGGAGGTTTGTCTGAAGAATAATAGCGCACAAAACACCAGCCAGGAGCTGCAAAGAAAGTGGTGGACAACAAAAGTTTTGAAATTACATCTTTATTCTTGGTTTAATAGAAAAAATTGCATTTTTTTATATAGATAGGTTCAAAAGGATATGAACACAAATAAAACATCTTAAAGCAGCTTGGCCCATTTCATTTGCAACGCCATTGGCCACTCTTGGACATCACACAAGTGGGGTACAGAGGGATAAGTGAGGTCTTACAGAGCTGAGACAGATTAAAAAACAGCACAGTTCAAGTTGCTGTAACATATAAGGCAACAAGGGCTTGTGGACACAATTATGCACAAAACATGAACAACATTGCTGTAACATGAGTATGAATTTTAAGGGGATGTAATGGCTCAGGTTCAGACAGACCTTTGAGTGGTCCTGTGTCACATTATAAAAGATGTTAGGTCAGATGGTCAGAGAAATGGCATAAATCATCCTCAGTTTATAGAATGGCACACAGCACTGCGAGCCACCAGACGTTCTTTCTAAATAGAATTTGCCCCTCTGGACTTTGACCGGTGTATAAACAAAACAGCAGAAAAAAGAATGAAATATTACGCTAGCACAGAAGCGAATTATCGATTGCTCCAAATCCCAGTTAGGACTGAGTCATAACTTGAACACCAAGTGAACACTGTATTTCTAGCAGTGGTTTAGAAAAAGAAAAAAAAAGATCAGGAGAACTTAGCAGAACTCCACACAGAGGAGCTGCCTCTCTCCACTGACAGCCCTAACATGGAAACAATTAAAAATACAACAATACTACATGGGTATATGGCAGTTGTCATACAGTAATTAACTGCTTCTGTAAAATATAAACTGTAGAAAATAAAATAGAATTTTAACTGAAGAATCTTAATGCTAAAATGTGAAAGTATCAGTTACATCAAATAAAGCTATTAGAAAGACATGTATAGTACACAGTACGACAAAACCATCAACATCTGCCCATTTATTATTCTGATGATATTATAGACTTCCAGGTGAAATTACCTCAGTTTGAAGTCAGTCATTGATATTATGTGTATAGAGAGACATCTACAAACACATAATTAAAAAGGAAAAAAGAAATAATGGTAACACACAACCTCTACATCTTTAGGTACTCAAGCTTTTGGGAACTTCTTAAACAGAAATGTCATTTGTATATGTTCATGTTTTAACATGTTTTGGGCAGCCATGACCTGATGAGTGTTTGCTGAGGACCATTGTTGAGGTATGATTGTTTTCCACTGCCCTGTTCATTGTCAGTTTCCTAAGAACTACCAGTAGTGAGGTCTGTGTAACATAAGTCAGTTGTCACTGATGGCACGTTGAGCCTGAATGTTGTAGCACCTGAATTGTGAATGAATAGAACATGTTCTGCATTACCTCAACCTACACCCAAATTGTCATCAGGAACTGATACAAATATATTCTCTCTGAAGTAAACAACACACAAGATAATTCTTTTCACCCCTGCTTTGGCCTATTGTTGCACTGATAATAGGCCTTACAAACAGAGGTAAGTGTTTATCATTATTAGTGTTTTACAGACTGCAGACTGTCCTTGAGGGGAGGTAAGGATGTCACAGTGAGTGTGAAGCAGCAAATCAAACGCCTGAACGGACTCCTTTGTTACAATATATCCTGACTAATTCTTATTAGTAACTGCCCACTAAAATGTGCTAACACATCATCAATACAGTCATATTAAGTAGTGACTATGATAATGGTTGCTCAATTTCAGAAGATTGTCAATATATTGTTAAAAAAGAAGATACAAGATGCAACTAATTATGTATGCTATGTACTTAATGGGTTACTGCATAAACGTGGAACTGCATCCTTCACTATGATAAACTCTTTTTTTAAGTGTGAGCACATCACTTTTAACTGTATAAAATCATAGCTTTACAAGTTTGTGACAAAAAAACAGAAAATCAAAGTGATTACACGTAGATAAAATCTCTTCATTTAAATCCTCTTGGAGGTATTAGTTACTAAAGTTCCCACTGAAAACACATATACTCACTCTTGTGCTTATCTTGTAGAAAGGTTCTGTGTATCATATGTTAACCCTCTTTTCTTTCTAGCGCACGTACTTTCTCTACTTTTCTGAAGGTGAAAAGAAACGACCAAAAGGCCAATAAAGGTATTAGGGAGAGATGTTGTTGGACAGTGTAAAGTAGAATACAAAACATGTCTCCGGTGGAGAGGATGAACAATGCTGGTGACTGAATCCCTGTAAATACAAAATCACTGATGAGTTTCAACAGTTCCAAACCATATGAAGGCATGGTGTGTCACCTTTGTGTACTCCCAGTCAGATGTGCGTCTCCACATCCGTGTACCCAGGCAGCATGTCTCCATTGGAGCAGCTCTTGGCCTCTGTGGCGGGCAGCGGCGGTGGCAGCATGTGAGTTGTGGTGGATGTCTCATCAGCAGAAATGGTCGGCTGGTTTCTCTGGACTCTGCTCTGGACCAAAGGCACGAAGAAGAGCACCACACCACCAACCATGGGAGGGATGCCAGCCAGGGAAAAGGCCACTGTGTAGTTTCCAAAATAATCTCGCAACAGGCCTAACACAAGACATTTCATTACAAAACTTTGTCATGATGCACAGAAAAATAATCTTCCTGATGGAAAAAGAAGTGTCCAATAATATATTAATTTGACCATTATTGAGTTGCACTGAAGCTGATACTAATAGTACTGAACAGAATCCAGACAAACAGTGGCCCATTAGCCCTACAGATATTTTTGTGACATTATGTATATTGTCATGGTAAATATGATTTGGACAATTTTACTCCTTAATATTGTCCCCTGGATTGATAATCAGGTAGAACAGACCAAAACAAAATACTGTCCTCTGGTTTGTAATTCCAAACGCGTTTCAACACATCTCAACATTCATCAAAGTATTTGTACTAGGGCAGCGATCCAAATTGCACTCATGGTCGCCGCACTTTGCAATTCACAAAGGCTTTGAAAAGCTTTGAAAACAACAACAAAAGTAGCTCGTTTAGACCTCACCAAACATCTCCGGAGAAGATTTGCAGCTACTTATTTGGTATTTTTCCTCTCTCAAAGAGTGGAAGCCTTATGAGGCAAGGCAGCAATAATAATAGTGTGAGAAAACCCCACATTTTCTCCTGCTCAGCTTTTAAAACTTTGAACAGGAATTGGATTTGATCAAACCTACACAATTAATCCAGTTTTCACAATTTGTAAGCACAGTCTATGTATCAATGGGGCTACTCCCTACCACACAAAAAGGTAGAGGGAAAAACACAATTTTCTCACCAGCTATCGGTGGGCCTGCAGTCATAGGAAGAGCCATGAGTCCGAGGATGTAGCCTATAGCCTGTGAAGCCTGCATAGGTCCCACCAGCTCAAAGGCAATAGGAGCCATCATAGTGAGAAAACATCCATCACACAGTCCCAAAAACACACACACCGCGATGAGCGCTTCAAACACAAAGCACTGGGGAATGAGTATGGACATCAGGCCCAGCACGATGAAGGACACCACCTGCAACACACAACATCCTTCAAGACCATGAGCAACACTACATTTTCACTTTTCCCCTGTATTATAAAAAAAAAACACACACACACACACAAAACAGTGTATTGTTTAACTGATACAATGATAGCTTTCTTGTACATCATTAAATGCAGCTGCAATAAGTACATGTGTATTTTCTTCAAACGTTTTTCTCCAGAATAATTCAGAGTTTTCAATCTAACAAAGACAAGCTCTTATCCAAGCTCTTGTGTGCTGTAGTGAACTTGGAAGGACATTTGCATGCCCAATTACCTGTTAAAATAAGCCATACTAAGGACAAACATGCTTTGAAAACACACTCCCTTCTCATAAAGAGACATTTCTGAGAATGTATGCAAATTAAACTAAAGCTTGAGGACATTCTGAGGAAATTCTCAGACATGTGTTTTGTATTATGTACATTTAGAGTACATTTTGTTCTGAACATTTTGAAAACTGATGTGTATTGTATGTTTTTTAAATTAACTCATAGCTCTTTTGTGCCTTTCTACTCGGCCTGGGAAATATGTTGGATCTCTTCGTATGCCATAAATACCTACATTTTCTGTGGAACAAATGATTTCCTTTTACTTTACCTGCTACACTACATGTATTTCACATAAGCCATATAATGTTCTACTACAGCATAATTGATGCTTTTAGACAGCAGTGGTTGACATACTGACATGTAATGTCTCTCTACTTATATGCGCACTCAGGTACTGCACACATTTCCACTGTTTCCCCAAACAAAAATAAAGAAATAATCGTTGGAATTTCATTTTTTATATAATCCAAAAATTCAAATGATTGTCCTTCACCTGCATGTATATTTTCTTTAGACCCGGTATGTGGTCTCCGATCTTTCCAAACACCAGGCGACCCACTCCCGACGAAGCTCCGATGCACACCAGAAGAACCCATTCCTTATTAGTGCCTTTAAACTGCTCCTTCACAAAATTCATCTAAATAAAAGAGATCAAAATATTACTGTTCTGGGGAATGGTTACCATAATAAATACTTTCATTTCTTTATTTCTTTTAAAAATAAGTCAACCTGAAATATGCAATGTAAATAAGTCATGTGCTCTCTGATGTTTTCCTGGATATTTGGCCTGATAGATATACTGTATTTGCTCTGCTTTGAAGGGCTCTACTTTCTTCAATGTCCATAGGATCGGCATGTTTAGGGACATAAAGTTATAGGAGAGATTTCCTGAGGTGAACAATTCAAAAGCCGGAACAGTGTTTTCATCTGGGCCGCAGCCTGAAATAACAGGTCTGACGGAGGGAGGCCTGAGTGGGAACATCCGACATCTGGATGGATGGAGATCAACTTTACTCATAAGACAGAAACAGTCCTACAACTCTTTCCTCACCATTATATCAACTCTTTCAATTTGTGAAAATCCTTCTATATATTTAAGTTACTTACCAGATGGACATAAGGTACAAAGTATCCCAGAACAGCAGTGGCCACTCCAAATGCCCACACTCTGTATGTGATGATGTGAAAGACCCGCAGATTGAAGTACTTTCTGACTCTGTTGACAGTTTTGCTCCACCTGCTTGTATCCTGTGCATTAGTCCCAGGCAGTGTCTGCTCTGGACACATGCCAGGGGGCCCCATGGATCCTCCAGCAGGCAGCAAAGGCTTGAAGGTCAATGCAAGCAAAGCCTGCACAAGCATGAAGACGCTTAATATTTGAAATGTCTTGGCCAGGCCCAGAGGAATAGCAACCTTGTCCAGTAACACTGGGAGGCCCATGGAAAAGAGGCTGGCACCAGCAGTTACCACTCCATTGACCAGTCCTAATCGCTGGCGGAAGTAGTGACCCAGGATGACCAGAGATGGCTGGAACGCAAAGGAGGAACCGCATCCAAACAGTATGCCATAGGTAAAATAACGAAGAATCAGTGAGCTGCGAAAGAGATGGTGAACACACAATAGTTAGGACATTATTGTTTATATGAACAACAACATAATACATACTTTGCAAATGATGTACTTAGTAGCCCTATGAACGCCAGCAAAGCACCACTGACCGCCGTCTTCCTGCAGCCAAACGAGTCTGTAAACATACTGACCACTGGTGAACACAGGAAGATCATCCCCATGGCCAAGGCTCCAACCCACGCTGTAGACAACCAGAGAAACAAATCATCAGTGCGATGCACAACAGCATTTTTATTTTACTCAATACATTTGTGTAAACCTCCATTATTTCAAAACACCATAATTTTCAGACTATATGCCTTTTTGCTAGTTTCTTGAGCCTTGCAGCTTATATGGCCATCAGTGAGAGCGGGTCCTGGGTCAAAAGTGGCCAAAATGACGTGCGCTGACTAGGGGTGGGCGATATATATTGTATACGATAATATCGCGAAAGTGAATTTGATGACATGCTTTTTTGTAATATTGTTTTGCAATATTTTTTTATTTTTTATTTTTACATATCTCCAATACATCTTTTACTTAGAGCAGGCAAGATGCCCATTCGTCAAATGCGTGCCTAAAGTCCAATCACTGCTGTGTTTGTACTGAAAGCCTATGCGACAAACACTCATCTTTACGTCTGCACCTGAACGCCTCACCATGTGAATGGTGCGCGTTCACAACACAGACCGCGTGGTGCCATAGACGCTGCTTTGACATGCAGGGACACCGTGAAACGGAGGAAAAGACTTTGTACATTGTCTGTGCGTTTTTATGACCCAAGAAGGAAGTTCCTGTAGTTGTTGTGATCTTTAGAAGAGTCTGGGAAGAAAGATTTACGTTGTGTAGTTTGTCATTATTTGTAAAAGAGTTTTCCTGATCTGTGTTTGTCTGCAGCTAATTAAGGTAACTAACTATGCTATTATTATTTGTCATATTTTCTTCCCTGCACCTTTGTAATGTTAGTTTCCATTTGAGCTACCTCTGTTTGTGGTTTACATAACTTATTTGCGTATTTTATGTCAACTTTAAGACCTTAAAGGGGACACATGTTGGATTTTTAAGTTATTCATTTTATGACTTATTTTAGTTCCTACTAGCCCAGACACATACTCTATGGATTTTTTAATGTGTTATTTGCTATAGAATAATTATTATTAATACTGTTTTTCTTTGTCTATTTCTGTTTCCTTAGCCACACACAATTGCACACTCAACAACAATACCATGTACAAACTGTGATCACCTGCCAAACCTGCCATAAAGCTGATTATAGATTCTCTAACCGGAGTCTGTCGATAGTGTCCCCAACCATAAAAGAACCTCTCCATTCTTCAGTGTGAAGAATTTGTTTTTAATGTTAATATATGTTTGTGCATGTTTTGCAAAGATGTGTGAAGCACTTTACAAATAATAAGCTGCTATTATAGAGACCCTGGTAAGAAAAATATTGCAGATCATTTTGTGTAAAAATGATTTTAAAGATATCGTGACAATATCGTTATCGTGAGTTGGGGAAAAAATATCGAGATATTTATTTTTTCCCATATCGCCCACCCCTAGCGCTGACATGCTTGCAATACCCTTCCGGGCCGATGGGGGTGGACCCTGAATGAGATGTTAACATACTGTATTAGCATTAGCTGACCTCTCGAAAACGTCTTTACAGGATGGTCCAAAAGTTGGCTCTTGGCCTAAAGCTCCGTTCCACATGTGTGTCAATGCTGAGGGGAGGGAGTTTTTTTGGACCAGTCTAGTTTAGTCGCTGTGAATTTTTGACGCATGCGCAGATGCGTTTATTCACATTTTCCAGTTTTGGCATATTAGGTAGAACGGCGGAGATAGGCTGACTACATCTGTTAATATTTACGGTCTATGATGGCTATGCAGTTTTTATTGTCAGAGCAGAGTTTATAGACTCAATCCATTTTTAGTAGCTATTGTACACTTGTTTATTGTAAAAAATAGATGTGAATAATAATGATATATCAACAACTATAATAATAATAACAACAATAATAAATGTGAAAAGAGAGGTAAATGAGTCCCGGCATGGAAGCTAACAATTAAACTGTTTCACCTAGTCATGAAATCATCTGCTACATTTCAACACATTCAACACATTTCAACATGAAAACTTAATATTCAAGTACAGCCTAAATGTGGATAAAAGTGTTCTCATAGGATAAAAGGCAACGGAATAACATCCCTTTGACGAGAAGGACATAGAAAAAATGCACATCTAGTGATGTTTAAAGGAAATTGCAAAACATATGGATTTTATTAACATCTTGAGTAAACAGTTGTTTTTAGCAACACCCTTGAGGTACACTCTTTCGCAGTATCCTTGAAGGATCCAAGTGGTCAACAAGACATAAAGCAATGGGAACCGAAGCACTGTACTAAAAAAGTATCCTGTGTCTTGTAAAAAATACAAAATAAACTAAATAATTTAATTTAATTTTGATATTAGGTAAACTGAAATGCATTTCAGAAAATTAATCAAACAAAAAACTAATTGCTAGCCCTACAAATGATGTATAATGTTTCAGCTGTATCACTTCTACTGTGCGTCCCAACTTAACCACAAGTACAAACTCTGTGTTCAAAAAAAAGACAACAAACAAGCGTGTCCTGTCCTCTAGAGCAAAGGTAACTGGCTCCATTCTACACACTAGGTCATGCACTAATCGAATGTTCAGATGACACCAGGGACATGACGAGGTATAGATGCCCTCATGTAGCTGCATGTACATGACAAAGTCTATGGGCAGTGGACCACACACACATGTGCGGTAGGGCTTTTGTTGTGGCTATTTGAACAATGTGTTCTGCCAGTAATGGCCTGTGCATCAGAGAGGACAGAACACACTGTGCTTCTCTGTATTTGTATAGATTGAAGGGTGTAGTCCCAGGATTCTATAGTTTATTCAAATGGAACAAAAAGAGGAAATCTCTTAAGATATACTTTATGGACAAAACAGGTGCTTCCCAACATTTGGCGTCCTCCTAAAATAGCAGCTTACACCTATTGACAAAAGTAAATGCCAACCCAATGGCTGATAAGATTAACCTCATTTTCCCAGTATCCATTGGAGTCTAAACTTTTCTGATGGTGTTTGCTACCTGCTTGTTCATTGCTTTGAATCTACCTTGTACATAATTTGACTTGTTTTAGATGTTTTGGTTTTTTAGTTACATACCTGCACATTTTTAATACAAGTTAAAAACCTAACTTTGTTAATTGGGTCAGCTCTCCTCTCCATACGACCTGTGGCTTAACCTAGTGAAGTCACTTTTTAATTAATATCATCCATCGTATCACAGGACATTACTTGAAAAGAAGGTATATTCCACATTTACCACATAAGATGATGTTATCAAAATACAAAAACATTAGTATTTCTTTGTTAGCAAAATCAAAAAATTAATAACACAATTAGATCACATATTTGGGCTATAAACAAATAGCCCTTAGCTTTTGGCCCCTGATGACTTATTTACTCTCATTAAATAAATCCAATTTCAAATCCAGTGTTTTCCCTGATAACCTGTAAAATGATTTATGGCTCCAACAATTATTAGCAAATAATTGAGTTCTTTCATTAATCAATTAGTTTAGTAATTGAGTCATTTCTAATTTCTCTATTTACAGACTCCCACACATGTAGGTGCTGTGAGTTGGGATGTTAAGGCTCAAACAGAGCAGCAAACAATTACAAAAACTAAACAATAAATGCATATATGTCCCAATTTAAGGTCTAGAAATATGAGCTCAAATTTCCTCTAGTGATTTCCCTTTCTGTGTCAAATTTAGAAGCAAATCAAAGCAAATCTGTGTTCTAAACAACTACAGTAAATAACCAATCGAATTACATACAATTGTATAAAACATTTTCAAAAGTAGTTTCTCTTTGTAAAAACACACATTTCAAATCAAACCAAAATGTTTTTCCAAAATCATGCATGGTACTTGACAAAATCATACATGATGGGGAGAAGTGTGGACTCTGTGGGAGCTGTGCTGGAGAGAAGGATGAGGGCTCTAATGCAGGGCATCCTGGGTAACTCCAGACACGCTCTGCGCGACACTATGGCCGCTCAGAGTAATCGAAGCTACAGGCTCCTATCACTACGCTGCCGAATGGAACGTTTCAAGAGATCCTTCGTTCCTTCGGCTGTCAGACTGTACAACAAACCTGACTGACTGTCAGACTGTACAAACAACAAAAAAGAGTCTTCTGCTGCTGGACACCTGAATTTCTCCTACGTAGGATCTATCTGCTAAGCCACCAGGGCTTGTTTTAGTAACTTTAATGGACACAGATTCAAAGGGCAGAGGAATACTTCAGTGTTGACAAAATTGTTAAAACAAAATGTGAACAGGGAGTGATAGAACTACTACTATGGCAATACGGCAACATTCGTGGTATTGTGTTCAGAAATACAACAATAGCAATACGAGAAAACCGGAGGTACAAGCCATTAGGTGAGGGCCATGTGGAAATGAAAGGATGTGACAATTTGTGATTATGTCCAAACATTTAACAAACTAGTTAAACTGCAGGCTTCTCAATATGCGAGTTGTTATCAACACATAACAATGAAGATGATCAATGTGAACGCTTGCTTTTGCTGCTCATCTATGGTAAGCCTTATAAATATGATGAAATGAATGTAATTTGTAGAAATTACATGAGCGAGAAAAATAGTGCCTTTGTTGAAATCTCTTATAGTGGTATCAGAAAATGTGTTTAATATCATATTTATTAAGTAGCAAGTACATTTGTGCATCCTGTTGTTCACTGTTACAATTCATTCAGTGTTTCCACTCTGGGACAGCCTTCAGAAGGGTGGAATGTGAACAATGTCAAAGCGCAGCGAAGCTTGTGTCGATTATACAGTATGTACAGCATTTAAAAAAGTGTTGTTTTTTTTATCTCTTCTCTCCTTCTGATGTATACAGACATTTTAAGCATGTAAATTGAGAATAAATCAGACAAATCTTTTTCTGCTTGATTACAGTTTTTGATCATGTACCAGAAGTCTGGCATTTCAATGCATGTGCATAGACATTATGTCACAATATTGTCATGAAAGCAGAATAAAGGACTGCAAAAATACAAAGTTCAAGACACAAAACACTAAATCCATCAAACCAGGAAGATAACACAACGAGCCAACAACATGGTTTAAATACACACAGGGGGACACAGGTGAAATGGGTGGCAATAAACTGAGCAGACAGGAAGTGAAAAACACAAATGTATCAAATAAACCCAAGTAAAAGTTGTAAAAATGTCCACATTGTGACAGATATGTTGTCCTCATCATTGTATTTTCAAAAATCGACATGTATTATGTACTTGATAGAATAAAGTGGCCCGGGGTGGGAAAACCTTTTCATTTTACACTGACAAATTATATGTCAATTCCAGCATATGAGAAGGAAAACATCATGCTAGTCTATAAGCCTATTGAGATTTGGAATAGGTCTAGCAGCAATGCCCTCCTCATTTTGATGTTTAAAGCTTTATATATCAAGCTAAATGTCCCAAGATAAACTTAACTCAAGAAGGATAACCCTAGTCACATGCTGCCCTGTTTTCTGTGGGAACTAAAGAAATGCACGCAGAATTAAAGAATGTACCAACAGAAGGAGTGAGACTTCTGATCACAATGTCAGAGAAAAGACACGGATTACAGAGATTATCAGAAAAATGGCAACTATATTGTTTTCAATAATGATATTAATAATTGAAAACATGGTACCAGGGGGTTCCCAAACTAGAACATCCAAAAAAAAACATGGAACAGATAGCCCTAATATAAATAACATGTTACAAAAAAATATCTTGAAATAATCTAGATTTTGTTAAGGCTTCACGGCCCTGTTACTCTAGAAAGATGTATCACGGCTGGTACTTGAGCTCCTCCAGATGGAACATGGAATCCCATGCAGTTCAATCATTTGCAGATGTTATAATTATTTACCATTAGAAATAAATAGTATCATTTGACTTTAGGGTTAAGTCAAATAACCCTAAAGTAGGATTATTTGGGTAGAGTTATTTGGATTATTTGAGTAGGGTTATTTGACTTGTTTTAAACATAGATTAAATAGTATTACTTGGCAAAGATAGGGTGCAGGTACTTAAGGCGCTGTGTATCTTCGTTGTGTCTAAATGTTTTAGAACAACTTTTCTATATTCATGAAACTTCTCTGGACATTCATCAGTAAAGAATGCATCATAGTGAGCAACAGCAGTGCACTATTCGGCCATCTCATTCTGTGACAAATATGCTCTTGAACTAGGACATCATGACATAGTGTATTACTCCGTAATCAATTATTTACTACATGGCAAACGCGTGTTATTTACAATAGGGATCTGCAGTAGGAATTACTGCAATTCAGATTGAGGAAATTCATTCCGTGTACTCACCAACTTTGAAGTGGGAAGTCTTGTCCTCTGTATCCGCATGTTCCTTCACTAACATCAAGTGAAGGATGCCAAAGGAGTTTTGAATCCCAAAAATGGACCCGTTGCACCATGTGGCTGCAAAGACCACCAGCCAGCCGTAGCCTCCTTCAGGTGGGACGAAGCCTGCCCCGGGCCCCTTCCCCTGCACCTGGGGTCCGGGCTCAGAGTCTGCAGGCGTGGGGGAGATGGGAGGTTTGCAGCCGGCCTCTATGAGCTGCGAGGAGCTGTCATCGTGGCTCATTTTGCCTTCGCTCACTGCTGCTGCCTCCGTCTTATCAGGAGTATGGGACGCATCCTGGTCCTGCGCTTGAAGATCCTCAGACGGCTGGCCCTGATCGTCTAGTCCGTTGGTTCCCATGTTGTCTGCTCCGCTGTTGAGGTAACTGTGCGCTCTGGACAATAGTGCATGGGATTTAGGTCACTGCAAACGCGCGGAGATTGTACAACAGATAATGCAGACCATGGACGCACTTGGGCAAACCTCCTATGCGCTGCAGGAAACGTGCCTTTGATCGCCAACTTCACCGCAGGTTTTCATTCTTTTCCTGAGTGCTGCCGTTTACCTGCTCCACAAACTCAATATAGTCTATATCCGCCTGTAACGCACATGCTATTCTATACTTGGCTGTAGCGTGCTATATATACAGCCATGCCACAGTTGTGCCAATCCAACACCTTTGTAAGGTTCCCCTTCGCAGCGTCCAGTTTCAACAGACTCTCAGCTCGACTCGCAACATCTTCAAGAGCATCTACCTCTTTCGTGGTCTTCTGCTTTGCAATACCATCAGGATGACAGAAAAGTAGGCCGTGCGATTGTGTAGCGCTGTGTCTTTAAGCCTCAACAGAAAAAACACATCGGCCCCTGAGCTGCGGCGCCTCCTCTCAGTGGTGACGGGGCCCGGTCAGACCAATGGGAAGGCGCTCGGATTTGTACATCATTTCATATACATATATATGTATACATACATACATATATATATATATATATATATATATATATATATATATATATATATATATATATATATATATATATATATATATATATATATATATATATATATATATATATATATATATATATATATATAAAATTATATGTACACCCTATGTTTACAACAAAGTTTATTTCGGTCACTTGTTCAATTGTACACATTGTAAAAGAACACTAAATAATAGCAAGAAAGACCGAAAATGAGTAGGCAGAAGCTATGCTTGTTCTGCCTACCCTTTTTTATAAGTGAATGTAAGCATTAATATTTGTAGATTTGTAAACAGTGTATTGTTGGCTCGTTGTAAGATGATAATGTAATCGCTCTTATTGCCATTCCTTCATTATATTATATTATATGCTATAATATATTATTCATTATATTATATTATATATTATATTATATGCCTTCATTATTGCATTAACAACTTTTTGGGGGGTTAGTGTTAGGGTCAAGAGAAAATCTCCATATTTGGAATACTTTTGCATTTTATCTTGACGTTTTTCCTTATTTCTATCAATAATATTGGCTAATGTTATATAAAACAGTGGCCCAACAGTTTCAAATACTTAAAGTAGATTTAAATTATGCTCCTATTTTTGCAATGAAAAGATTTTGGTGTCTATTCAACAAAAAGTGCATCTATTTTTGTAAGTTCTGACTAGTTCTGATTAGCATGGGAACTGGTGTGTTCCCGTGCTCTCTTAAACATGCTGTTGTGGAGCCTCAATTAAAGAAACCCAGCCTGGACCCTACAGATCTTCAGAACTTTAGGCCCATATCAAAGATCCCGTTCTTGGCCAAAGTCCTGGAGAAGCTGGCCTACAACCAATTATCAGCGTTCTTGGAGGCTAATAATATTTTTGACTCCTTTCAGTCTGGTTTCAGGAGGTTCCACTCCACTGAAACAGCTTTACTGAAGGTGTCTAGTGACGTCATGATGGCTGCTGACTCCGGTAAATGTTCCGTCCTGGTCCTGTTAGACCTGTCGTCTGCCTTTGACATGGTGGACCATGGTATCTTGATCTCTAGACTCCGGGATGTGGTTGGTATGTCAGGCTCTGTGTTAGAGTGGTTTAGATCATACCTTACAGGTAGAACCTTTTGTGTGTCTTCAAACAATGTGGTGTCTGAATCCGCAGACCTACAGTGGGGTGTACCCCAAGGCTCCGTTCTTGGGCCTATTTTATTTATGTTGTACCTGCTCCCGCTAGGAAAGCTGATCCAGCAGTTCAGTGAGGTCTCCTACCACCTGTATGCTGACGATCTCCAGCTGTACTGCTCTTTTAAGCCCTCTGAGCCCCAGAGACTGGTTGCTCTCACTAACTGTCTGGACAAAATAAAGATATGGCTTAGTGAAAATAGCCTCCAGCTGAACTCCAGTAAAACAGAAACCTTAGTGTTAGCCCCGGACAGTATTGTTTCTGTTATTGCTCAGCACCTTGGTGACCTAAGTAGCTCAGTAAAAAAGAGTGTGAGGAACCCGGGAGTCACTTTTGATGGAGGGATGTCCCTAGAACGACACACCAAACAGCTGACCCGAAACTGCAATTTCCACTTGCGCAACATCTCTAAGCTCAGACAAATGGTCTCGGGTCCGGAGCTGGAGATGATTGTCCACGCTTTTGTTTCCTCGCGATTGGACTACTGTAACAGTCTGCTTACATGTCTTAGTAAAAAAGACCTGGCTCGTTTACAGGTCGTTCAAAATTCTGCTGCAAGGCTTTTGACCCGCACCCACAGGAGAGCCCACATTACCCCTGTCTTGAAGGCCTTACACTGGCTCCCTGTCTCACACAGAATACATTTTAAAATTCTGGTGTTGACATTTAGGGCCCTTCATGGTCAGGCGCCTGAATACATCCAGGGCCTGATCCACCCTTATGTCTCCAACAGGAGCCTGAGGTCCTCTACTCAGAACCTGTTGATGGTCCCCCGGACTCATTTCAAAACCAGAGGAGACAGATCCTTCCAGGCAGTTGCTCCTCGCCTTTGGAATGAGCTTCCTCAGTCTCTGCGTATTGTAGAGACTGTTGATGATTTTAAGTCCCAACTAAAGACACATTTGTTTGGACAGGCTTTCTCGCACCATTGTTCATAGGCCTCTGTGAATGTAAATTGTGTTTTCTGTGTTTGTTTTATCTGACTTGTATGTGTATTTTGTATTTTAATGTGTGAAGCGCTTTGTGACCCTGGTCTGTGAAAGGCGCTATACAAATAAACTTTACTTACTTACTTACTTACTTACTTAGTTATGCTTCACTGCTTGGACAAGAGCTTAGGAACATTTATCTAAATATCTATTTGTCAATTTATTTCAGAAGAGCGTCACTGCATTTGTTGTCCTTTGTATCTACTTTGTTGGTAAATCAAATAATCATTTATTTAAAAGCTTGTCAACTATTTCAGATTTATATTTTGTTTACCTGAGATAAACATGCTGAAAAGAGGTTTTAGGATAATTCAATAATGGCTGCAGAAATAAATGGTGTTTCCCAAGTATTTCTAATAAAACACAATGTTTAATAACAAGTTATCACTGTGAAGATCTCCAGGGGAAACATTACTTGAGCTTTGTTCAGCTCAAATGTACTTTCTATCCTTTCTGGATCAAAAACTGATTGATTTACAGAAAGAATAATTATCAAACTCATCAATCATGAAATTAACCCTTAATTACAGCACTAATTTGATCAAATAGTTTCACGTAATTAAAATCCCTGACGTCTGACTCCATTTCGTTTACAGCTCTTTCAACACATTTATTCTTATCTTTGTTTTTCTGTTCCTTCTATAATATTTCTAAAAACACATGTTTGGTGGACTACTTAAGTTGAACATTTATCTTGTATGTTCCCAATATGATCCACGACATTTTAATGCAAATTTCAGCTTTAACTGTTTTGATTCAATATGTTACAATCAAACAGTAGATGGCGCTGCAGCACAAGAGGATGTCTACGGGCCATGATCTGTAGTTTATAGTTAGAAAAAAATTACTTTATTATGAAACTTCAGGTATTTGGCATCATCTATAACATATTAATGTACATACAATGTTTGTAGTTTTTCTGTTAAAACTTGGATTTAAAAAAATAATAATAGCATATTTATATATCTAGTAATATTGTTTAATAATTTGTAGCTCCACATGTGAGGGAGGGGTGAGGGCCACCTGAGAGTGGGGTGAGTTATTATTGATTCGTGGGTGAGGTCCACATGTGAGGGAGGGGTAAGGGCCCGAAAGATAAAATATTTAAGCTAATGTCAGAAGTATTAATTGTGCTATTTATAGATATTTATCTTTGTGTGCCCCTTATTCTTACTGTCCTGCAACACTTCTCTCTGTTGAGGAGGACCCTGATTTTGAGGAATTCTCATCTGATGAGAATGAGCGTGTTGACCCTCCTGTTATCAGTAGACACAATCTCTTCCAAAAAAGGAAAGATAATGGTCTCTTTCCTCACTGAAACAGAAGGGTAGACTTAGCGCTACTAATATTATCAAAATGGTTCCAGGACCCACCAGATATGCAACCCGCTCTGTTGATGACATAAAGACATCATCTTTCAAGCTCTTCGTGACACCATCAATCAAAATATTGTTCTTGGGATGATGCATGTGTATGGGGGCAGTTCAAAAGACTTCGGAGTGGTTGACTTGGAAGCCTGCATTGGCTTGATAACTTTAGCCACATTATTATCATTATTATCACAAAAAATTGATAAAAATAAGTGAATATTTATGTTTATGAGAGGAAAGGGAGGGTCAACAACTTAAATCCACATGGTTCATTCTGTGAGAGTCATAAAAGCTCTAAACTTCAAGATTGGACCTGATGGTGGCGCTACAGGAAAGGTCACATCCATCGTCATCAAAACCAGACTTGTGGTCATTAATTTTGAGAAGTAAATTTGAGAAGATTTGCATGAAAATTTCAAGATAAATTAGTTTGGCCTAATGGTGGTCAACTCACTTATTTTCAAGGGGTTATTTATGTATTCAACCGATAAACAAAGTGCCTGTTACAAAAACTTTGTTAACAATATTCAGTATTATTTTTTTCTGGAGGTAAATATTCCTGGGGTCAGATTGACCTCGAGGACCAAATATGTCATTATATTGAGGACAATAGGAGGGTTAAAAAAGAAAACAATCACTGTTGGATTGTCTTTCAATAGAACGTTTATACTTAAAATAATACCATTGTTGTGGGAACTAATCCAAATATTTCACCTGAAAGCCTATTTTCCCTAACTATTTTCAATACAATACCCATCCATCCATCCATTTTCTACCCTTTAATCCATTTCTGGGTCAGGTCTCATAGCACCAGCCCCTCACTGGCCCTCTGCAGGTGGTGAGTCCACAGGAGAACGGCTGCTCTCTGAGTGTGAGCATAGCCTTGATCTTTCAGTGGGGGCTTTGGGCAAAGTGGGGTTAAGTGTCTTTATTCTTGTATAGTCCTAAATCACAACAGCAGTCATCTCAGAGGACTTAACAAAACCATCGAAATCACCAACACAGATCAGAGAATCAACAGATCAGACACAGAAAATGCACATATGAATTGGTCCACATGGAGAGATCACTGTCCATAAATATTGTACAATGTGAAATTGTCCTGGATCATCACCACAGTCCTTCTTGATAGACACCAACTACCCAACAGACCCTCCTGCATCGGCAAGGAAAAACTCTAAAACCCAGTAGGAGAAAAGTGAGAAACCTCGGGGAGATCCACATTGAGAAAGGGATCCGCTCCACACGGACTTACGGGCTATAGATCCAGGACCTAAGCTACAGAACAAGGACCAGGGCCACACCACTCTTTGTGATTAATGAACAATTCCCACTGGTCTTTTCTGATTTAAGCGGCTTCCCTGTAAAAACTCAGACTGGTCACCATGCGAATGCAAACTCATCACGTCTGTTTTTAGTTCTGATGAGATGTTGAATCAGCTCTACTGTTTATTGTGAAGTATTTATAACTGCTCACACAGAACAGGTCAAATTACACAAACCCCATATTACATTATGGTAAAGCTAAGGAAGAAAGTTTTGGCATTTTGTCAATACTATTGCTTCCTGTTTGAATTGGAATTCTTCAAATCCTCTGAGAGGTGTGGGTACGGAGGAATGAGTGTCTGTGTAACATTAGTGGTATGTCAAGAGGCCCACACATAATGGGGGTCTTTGAAATGTCGTAATGCTTTTGGTAATTACAAGTGTGAGAAGACCACCATCTGAATGAGATTACTATCCGCTTGAACAAAGTGAAATTAAGTAAATACCCCTAGGTACGAAGATATATAAAAAGATCATAGAGTGGTATTTAGCAGTGCAGATTTTCTTGTTATGTATGTAACTTCTATCTCCAAACTTATATCTATGATGGGCAATGTGTAGAAATCACTAAGTACTGTGATCAGTTAGTAGCACAAAGCGTGATTTAAACAGACCTGGGGTTCTTATTAGATCCTTCCACGCTGAACTTCCGGCACAAAGATGTAACCCGCCCTTTCTGTGTAAAAGCAAATTAGCAAATTAGTTATGATAATGTCTCAGGTGAAATTACATTCTTTCCCATCACATATAGCTGTGTTTTCAGCAGGTTCGTTTTGAATTGGAGAAAACACACATTTCAAGTGCTCCCTCTTGTGTTGGCATAATATTTCACATTCTAAAACAGTATATGTAATTATCAACTCGTTATCGCTGACGTCCAAAGATTATTGGATAATTCTTCAAGTGTTTCGAAGAAAATATATCAGTAATCATATGAGATCAAACCCCACCTGAGCCATAAACCAGGGAGCTGCAGCTTTTGATCCATTTATTGAATATTACCTTTGATTAATTGATTACAGTAGTTTATTAACTTATTTCGTAATGACACAACATACTGCTTATTTTAGTTAGTTCACAATGGGCCTTAAAACAACATTTAAAATCAAATTGTAATCGTAGCTTTTTTAATAAAATTATTAAATTCAATAAATGGCTCTAGCCCTAGCCATAACAATCACCATAGCCCCACCTGAGCTGCCTGCGTCACTTGTGAAGAAACTTCTTATCCTGGAAGTGCAGATCTAGAATGATAAAAAGTGTCTGGTGAGTCAGGTTCATGTTCAAACAGGAAGCAAGACACAACAAAATGTGGATTGTAACTGGAATTTCTCCAGTTTTTGAGACGAATAAATATTTATCAGTAATATAAACAGCGGCATGGAATCTTATTTATTTAGCCCCGTCTTTGTTCCTTGACACTTAATTTGCCTCTACATTGTAGGCTTAAGAAATTGAGTAATGCCTTCGTCCTTTCAATGCATTTCTTTTGAGCAATGGTCCTGAACTGTGTCTTGAGATAAGTCACGGCCCGCGGCACCTTGTTTCAGCTTGTGCAAAGCCCTCCCATTGACAGAAATGAAACAGTGTGGAGGAGAATACTTTGAGCATGTATTTGTTACAGAATACTTTATCTGCTTTAAAACGTATTTTGTAACTTTGGACCGTGACATGATCCAATTAGAGTACTGTATTCTGAATACTTGGAATACTTTCACAATAATTTGCAAAGTATTAAAATGTTTTCAAAATGTTAAAACAACCTTTGGGTTTGCAAAATTGTATAAATGTTTAGTTATTGTAAATTAGAAAAGGATAAAGCAAACTCAAACACATGTTTTCATTAGTTTGTATGTATTATCTTAATGATCAAATACTGAAATGTATCTCTTGTATAGTCTGTATTCTTCCTGGTACATGTATTCTGTTCTCCCCAACAATCTAAACAGATCAATGGAAGGTACATAAAAAGGTCTGGGTTGTGACAATATTTTTCTATTTCCAATTGTTCAGATGTTATTTTTATCATATAAATTGTGTTTCTCTTTCTAGTGTATCAGTTGTTGGTGGGAAAATCTGTTGCGAGCCTATTGAATTAGTGTTGGTTACATAAAAAGTAACCGTCACAATGTCTGGTTTTTAATTACATTTCAAAGATTGAATGCAGATGGAGAGAGAACATAATTTTCCGATAGTCCCAAGCAAATGGCATTCCTTATTTGATATATACGTCTTTTCAAGTTTAAACTAGAAATGACCCAGACTATGCACGTATTATGTACACACCCAACATTATGTACACAAGTCTTAAGTATGTAACTTTTATTGGGTCTGACCAGATGTAGTTTCAATCAGGCACTCGTGGGAAAGAGAGGTGGTTGAGGCACATTTTACAGGAAATTCATTGGCCTAAAGCAGTCTGTGAGAAGTGAGTAGATAAAAATGTGCCTGTTTAGCCCCATAAAAGAATGGGGTAACACAAAGCCCCTATTGCACCACACAAACAAGCACAGTGAAGGTTTCAGGATTTGTGATAAACTTGTGCGCACCTCCCCCACTTAAAGGGGCACAAAAATACACATTGACCCTATGTCCAACACCTGAAAACTATTCAGGAAGTATTTAACATTCTCAGGGGGAAAGTAATCAAAAACAGACAACTGAGATCACACACACACACACATTTTCCACATGCACAAGCCTGCCTCCCACTGATGCTTAAGTTTCTCCAATAATGCTGAGTTACCCTGGGGCACAAGATGTACGCCTCTGTATAAACACAATCAGTCTCCAGAAATTCTGACAAACAAATAAAATCCTTCACAAATGTTTGGTTGGCTGGGCTGATGGGAGTGAGTGGCGATGAAGAAAAAGAATGGAGTGGGCCTATTAAAAAGCAGGGGAGGGAGGGGGTGTGGAGGAGGAGAGTCGGAGTAAAACAACACAAGTCGACTGAGAAACTGAGACAGAAAGGAGACAGCAAAGGAGCACACAAGGACTTTGAATCTACTACGACCCCAACCACAGAGCAGGTAAAGACTTTTGAGCACTTTTCAGAACTTACTGCATGATAATCTGACACTGGTACTCTGACTGCTGGTCTGCTGGTCACATGCGACCACCCCAGGAAACTTTGAGCCATCTCTGTGGGACTCAATAGCTTATTTAGTTTATGTATAGAATATGCTGTGGTTTATTTCGTTTATGTTCCAGTCGTTAGGGGACGTTTCATTCATGTTGGGTTCCCACACAGCAGACTGGCTGCCTGCCAAAAATGTGAGGTGCTGTTTCAGCCACCCCAACAGAAGACAAGAATCTCCCAGCAGTCTGGGTTTATTTATGTGGACAAAACAAGGGACAACACACAATAAGGATAAGGACTAAGCAGCTTTGACAAGCTTATACCAGTTTGTATAGGTATATGCTCACTTCAAATAACTAAACTATGCACCCGGAGAGCACATACCCCGCCAAGGCCACGGATCATCCCGTAATTTGAATGGGGTCTTCCGACAGTCACATCCCAGCCACGCAGCAAATTTCAGATTAAACCGTCTTGTTGGTTTTTGCCACCAGACATGGGGTAATAAAAGTGTTGTTAGTACATTTGATCACATTTCCATTAAAATTCTTATTGTTATCAGATTTCTAAATTAAATGCCATTTATTACCAAGATCTGCCAATAATTAACCAACGCTGCCCAACATATACTGCCTTTGTATTCATATAAATATTACAGGAGAAAGGAATGTGTTTCTGTCAATTGTTTCATTTGACAAATCAAGGTTTTCAAAGTCTCCTATATAGTTCTAACCATCTTTTGGACTGTCCACAATCTCTTCTAATGGACACAGACTCTGGAATGCTTTTCCCAGTGAACTAGAATTACAGATCCACTTAACTTCATTAACAGACGGCTGAAATAAGCAGTTGGACAGATGTATGTAAATTATTATTAATTTATATTTTTATCTATTGCCCCCTGAAAATATTGAAAGTTCTGATTTTGTTTTCTATGAAGAATGTATAGTTAAATTAATGAAACAAATAATTAGGATGTGTATAGTCTCATCTATAAATGAGGTTTCCTCCTGGTACTCCGGTTTCCCCCGCCTCACGGAAGGCGCACAATATGCGCCTTCTGTGTGGCGACCCCGCTCCCATGTGTGAAGTGAGAGACAAATGCACACAACTTCCTCACAATTGTAAAACGCTTTGTGACTCTGGTCTGTGAAAGGCCTGATATAAATTAAGATTACTTACTTACTAAATATACTCTACTCACATTTGTGGTTTATAAAAAGTAACTATTTTTGTCACTATGATTACTTCATATTTCATCACTTTCATATTGTCGTCCCTTTCCACAGAAATGAAGTCACTGAGCAAACACCATGCACAGTTTCTGCTGTTCCTGAGCAGCATGTGTCACTTCAACTCCCACCTCTTGACCCAAGCTGCCTCCCCTTTTCCTCCCGTCACACGTTCACAAATGATATTCATGACCTTTAACGACGATTATGACAACGACAATCAAAGCCTTCCTGCCTCCGTCAAGACCCCCACGATGTACCATGAGCCCCCGCAGCTCTGCCACTACAACCCATGTCTGGAGGATCAGCCGTCATGTGCTGTTCTTTCCCGGAAAAGTGGCTGCCTTTGTCCGGGCCTGAGTGGGGCCTCTTTGCCACCTAATGCTCCACGGATACAAAGTCTGCGACCAGTGAGCGAGGGGCCAGACAGGGGGAACATCGAGGTACAGTGGTGCGCGCCATCTTCTGTTGTCAATGGATACAGAGTGCGAATTGAAGGCAAGGAACAGCAGAAGGAGTTTAAAGACACCAAGAGAAGAGGTTTAGTAGGACACCTTGAGGTTGGGACTAAAGTTTGTGTAGAGGCAGTGAACAAGGCAGGACACAGCAGCCCCTCAGAGTTTTCTTGTACGCGCTATGAGACCCCAACAACCTCCGACTCCAGCGTCATGGTAGGAGTCATAGCAGGCGGCGTTATACTCTTTCTTTTCCTCATCATGGCTGTGGTAATTCTATGCAAATACTGTCCCTGTCGAAGGAAAAAGAGAGACTCAGATGACGGACTAGGAAATCCTTCTTACACGTTGGGAGGAACCCTATGAGCCGCAGGTGTCACTAAATGGGATAATAAATAAAGTCTTGTGAAAAGGAAAAGCGTGATTTTAGAGAATCACAGTTTTGAAAAATAAATGTTTCTGTTTCAAGAAACTGTAGGATACAGTGTAGTAGCTGTGAGACAATACTAATGGTAGTGTTATCTAGATAGATAGATATTTTATTGATCCCCCTGTAGGAGAAATTCAGGTGTCAGCAGCAGAAAACACACAGGTCTGTTGTACAGTCTGACAGCCAAAGGAACAAAGGATCTCTTAAAACATTCCGTTCGGCAGCGCAGTCATATAAGTCTGTTGCTTCGATTATTCCTCTGAGCAGCCATAGTGTCATACAGAGGGTGTCTGGAGTTACCCAGGATGCCCTGCATTAGAGCCCTCATCCTTCTCTTCAGCACACTCCCACAGATTCCACACTTCTCCCCATCATAGAGACACATTTCCTGATCAGCCTGTCGAGCCGGTTACTGTCTCTCGAGGTCAGACTGCTGCCCCAACACGCGACCCCAAAGAAACGGCAGTAGCTACAACAGACTGGTAAAATATGTGCAACATCTGACTGCTCACATCAAAGGACCTCAGTCTTCTCAGGAAGAAGAGTCTGCTCTGACCTTTCTTATAGACAGCATTGGCCTGAGCTGGCCAGTCCAGTCTGTAGTACAGGTGGATCAAATGCAAATGTGGGAAATTTGCTGGCAGATATACCCAGATCTAGAGGTTGTTGAATATAATAAAGAACAAAATCATGTATGTGTTTGTCTTTACTATACATGAGCTTAATCTGTTTATGTGAAATAGGCCTGGGCAGAAAAACAATGTGCTCGAAATGCAACTTCAACATGATGAAGTCAGCACGAAAAATAAATTCCCAGAGCTATTCTAAGGAACATAATGTGTAATGCCATACATTCCTTCAGGCATAACAAGATTTTAATCATCAGCTAAATATAAAGACAATAAATATATAATCTATATTGTGTGAACTTAGTGCACTTGTATATAGTAGTAATTTAAAGTTGTTTTCTTTATGCATGCCTCAATATATTTTTCATTGTACAACTTGTTTTCACAGAGAGCCAAGATAGATAGATAGATAGATACTTTATTGATGCCCCATAGGAGGAATTCAGGTGTCCAGCAGCAGAAAACTCATACAGGTCTGTTGTACAGGTCTGACAGCCGAAGGAACAAAGCATCTCTTAAAACGTTACCTTTGGCAGCACAGTGATAAGCCAAAACAATTTCCTAGTTTGTGACATCGTGTTACTCACAATGGCAATAAAAAGAATTTGAATTCTGACCTACTGCGTTGGGAGTAACTCAACACATGTAACAATACTAATTTTGAGTTACTTCATTCAGAATACACAAACACTTTGAAAGTAAAATGCCCTAAAAATTCTAAAGCAAAGTTGTTGTAATCCAAAACCACAATTTTACATTATACTTCACGCAAATAACATTAAAATATTCCAGGTTCTCAAAAATAGTACTCAGATTAGACCATCTATGCAGACCAATATATTACAAAATAAATTCAGAAAACTGTTCAGATTTTTGTAACGAAATATATGTGCAAAGTATTCCCCCCATTCTCACAATACTGAATCTATGACAACACTTCTGCGAGATGATAAGAGGAAAAATTGCCCAGAGTCAAATTACTTTTTTAGGCCCCTCCTCTTCCTTGTTGTGTTACCTAACTACATGAATGAAACAAGCCTTCATTATTTACCACGCACACCTTGTAGACATTAAGGAGTTTTTCAAGCGACATGGCCAGCACAGGTGAATATCTATCCTGTTTGAGTTATTTAACAATGTTTGAGTACAGTTTGTCTGTCCTTAAAGCAGCATTAATGTAAACTCAAACTGGAACTATCTTTTTAGATGTGCGTTTTACAGAATAAAAGTTTAGTTAGAATTTCTTGAGAAAGATTAAGCTGGGGGATCTTTTAAGATGGTAAATGTTTTGGTAGTATATTTCCATCTCTGTATGTTTTATGATGTTGTTCCCGGTGGTTCCCGGCTAACCATGACTCAGCAAACTGCCATTAGGAAGCTCTAGTCAATGTAGCACAGCAAACGCATAGAGACGCAATTGCGGTGGCCATCTTGTGATTGTCTGAACACAAACAAACGGTATGTTTCGTCTGATCTAGGATTCCATTTCCCCATAAAAATGATACAACACTTCACTTATTCTAGTTATTAAATCATACAATGAGGAAGGACTTTTTATGTAATAGTGTTGTTGAAAATGAGCAAATTACCACTATATAAGAAAAAGTAGAAGTGCAATTTGGTGAAGGTGTTTAGTGGAAATGATACTTATGACTATGGTCGTATGCCATTCTGACACAACATCCTTAAATGCAAACTACGTATTGATAAGATCCAGATTTGTGTTTAGAATAAGAAGTTAGTGTGTGACCTGACTCCTTATTTTAGTTATTTCACGACGGCATATCAGACAGCAGAGATTGTGTCAAGATACTGTAAGGGCAATAAAAGTATATATAGAACATATTTTATTCATTTATTTCATTTTTGCCACTAAAAGAAAGTGTTAGTCTCATTTTTAGCGAATCATTGTTAATATTAAATGAATCTCCTTGATTTTATTTCTACCTCTCCAGTCACCAAGGAGATTTCCTATGATGAACTGAAAGCTCTTGTTGGTAAGAGTCCTGCTTTGGTCCTGGTTGACGTAAGAAGAAAAGATGAATATGATAATGGACACATCCCCGGATCACTGCACATCCCAGGTAAGTCTAAAATAAGACTTATTCATTTTAATTTCTTTAAAATATTTTGTTTGTTTGTTCTGCTTATTTGATGCATTCTTCAGTGGACACTGTGGAGGCAGCTTTGTCAATGTCACCAGAGGAATTCAAAGCTAAGTATGGAGTAACCAAGCCACAGACAGATGCCCCGGAGTTGGTCTTTCACTGCCAAGTTGGAAAAAGAGGTGGAATAGCCACTAACAAGGCCTATGAAATGGGCTATGTAAAGTGAGTCTATTATTTACTCCTGTAGATCTGCATATGTAAATTTGAGGAAATTAATGTTTGTTATTTGAACTTTTTCAGTGCACGCAACTACCTCGGGGCATACAGAGAGTGGTCTGAAAAAGAAGGAAAGTGACAGAGGAATCTTCTTGTTCATCGATGAATTTCCGTCAAATTTGATGTTACTTTTTCAACTCGTTTGTCACAGAATTAAATGTGATCTAAAACATGTGTGTGTTCTGCTCTGTCTGCATCATGCACCAAATAGCTCTTCTCAATCATCATCCACTAGAAATGACTTTGACAAGAAAGATATGTTGTCTATTTGTGGTAGCAGTCAATTTGGGGGTTATATCAATCAATCAACTTTTATTTGTAGAGCGCCTTTCCTACACAAGGTAACACAAGGCGCCTCACAACCCATATTATGCATAAATCCTAGACATTAAAATCCACATAAACATTAAAATTAAAATCACAAAGGGTATTAAAAACACACAATGAGATCACACAAAAATTTAAAAACACAAAATAAAATCACACAAGTAATAAAAAGATTAAAACATTAAAATCACGCAAGTAATTAAAACATTAAAATCACGCAAGTAATTAAAACATTAAAATCACGCAAGTAATTAAAACATTAAAATCACACACGGGATTAAAATCATAAATACCCATAGTGCACCTAAAAATAAAATCATTCAGTTGTATGCACAGCTAAACAGAACCGTTTTTAATCTAGACTTAAAAATTGCCACAGAAGTCGCCAAAACAATTGGTTTGTGTGAATATGTAATGATTGCATAGACGTATACTCTACTATAAGGCGAAAATACGATCTGAAACCATAAAACATGTAAATATTCCCTGGCCGCGCTCACTGCTGTTGCATGTGTCCATCTCATGATCTCAACCTTTACCCATTTTCGCGCGGTTTCCTGCAACACTGGACCAAAGGATCTACGCCATCATCACAACAATACTTCAACATAACAATGACTTTAGAACTTATAGAGGTATGTGGACTTTACCCTAACAGACTAAGGTCAATAAGATCTACGTTTAAAGATGTAGGTTTACTGTTGTGCAGGGATAAAAACTCACTCTTAACTATTATCAGGTGCTTCGTCTGCTCATGTTAGCGACTAAACAACACAAAAGGCATGGTCCAGAAAAGAAAGGGGGTCTTCTAGTCCTCATACAGACTGAAACAAACTCTGATGACAATTTCTACTGCGCAGGTGGGGAATTATTAGAGTGATAAATAATATTGTAGTTAAGAGATTTCTGTTTCACTTCACTTTCATATGGTTGTTTGTAGTTGCTGCTGCAGGTCCTTGGTGTGCAGGGGTCAACATGGCAGAGCTGCACTCAGGTGAGGAAGTGACCCCTAATGTCAGGCACATCACTGCATACGTACATTGGACATGTGCTTTGCATTTAGTCTTTACAGATGTCATGCGCAGACTACATCCCTGTTCTAGGCCATGTCCAGAGCCTGACATAGAAGACCTTTGTGCTTTTACTGATCTGTATGGCTCCCTCAGAGTATTCCTGAACTTCTTGGTATACCTTCCCTGCACATAGAATACTGTGTTCATGTTTGATTAATTAGATTTTTATTCATTTGTTTTCGATTTTCCAGATGAAGAATGTACATGTTTGCAAGGAAAAGTGCCAACATCAAATTGAAACATTTCTACACTCATTTTGCATGACCAATGCTGAGGTAGCCATTAAGAAAATATTTGAAATCAAATATCCTCTGCGATTCACATTTTTTCCACAGATAAAGGTCCATCTTAAACTCCAAAGTGGCCAGAAACACTGTCAAAAGGAGTTTAGGTACATAACAGAAATCCAACTGTGATACTCATTAAATCAATTACATTATGTTAAATATCATTGTCTTGCAGAGTAAAAGACTACCTCAGAGTTATGCTGTTCAGCCAAACACCAGTGTACTTGGATGTCTCAGTCAACATACAGTCAGAAATCTCTCTAGCCTTAGCGATTATGTAACTTTTATATCACAAAATAACAAACCCCTGTTCTTTTACTCATTTGTAGTCTAGAGTCTCCTGAGAGGGAACAGCGTTGCCATGGTGGGCGCCCTGACATTGGCAGCAGCTTGCATCTCAGTATTCCTCCAAAAATTGTGGAACAGGGCCTTCTTGGGACTGTTTCCCTCCAGCCTGTCACACTATTAAAGCCATGTGTGTTGCAGTACCCAAACAGGGCCACAAACCTCACTCAAATACAAATATCCTTTTCCGTTCCTTGTAAATCTTTCATAAATGTGAAGCTTCTGTAATGGGACAAATAAAAGCGAAATGTTCTGCTTAACTTTACTGTCAGGTGTTGGTTTACAATCCCAGTAACATTCCAGCATCAAACGCCTCTGCTTTTGTGCAGAACTTCTCCGCTCATCTCAACTGTGAGGATCTGGGTCTTCAAAGTCACCGCTTGAGTTTCCAAGGTAAACTATGCAATCCATTCAGTCAGATCAAGGAAGTGAACAGTACTTGCTGTTGATGTATATAACAAGTTGCAATAGTATTTTGTATCTACTGGAAACCATCTGTCTTTGATTTTAAAAAAAGAGTAGAGCACATCTGGCCTGAAGTTTTACAACCTGCTGTATATTTAACAAGTCAGAGTGGTCTGCCAAAATTCACATACAACACAACTAAATACCCTAAACGCCCATCACATAATAGAGCATGTGTAAACGTTTATAAGACTGACTGTATATTGTCAAATACGGTCCTTTCCACTAGTTATACCCAGCGTTGGCTCAGTCTACAAAGTGGAACAAGTGAATTCTCCTGAGAGCTGTGTGAAGTCAAGTCTTTTTTCTATTGACTTAAGTCTGGTGCTTTTCCTGTTTCTGCAACATATTGACCCCTTCATAACAGATGTCTCTGACACCATGGGTAAGAGGCAACTGGTTTTCACATTTCAACATTTTGGTGAGACTTTCTTTATTTCAGCAGCTAATATGAAGTTTTTCATGCATTTCAACAGCCACTGAGGTACTGTTAGAGCACCACCTAGGGGAAATTCTCCTCTATAACCAGCAGATAGTGACAAATGCTATGACAAATGCACTTAGGAAAACACTAATGGCCCAGAATAAAAGGAAAAAGGTGAGGGTGTAAACAAGAAAAACATTTGTTATAACAACAAACATGCTGATATTTTTTCAAGGAGCAAGAAAAGATGCAGTCAGCCTGTGACAGTATCATCAGTTCAACGCTCCGAATCATCAGTTGCAGTAGCAACATGGACTTTAGGAAAGCTTGTCTGGACTCCATGCAGGTACATCACAAGAAACATGAAAAATGCCTAAAATGTGTAAACATTACTTATTAAATCCTCAGGTGCACAACACCAAAAAAATGTCAGAAACATTCTCTGAGTCCCTTAGGAGAGTTATTTTCCTCAAGTTTGTCCCTAAAGGAGCGTGCTGCTCAGATCAGGTATGTGCTTTTTAAATTATACGTAACAGTGTTTGTACAGTTTATCATAATTAATTATTATTGTTGCAGATTGGACAGAAATTGGAAAAGAGCAGCAAACACCTCAGAGTAGAAATGTAAAAGTTGCCTTGCTCTGTACTACTTCAAATAAAAATGTTCACTCTTAATTATTTATTTTGGGTGTGTAACAAGTACATCTGGAACAACCAGATCGGGAACTTTGCATCTAGTAGCACATTACTGTAAACAATTTAGCTGTAGAACAGGATTAGAAAGACTATGATGTGTCTAGAGACGATCTCTTTGTGCAAAAATGTTATTCTGTGTTTTTGAATGATGAGATAAATGTGTCCTTGCTGCCAGGTTGAAATTTCAGATTGATATAAATTGTAGCCAACATCTTCATTTATTTATCTAAAAAGATATTGATCATTATTAGGCAAGGGCTGAACTAGCTTTAAAAACTCACCCTAACCCTGTTCATCTGTACTGGTTGTGTTATTTTGATTACGTTACCAGGTTCGCTGCAGTTACAACATTCCATCAGTAGGGGGCGCGTGTCCAACCAGCTAACTCCTGGACAGTTGTTTACTTGTGACGTAATCTCCGGCCGCCAACTCCGCTGTTTGATTTCGCGGCAAATCTCCCGGACACAGATCCATAGTCTCAAAGACCTTTCCCTGGACATCGATAGACCGTACCCTGGCCTTGGACCTCTGCTGCGGAGAATCGGCCTGTCCTCTGGATGTCCATGCGGAGGATTTGCATACAGCACAGATACACAATATAGCGCACTTTCCTTGTCAGTTTTATTAGAATCACGCTCAGGGTCGTCAGTGTTATGTAGTTACAAACCTACATTATATTGTTTTCTCTGTCTGGTTCTTTGTGCTGAGTGTTAAATCATGTCTGTGGTGACTGCTGAAAGCTTGAAGTCGGAGCTGGACATGTTTGACGTCGCATGTCTAAGTGACTCAGTGTTGGATAAGAGTAGGTCGTGATACTAACATGCATGCCCATTGTAATATTGTAATAATGTAATGATGCTCTGTTGTTATTTTTACAGTGGTTGAGCAATGTATTTGTAACAGAATACAAGCAGATGAAATCGTGCTGGAGTGGGTTGCCTACAGCACTACAAAGAGTGGTCTGAAACTCACAGTAGAAACACTTGAACAATTTGAGCATGAGGTGACTTTTAACAGGCATATATCCCAACCAAAAACGTTTCTGTACTAATCATACGTGTGTTTCAGATTCTAAACAAGAAAAGCAAATCTAAACAAAGTTCTAAGAGAGAAGAAACGCTTGGGAGAACAAGGGATATTCATTCATTGCAGGAATTGTATCCTTTTTTGTTACCAATTTATTCTGCTTTATTTTTAATCATAAAGACGCGTAGATTCTTTTTGTTTCAGCCATATACTAACACATGACCTGCATGTTTTTTGAAATTAGTTGTGTGTATGTTCTTAGTCTTAACCTGATTAAGGATTAAAGCAGAGGAAGAAGAAGAAAATTTGCTTGACTCCTACTCTACTCCTGCTAAGGTAAACACAATTCTGTATTCATCAGTAGTATTGTGTGCTTAATTGTTTTAAAGTACCCACTCCTTTGCCACAGGGCTCTCAAAAGCGTGCGCTGACTACACCTGAACAACCTCAGTCTAAAAGAAGTGCAGCTCTGCTCTCCAGTCCTGGCCTCCTGTTGTCTCCTGCCAGTTTCTCTCCCAGGTATTTTCAATTCAAGCATACACTCCATTATTTCCATTATTGTCTTCCATTATTGTAATCATTACCAAATATTCTTCAGTTTAACGCCATCCCAAAAGTACAGCCAGCGTGGGGGAAAGGGGGAAGTTGTGGTCTCATTTGGACTGGTGCAAGGCACACGCTGGATGGGCAGGAGCTGTCCTGGTGTTGGAGTGCAGCTGGACCTGCTGGAAGGACCTGAAGACTCTCTCACCTGCAGCTACAAATATATGTTTCAGAGGCTGCGAGATATTCGTAATGGTAACTGGTGCATTTAATGGCAGGTCTCTAATGTAAAACTACCAATGAACAATACAATTTGTATCTTTCAGTATTGACTGATAAGATAGAGGAGTTGGGGGAAAGCCTTAAATCTAATTTTAACATCGAGGAATTCTCCCCCGTTTCTCTTCCTGCTCAGGTGATGCAACTATTATATTTAATGTTAATCCTTTACTAGCTCAAACAATCCCACTTTCTGTCTGCAGGATAAAATCACTGTGCTTGGTCAAATCTGCTGTGACAGTAATGGGAAACTGAATGCACATTCAGTCCTGCTTGAGGCAGGACCAGAACAGGGAGGTCAACAGATACCCGTCGATGTGTCGGAACTCCCAGAGTACTCCCTGTTCCCTGGTCAGGTGAGGACATTTCCCCTCTGCACATTCAGGTGGTTTCTCCTTTGCCTGAGCACTGAAGTCGGTGCTTCAGGTTATATGACCACCAACAGTAACTGAGAAAGCCAAGGACCTGGGCCCCAGATTCCCTCAGAGTCTGTCCGAGGCCTCAGACAAAATAACATCTTTCAACATCATTTTGATAAAACTTCAACTTGACGTTAGCTTGTTTATGCATTAGGTGGTTGTAATGGAGGGAATGAACACAACAGGAAGAAAACTGGTTGCTTCCAAACTTCATGAGGTTGGTGTCAAGTTAGCAATTCAAGGTCAGATTCTTTACATATATTATACATGCTGCTTAACTATTTTCAGGGTGTTCCTCTGCCCTTTTACGCACCAATCAAAAAGGAAATGGATGAGGGTGAGCCTAATATTTTTTTTCCTATTGATTGAAACATTAAAAGTATATGTACCAGTATGGTACGTAAAATTTGCTGTTGTCTGTTGCAGATGCAGCGCCTCTCAATGTTTTAATTGCATGTGGACCATTCACTCCTTCTGATACTTTAACATATGATCCTCTACTTGACTTAATCAGCGTCATTTTAAAGGATCGTCCAGATGTTTGCTTATTGGTGTGTTCAGAATATATAATAACCTTTTTGTATATTGGGGCTGTTTGTTTTGACACTTTTTGTTTGTTTTAGCTGGGGCCTTTTGTAGATGCAAAACATGAACAAATTGAGGTAGATATTAACTTTTAATGGTTTAACTATTTTTTACATGTAAAAGAAAAACCATTTATTTCATAACTTTTTTTCCAGAAGGCTCAAGTGACGGAAACATTTGATGCTATATTCTTGAGATGTATAGAAAGCATTGTGGATGGCACCAAAAGGCATGTGGCATCTTTTATGTTATGTATTGGGCATGACACTTGCATTTATATCTAGATTATATAAGTTTACACATTTTATATGTATAGAAACACATTTTAAATATATATAAATGTATATGTATCGTATCATCTGTTCCTCAGTGTTGGCTGTCGTCTGGTGTTTGTGCCCTCCCAGAGGGATATCCACCACCCTTTTGTCTACCCTCAGCCTCCGTTTACTCTGACTAACCTCAGCAAGGATCAAGCCCAGGTCAGACCTCAACCAAAACATTTTACCTTCTGGTCTTTCATCAACTTCTTAATATTTCAGTTTTGCTGGAGGCCAACTATGATGTGTACTTGTCTCTACAGAGAGTCACCCTGGTCCCAGATCCATGCACGTTGCTGATCGATGGTGTGACCGTTGGCTTGACCTCAACAGACATTCTGTTTCACATGGGTGCTGAAGAGATCAGCAGGTATGAGAAGATTTCTTTGTAATTGTTACAGGAATGTAACAAATATAAGAATTACTTTTGATTTCAGTGGGACTGGAACAGATAGATTCTCACGCATACTAAAGCACATCCTGACCCAGAGAAGGTATGAGAAAAATGATTCTCAATTATGAATTTAATAAATGTTTTATTTGTGCTTGTTTCATGCAGCTACTATCCACTGTACCCTCATGTGGAGGAGGTTAATATGGACTATGAGAAGTTTCAGAGCTATGGCCAGATGCCAGTCACTCCTGATGTACTTATTATTCCTTCAGAGCTGCGCTACTTTATAAAGGTACATTTTGAGATAATGTCAAACTTGACAATCTCTTACTTAGCCCAACACACACACTTGCCTTTAATTACTTAAAAGAAATCGAAATGTTATTTAAATCCATAGACTTGAATGTTGAATATTTATTTATAGACTATACTGTAAACCACATAAGCAGTTGTTGATATTTTGATTTTACATTGTGTCCATAGGACGTAGTGGGCTGCGTCTGTGTCAATCCTGGGCGTCTAACCAAAGGTCAGGTGGGAGGGACCTATGGCCGGCTACTTCTTCAGCACAGTACCTCATCTGAGGACACAAAAAGAATAAGCCCTTGTTTGGCTGCTCAAGTGGTAAAGATCTAACAACACTTTTTTATAAGTTGGACTGTTTGACAAGAAATGAAACTGTTTTCTAAAGCCGGACTTTTGTAAACTGTACGAATAAACCTCTTAACACAAAGCACGCGTGTTCGTTATATAGTTGACTATTGTTTATAGTGTGACTATTTTAATGATCTCACAAATGCCACAGACATGCTGTCCATAAAAATCCTGACCATTGCATGATGTCTAACCTAAATTCATGCTTGACCTGCTTTCTAGTCATAGAAATCATCTGATTCATTTGAGTCACTGTGGTGATTGATTTCTCCATTCTTCACACTCTGCTTTATCAGAGTCTCACAAGGTCCTGCAAAACAAACCATGATGAACTACATGAGAGAACACCACTACTACTACTACAGAGAACACTTATTCATACCTTTTGATTTCTCATCAGTGTTTGGTTCTCTGAAAATATAAAGGGTCTTCGATTAGATAAGATATGTGTATACAAGTGGAATTGGAGGCTCAGTTGGTAGAGTTTTGGCCTTTGAGCCTGAAGGTTGTGGGTTTGAGCCCACCACAAAACCTTTCCCACTGATGTCTGCTTGGTGTACTCTGCAAGATCCCTAACCCTACTTTGCCTATTTGTGGCCAAAAAGCCAGATCCCGTCAGAATTTTGAAGCTGTACAGGACAGAGCCTGGTTAGTACTGTGATGGGAGACCTTTGGGAACATCAGGGGCCACAGTGAGGCGGCTGTGGCTGCAAAGTGTCAAACTGTTGTGTCCTTGGGCAAGACACTTCACCCACCTTTCATAGAATGAGTCTGGTGTGTGTGTGAATGTTTGGTGGTTGTAGGGGCCGATTGTTGCCTCGCTTCTGTCAGTGTGTCCTAGGGCAGCTGTGGCTACAGTAGTAGTTTATCACCACCGTGTATGGAGTGAATGAATTACATGTGAAGCGTCTTTGAGTGTCCAAAACAGTGCTATATAAAACTCATGCATTATTATTATTATTTGCATTCGATGCAGCATTTTGACAGCTCACATTTCATTACCTTTGCTTTTCCGTTTTCTCTCGAGGTTCAAGAACGTCTTCTATATCTTCTTCCTCAGATGAACTCTTGGAGTCTTCATCTGTGGATGTCTGTTGGCTTTCCTCAGTCTGGCCCACGTGCTCAGGGATGACGTGTATAATACTAGACCTGGAAACAGAAATTGGAATTAAGAAGATTTTAGATTTGTGAAATGAGAGGGATGCATGAGAGAGATGCATGCTATCTTGCCTGATCTTTGGAGACACAATGCAGTCCTCTGAATCAGTGTCCTCTGCGCCGCTCTTGGTTTTAAGGTCTTTCACAGGTCTGTCCTCCACAGCATCACACTCTGATGATTCTGGACCAGAAGATGATCCAGATTCCGACGTCCTATTTTCATCCTCCTCTTCAAGGGAGCTTTTGGAATTGCCTTCGCTTAAGATCTCACTATCATCCTCCTGGCTGGACTTTTCTCTGTCTACATCAGAATGGTCATTTTCAGCTTCTCCCTGTGAGCTACTTTGATCGGAGGCAATTTGTTCCTTTTGCTTTTGTATTGCAACTTTATTCAAACCATTTCCTTGCGGTTCATCATGTGCTGACAGCTTATCACTGTATTCCTCGGCATCACTCTCATGACTTTCTTTGGAACTCGCAGAACTATCATCATCGAGCTTTGTCTGTTTAGAACTCAACACGTGTTTGAATTTCTTATTATGAAATGTTTGAGCAATGTTATGGTCATTAATTGAAGCCATTGTCATTGCACCTGTGGTGACGTCCTTTGGTGAAAACCTTTAAGAATTGTAATTTTATCAGTTGGTTAAGAGTTAGTGAGTTCTATAAATGTATTCAAATAAAGAACACTTGTCGAACTCACTTGTGAGAAGTAGAAGAATCCTCGTCTGTACTTATGCGGTTGCCTTTTCTCTTGGGTGTGCTTCCCTGCATTGAGACTCGACTGCTTGCCTCGCTTCCTGTTAGATCACTTGAGAGTCGGACTGTAACCATAAACGGTTCAACTTTAGAGAATAGGGAATTTTTATTATTATCAAGGGACATAATTGTTATTATTGAGACTATTCTTTTGAAAACCTGGTTTCACATCGAGGTCTCCTGAATTACTGTTGTCTTCTCCACTTGATGGTTGCTTGGTCTGATTTGGAGAACTGCTGTGCAAACTATAGCTTTTTGAAGAATATGCCAGTTCAAGGGGGTTGGATAAGTCTTGATGCGTTTCAGGTTTTCCTAAAAACATTTTGCATATGCATATTTATACGTAATGCATAAAGTTATGGTGGAGTTGTAAAAGACATTTTCAATTTAATATTGTTGTTGAGTAAACCAACCTTGTGAATGTGTAACTGGATTCTTCTGTTGCAAAAATTCAAAGATATTGGAGAAAAACATGTTTAAAAAAAAAAATAATAAAGGACATTATTTTATGCTATAACTCGTCTCCTGCTTTATACACTGTCATTTGGAACTCCCCCTCTATGAACACTCCCTGAGCTGTCACTGGCTTTTGGGAAGTAGTGTGTACAGATAATCCCATTCAGAATATTTGCTTTCTTATTTTGCTGGTATTCAGAATACTTAAGTAATGATAGTATTCAGAATACAGTACTCTGGTGGTGTGATTTAAGGAGAGGATTAAACACATTTTGATTATTTGGGCACAACTTGTAGCAAAGTAAACCATTTTTTGCAATAATCTCTAAGTAAATGTATGCCCTAATGGTCTTATTGTTTTATCGTGTACTTTGGAGTTACTTACATTTTCTTCTGCTGTGTGTATTTTTTGATTGAGTAAGTGATGACAGCGGGGGCAGCTCCCAGTACAGTTCTTATATTCTCTCTGAAAAAAATAATACAACTAAAATACATTAAAATGCAATAATGAATTTGAATTCAATTTATTCTTAATTTATTTGATTATTTTACTATCTTAAAAAATAATAAATATATAGCTCAGTCACAGGGGAGGGGTAGTGGCACAGAATTTATCATTATGATTTGATATTACCCTTTATTAAAAAAAAGGCTTTATATTGAGAGCCCCTATCACTTAATCATCTATTAACCCACCTATTTGAGGATTAATATGCATGTAAATGGTCATTAAAATAAATCAAGTAATGGCTTTCCAATAATCAGATGTGGGGGCTGTTGCCCATTGTTTTTTTTACCCATAACATCTTCATGACAGCAGTGTGGTCCAGCACCTCCCTCAGCGTGTTCTGGGCTTCGTCAAACTGCTGCAACAGTTCTCTGTTGTGCAATTTGGACAACCGCTCTCTCTCTCTCAACTCATCCAAGAGCTGCTGTAGATGTCTGGCCCTGCTGGGAAGGAAAATACTCAACCCTGTCTAATTTCAAGCACATGCAAAAGAAGATATTACTTACCTCATTTTTTGTTTGGTGAAAGTGTCATAGACCCGTTCAATGGACTCTTGGATCTACTTCCTTGGAGGATGAAGAGATTACCCAGGATTAAGACTGCTGGGTTTGGGGGAGGGACTAATGAGACATGGCTCGAGAAATATGGAATGAGTCACAAAGTGTGATATCAGTAAATATCTGGAGCACCTAACCTTTTTGTATAACATGTTTGTCCCAATAGAAAGAATATAGCAAAGTAAAAGGTTTTGGACAAATCAGATCACAAAATGCTGGTTTTGTCGTAGAAAAAACATAAATTAACTTGTGTACTTGTGTGAAAAAGCCCTCATGATTTATTACTGTTACATTGTTTTGTGTAGTTTTAGAATTAGGTCCCCAGTTCTAATGTTTTATGTTTCATCAGAGAATCCAAAAATGAGCATTACTTTATTTTCTACAATAAGTCACCATTGGGGGAAACAAAAAACAAGGGACTCTGGAGATGTGTGACCTTACCTGACCCCGGCAAAATGTTTTGGAAGCGGAACCATGTCCTATGCTGTTGCACCACGGGGTTGTATTTTCGTGCGACACTCGTGCAACACCCCCGATTTGAGGTTTCGCTCGGGTATGATTTTTAATTGAAATAGTCCGAGTTTATGTCCGTAGTCAGCTAATTGTTCATGATTGCTTGTCAAATGAAGTGTTTGAGCCTTTGAGTGTTATATTCTCTTCTAACGTGGTCCACGACGGGAGGTGATATGGCCAGCTTCTCTAGTAAAGTGTTCTGTGGGGCAGAGAAAATATGCCGTCATCTGCCTGTGATGCTCAACACTTTCCTGGTCTTCTCCATCACTGGAGAAGTGAGCTACTTGGTCTTGATGGAAGCTCCGTTGGAGACAAGCTTGAAAAAAACTGTGTGGTCAGCGTGGTGGAAATCGCTCCATTTAATTGCCCAATACTTTATGCTTGGTAATATATGTTGGAACTCATTGCTTTTTCTCAAGACCAGCCCCAGTATAAAAGGAGTTTTTTTGGGAGAAGGCATGGCGCAGGGTTGGAGGTAATCAAATGTTGTATTACTATAATCAAACATTGTAAATAACTCTTTCCTCTTGCATCCAGATATTGTTATACATGTGAGGCCCACACACCTCCACGCTGTTCCCATTGTTATGACTGCAAGGTGTGTGTTCTTCGACGTGACCACCACTGCGTCTTCTTCGGCCAATGTGTGGGCTTCCGAAACTACCGCTACTTCCTGAGCTGCCTGCTTTTTATGTGGTTAGGCCTGCTGTACGCCACCCTGATGAACGCAGAAGTCTTCATTGTCATACTGAAGGAAGGAGTGACATTGCACAGTGTCCTGCTGCTCTTAATACCCTGGATAATGCTGGTATCTGGTGAGATGATTTGTGTTGGCTTAGGTTGTTTGTTTATTGTTTGTCATGCATGGGGGCAATTAAATAACAGATTATATGTGTTTTGTTTCAGGACAAGTCTCTGCAAGAGCGTTTGCTTTTGCCTTTATTGCTGATACATGTGTGGTGGGCTTCTTGCTGGTTTCTGCTTTTTTCTTCTTTCATATATTCCTGATGATCAGGGGACAAACAACAAGAGAGTGGTACTCCTCGCGACGCCCCTACAACCTGGGACTACTTTACAACTTGCAACACAATCTAGGCCTTTTTTGGTACATATGTTGGTTCTGCCCTCTTATCCCTTCACCTATGCCGGGAGATGGCATACACTTTGAAGTCACCGGGTCTTTTGAGCCTACCAGATAATACAAATATTTTTGGATCTTTTATAATTTTATTTATCAAGGAAATATTTATATATTTTTTGCATGAAAATGTACCTGAATTGATCTCTGTGTTGACGAACGTGGCCACTATTGCCTCAGGCAATAGTGGCCACGTTCGTCAACACAGAGATCAATTCCTCTTTGCCTTAACAGTAGCCTGTCTTTCTGTTCTGTTTTTTTCTTGCAATTCGGTCATTGCACTGCTGTATACTTATAAATCATTATTTTTTTGTATGTGAACCTCATATTAAACTTGGTCATTATTGAGTCAAATCATGTTTGGTATAAACAAAAATTGAAAATATTGTATTTATTTATATATATATATATATATAATTAGTGTGCGTGTATATGTATGTATCGAATATAATGTATAAATTCGCATACGAATATACAAGGGTAATTTCCTGAAATATTTGTTAAAAATAGCTTGATGTATTTCTAACGTCGCGTCTAGACTGGGTTCTGACTACAGTCTATGGTTCTGATCATTCCAAGGCCAAGAGGAGCGGTACAAATGCGAAATACTGAATGAAAAAGTATTATTAATATCTCGGACTCAAACGGTGAGGTTTTATTTTGAAACTACGATGTGACTTGGTCAGTTTAGTGATATTAGCGTTAGCATTGTTAGCATATTGCAACGTTAGCGTGATTTAACGTCTTTATGTGTTTCCCAATGCACGTTGTTGACCAAAGAACATGGATATAGAAGAAGAAAGCATGTAAGTAAAAAACGGAAACGAGACGTGACAAATCATGTGACAAAGTTTATTTTGTTTGTGAATGTTCGCTGTAGGAGCGTGCAGGAAATGATGGAGAGAATAGCGCAGCTTGACCACAGTAAGAGTTTACTGAAGGAGCAGAACACGGAGATGAGGAGCTGGCTGGATGCGGCGGATGAAGACATGGCCACTCTTCGAACTGAAAACAATTCCCTCAGGAAACAAGTAAAAGAGTGAGTAAGCATTCACATGGCATTAAAAACCTTCAAAAGAGCAAACTATTTCATAATTTCATTAACTTTTGGATTCATTTCTAGCCTTGAGAAAATGGTCAGTGATGCCCTGCGTGCTAAATCAGAACCCATTCAAGCTCAACCTGATCATCTTCATTTGAAAATTAGAAATGAAATGCAAATTCAGAAATTGGTAAGTTTTACTGCTTTAATCCACTTAAATCTGCAGTAACTTTGAAACATTCTTCAAATGCTTCTTCACCACATGAACTTATTGACTCATGCTTTTTTATTATTAGTAGTAGTTAGTAGTTATTATAATTAGTATTAGTATACATGTACATTTATTGCACATGTATATGTTTTAATTCCTCAATGTTTTTTGTTGTTTCCTTGTGTTCTTTCTGTGCCTGATAAGCTTCGGCATGAATGGTGATTTATGATACATTTTCCTTGCCTTGCCTTGTATCCACACAAAAATAAATACAATCCGTATTATGATTTCCTCACTCTATCTGTAGTTTCACATTTTTGGCCCGTGTCACTTCTTAAGACTAGCTTTTTCAGATAGAAAAGTGAAAATGAGGACCACTTCAGCTCTCAGTATGTGTAAAATCATGTCTGCTAATAAGATAAACACGTGTTGTGGTCTGATTTGTTCACAAAATGTTATTTAAACAATCTTTCTTTGGGACCAACAACACAAATCATATTTATGAAAAAAAAAAAGTTAGGTACTCCAGCTTTACTCCTTAGCTGTAAGCTATTTAATTGATATATTGAGTTTCTATTTTCTTGAACAAAATGATAATTCATATATATTTTATGCAGCATATACTGTAGCTTCAGACCTCTCATGACCAATTTTGCTTTAATGCATCCGAGAATAAGGATTTATTTTGATCAGTTCTCTCACCCCAAAACTGATTCCTGAGCAACACTGAAAACCTTTAGAAAATGGAGGAGATGGACTGTTTTATATTGTAGCTATCATTTTACAACACTACACTATTCCCACAACAAAGCACTTTGTAACTGCTCTGTGCAATATATAAACAAAAAGATTACTAACTTACTTCACTCTTCAAAGTCTTGTGATTTGGTTTTGTCACATTGCCTTTGTGAAGCACACTGAGTTGAACATATCTTGGTTATCTAGGAGAAGGAATCTGCCTTCCATGCAGAGGAAAATAAAACGCTTGCAGCTGAGGTCTGTTTCCACAAAGAATATGTAATGTGCAACTTTCTGGTGATTGGATCATTTACTAAAACGGCGATGTAAAACTCAGGTACGGAGCTTACAGCAGCTACAAGAACAGGACAATGAGAACTTAAGCATGTTAAAAGGTTCACTTCAAAACCTTGAGGTAAATTTTACTATTATTGTTTCCTTCTATATGGCAACTAGTGCAGTGATTCATTTATCCAAATTGTATATAAGTTGTTAACATCTTATTTGTTCAGTTCCTTACTATCTGGAAACATATCTTTCTTTAGTTTGAACTTCAGGATGCTCAGTTAGAGCTACAGGAAAGAGATGAAGCCATTCAACAGGTCAGCAACATGGAGACATTTACATGTGTTATTCAAAATGAAGTCAAAACCATAGACTGTATTATAGGGACATACAGAGCTAACCTGTTAGCTAGTGGGGAAAAAACTATTCATTGCTTTATATCCCAGAGTTTATATTTAGATATTGTCTTTTTTAATCAAGATATGACCCAGAATATCTGACCAATCAGGTGCTTCCTAACTCAGAATTTGGCTTTGGCTAGTGAATAGCATGAGTGGCAATGGGTCCGCCTCGCTTCTGATTGCCTCCCTGGTTGCTATGTGGTTGCCATGAGGAAATTTGGCTTTGATGGCAACCACAAAAGAGAGTTTAAATCTGCTTCTTCAAACAGTTATTCCATTCTCATTATACAGTATATGGTTGAAAGACACACATTTGTTTACATTTATGAATGAGGTTTTATTTTGTAATAAAGAAAGATCAGGCGTTAAAGCATGCAGAGGAAATGGTGGCAGAGTGTTCATCCATTATAAAGGTAAACTTAGCTATACTCCACTCAAATGTTTAATGCTCTATAAGCCACATTTTTTATATTTTTCTCTAGGATCTCCGTCTAAAAAACCAGCAGTTAAAAGAGGAACTTGAAGTCGAGAAAGATGAACTTTCATAGTAATTTACCCATTTCTAAGTCAGTGCTGTGTACATTATAACTACTTTTTTGGGTTTTATTTTGTGTACAGTGCTATTGCCTTTGACCTTCTGGAAGCAAAGGAGAAGAATAGCATTCCTGCCCTGTCCTTTGCTGAGGAGCTGAGGCTTCTGGATCCCTCCATTCATGCCAACAGTGGTTCATACGGCACACAGACAGATGTAAGACATTTTAAGTCACTGTTGAAAAGTATTCAACTTATTTTATTTTAGTTGTGGATAAGAATAGTAGTAATAGTGTTTTTTTTTTCCCAAGGATGAGGTAATGTCTGAGAAAGTCCAACAGACAAGTTGTTTAGTGAAATGCACTGAGAGGTATGTCAGTTACTATATGAATATAAGTTATTGTAATGGTTTGTGTTTCTTAATCTAGTTGTGAGGAAAAACACTTTTTTTCCTAGTGTGAAAGATAAGGATCCCAGTGAGTTATTTACATCCATGCCATGTACGGAGGAAGTGAAGCTCCAGGCTGTTCCTATTGTAGAGTCATCAAAGTAGGCCAACTGTATTTTTGTGACAGTACAGTACATTTAACTCTTCTAAGCTCTGCCTATGTCTTTGCAAAACTGTATAACCACTGTTCATAGTCGTGAAGCAATATAAGAATGAACACTCTTCTTTATTGTTCTTATAGGTGTGTGGGGGGCCTGATGGCTGTGTCTCAGAAAGTACTGCATTTACTGTGGACCCTTTTCCTCTTCTTTGCATTGGTCTTCATAATGTCAGGAACCTTTACGGTCAACTCTAATCCCCTCTCTTTGAACACATTCTGGAACACTGCCCGCTTTCTATTGGAGCCTTATTGCACCGTACACTATGGCGGCATGCCTCCGATGTGATTTAGATCAGACTAATAAACGTATATTTACCAGGATGTTGTCTGTCACATACATGTTTTTAATCTTATTGTACCCTGTTTCATGTGTGTTTAGTATCAGGAAATGGAATGCAAAGGGCATTACGCTAATTTGTTATAAAATCTATAAAGACATATTTTACATCAGATGAGAGGGAATTGTAGATGTCAATTAATTGAAATTCAGCATGTCCTGTTTCACACAATAATGTGATTCAGATGATAAAACCCTTCAGCTCAGTCATCATAACTAATTTCCAATTCTAAGAGAAATGAGTTGGCAGTATTTTCATTGAGTGGGCTAGAGCATCAAAAATCCACCAATTCTATTAAATAATAAATTGACAAAACCACATAGAGCTGTCTCACTTTCTTCAAATACACCCATGATGTAAGCCAATAATATCCTAACGTGATATAATCATTCACAACTATGAAATGAAATTATAATCCCAAAAATGTTTTTATAGACTTAATATGCAATATGCGAGGCCTTAATGAGCTGTACTGTTGCTTTTAACACTTAAAATGTGAATATGATCGTTCCCTCTGTTACTATCATTCCATTTGAATGCGATCCTTGCTCTGTAATGGACAACCACATTCTACAAACAAATAAACGTGCTTTTCTTTGCTTTCCGCGCACGCGTCTCCATTGCCCCACCCATGCCCAGGCGCCTTCTAGCGGTCTTCTGATCACGCATATTTCCTTCTTCCTCACTGACTGTAGGCTAATGCTTTGGTGAAGGCTTTAATGAGAGAACCACACAGAGCAGATCAGTCTACTGAAAGCATGTCGGCTGCTTTTGGCTGATCGTGAACGCATTCGAGCATCTTTGTGCGCGCTTCGGTGCGGAGGATGCTGCTGAGATGCTGCCGCTGATGAGCACACACGACACCCTGGATGGAGCTCGGTGCCTCGCAGTGGCACAGCCTTAAGTCGGTCAACATCAATTCCTTTTGAATCAGGACACGTGAGAAGGGACATGTTATGAATCGAAGAGCCGCTTTGGTTGGGGCAATGGGGGCGCCGACAAGACCGAAGCGAACAGGTCTATTTATCCGTTTTTGCGTCTGCGGACTCGTTCTCCTCACAGCCGCCGTAACCCTGGATCTTACAGGTGTCTGTACAATGTTCACAATAACACGCTCTCGGCTTCAGAGGCTGCTTTTCACGTGTCGAAGCAAATTATGATGATGATGATGATGATGTGAAACCTGTACTAATGGCATTCTTGTATTATTCTAGGGGAGGCTGTGCGTAATGATAACGAAGATGTCATCTGGACCAAAAGAGAGCTTCACCAAGAGAAAGATGCCAGTAACAAAACTCCAATGGGGACATCTAAATCTCGTAAGACACATTTTATATTCTTGGAAACATTATCAATTAAGAGAGAAGCAAATCTGTTGGCCAAATCGAAGTTTCGACAAACAAACACGCAAACATACACATCATAGTACTCAAACCCTATTTTGTATAAATGAAGACTGCTCTCATGGATTATATTTTGATTGGATTTTTGTGTACACAGTATGGCTGAGTGAAAATCTAGTGTGAACAGAATCATGTGACATGGCTGTCATCCATGGAGTTTGCACAAATGTCTCATTCTTTCTCAATTCCATCTGACTGCACGGTCCAAGTCAAACTATTCCTCTTGCAAGACAAACCTAGGAGTTTTATTGTAATTTATAGTTTTTTTCCTACAGTAAATGGTAAGTGTCACTGTTGGCTGGCTACACTGGAAGATATGAACATATAGTCATCTCAAAGTTATCTGATGTGTCTGTCATACGGTGTCAGAAGGCACACATGTTTATGGAAGGACATTCTTATCCTTTCAAATGAAGTCTATATTACCACAAGGCTTAAATAAGTGTCTTCCGTGTGTTGTTGTTAATATTTAACTTTACACATTCATGTAATATTCATTGGCTCCGTGTCCAACTCTTTGTCAATCCCAGCTCTTACAGAGTTTCCAGATGACGTTTTTACTCTGGAGCAGCGCAGACATGGAGCTGTAATTCTTCACGTTCTGTGTGTAAGATACATATTTGTCTGTCTATCAAAGATTCATAATTTACCACGTGTGTGCAGATAAGTACTTGTGTTTTCTACAGGCTATCTACATGTTTCATGCTCTGGCCATAGTGTGTGACATTTACTTTGTGCCATCTTTGGAAAAAATATCAGTGGTGAGTAGAACACGGCAGCGTCATTTAATTTGATTTATATTGTCATTATAAAATGCATTTCTACCGATGAATGACTATATAAACTCTTGTACCATAGAATCTAAATCTTAGTGAAGATGTTGCGGGGGCGACCTTCATGGCGGCAGGGAGCTCCGCCCCCGAGCTTTTTACCTCATTGATTGGTCAGTACTGTAATCACTTACAAATCACTAATCACTTGTTGTTGTGTTATATGTAAACGGTAAAGACAAAGACTGCTAAGACATTTCTCACTACATTCTCTTTAAAGGTTCCATATTACGCTTTTTGACTTGTCTATGCTTTCACTGGCACAGGAGGAGAGTATGAATACTTGGAATACTTTAATATTATTTTGTTATATTATAGTATACAAATTTGTCATTGGAATAGAACAACTAAATGTACAATCAAATGCTGGATGCATTTGATATTCATTATGTTTAATTGAGTTCTACCAAAAGAAAAAGATCCACATTTGACTCAAAATGATGTTGACAAAGTAAGCCAGAGGGTTTCCATGGCAACATCCTGTTCATGTGTTATCTTGTTGGACGCAGGAGTCTTTATCACAAAAGGAGATGTTGGTGTTGGGACAATTGTTGGCTCTGCAGTTTTTAATGTCCTGGTGATCATCGGCCTCTGTGGCATCTTTGCTGGACAGGTGCTTTCACTAACCCTTTTCTTTCATCTGCTCTCATTATCTTAACTTCAAAATGATGTTGAATTAAGTTTTATTTTGTGTCTCCATTCCTCTAGCCAATTCCTCTAAGTTGGTGGCCTTTATTTCGAGATTCTTCCTTCTACATTTTGTCCATAATCATGCTCATCTTGGTAAGAAATCTTTTGTCTCTTCCGACGTAAGATAACATGTCAGAATCATGCAACAAGAAATATGTTTTTCTCGTTGGGATGTCTGCACAGGTGATCTATGATGAAAAGGTTCTGTGGTAAGGATTGTGCATATATTTTCAATGTATTATAAATAATGAACACATTTTATTATTTCACAGGTGGGAAACAATTATTCTGATTTCTATGTATGGAATTTACATAATAATCATGAAGTGAGCATGAAAACTTCTTATGGTTAGTGCTGAGCTGTAATCCGTGAAAGCATTAGAATGTCATGTCTGGATTACAGGTTCAACAGGTCGCTGTGTAATTTGGTGGAGAATCACTGCAGTTTGGGCCAACCTTGTCTCAGCAGCCTGAGACGAACCACTGCAGTTGGAAATATCGGAGATTGTGACAATGATATGGTGCCACTAAAGCAAGGTATTCAAGTGAATGTTTAAGGACATTTGCATTTTTTTATATCAAGGTTTCCCCTGTGAATATTAATTATGATTCATCTGCGTCTCTTGTTCTGTAGACTCAGGTGCTGTGGCCAGCCAGGACACAGGGGTGGTCATGGTGGATGAGCTTTTGAACCTGCACCCTCACCAGCTCTCTTTTTCAGAGGCAAGCCTTCGTCTTCTCATCACCCCGCATTTTCCCCCCTTCACCCGCCTGCGTATGGCAGGACGCATGATCATCAGCGAGGTACACTGCACGCTGACACCCATAAAAATTCTCCTTGTCTCTGTAGCCTGGTACGTATTCAAGTAAAGAATCATATATTATTGGTCAATATTATCATTTGTCTCCAGTTTTTGATGTACGAGATGATTATGTGGATGAAACCAGGGCTGCAGCACGAGAGCCCAATAAAACCAGTTCTGTTCTAATGTCTTAAAAGGTAATCAGAATACAAAAGGCCACAACTAGTTATTTAATGAGCTCCTCAACCAACAATTTCAGGTTTGATACATGACATTTTTGTCTACTTTAAACACAGGCAGACAAGGCACTCAGAGGGTAAAAATGGGGTACTTTCAAACTACACAAAATTGAACTATATATTTGACATATTGAAGACACAGCTTATGATTTTTAAATCCCTTTTGATTGTTTTGGGCTTGTTTGTGTGCCACTGAGGCATTATTACGATAATCCCATCAGGATCGGAATCAATACTCGATACAGTATCAGTATCCATGCATCCCGACTTGCCTCCCTGCATGTACTCCTGCTTTTGGTTTGAAGTATAACTGCTGGTCAGGTTAGTCTAAGGGCACGCTCTGCTCCTCTCACTCTGGCTGCCAATCCACACACTTCCGTCCTGTGCTGCTGTTCCAGAGCTGTGCTCTCATTTGTTTGTGTTCTCCCTCCGTACAGCGACAGAGGTTGATTCAGGCTCGAGGTGAAGAAGGAGCAGCAGGTAAAGAGACAGAAAGAGAGAATGGGACGGTGACTGACCGGGAACGTCAAACTCTTGAGAGTGAAAGCGTCAAAGAAGAAAGTGCAGCTGTACAAGGAGCCGCTGAAATAAAAGAGGAAGATGAAGACGAGCAGGAGGGAGAGGATGAAGATTCTTCTCTTAATCCATTCTGTTTACCTAGTAAGAAAATTACAATGTCTGGCATTTCTGAATGAAATCATGGTAATATACGTATGTATTGTCTCCTTGTGCAGAAGGCTGGTGTGAGCGGGTGAGGTGGCTGGTGTCCTGGCCAGTGAGTTTATTGCTGTACTTCACTGTTCCAAACTGCAACAAGTCACGCTGGGAGCGCTGGTACCTGCTTACCTTTTTGTCCTCTACTCTGTGGATAGCCATATTTTCCTACCTCATGGTCTGGATGGTAAGCTAACTTTTTCTGTAAAAATACATGAAGGAAGATACTAGATCATTCACATTACTGCTCTTCATGTAGGTGACCATCATCAGTTACACATTAGGCATTCCTGAAGTCCTCATGGGCATCACCTTTTTGGCAGCTGGTACCAGCGTGCCTGACTGCATGGCGAGCTTAATTGTTGCAAAACAAGGTGGGTTTTTAGATAAAACAATCATTATTCTTTTCACAGTGCCTAAATATCAGTGATGTAATGCAGAAACTAAACTAATTGAAGACACTTTTGACTGGGGCAGGTATGGGGGACATGGCTGTCTCAAACTCCATAGGCAGTAACATCTTTGATGTGCTGCTTGGACTGGGTTTCCCCTGGGCACTGATAACTCTCATTGTCAGCTACGGATCTGTGGTGAGACCAAGTGTAGGCTATACTTTGTTGATGTGTCTGGTAACAACATGTTTGTTGTAAATGATCAATCTTTGTCCAGGTGAAAATTAACAGCAAAGGGCTGGTTTACTCTGTGATACTGCTGCTGGCCTCTGTCACACTCACCGTAAGTACTACTGCACCTGAATAATACATATTTGGAATTGTTCTGTACATTGTTACAGTGATGAAGACATTGCTGTAGTTACAGTAGTGTGATTGTGCTGTGTCTGTAGGTCCTGTGTGTTCATTTAAACCACTGGAAACTGGACCGAAGACTTGGACTCTGTCTGATGTTGCTCTATGCCATCTTCCTTCTTTGCTCGATTGCCTTTGAAAGGATGTAAAGGACATATTATGTATGAACACTTTTTTTTAATCAGTTTTTGTCACAGCTGCTTGGAGCTAAATACATGTTTTGTTTATTCTGAACCTCGTGGTGACCTGAAGTGACATTTTACTAGCGATGTTCGCATGTGCTAGCTCTTGAGTTTGTGAAAATGTTTAATGCACTGTTTAATATTGCACATTTGTAATTTCACAACGAAATACATTTATATTCAGGTATAGTGCTACGATATACCTTTAACTCATAGTATTTATAATGTAGCAACATCTTCTTGAGCTCATTGTTTCATTTTCAGCATCGATGCTAAGCACCATCAGGTAATTGCATAGAATTCTGTCTTAGTTTGAAATTCTGATTATAAAAGGACATTAGAATCAAGAGCATATGCAGTATCTTAACATGAGTCTGAGGTGTTTCATAAAGAGTAATAGAGAAAGTGGGGTTGACGCGCACATCCAATACTGAGCAGCGTGCAAAAAAAGTCGATAATAGAAAACATGAAAAGAAAAGGAGATGACTCTGCACAGCTTTTAGCTCCCAAGAGTTTTTAATGTTATCACCACAAGATGTGACGTTTCGGGTCACTACCCTTCATCAGACATAAAGAAACCACAGGCTACACACCTGTATATATACACACAGTAATGACAGGTCACATGACTCATTCGATAGTCAAAAAATAAAAATAAACAAACAATGAAATTATCATTAAAGTGTAGCCCCCCTGAAGTGTGATGACAAAAATACTATAGCATAGAGATGGGACGGTACCACAGCATATACGTATATACACACAATAATATACACATTACCAAAAAATGTGAAATGTTCACACCATCACATATTTACATTATAATTTACAATTTACAATATTTACACTAGTAAAAGATACCTTTACTCACAGGAAGGTCTAAAGACACACACAAAAAAAAAAAAAAAATTAATAATACACAAAAAAATGAATCATAGAAAAGGTCTCAGATCAAAGTCTTCGTTTAGACCCTTTGGACTTAGTGTGTCTAGTCACGAAGACTTTGATCTGAGACCTTTTCTATGATTCATTTTTTTGTGTATTATTAATTTTTTTTTTTTTTTTTTTGTGTCTTTAGACCTTCCTGTGAGTAAAGGTATCTTTTACTAGTGTAAATATTGTAAATTGTAAATTATAATGTAAATATGTGATGGTGTGAACATTTCACATTTTTTGGTAATGTGTATATTATTGTGTGTATATACGTATATGCTGTGGTACCGTCCCATCTCTATGCTATAGTATTTTTGTCATCACACTTCAGGGGGGCTACATTTTAATGATAATTTCATTGTTTGTTTATTTTTATTTTTTGACTATCGAATGAGTCATGTGACCTGTCATTACTGTGTGTATATATACAGGTGTGTAGCCTGTGGTTTCTTTATGTCTGATGAAGGGTAGTGACCCGAAACGTCACATCTTGTGGTGATAACATTAAAAACTCTTGGGAGCTAAAAGCTGTGCAGTCATCTCCTTTTCTTTTCATAAAGAGTAATAAACATTGTTTTATTGGATCCATGTCATTATAGAAAAAAATGTACATAATAAATGTCCATTATTTTTGTATTTAAGTGATTTATTTCAGTCAGGCTAAATAAATTTTACCAAAAAAAAAAAAAGTAAAACAAACAACAAAATACATAATTTACAAATACATATTTTGTAAGTTTGACATAAAAACAAAAACATGTCTTGGTCTTAACAAAAATAGAAAATATCAACAGTACATAGAAAGCATATTGAGACATACTTGGTCTTTGCAATACAATAGACTTTACAAATTTCAACTAGAAAAACTCCCAAAGCGTACAAAATGAAAACGATACAACGGAACAAAAAATATCGAATTGTGAATATGTTTAAATACTGGTGTGACCTGCATGCAAAATCCATCGTCGATTATGCCGACTTGACAGCAACATGTTCATCATTCAAATATGTAAATATTAGCTATAAAAGGCAAGCTGCAATCACATTAAATAACAGTGAGCACTACTTTTGGGGGTTTGAGTCGGATGAGTCATGTTCAGTGTAGAGTAGAGGTATTCTCACCCGTAGCATTCATCTTATATTGCTTATTATGGTGCAGCTGGTTACAGCAGTTTGCTGCTACAGTTGATGTACTTTGGCACGGTGTCAACCATTAAATATATAACTTACAAAGATGATGTAAAACTACAGACAAAATGTCAAAACTTCAATTCAATTATGATCATAATTATTTTCAAAATCATCTTTGTGAAAATGTCTATTTTGGCAGAAACAACTTGTCAAAAGTCTACCCCTGATTTTTAAGTGAAAGTGAAAGGATACAGATAAATAGCCATGATGCTAATCCTTTGCTGGTTGCCCCCATGGAGACCATAGTTTCTATGGATACTGATATACGCCCTGTCCCTTGATCTCGAGTGCTCAGTCCAGGTAATTGTACTCTGTAAATGTACATTATGAACAAATACAATTGTATCCACACGGTCTGATGTGAAGACACATGGTGCTGCTACAAACTAGATGTCTCCAACTGATAAAGTAGGTCTGCTATTTAGAGGGTAGGACACTGTTGCATTAGAAGGAACGCATCACTCCGCAGCATTCTGTTGGTAAATGGATGCTTTATCTTTTAGGAGAGCAAGACATAAGTGGCAGCTCCAGCTTCCTGCAAAAACACAGCAAAACCATTGTACTTTATGCCTAGAAATATCTTATAGCATGAAAAGGGTTGGAAGAGTTTCTTACCCTCGGGTGGGTCTGACATAGGAGGAGAGAGACAGTACATATGGTAACCTCTGTCACAATCATCACAAAACAGCAACTGATCCTGTAAAAATAAAAAAGAAATTAGCGTGATGTTTTATTGACGCAATTAAACACAACCTGATTGGCCTTTAGGAATGCACTGTAGCCTCAGGCAGGTTCACCTCAGGTGTAACATTTCATCCATGTAAATGAAATTCAAAATGGGCTTTAATGTTTTTAAACCCAGTCTGTGGGCAAAAGAGTCACATTTGACAGAAAAGTATTTGGCAAAGAGCAAATGGGGAGTCCCACTGCCATCTGTTCAGCACAGCATGTAAAGGCAAAGTATTTGATAACACAACCTACACATCTAAATACCATAACACTTTAATGCAGAACTTTCTCACAGACAATACTCACATCGTTCTCTGAGGTGCCGCACACATTGCAACATTTGCACTCTATGCACTGCCAGCGGTATGTCTTCACAGCCGCCATCATCACTGGAGTGAACTGCAGACAGGTGGGGTGGCCTGAAAACCAGAACAACATACTCATATACACTGCATATTTGGGAGGAGATGAGTTGGGGTTTTACCAGAGCGTCCACAGTCTGAGCAGGACACCAGCCCCTCAGACTGACCAGTCTTCTGATTTAAGGTTGAATCTCCCAGGCAAAAATCACAGTAATCGTTGGGCAGTGCTAATCCGTTCGGACCCTTTTTGGTTGCTGCATAGAAGAAAATGTAGATAAGAAATTAATTTGTGAAGTTCACCATGCGCTCGTGCTCATGTGTGAATTCCAAGAACTACAAACCTGTTCATGCAGCGCTGGCCAATCGAAGAACCACAAAAATACATATGTAGATATAAACTAATGAATCTGGCTACATGTGATTGGACGTGCAAGAAAAACATAGAACAGGGGTGTCAAACATGCAGCCATTTCGGCGGTCCCCAAAAGGATTTTCCCTCACTATTCTACACCTAGAAAGCTGATTAATTTTGGCTATTATGGTATGTTAGACAGGATTTTGAAACTCAAGAAAACCCTTTAATGAATTTTTAACATTGAACCCAAAGTGTAATTAGTATTTTTTTTAATAAAAAGATTAATAATTGGCCTATTATTCTTTGGTGGATCAGAAAAGTATATATCTACAATACAATCTATTATAAAGTCCACTTTTGGCTCCATCCAAACATAACTTTTTATTTAAAAAAAAATATACCAAAATGCATGTTAAATAAAAGTCCAAATATATAGTATAAAAAAATAGCCCAAAATGAGCTAAAAATATAATTTCCACTAAGAACACGAGATAGTGTGATATGACTGTAAAGTCATAAACTTTTGGCCCTAAACCAGCTCACAGAGTACGACACCCCTGACACAGAGGCTGCGACGGAAGAGGAATTAAGTTTAACAAGTCCCAATGTGTTTTAGGACATTATGAATGACTACACCTATACAACCAAGACACTTTCAAACGTCACAATGCATAAAGGAAAAGACAATATCAATATCTGATCTCACACATGCAACACGGCATGCACCAGCCCCTCCCAGTGTCGGCCTCTCAGCGCTGGACTCACTCTTGGGCTCGTCAGGCTGCCGAGGAGTGGGTGGTGCCTCGAGCTCCTCGCGGTCCTCGCCCTCCTCCTCGGCCAGGTGCGAGTGTGTATAGTGATAGCTCAGGCCAGGGCGGTTCTTGTAGCGCTTCCCACAGACTGACACACACACAGTCACACAAGGTTTGTACAACAATAACCAACAAAAAAACTTAAAACCAGTAATTGTTTACATGTGTGGCTCTAAACGCACCAAAACTCTTGATATACTATGTAGTCTTTTTAAAATGATCACGTGGTAATAGGATTTTACCATCCAAGAATTGTCAAATTGACGGTCCTAAGTTACTTATAAATATGTTATGTTCTCTTCTATTTACACAATACTAATAACAATACTAACAGCAATACCAGTTTCATCACCAGTTACACACTCTATACAGTATTTTGAACCAATGTGTAAATCTTACAGTGACGTCGCATAAAAATATGCAACATGGAGATCAGCACTCCAGTTTTCAAAATAAAATTTAAAAAAAAAACAAAAAAACACCCAATTAGTGGCTTAGGATCAATTTTAATTTCCCAGTAAATAATTATGACTTATTTACTGGGAATATCCAGCTGAATTGCAATTATGCCAGTACCAGAATGTTATCGTGACAGGCCTTTCTACTGCTACAGTCTGTACTCACTGTCACAGGCGTATGGTTTGTCCCGCTCTTCCAATGCAGCGGCAGCAGTGGCCTCAGATTTCTTCTTGCCGTTCTTATCGCTGCGTCCCTATATCATTACTTTTAAGTTAGTTTCAAACCAAGAATTTTTTGTAAATACAATTATACCATACTTACCTTTGACTTGCTTTTTCCTCTTCTTTTGGGTGTCTCGTCTTCAAAGTCCTCATCATCCAGGTCATCTAAGTAGTCGTCATGGTCTACGACTCTCTAATATTTCAGAAATACAGGTATCATTGCACCGAAATGAACTCTGATTACATTAGACAGTGTGTTTCATGTGTTTCATTTTAAAGTATCTCTAAATGCAAGTACAGTGCCTCTCCAAATACGCATGGTCCATCATCAGTCATACATGACCCAAATCTGGCCTTTATGGACAAATAGCAAATAGAAAGTCAGCGTTGAAATAAAGCCACAAGAAGCAACATGTGGAAAATTATGCTGTGGTCAGAGGAGACCAAAAGGAACCTCTTTGGTTCAAATGCAACATGTTATGTACGGCTCCCTCAGTGCGCCATCCTCATTGACAAATTTGTCTTTCTGTCTGAAGAAACTGTTTGGAAAAGTTCTGCATGAAACTCTAAGAACTCTGAAACTGCAAGAAAAAGCCCCACTTGCATCTGTGCTTCTGAACCCCACTCACTTTTTCTTTTTTTGACGACTTCAGTTGTTTGTAACCTTGTTGTGGTCTTTCAGTTAAATATTTAAAAAAGGCCCAGTGACCCTATGCCACTGAACGACTAAGTTGCAATGTTTGGTGGAATTCGTGTTTCAAAAACATGTACAACATTTCCTTTGATTTCCATGAGCAAAATAACAGCCAAAAGACTGTTTCTCCTCACACATGCACCACCTGCTGCATTAATTACCTGCCTTCCTCCTTCCTCCTTCGTCGTGCAAGGACGTGTCTTAGTCCGCTCCTGCTTCTGAACGGCTTGCTATCTCCTGTTTTTGTCTTTTTTTCCTGGAGTTTTGCCACAGACAACTTTAACAGAATGGAAATGATTAACTGGTCCCTCAACGCAATTGATTCTATCTTTTCAACACGTAAGCGCGGGTCTGGAGAGCCCGTGTGCCCGGACGGGACTTCACCAGCGGGGTATACGCTTGACAGCTGGAACAAGTTTCAGCCCCTCTGTCTGTCGACCCTGTCCATTGAAGATTCGGAAGACGTATATATCTTTGGCATTTTGGTGGTGGGGATCCTCCTGTTTGGGTTTGGAGCGGTTCTCTTCTACCACAAATTCGGAGGCATGGCAGTTCGCAAGATTCACAACCTGCTGGCCGAAAAAATTGATGGGATGTACAAGGAGCTTAACCGAGTCGTGGTTGAGAGCGCTGTGGCTGGACAACGAAGAGTGGTGTTAGTGGAACAGTTGATCAAAGATCTCGCAGCTCGTTCACTTGATGGTCATAAGACTCTGGAATTGAGATTGAATGACATTGTCTGCCAGGCTTGAACTCTCTGACCCGGCTTGGATTTGCCCCTGTGTACGGGGTCTGAGGGCGCTGTAATTTGGTCTAATTGGATTTAATAGAATATCTGCCTGTTTTTGACTGCTAAACTGCACACAATATTGTCCCTCGTTACAGGAGATGTGTTCTCTCCCTATTGTGTCTTCCCTCCTCTCTTATCTCACATTCCTCGGGCCAAGGCCATCATAATAAATCTGGTCTCTACAAAAATTTCACACTCTTTCAGTCTTCCAGTTTGGATCCCGCTCCCCCCGCCTCCCTCTGATCTCTCCCTCCCCTCCCCTCCTTACTGTGTTTCCGACTCACCCCCTCCCTGACCCCGCCCCCCTCTGACAGCCACATTGGACCGGCAGGCCGGAGGTGCTCATCCCGTGGAAAAAATCCGTGGTTTATACAAAGCACAATGTTTTCTATCCAACTGTCTGTTGTTACCTGAATGTTATTGCTCTCTGCTGTTTCTTGCTGCACACAGCGCCGCAAATGGCGAAGTGGCACGCTCTCTGCCAAGACAATTTCCAAGTGATAACTTTGTTACTCACGTGGCAATAAAAATGATTCTGATTCTGATTCTGATTAAAAGGGACACTGTGTAATATTTAGTGCTATCTAGCGTTGAGATCTTATATTGCAGTCTACTAAAGTACGGTGGCCTTTGAGTTGACTCTCAGTAATTCACCAGACTGCCAAGGAAAGAATACTTTAGTTTGATAAATGACCGGATCTTTCCAAATGTTTCGGGCACTTGACAGACGCGTGGAGCCGACATGTAAACAAGACCACGTTCAGACCATAGACTGTATATAATAACGGACAGAGTCACGCCTATCTCCGCCGTTCATAGGAGTTGGCCATGAAAAGTGCTTTCATGGAGCAATCCAAGATGGCCGCGAGTGGTCCCGCCCACAAGAAAATTGTGAAAAAAACGCATCTGCGCATGCGTCAGCCGGCGCAGCTCCATTCATTTGAACGAGAGACTTCAAAAATTCCCTGCGAGTAAACTAGAGTGGACCAAAATAATTCACCCCCCTCAGCATTGACACACATGTGGAACGGAGCTTTGGGCCACGAGCCAACTTTTGGTCCATCCTGTAAAGACGTTTTTGAGAGGTCTGCTAACGCTATATGTTAGCATTGGCTAATTCTTCTTCTGGGTCCACCCCCAACGGCCCGGGGTGGTAATGCAGCATGTCAGCGCACGTCATTTTGGCCACTTTTGAGCTGGGACGCTCCCCCACTGGTTCAGACCCAGCTCCCGCTGCACAGAGGCTCTACTGAGTGTTACCATGGATCTATTATAATATATAGTTTTACAAACGCGGTGTGAAGAGAAGAGACACATGGAGGAATAACGTCTGTGAGAGCTTAAAACTACGGTGATCAAAGAAGAAGGAGATATACAGAGCCGCGGAGGACATGGCAAAGCTCATGTTAGCATTAGCGTTAGCCACAGCGCCCTTTCTGCATCACCAGGTAAGAAAAACAGAACATTCACTCACGCTGCTGATACATTATTCTGGCGATGGTTTTGTGGGGATTCTGTGTGTTTTATTTGAGGCTTTTTCTTTGAATAAGTTTAGTTGAAACTTGTGACAGTAGTTGGATTGCGCTCGGATTGGGTCAGAACATCCTGAGACTGTTGCAGATTCTGCCTCGTTTTCATTATTGTCAGTGTGAAAAAGTTACGTATTGTTCATGTGTGAGTCTGTTGTGTACAAACTACACAATGTGCGTCCTGTTGTGTTAACGCTGTCTTTGTGCGTGTGGTTTGCGATGTTGACACTTTGCTGCTATGACGCTGGACTTCTGCATAATTATATGTCTAAAAGATTGTTGTTCGGATCGTTCTTTTACATAATTGTGGTCCTCCATGGTTCCTTCTTCCAACTTGTGACGGCGCGGCAAAAAGCAACTATATCCGTAGCTCATGTGAAACGAAAACGCAATTCTCGCATCCTTTTTGTCCCTTATCCACCACCGTTTAAGATGTCGCATTTACACGGATAGTCCTCCTCTCTCCTGGACACTTATAAGTTCAATTCTAAGCCTATGAATACAATTCATAAAGCATGGTGGAGGTAAATATTCTTAAAAAGGTCACATTTGTTATTAGTTAACATGTTTTTTTCATATGGAGCAGCTGTAAAAATTACACAGGGTGGCTTTAAAAACAGGTGTGACCGTTTCCAGCACTAGTGGCATCTAGAGGCACATTTTGGCCACTAAGGTTGATGGTTGTAACATGACAAAATGGGCAGAAGTCAATGCTGTATAAATACTTCTGAGAGACACAGTATATCTAATCTTGATTATATTATTTTTGATTGCCGCTTTATTCCTCTATTGTTCTGGAACCAGTCTGTCCGGCAGATAGAAAGGAGGCTATGACCTTTGATTTGGTTAGTTATCACAACAAACCCTGAATATTATCTCATAGCGCCTGACCTTGCGGATGCGTCCTGAAGTTGCGGATGCAGGAGGTTCCACAGTGGCTACATCTTCTTCAGTACCGCGAAGATCAGACACTCCACTTCTTCTATCAAGAGGCTCTCCCTTGAGCAGCGCCTCCAAACTGCTGCCATCCACGGCCGCCAATCCGTCACGTTTTATTCCCAACTCTATATCAGCTACAAAAGACAAGACTTATTTTTGGGGGGCCAACCTTTTCATCTCTAGAACCTACATAATGATGACACTTGATACATAGTTTGGGCATTCATTCAAGTCCAGAATGACTTGTGTTGATCATTTGAGGCCTTCATTGATGGAATCATGTGCTGCTTTACCTGCTTTGAGGGGAGGGAAGGCCAAACGCGGGTCCTCAGGGGGGTGGGAGCGCCTCTTCTTTCTCCAGCGACGAGCTGGATATGTGTACAGCTGACCAGGTCCTACACCTAGAAACACAGTATAGAGTTCAATCAATCAAATCAATTTTATTAATAGAGCCCTTTACAACACTCAAGGCGACCAAAGTGCTTCACAATAAAATTACATAAAATCAATTTAAAACATTTATGCACTACAACAATAAAACATTTTTAAAAAAATATTTAAAAAAGCATTGAAAAAGTGTCACCTGCTATTGAGTGATAAGTGTTAAAAGCCAGAGTTGCAAGACTTCATTGTGCTCATTAAATGTGCTCCTACTATAGTATATTATTATTGCAAGAATGTTTTTCATATTCAACTGGTATATGAATATAAATTTAAAACTGCAAAAACATGAGTATAATTAAAGCACGACATGATGAATGGGCTCCATTTTAGAACAGACAGCCTGAAAAGTAACTTTCAAAAAAACTAGAAAGCCATACAACAGTGTTTTTACTCACTACTAAAACAATAATATAATATGCATGTGGTGCATGAAAAAAATACGAAATGTACAAATTGAAAAGAGTATAATAAGTCTCTGAATGTATGATTAACAGTAAAATTTTGAAACCCTGTTTCTAACCATTTGTACATTGCCTGTCAATTGGAAACACCAGACGAGCATGGTGCCTTGCAACTACCATCTTCGTCTTTTTGGTGAAGTCTGGAGCATAAAACTGTTAAATACCTAATGCTGTGATTATGACAGATGCAGATGAAGTCTAAAATCACTGACATCAGGGTATGACATACCTGCACTGCGATGCCTTTTCTCCATCCAGATATAACAGTTGGACTGGGCCACACCAGTCTGAGAGTCCAGGAAGGGCATGAGGATGCTGCGCTCGGCACAGAGACGAGCATTGTAACTGTGACACTGCTCCATAGCATCTTTGTAGTACTGCTCTCCCAGCCTGAGGGAACAAGACACACATGATCAATCCAACAAAGCCACTACATTCAAGAATTAACCAAACTTAGGAAAGAATGTATGTGTACTAACCGACATATAAATGATGGCTCTATACAGATTTTAATTCAAAAGTTCGCACAATGAAACATGGATAAGTTTGTAGCGGAGAATCACAACAGAAAAGATTGGAACAAAAGGCGCCTCTCTCATTACAACAAAGCGCCCGCCAATAACATATATCTGAAACATTTAGTGATGTATAATTTATCATGTTCCGCTTTAGACTATAAGAATCGAAAACGTTGAATACTATAAAAGGATGGTGACCATTTGATGGCAATAAGTTCTGGTAATTTCATGAAGTCCTTCTTTCACATCAGCCCAGAGCTAACAAGCTAATCATAGCATCCCTTAATGAAAGATCCCTTAATGTTATTTTACAATATGTATTTGGACCAATATGGAGTTAATGACAATAATTATGTACAAAAACAAGACTAAAATCATTGTTTGTGGTAAATATAAGCAGTTAGTCACAAAGATAAACTTACACTTTCACAACACTATCGACGGCCGCGGCCATGTTTCTGCGGGGGTGCGGAGTGCTACTGCGCATGCGTACCGTGCTGCGTGAGCGTGGTAAAACTATAGTAGTATAGTGGGTTTGCGTCATGGATCTATAATAATAATTACATAATTCACCCATAGAACTAATTACCATCTCAGAGTTCCGGGGAGGTACAGTTTTTACCCGGGGATTAAAAAAAAAACGAGTCGCACCCATGGATCGCACCCATAGATCTATTACTCCGTTGTAGTTTGAATATTGACTTTTAATGGCATTAAAACGATTGTCACCTCTGTTTGACACTCCACCTCTGACACCGTTACTTTGGGCTTGTACACCACAGTAGAACATAGACTGTATATGGGCAGAACATGTGACTATTCCTTCTCATATTAAATTGTGCGGTTATTCTTTGCAAGTTACTTTAGCTTAGGGTGAAAGCTCAAATCCATCCACTCCCATAGACAATAATGGGAACCTATTATATTTCGATGGTATACTTTTCTTTATTCGTTGTGAGTTACTCACAACTTCACAAGGATCGATTAATCGATTAGCTCTAATGTTAGTGTTTAATATTTACAGTCTATGGTTTAAACTGTTTAACCTTGTGGGGAAACAAATCCATCTCGACCCAAATAAATTAAGGATCTAAAAGGATTTTATATTTTGATTTGATCAGTCAAACATGGGTTAATTCAACTTACAAAGGCCTCCAAACTAGGCCACCTCACAGTCAGAGACGCGCAGTGAAAAAAGTTTCTCCATTTGCCCCAGTCTTCTCCTGCTGTGATTGGCTGTTCTCACAGTCACTGAGAGCAGTGCTGCTGGCCTCCAGAGGAGCGCGCGTGTGGCGCGCACGCTGAAAGTCAGAATATTCTTCATACTTAGTTGTACAGAAGCATGAATGTCCCAGGGCTTGTGACGGTGCTCCTCTTCTATCTTCTAGTGCTGGGCATCGGGATCTGGGCCTCCGTCAAGTCCAAGCGGAACCAGAGCCACACGGAGCCATGCACTGAGCACACCTTGTTGGGGAACCGGGGGATCAGTCTGACCGTGGGGGTCTTCACTATGACAGGTCTGTATTCCACTGCCCATCATACTTGTCGACTCATTTAGTCATGTGTTTAAATCTTGTCGGCTCAAATCTTTTGAAATACATTTGCTGGTTTTGTGTTTGTTTAGTTTGTGTTAGTCTGTATATTTTTTTCATTATTTCTATAACAGAGTCGACATTATTTTAATAGATTGTAGAGGCTGTATCTCACTTGACATTATGCCAATTTCAAAATTTAAATATTTTTAGTTTCGGCTGTGTTCTGGCCGTACATTTTTTAAAGCTTATTGCCATTTTCATTTTAACATAATATAATTTGAGCCCAAAGGGTCACTTCTGTCAATATTTAGTACATAACTTACCAGTTTATAGTCAATGCTCTCATGTTGTAAATTCACCGGACACAACTCAATATCATCTTTACTGCACCAATATATTGTCTATCAAAATGTGTGATTGTGAGTGTAACAGTGTTCACTTCATATAGATTTTGTTGTTCTCTTATAGCCACATTTGTTGGAGGAGGTTTTATCACAGGATTAACAGAGGCTGTGTACACCCCGACCATGGGACTAACCTGGGCGGTGATGCCTGTAACCGCTGCCATATCATTTATAATTGGTATAGCATTGTATAAAATAATTGTTGCTTTGTTCCTATCTCCATTATGGTAATTAATAGCCCTGATAATGTCTTTTTGCAATTTAGGTGGACTTTTCTTTGCAAAGAAAATGAGAGAGAGAAAGTATGTGACAATGATGGACCCGTTTCAGCAGAAGTACGGAAATATGATTAGTGCCATTTTGTCTGTAGCACTTCTGATTTCAGACATTATCTGGGTAACCGGAACTCTCATAGGTTTAGGTATTATTTAATGTTTTCTTTTTATTGAACGCATCTTCAAAATGAAATGTTCATTGTGTTTTGTATTTAATTTTCCATGTTTTTAAAGGTTCAGCAATGAGTGTGATCTTAGACGTGCCTTATTCTGTGTGTATTTGGTTATCCGCCGCGGTTGCCATAATCTACACCCTCCTTGGTGGTCTGTACAGTGTTGCGTACACCGACATTATACAACTAATTCTCATTTTCTGCAGTCTGGTTAGTAATATCAGTCACAAAACAACCTTCTTTTAATGCATGCACTTATTTAATCTAACTTTTCCAGTGGTTATGTGTCCCTTTTGTATTGACGAGCCCTTATGCAGAAGATATCACCAAGACTGCATTCAAGTTTATTAACCAGCCTCCTTGGACCGGCTCTGTGAATAAACAGAATGTGTGGATTTGGCTTGATAATTTCCTATTACTGGTAAAGTTATTGTTCTCTTATCTTTAGTAAATGTGTAGCCACTTATAAAATGAACCACTGAAACACTTCATAGGACCATAAACTAGATCTTGGCAGCTGACCATTTGTGCACCTCAAATATACATCTTCTTAATGTGTTGAACAATGATCACAAAGTGAAAATACAGACGTATGATATACTGTAAGTGCAGACAAAGTGTGAACAATGACCTTCACACAAAAGCCAAACGCAGACATAACATGGAAGTGATGGCGACTTCAGACGAATACAATAAGTCAGCAAAAAAGAACAAGCAACTTTAAGGACTTTAATTATGTGTTTGTGCGTGTGCTTCTCTTAGTTTGGTCCACGATCTTTGCCCCTATTTTCCTATCCTTTTTGGGTACATATGCATGTGCTGCATTAATAAGTTTATTGTGTTGCAAGTTTAAGTCTGATAGATGTGTGTCAGCTTTAAGCCACTGCTCAGTGATCGGACACACACCTGACTGGAAGGTGGTTTGGTTCACTCTTCCTCCCATTTGTGTTATTGTTTGAATGTTATTGTCAATATATACTGTATTGACATCCTATACGGCCTGGTGGCCGAGTGGATAGCACTCTCACTTTTCTTGCTGAAAAGTGAGAGTGCTGTTGTTTGACCTGGGTTCGAATCCTGGTTGAATGGTGTGTTTCTGAGTGGAGTTTGCATGTTCTCCCCGTGTCTGTGTCCTCCGTGTACTCTGGTTTCCCCTACCACTAAAGACATGTACAATAGGTCTGGCAACCTTGCGTCCATCTCTGTGTGGAGTGAGAAATAAATGCCCACAATTGTAAAGCGCTTTGTGACTGGTTTGTGAAATGCGCTGTACAAATAAACTATAACATCTGTGTGGTTCTAGTTTAAGGAGATAATTTTTGTTCATCTGTGATTATGAGAAAGATCAAATTACATTTGAGTTGCTGGATGATAATGTGGTATTTTGTATAATATTTAATTTAATTGTGCTGTATATCTCCTCAATTTGTTTTTATTGTCAACACTGAGATTACTTCCTTTGATGTTTACAGTTGTTGTTCTTTGTTCTTGTTCCATTCTAGTTGAGCCTCTTGTTTCTTTTTGTAGAAAGAATCCATTGAGAGATTATTGTGTCTTGCTGTACTGTTTTCCTGTTTCCCAGACTATTGATGGAGAGGACTCTGGAGAGTCGTTCAATTCTAGAAAACATGTCAAACTTGATCTTTGAGGAGGGATGTGTTGAAGCGTCACCTGCTGGTGGTTTTAGATTGAAGCTCATGGTAAACTTCTCTGTGATAGCTATTTATTATTGAAATGATGTTTGTGTCCGTTATATTAGTCAGTAGAGAGTTGGAGATAATGGAAATAATGTGTTTGTGTATGATTTGTGAACGGCTAAAGAAAATGTGTTTTCTTTTGCAGATGAGTGTGGATCACTCATGCACTGGTTTATAATATTTGGAGATTGGTGAATACGTTTTTTGAAATAGGAGTGGTTCAGTACCCCTTCTGGGTAGGACATTGTTGAGTTGAGGCGGAGGAAGGTTTGTGGAATTGGGTAGGATTTCATTTTGATTCATCAGATTGAGAGAAATCAGTTACTTTTAATTGACAAATATCTGATAGTTTTGAAATCAGTTTTTTTTTTGTTATTTTCTTGAACGCCTAAACCTCTAAAAAATACTATGAAATTTTTATGTGCGCATTCCTGCGCTTGTGTGTTAGGGAGGGAGAGGGAAAAGAAGGCGCTTAGGGAAAGGATAGAGATGGTCACAGATGGTTATCCAGCCTGTATATGTAAATGTGTGTGTGCGTGCGTCTGTATATTAATTGCATTTTAGTAAACCAAGAATGTTGTTACCCACATATAAATACATTCAATTAATATATTGTTTTGTATTAATCAAATTTATAAAAATGATTAGATGATGAATTGGTGTTGATGTATTTTCTGACTCTGCCTTTTAGATTCTTGGTAATTTAGGTTATCAGGACTTTCACCAGAGGACTCTGTCTTCGTCCTCAGCGTCCACAGCCAGGACCACGTGTTTCATTGCGGCCCCCATGATGTTTGTGCTGGGAATCCCCCCTGTGCTGATCGGAGCAGCCGCTGCATCCACAAGTACACAGCCTGCTACTTGCTGCATACACGTTCACAGAACAGTATCCTACTCGGTCAAGAATCTAATTCTTGTTAACTTCAATAAGGGATAGGGTGACTTAAAGACAAGTAGGAGTACTTCACTTTCAAATCGGAAAAAATAACTTTGTAAAAAAGTACTACAAAAAAACAGATTTGAACTCTCTAGTTTTCATCTGCATTTATTTTTGTCTCTGTCGCATATTTGAGGCGTAAACCAACAAAGTGTGGACAGCATCTCCATGTTATAAATATGATCATTGTACAGGGTTTAGTGCCTGTTTCAGGACAGTCTTCTTGTCCAATATACCACGTCACCATAAGTTGAACTCTGTAGCCACACATTTTCAGCATGTTTCCAGTGGTCAAAAAGTTGAGCTCTTCTTGCAAATGATTATAGACAGGAAGTGTTGACATCTTTATGGCGCTATGTAGGATTTTGTTTGCAGATCCTAACACAATCGCCCCCTACTTCTCTAAATCATTTTAGACAAGGAGAGTCCCTCACTCAGTTACACCCTGGGGTATATACTAGTGGAAAATATCACACTTGGAATTAGTTTGTCTAAGTACAGTATGAGGTGTATGTGATAACATTTGTTTACCTCATCTTGATGGCAACTTGGTAAACACAGACCAGAGTTACAATGAGTTATACATTCAGGTTTATTTTCAGGTGTATTTTTCATCACTCAGACAATAGCGGTAAGCCACTTTTGTAGCCGCAACTGCCCTGGGTCACACTGATGGAACATACAGGAGACACCCTGGTACTTTCTGACCTGTTGTAGGCCGACATGTTTTTAGTGGAAGGGGAAACCACCGAGCCCAGAGGAAAACTATGCAGACCCTAGTTAGAGACAGCTATAATTTGATTTCACTTAATGTTTTCAGACTGGAGCATGACGACGTACGGATCTCCATCCCCGTATGAGCGCGGTGAAGCAGGACAGGTTCTGCCCATTGCTTTGCACCATCTCAGTCCGTCCTTCATCTCCATCGTGGGCATTGGAGCTGTGGCTGCGGCTGTCATGTCTTCTACAGACTCTGCACTGCTGTCCGCAGCCTCCATATTCACATCCAATATCTACAAGAACATTTTGAGGACAAAGGTAGGAGTTTTATTTGTTGCTACAGAGGATTTCTTCCTTTTCTTCAATATACATTCTATATTGTATTTGCAGATCACATTCATTATTATTATTATAATCTTATTTGTGTCTCTAGACACAAGGTAAACATGTACATCTATGTACAAAAACTATAGCCACGTTGTTGTTACTCAACAAGCATCTTATCTGTGTGTTGTTACCGTCACAAAGGGTGGTCTTTGCTGGACAGAATGCAGTCATTATTTTTTGTAATGTGAGGTTGAGCTGCTCAAATCCAATCGTTGTCCTCAGTCACAATTTGAAATGACGACTTTTGTTCTGCACTCAACGTTCTCATTAAAATAGATAAGATTAAGATAAAGATTGATCTGTTTGAACACTTGTACAATAAAACCTTGTAAAATATCCTCTTCCTAGTGTGTGTGTGTGTGTGTGTGTGTGTGTGTGTGTGTGTGTGTGTGTGTGTGTGTGTAGATAGACTAATCTACAAATAATTTAATTGTAGTTTGTGTGGGCCTTGTGTTTCCGCAGGCAGCAGAGACAGAGCTCCAGTGGGTCATTCGCATCACTGTGGTGGTTGTTGGTCTGCTGGGCACCTCGCTGTCATTTCTCAGCAACAGTGTTATGATGTTCTGGATCCTGGGCTCGAGCATTACCTACACCATCATGTTCCCTCAGCTCGTCTGCGTCCTCTTTTGTGACGTCTCTAATGCCTGTGGATGTGTCATGGGCATTCTAACTGCAGCGTTGATCAAAGTCCTGAGTGGGGAACCCGCGCTGGGCTGGCCACCGCTGTTCTATTACCCCGGGTGTCCTGTTGTAGATGGAGCGTATGTCCAATGTGCTCCTGTTCAGACCATTTCCATGCTCTGTGGATTTATTTCCACTGTTATATTTTCCTCTATAGCACATTATTCTGGAAAGACTTTATCCCTGAATAATGATATGTTGGTAAAGTCAAAACATGTAAAGCACCAAAGAACAGAATTGCAACATTTGGGACGAGACGGTACAAATGTGAATAATGATATGATATGATTATTTAGGAAATAGTTAAATAACATAAAAAACAAATAAGACATATTTTATATGCTTCACAGCAATAAAGTCATTGGTTCGAATCCATGTCATTGTTCTCCCAGAGTCTGCATAGGTTTCCTCCAGGCGCTCCCCAACCACTAGAAACACAGAGAATGAGTCTGAATGTAATACTCGCTTCTGCACTCTTCTGTGTAGAGCATAGACTGTAAGTGTAGAGGGAATGGGAATTACCCTCCACGAAAACATTGTAAAACCAAATTGTGTTAAATAAATTAACTTACTTAAATAAAGATTCACTAACTCAAGTACTTAATTTCTAAGTGCATGTAAACTACTTTCACTTCATTGCCATTTGATCTTAAATTGCTTTTTAGAAAGTATAAGTAATTTGAGATTATATTGCGAAATCGCTTGTGATATTTGTTGTACCACTACCTACCGCAGCGGGGCGTACTGTCTCCTGGGTGCATTTGAGTGCATCAGTAAGAGCAAGAGCAGGAGAAGAAGAAGCAGATGAAGCAGGAAGTGTGTGCAGGCTGCAGATCATGGATGTATTATAATAACTGGATAGGGTATTACTAGCTTGTAGCTGAATAACTCACGTGCTCAGGGGATTCTCGCGGTACTGCAGACTGAACCAGACTAAATTCACGTGGGCTACCCAGAAATTTTCCCCATAGAACTCAATGCATATTAAAACAGCTCAACCTCAGCTGACAGAGAACCTACAGCTTTAATAAAGATCGGATTTTGTGGGGATTTTAGTGTCCCTTGTCATCCTGAACTTTTTTTCTTCTTAAATCCTTCGGTTTTGTTTAAATCCACACTTTAGTGCCACAAACTCTGCTCCTCTGGCTCTCGCTCTAACTCCCGCTCTGATGAACTGCTCTGATTGGTCAGAACGCGGCCGAGCCCCTCTGTGCACGTGCGTGAGACCCGGTGTGAGACCCACACACGCGTGTTTGGCGCAACGCATTATGGGAGATCATCCACTGCGCAGAACCGGGAGGACCAGACGATGCCCAAATACAGGCGAGTTTCCCATAGATCTTTGCGAGTTTCAGGCAACTTCCGCTAATCTTTCAGCCCCCATGCCGTCACAAAGCGCCACTGAGCACAACCATTCATTTGAATAGGGCGCCATCTTGGATCGCCGGGGCTTGCTGCAGATGCATGTGGAGTACTAGGGGCACATGGATCTGTTTGCGCTCATTTAATACTGTATTTATAATGCATGAATGAAGAAAAGATTGAACCAGGTTTGTGTACGATCTGCTATATGTGTTTTACAACAGAAAAGTGAACTTATGTAAGAGGAGTATGTGGTTGACTGATGCATCAAACACCTTATCCACACGTCATAATCATACGGTACCCACATTTTAAGGCTATTGTGTGACTGTGGGGTTGGTACACACTGAGCTACTAGAAAGTCCACTCAGTTTGGTCGAGCGTCTTTCACCTGGTTAAACATCCTCCTGGTAATGTTTGTTACAGGTTTAGAACATGGAGACTGGGGGAGCTCCTCACAGCCTGGATGGAGTGGATGCTGCCGCCGGACCGTCCACTTCTGTGCAAACGCCCCGGAAATCCAACTGGACCTTGCTGGAAAAGGCTGTTCAGCTGAAAACCGAGGGAAATTCTTTTTACAGAGAAAAAAACCTGCGTCAAGCCATCAAACATTACCACAGTGCTCTGCTGATTCTCCGGGGCCTGGACTCTGATGTGATGTCTCCTCTAAAAGGATTTGGACCTGTGGCACAACCCCTTTTACCTGAACAAGAAATGCTGCTGAGGAACACACAAGTGGACATCTTCAACAATTTAGCTGGTACTGAATACTATACACTGATACACTGTTCAAAAAGTATTGTACAGTAGTCACTGACTCTTTGGTTGGAGCGCCTTTAGCTCTGATGTTTTCATTCAAAGCTGTTTCAGAAGATTCAGTCAGTAGATGAATTTACCTCCAGTCTTACAATAATTGTTTACCAAAATCTTGTATTGATGAATAGTGTGGCCATCATTTCCCCAGAATGTCTCATTGTCATTAGAGACGATATGGACTAATATGTGGCGCAGACAAACCCACTTGTGACCCCCTCAGGGCCAGAGGACAAAGGCGAAGGTGAAGTGATTATCATGTACCCACAAAATGGGTTGAGCTGACTCCCTGAAGATCCTGATAATTGTTTCCAGGGATAATAGCTTACTTTATTTAAATTAGTAAAATACGTATGAATCAATGTGTCAGCAAATGGCTTAAACATAAATAAGCTGGAATTGGTACTGAAGCTAAATTGCATCAATTGTGCAAAGGCAGGTGGAAATATAACTCGCACACCGGAGTTAGTCTTTCCAGCAACATGACCCTGGGGAGATTTTATGGAAAACCTCGTAAATGATTAAATATGTTTTTGTATTTGTCTTGCAATAACAGATGTTGTGTCATAAACACAACAATGACATTACAGCCGTACAAAACAATTAACAAAACACAGGTTTTAGATCTTGCTCTACGGGTGCTTTTTGATTTTAAGTAGACAAAATGATTATTCACAAAGCTCACATTTGGTGGAAGTAGTTTAAGGAGGTGTCATTATCACATGGATATGCTGTCACCAGAGTCCAGATTTAGACCCTGCTTTGTAAAACTGATTGTTAGGGCTGGATCAGGGCCATAACAAATTGGGAGGCGGAACGGGGGTAAAAAGTGCAACGTATATTTAATAATAACAAAAGACGAATATAACATGGACAAAAACAAGGTATGAGGTGAGCATGTTGAAATCAGTAGTGTGGTGCAGGTGTGTGAGTGCAATGAAAGCCAGTGTATGGTGTGCAGTGAATGTGGTGCATAAACCAAAAAACAAACTCATGTGCACAAAAGGAATGAGCATGTCCGCTCCAGGCAGAGCCCACCAGGACAGAAGCACAGGAGAGAGTGAGCAGCTCACAGCTGAGAAGGTCCACTGATGAGGGGCGTGGCAAGGTGCAGGGGTGTACCTGCACAGAGGAGGAGAAGGCAGGCAAACTGATACAGCTCCCTCTTCTGGACAGTAAGGGCCTGGTCCGTAACACTGATGAATGGATGCTTTAATCAAAGCTGAATGTGCTTTAACAAAATTGATCATGCAGAAGTAGATTAGATTGTGCAGGTTTGAAATAAATAGAGTCTTTCTAGTTCTTCCAAAATTCTACCAATTTCATTATCTTCAATCTAAATTTGTCAAATTGTTATTGCATGTGTACCACTTGGTGTGGATTGGCTTTGGGGCCCGGGCTACTGTCATGTGCAGTTATATTTGTAATAATGTGTAAATACTTTTTTATGCTCTTACCTTACCTAGTATTTGCCCTAACCTTAGACCCAGAAAAATCCTGATTTGGATCTATGAAGGTTGAATACTTAGAGCTGTGTGTAAAGTTTGAAAACTACTAGCCTAACAGCCTATAAATCAATCAAGTTCCCTAAATGATGGCGAAACAAGCATCGATTTGGAGTCTTTACTAGAATTCAACTTTATAAATGTAATTTGCCTTTCTTTCAGCCTGTTTGCTGCAGAAAGAGACTGTCAATTACTCTCGCGTCCAGGAGTACAGCTTGCGTGTTTTACATTGGCAACCACATAATGTAAAAGCACTGTACAGAGCAGGAGTGGCTACGCTGGAGCTGGGAGATCCTTTGATGGCAACAGTGTATCTCACTCAGGCATTCAAAGAACAGCCTCATGGTAATCTGCAAACTGTTTGATTTCATTGTTGATCCAAAGGCTTGAATAATGTTCTCAACGTATAATTGCTGTCTACAGATGTAAATATTAAAAAATACCTTCAAAAATCTACGAAGAAGCAGAATCAGGAGTTAGAAAGAGAGAAGGCCATGTATCGAGAGATGTTTTCACCCACCACGAAGAGCCGCTCTGGAGATGGACTTGACCAAAAGCATGAAATTGGTGATGAAGGACTTCATGTGCTATAATTGTCTACAAACCTACTCACGGTTGTTTCACGGTTGTTTCATGATCCTGCAGTCCATGGCTCACCTCGGAGATATGAGGATAAGGGTTATCGCCTCTGTGCACTTTGTCATTCTTTAAATTTATTTGGTGCATATTTTAATGTTGGCAAAATGCACTGGACGTAAAGTAAACAAGTTTGCAAATATTTTCACAGAAATGCCTGTACACATTTTGATGTTTACTGTCTTTGAGCATACAAACGGTTCTGTAATGTTTTGAGTCGTCAATTACATCATTTATCAAGAAATCTCAGTCTCATACATTTGTTTTAACAATGCAAGTTTATTTGTTTCATTGTGTTTGTTATGACCCACAATAAATCTTTTACATTCATATCCTGTGCACAATTTTAAAAAAAATAGATTTATTTCTTTAATTTGGTCATTGTCAGTCCAATATTGATTGTACGCCAAAGGCCTGGGTGCCTCAATAAAATTTGCATTTTACAGCTGGACATAAGTATAGTAAATATCAAGAAAAGCAGCATGCAGAATGAGCGTTCACAATCACATTCTTTAAAGTTTACTGTGAAGTTGAGGTTTCTACTTTACTCATGAATAAAGCTGTTTACAGTACACACAAATGCATCACTTATGAAGTACCGTCATCGTTTGCAATAGTACTTTGAAAAGTAGGTACATAGTGTAACTTCATTACAGTGATGTATGTCAGATGGTTTGACCCGTGTTGTCTCCATGGAGATACGTTTAATGCCACACTAAGGAATATTCCAGGCATGGAGATGAGCAGATGAAGACTAGAAAAGTTACATACTGGATACTAAACAGATCCCACTTTGTATACATGGTTTGATTAAAAAAACATTCTCATTACAATATTACTTTTTAGATGGTTTCCGTTTAAGACTTAGGGACCTCATGGAGCCAAAAACTCTCTTTCCCAAATCCCGCAGTGATCGAGAGCGCTGCAGTGTCCTCCGAGGAGGCGAAGGAGAGAAGGACGGAGAGGACAGAGGGGACATGGATGCACCGCTCTCATCCAGACTCTCGGACTGAGACAGGTTAAAGAGGCTGGCCGTTGAGGACAGGCCCTTGTCCTCCCTCCTACGCAACAGCCTCACCCCTTCCTCCTTCCTCATGGAACCTTGCCCCACATCTAATGAAGAAACCCAGTGGCCCCTCTTCACCGGCTCCTCGTGCCGGGACAGGAGCAGACCCTGAGACTCACTCCTGAACAGAGCTCTTCTAGAAAGTCTGAGACTGGAGCTGCGTCTATCTCCCTCCTCCCTCCCCCTTCTCTTCGAGAACATGGGGGAAGACTCTGCTTTAGATTCATTCATCCAAAATAAATCTTTGTCTGGTTCCCTCCTGTAGCTTCCACCAGTGTTTCTCCTCCATCCAAAGCCATACTCAGCTCTGTCCATCTCCTCCTGCTCACTTTCAGGGTCTCTTCCAAAGAGGCGTCCTTCAAGCCGACCCCACAGTTTTGTGGTGTTCTTTTTCGGCATTTGAACACCTCTTTCAATACCTTTTTCTTCAGCCCAGGCTGAGCTGTAATCCTCTCTTTGAGCATAGCTGCTGACAGTAGCAGCTCGGACCAGCCTGTGTGACACATGCTTCCCTCGGTAAAGTCCCTGGCAGTCACTTTTTTTCCACCCTCCTCCTGCACTTTGCCGAAGGGATCCTCCTCGCGGCGCAATCCCGCATTGATCCCCCGCAGAGCTTGTTGTGTTTGTACGGGGAAGCGAACATTGAAATGGTGCGTCTCTACGAAAAACAGACAGTGGAGTAGCACCCATAGGTGAAGGCTGTAGAGGGCGTGGAGGTGATCTAGCTCTTGGAGTTGGACGAGAGGCAGGAGATGAAGCAGTGGATGAGGGGGGATCATAGCAAAATGGGGGGTGTGGAGCAGCCATGTAATTGGATTGATATGGGTGAATTGGGCTGCTGGTGTGTGAGAGAGGTGGGGTGAGGCTTCTCTGAGACTGAGGTGAATGTGTGACACTTAGAGACAGCTGGATTGGTCTTTGCGTCGGCATTTCTCTGCTGTAGTCATGAGTCTGGTCCATTTGAGTCACCAGGTGGCTTTTCCCATGGCGCCTCTTGTCTCTTGGTGTCTCCACATCAAAGCAATCAATATCCAGCTCCACCCCTTGCTCCATCAGTCCAACAACAACATCTGCGGACAGACCAGAGAGGCGGGAAATCTCTTCCACCATGGGAAACTCATCCCCGTGGTTTGGATGACTGGATTCTTGATTTAAGCTGTTTCGCTGGGAGCTTTGAGTAGATCCTGGGTTGGACCGGTGCGCAGACAGTTGCTCCTGGGCACTGCTGCTAAAGTCCAACGATCGACAAAAATGACTTGACCCAAAAGCAGATGCGACTTCCAGAGAGCTGCGATGGCTCAAAGAGGAGGGGCAGGTGGAGATACGGGGACGTGGCCGCAGTGCCAGAGTGGGGGTGGAGGCCAGGGATGAGGCAGAGGCGGCGCTAAGCTCACTTTTCAATGCACCGAAACTACCTGTTGTAGGGGTGTCAGCAAGACTCCGACTGGAACCTGGATTGAGATTCAAGTTGACGTTCAGATGCAAGTTTATGCTCACATCTTCCCCGGTTGCTGACGGCAAGTTCCCAAGATTAATGGAATTCCGTAAGGCTTTCTTCCCAGTGCTGATTAAGTTCAATCTGGCAGACTGGCCCAGTTGTGACTTGCAGGGCGTGATGCAGCCCCCAAGAGCACTCAGACCCTCAAATGCAGAAAGAGATTGCGTGGACCCATGCCCTTTCCCTGGCGTGCAAATACCTCTACCGCAGGAGGTTAGATCAGTGGTGGACACAAACGCACGGGTGTGGTATTGTCGGGCCAGTCGATGAATGTACTGCTCCATTTGCGTGAAGGAGATCGGGTTTGGAGTGGATGGGAGATTGGATAAAGTTTGAGCGGTAAAACTGGTGGGTTGAGAGCCGTCTTCGGATTGCAGAGCCTCAGCAGAAGGAGGGGGTTGAGAGGTTTCTTGTGTCGTGAAGAGAGGACTTTGAAGAGCCACAGCGTGCAGAGGGCTGGGGTAAGCATACACCTCTTTGGTCCTTCTTGACACCAGGTCTGCACAGAACCGTGGGTCCAGTTGAGACTTCAGGTCGATCAAAGCCGAAGAGGATGATGACGATGGAGAAAGGAGATGAAGTAGAGAAGGGATGATGGAGTTGCTGCTTCCGGAGCAGAGGTCAGACAGAAAGTTTAGACCAGTGGAGTCCAGATCAGTTGTTACTGTGACAGACAGACGCAGATTAGTGCTGTCATCCTCTTTTTTTAAATTATATAATTAGACATTTTCCGCTCACCTGTCTCTGCTGGTCCATGGCTGCTGTCTCCTTCAACCTGCTGCACTGCTGCGTCGTTCCACAAGGTGTCAACGCTGTCAAGCATCGGCTGCTGGTCCCACAACTTCTGGGGTCTTTGAAGGGCTGGACCATGGGCCACTTCACTGGACACTGAGTAGCAAGAGTCCGACAGAGAACTGCCACTCACTGAGTAAAATCCTGAAAATATGTATTAACACTATAATTAGCAGGCACAGTGGGGGAATTTCAGTGTTGCATCACATGTTACAGAACAGTCAGAATGAGGAGCACACAGCACAAGAAATTAATAATAAAAATAAATTTAAGAAAAATCTAAAATAAATAACATCTCTGACTAGCATAATATTCATGTGTTTTATCTTATATTCATTCTATGTAACAAGTGTGTTTACAATGTTCAGTATGGCGTCCTGCTCCCATTTCCTGACTTAGTGAGTCTGTGAAAGGCGCTATATAAATAAAGACAACTTATTACATTATTTAAAATGTAAGATGTAAGAAACAGAATGTAACTAACTGTTCATTTCTATACATTTACGGTTTATTTGCTAATAATGCAAAATGGTTTGAGAAAAATAAACACGATCATTTGATTTATTTTTGAGCATGATGAGTTATCAGAGGAATTTCTATTTTTTTTGTTTTTATAAACTAATACAATTTTAAAATTAGCTCAAAATGAGCCTCTCATTTGGGTTGCCAGTGTCGTTGGTGAAATCCAGCTGGTTTTGTCTCTACCTTGGGAGCAACAAAGGTCATGTATGAGTAGAAACCTAACACCAGTAAGAGCAACAACAACAACACATGGTTCTTTTAACAACCACTCAGGTTTAGCTGCAATTCTCTTGATTACTTGAGTTAAATCATTTTCTTTCTTTTATTTTAGGCTATAACAAACTAGCATGGCTCTCAATTGGTCTATCCATTATAATTTGATTTTCCTATGTAACCCATATACAAGTAGCTTGTGGATAAATATACAAATGGCTGTACAACTAAGGAAGAATAAAAGAAGAAGAATGTGGCACGATATATGATTAACCTCCTCTGTTGGCAAAGACGTGTGTGTTTCATTGTTCCGACTGCGTTGCGAGAGTTTGGCATGCTTGAGATTAGTGTGAACTAAAAGTGTCCCAGAACAAACAGGAGCTGGGAAAGATCACGGTTAATGTTTAATAGGACTTCTCCATTGCACAAGGCACAGGTGTCAACATGCTGTGGTATTCAGCCCATTTTATCTTATTTCTCTAAACCACTTATTTTGTTTTATTTTAATACAAGTCGATCGATTTCACAGTGACTTTTGTTTACTGGTTTATTTGTTTTATTTTTGTCTTTTAATGTTGTTTTATGTCTGTATTTGTCTGTGCACACTGGAGACTTTTCGCTAATGTATTCCAATGTGGTTTTTTTTACTGCAAATGGCAAATAAACTGAATCTGAATCTGAAGTAGAAAAAAAACAGAAGGCAAGATTCGTCAACATGAGGGAAAAAGGTGGTAATATTTCTTTTCCCAGATCCAGCCCAATTTTCTATTAAAAAATGTACCTGAACTGGGTCTGGAGTCTGTGTCTAGGTGTGCCGTGTTGATGGGGTCAGGTGTGGGGGGAGACAGCAGGTCAGAGGAGGCGTCCCAGGAGAGAGTGGACCAGCGGGACTGACCCCCAGAGCCGGACCCTTCTGAGGCCTCTCCAGGGCTGCTCTGGACGGGTACTGCTGTGACGTCTGCTGGAGAAGGATCCTGTGAGAAAAATCCAAAGAACGTTGGTCAACATCACTTGGTAGAGACAGTTAGTATAGAGTTCATACTCAAGAATCCCTTGATGCTCAAAACCAATTTTATGGGGAACATGAGCTGAGATTTGAGAAATTAATTTTATTCTATTGATAATGTGTTGTTGCAAAAAAACAGTATTGTATTATTTATTGTATTTATAATATTCTTCCTAAAACCACACAGGAAATGACCAGTTTTATTCTGTGTAGGGTTATCAAAATTATCAAGAATCAATATCGACACTAGATACTAATTTGAGCCAATACTTTAAGTGTTGACACAAAAATGATTCAGTGAAGTTTTTCTCTGCTTGGGTTCTTGTTTAAAGACAACTACTAGTCAAATGCAGACCTATGACATTTCTTGATAAATTTTAAATTGTACCAAGAGTACTTCTGGCATGGCCTCATAAAAAATATGATTACTTGGAGTTTAAAAGTACAGTTTACTGCCCACAAAAAGCCTTTATTTACAATTACCATGGTATCAGAATTGGTATGGAGTATTTTTTCTAGGATAAAATTGAGTTGGCTCGAGTATATTGTGCCAACACTAGTTCTGACCATAATGCTTTAATACACATTTTATAAACGTTTCAAGATAGTTAAGTTGAGAATAATGTTCCATTTGAGATTTGACAGTTCCGTAGTTTTCAGAAATGTCTTATTTCAGTTCCTGGTTGGAAACGGGCCACTCATACGACAGATGTTGTTAAAGAGCAACAACAAAGAACAGGCCTCCAATTTACATAATAGTGATACATTATCAAGTAGAAATATGAACTTTGCTTTCTTCAAATAATGTTTGAATTGTTAGAGATCATATATCTTTCCATGTACAGTCAACCCAATCCAGATGGTTTTGGGGTGAGCTGGACCACAGAGTGAAGGCAAAAGGGCCACAAGTGCTAAGCATCTCTGGGAACTCCTTCAAGACTGTTGGAAGACCATTTCAGGTCACTGCCTCTTGAAGCTCATCAAGGGAATGCCAAAAGTGTGTGAAGCAGCAATCAGAGCAAAAGGTGCTCCTTTGAAGACATATTTTCAGTTGTTTCATACTTTTTTTTTAGTATGTACATAATTCCACATGAGTTAATTCATAGTTTTGATGACTTCAGTGTGAATCTACAGTTTTCATAATCATGAAAATAAAAAACTCTTTGAATGAGAAGGTCTGTCCAAACTTTTGGTCGGTACTGTATGTATACATGGATGACAAAGGCGGAAAGATTACATTTCTACAACTCATATGAAGTTTTTTTTAAGGGACAGCATGGAGTTACATTAAACACATGGCTACACCAGATTTAACATCAAGCTATTTTCCATCCGTACTCCCCACATATTGGTTCCATATTTTTCCTGTTGCCGTTTTGTCTCAAACTACAGACTGACTGATATCTACGAGTACTGGCCCTTCAAACAAAGAAAGGAAAGGGAATAAATCTTTCGCACACACTAAAATAGAACAGAGAAATACATTTTGAATTCTAATGAAGGCTCAGTGAAAAAGAGCCACCATTTCCACATAAGATGTTTTTCTAACACAATAATAAAATGGAGCAAGCTTCTATCACAAGTCAAAGCTTCCACCCGCTGCAGAGTACAACCACATCATAACACACTGTAGGATGATGTCACCCCTCGAGTATGGCAGCACACATCTGATCCATTTAGGTAAAGCAAAGTGACTGCATTTCCTAGATTAACGTGGCCAGGATGGAGCACAACCCCCTTTGCAATCCCCCGTATTAGCGCGACTGTGAGTGGCGCTGATCAATCCTCTTGTTGCTGGAAACAATACAGGAGTGAGTCACCGCTGAGGGGATAAAGGGAGAAGACCAATGACGCAACAAAGAGTCGCTCAGCACCAGAGCGGGGGAGTGCTCTGACCGGACAGGCCCAAAGACGGGACACTTCTGATACACTTTTGCACAAGGGACAAGATTTATAAATGCGTCTTCGCAGGGTGATTGTATAATTTCTTCAAGAACAAGAGTCTTTGCTTAGGGTGCCTTTTTCTATCGCGACCCACAAAACTGGAACATCCTGAAGAAAATGACAGAAGATGCAGAGGTCTGGGATCATGTCTCTGCAGAAGACTTGTTTTATAATTGGTACACATCATAAGTAAGCAACCTGAGTAAGTTTGCTTCGACCTTCAGATAACCAAAACTTCAAGTGAGAAATTCTTTACTTTTGCACACTGTTATAAGCACAATCTCAGTTTTCAAATGTATAATCGCAACCTCAATATGTGAACTACCATTGCTCATGCACCTTCACTAACCAGCTGAAGCCATGGCTCCTGGACAACCACACAAGCCAACACGGTCGAACCCAAGCAGAGTGTGCAAATGTGTGTAATAGTTTCATTTTGAAGTGTGCACTTTCAATTATGTATATGTATTATTACGTACACATTTGTATGAAGAAAGTGTAGAGATTTCATAACACTTTTGAGCAACTATGGTTAAAGTTCTAACTTCATTCTAACCATGTGCAGAAGCCTGTACTTTTCCACTTCATGTTTTGACTATCTCTGCTGGCACTGTGGCAGCTGCTGATTGGAGGTCTCTGTTTCTCCTGAGTATAATATCACTTGCTGTCTAACATCCCTTGTTTGTGTGTTCGTGCGTCTACCATCAACAATAAAACATGTCTTCTGTCTGAATAAAAAAACACAATCCCAGATTTTGTCATCTTCAAAAGTTTGCAGCTCTTTATATTGGCCTAATGTTATATAAAGGTCATTATGTAGGATATTATATAGGATTTGTTATGTTATATCAAAATAAAGCTCAAGTGTTGTTACCCCCGAAGAACACCTTCATAGAGATGAGTTGTTACACATTGGGTTGCTTTAGTAAAAATACTTTCATTCTTCAGTCTTTTTATGAAATCATCTGAGTCACAAAACATCTTCTTAGCATGTTTAAGTCTATGTGAGGTTCAAAAGAATGATTATGATGATATTTGTCAGCTGGTATAGCCTTAAATACTATATACAAATGTCATGTTAGGATGTATATATGTGACGTACCCTTTTGTGATCCCTGCCCCTTGGGACAACAGATGGAACTGAGTTATTTATTGCTTTGCTGGTGTCGCAACCATGCACTGTCCATGCCACATAACCAATGAATACAAACACAAATGTCATGCACACACATTCTTCAAAAGCCGCTGATATAGTATACACTGCACTATTAGTAAGCACATAATCTCTATCTGGGATTCTTACTCAGTTCTTTTGTTTTACTTTGCAACACTGATAAAACTCTGCATCTGTGACCTATGCGGGTTACATTCCCTCGCATGCATTAGCTGTTGTTCTCTTCCCTTTGCTGTCAGTCTGAGGCGTGGATGAGTGGGTGCCCGAAACAAGAGAAAAGGGACCAAAAGAAGCAGATTGCAGTGACTCATGTTGCAAGGAAAAAGTTAAGACGGTGGTGGGAGAAAGAGGGCTGTTGATTAGTCTGATGGGTGGGTGGTTGCCGGGTGAGTGAGAAGGGCATCTAACAAGACCCCAGCTCCCCCACGTATTACTTACACGCACGCACACACACACACACACACTGCCTTAAAACCTCCTGTTGGTCAAACAATCCCCCTCCCTTTCTTTTAATATCCCTGGAGCCTTGCCACCCCCCCACTCACCATGGCTACTGCGGCTTACTCGCTTCTCCTCCTCCCACACAGACATGCAAAATGCTAAAAGATTCACCATTCAAAGTTATATTTGAATCTAGTAAGAAACTTTAAATCATTTTTTTCATGATTCGTTATTTAAAGCTGGGGTACATAACTTTAAAAAAAATCATACAACTTTTTGTTTGTCCTAAAAAAGTGAATGTAGAATGAAAAGTAAAAGGTTGTGAACTAACATTACTAACATCAATATTTGTCGTGATTTTTATTTTATTTTTTTCATACATGTAAGAAAGATCCCTGCGAGTAACTATTTGACAATTTGGGCTGAGAGATGATTGGCTGAAAAAAAAAAACGGATCCAAGATGTGACTGAGAAAGTAGTTCCTCTTTGTGTGGTTGGAAAGGTAGGTACAACATCAGCTTCTAACTATATTAACTGCCTCATCGGGCTGCATTGTTGTGAAATGTTATTAGTCTATCACAGACCGAAAGGCGTTCTAGTATTTAATTCTGTCTCTACACCGTCATATCTTCTGCTGATGTCAAACCAGGAAGTAATATGATACACTTCAGCAAACTTCAAAAATATGCAACATCATGAATCCAATTCTGAATCACTCCTATCTGAGCTATGTTTTAAGACTCAACCTCCAGAGCAAAAACTGATAAATACTCAAATCATAAAAATGTGCTTATGTCTGCAAATGGGACAGGAATGAAATGTGTTGTTTTACCTGTATAACAATTGTCAAAATACAATGACCAAAACGACACATGCTGCTTCTATTGGTAAACAATACTTGAACACAGCCCAAATATACTAAAATCAAGACAGCTACATTCAAGCAGTTATTAATCATAAGACTGAAAAATTGCAATCTTAACTTAATCTCAAATCTCGATTATCACTGTATGCATTCAAACTCAGTTGATCAGTTGTTAAGAGCATTTGCCTTGGAGCAGGAGAGTTGTGGGTTCGAGGCCACCTCAAGACCTTCTCCTCCAACTCCCAATGATGCTGTCGCTGTGTCCTTGCGCAAGACACTTTACCCATAAGTAGTAATTGTACGCTGCATGCCTTGATGTGTATATGTGTATTTAACAATTTAAAATTTCCCTACTGTGGGACTTCTTATAACTGAGAGACAAAAATCGCGCAATCTTTCTATTAAACCAGTGTTTCCCAAATGGCAGTATGCGTACCCCTTACAACAAGGGTATTACAGGGATACTTGAAACGAGTACTTGCACTGTGTCTACACGGGAGTACAAAAGTTTGGATGCTCTGTCCTAAACAAAAAATGGCCGACACACAATGTTAGTTATAGGCCACAATGTTTGGCCTATAACTAACTACATATACAACTTAAAACTAATACAAAAATGTAATTGTATATAGAAATTGTTCAATATAAGAAAGAAAATCATATTTTTCCACCCCCTGATCGCCCAGCCCAACTTAATTGTATATTCTTGTGTTGTCCAGTTAAGTGCGATGCTATTCCACTGCAGCCCACTCCACACATACATGCTCCTTCCACATACATCTCCTGCTTACGGTATAGAGTTACAGGGAAACCAGTAAAAGATCAAATCATAGACAGAAGAGAGATGAGAGGGGAGGGGTCTGCCCACTATGACACATGAGACGGGTCCATCAGGAGCAGCTGCAGCCGCTCTGGTCCGATAAGGAGAACATGTTTGGGTCAATTCTCAGATGGATAATGATGTTAGTGTGCTCTCTCTGCAGCCGGACACCTACTCCAGCCGACTGTGTTATGTCATTATCACAAGAGAAATGTCAGAGGAAGCGGATTATGAGGACCAACACATTTGTCAGAATATTGTGTAGGAAGGAGTTTGCTGCACAAAGGGAAACATTTATTGAGAACACCATTTATTATTCATGATCTGTGTTTGCAGTAACAAAATAGATCACGCTGCTCTGGTGGTTCAACATATTCAGGTGGCCTGCAGTAAATATTTGCATTTTACAGAAGCACAAAAGAGAAAATGTTTAAAACGTTTACAAAATGTCAGTAAAATTACAGTATTGAGTGTGCAGTGTTTGCCACATATCGAAATACTAAAATATACCACAAGATAGTTATGTAAATATGGTACACTACTTGTCTGTCTCATGTCTAGAGAAAGTATAGATATTAGGGATTGACTGAAGCAGAATTGAAAAGTGAAGTGGGTTTTTTCCCAGAGTTACTTATTCAGGACAACAGTTGATAATAGTGAGATTAGCCTCCAATGGGCAAAACATATGTAATCCAAGTAATAGTGGATTAGTATGCATTTAGAATCGTTGTAAGCCTTTAAATCTTATCACTTCAGCAGATTATTTGTCAATTCTGCATCCTTGGAGACGGGAGGAAAACTACTGGTGGTTCAAGAGTTATGCAGGACAAACTCGGAATATGTCATTCTTAATGTTTTATTCTGGATTTTTACAAGCTGTGAACCATAATCCACAAATAAAGGCTTGATATATCTCACTTTGCATGTAATGAATCTGGCATACAGTATATTGGTCACAGAAACATTCAAATTTTCCAAGTTTAACATGGCTTTTCAGTTACCTTTTTCATTAATTTTCCACTAAGAACATATTTGTATTCTATTGCTGTATAACTAACAGTCTGATATTGAAGTATTTTACTTGGGGGATAGGGATTCATTATACTTATTACATTTATTTATTTATCTTTAAGAATTGAAAGCTTTTAGGTCGCTACACCTTCCACTGTATCCTTGTATTTATACCGGCACATTCCTACGGGCTGGTTGTTGCCCAGTGCAGACTCTGAGCAGCAGCTACAGTCTCAGTCGTGGTCACTATTGTCTGAAGAGCGTTATCTGAGTAAATGTGTTGTATGTTTGTGCTGAGGCGCCTCGCTGTCAGCTCCACTCTGAGGTGAGAATGAAGCAGTCCACAGCTCCAGGCCCCAGGCGGTCTCAGCCCCGCGGGGGTCAGCAGCTTCATGTGGTGGGTGGTGCTAGGACATCATGAGCTGCACTTACAAACTTCAGTTATGGTCAGAATTTCCGCAGTCACTTCCGTCTCAATGTTATTAATAGTATTTTTCTTACTTCTCATCACTCCCACAGGCGCTTGCTGTAAAATAGACAGGTCCTTGTAACATGTAATCAAGCCACCCCCACAGCAAATACTGCTGCTGATTACATTAAAGCCAAAGAACTGTGAATGGCACTTTCTGTGCATCTATCAAGGGCATCAGCGCAGTGCAAAGATGCAATTAGTGCAAATTATGATTCGTCTCAGAATGAGGGAGAATTAGGATTCCCTTCTTCACAATATACACACACAATATAGTTGTTAAAAGACCATTCTTTTTAATACTGCAGTATAATTATTAAAACCCTAATTCCATAAACGGAATATGGCTTTTAACTACACTGCAATTTGAGGCTGATATGGGTCACGCACATTGTTTGCAGTATTCTAAAATATACAATATTTGAACAATGTCCTCCTACAATTAACTGGAGACTGTTATTCGTAAATACAATGTACAGTAGCGTTGCTTGACTACGGCTCACAATTGTTTGAGGTTTATTGAATTAAAAATGATTTAAAACTACGGTCAAAATGTAGCAGCCCCCAATTATCGATCGATGAATGAAGGTTTTGCTGAGAAATATTTCCTGTTTAGAATAACAATAACTTCAACATATAGTAAGTAATTTTATTGACAATTAGACCACATTGAACGAGCAATAATTGCAGTAATCATTACAGATGAATTGCTCCACCCTTTCCTGTGGTGTGATAATCTCATCATGACTAAAGCTGCTCCAGCATCACTGTTTCAGGATGTATCTGCTCTCCTGTATCACATGTCAACCTACATTCTCCACATTCTCCTCACAAAGAGCCCAAGTATCAGTGTCAGGGCACTGGTAAAATAAAAGGTGGGTTTATGTCCGGGAGAGTTCACACATAACCTTTGGGAGGATAATGGAGGACACCATGGACGTCGGAACTATTTTCTGAGAGGGGGGGCGGGTTTTTGTTGGGAGAGTCGAGGGAGAGACTCATACTTGGATTACACTGGATAATAACATACCATCTTAATTGTTAAGAAAAACAAAATAAACAATATATATCAAGCAAGTCACTTATCAAACTGAACTTTTTTTTTTCAATACGCATTCATGCGTCAGTCTCTCCGGTGGCTTCATTGTGTTGTGTAGCCCAGTGACGTGCGGTCAGATGAGGCAGGCAAGGCCCTCACCTAAGATCATAGAAAGAAAAGTAATAAAATGGATACAATAATGTTTGGTCACTTTATCAAGTGATTTGTGCTGTGTCTTATTTCATTTATTTATACCTTGAAATCGCAGATTTGACAGAGCGGTGCTGTGAGGCGAGCCTCTCTTGGGAGACGTAAAAAGCAACAGCTCACAGGGAGAGTCCTGTGAGGTGCTATCAAACTGTTTTCTCTGTTTATCACAGTTTAAAAAGTTCAAAAATATTTAATTTACAATCAACATGTTTACATTTAAGAGGATGGCTCATAAATTGTGTTTTTGAAGCAAATATGGGTCTTAATCGCGCTCAACCACAGCTTGTAAGTGAGGAAAGCCTCAGGGGGGCGCTTGTGAGCCCAAACTTTGGCTGCATCCAATTCCATCAGAAAGCTCCTTTCTTGTTCTTCTTCTGCTAAGGGCAGCTGCAGGTTTGGCTAACATACCTATAATACATTTTAAGATAATTTAAAATGCACTTAGAGTAATGTTTTGCTTCCAATGATGATATGAATCATAAGAAAAGGAGGTGAAGGGTAAGGTTGAATTTAGAAATTGGATTTAACCGGGAGTCGGCTGCAGCAAAACTCGGAGTTTACGGAGGAGACACCCGTTTTTTTTACTTTTTAAAACTCATTGAACTTATTTCCAAATGGAGGATTACATGTCTGTGCTCAAACTATTATCTGGACTTAAACATGAAACTGGTCCTAACTGAAGTGGTCTGTGCTGTTCATTAATACCTAAGGTAAGGCCCATAACACACTTTGTACTTTTTACAAACGTTTGCGTTTTGTATGAGAAAACAATGCAGACATTAAATCATATTCTGCTGTAGCCAAACAAATTGTGTATAAGCCGCTCCTGTTCCTGTAGGTCCTGTTGGTTTATATGATGTATAATCATATGAACACATGATTGATCCCCCACCGCACGTCACTGGTGTAGCCAGGTCTCTAATCTGCGCAAGGCTGAGAAAGAGCGCTCAGAGGCTGCGACAGATATTAGCCAGACAGAGCTTCATAAGCTTCTCCGACAGCATGGAGCGGGTTTTGGGCTGCAAGGAACGCAGGATAGTGATAACTTCTCGCTCCCGGCACACGCGGAGGGGGTGCGGCCGCACCCCCCGCACCCCTAGTTCCGACGTCTATGGAGGACACGTTAAAAGGGTTATTCCATAGAGAGGCTGTTCAGTTTCACTGTCACCGTGAGATTGTGACTACAGCTCATATTGTGACCTTAACCTGGTGAGCTCATAACCAGGGCCAGAACACAACAGCGTCCGGTTAGGGGAGTCTATTAATACCTGCTCATATCTGTCCTGTGCCCTTGAGCAGGGCAGGGGCCAGGGTCCGGTGTCCAGGACTCAGTCCATGAAGTCTGTGCTCCCTGCTCCACACCAGGCGCGCGGTGGCGCAGGCGTGTGTTGCAGCACACCTCAGTCATGTTTCATATTCAGTGTATCTGTATCACTGACCTGTTGCCTGTGGCTCTCGTCTCTCTGCTCGGGGCTGTTGTCCAGTGCAGTGTCCACCAGCTCCAGCTGTTTGCAGCGGAGCAGCTCCAGCTCCAGGACTCCTGCCAGAGTCGCGCTGAGTCTCTCCCCGATGCGGACCCGCTCTGTGCCCGACCACAGCGAGTTTACACAGCCTCTGCGCGCAGCCATCCTCCAGGCCCACTCACTGACCAGTGAGACCAGTAAAACCAGTGAGACCACGGACAGCACGTTACTGTGGGTCTGAGCAGGCTCCAGGCGCTGGAAGAGCCAGTACCATCTCCACCGCGCACAGCGAGAGGCTGCGGAGAGCGCGGAGACTCACCATGACTAACGTGTCGAGCAAACCTCTCACTGCACTGAACTGGGATGAATGGAGCCTGAGTGGAGATAAACCTCGCAGGTGTTTGCCACCTGACGCAGTCGAAGGTTTGAGGCGAAAAGACGCGAGCGTCAAAAGCGCGCGTGGTGCGGACACTTGGTTCCAAATGAAACAATGTGAGAGGAACAGGGGCTGAGCATGTGGAGGGTCAGAGCCAGAGGAGGAGCCACTGCGCCACAGCGAGACCCCCATTGGACACGGCACTTTTTCGAATGGACTGAGACTGTTAAGACCTTAGGACTGTGTAGTAGTGTGATGACATCATAATACAGTTACAGATCAAATATACCAATGTTGAAATGGTCAGAGATGACTTACATCAGGCTACATACAGCACCCTCAGAGTGTAAGTCATGGAACTTTGCTATTGTTTTAATTATTAAGCATTTTCTGTATGTTTATTAAAATCTATAAGATAAAAATGTGACAAAAATAGATATAAATTAGGCCTCAATGATTAAGAGGAGGAATAACCAATGAAGCGTGCAGAATGACAGCGAGTTCATCTGATAATGAACATGAAATAAAGTAGATAAACTGAGTTCCGACGCGGAAAAAGCCTGACTAAGAAAAAGAGTACAAGGGTTATGTCCCACTCTGACGTGCCTACGTGACTCAGTTATGGTATAACCATAGACTGTTATACTAGTATAGTAGGTGGCATGACAGGTGCATCACGGCTCTAACCTGCTGTACTACTGTAAACCACTAGAGGGCGACGTTTACCCTTCAGTGTCACCACTTCTGAATACTGTACGTACAGTATACCACAGCTGGGGATAGTGTCTGTAACGTTAACATGCACAGGACACGTGGCTTTGATGCTTTCATATGATTCATGAATTTTTACCAGGGTTCAGGAGTCGTCACACAGAAAATATAAAATTTAAAACACTATTTGACAGATTTACCCACGCCTGACCAATGGATAAATAAGATCATGAGGAATGTATATATTGAAAAACTGTACGTTAATGGGCTCAATCACAAAATGTTATGAAACATGCCATTTCTAAAATAAACTATTAAACGCGCAACATACCAAGTAACGTAACAAGCGTATCCTTTGAGAGTTGTGTTGTCTATGTTGATTATGTCAAATAATAAGTATTAAACAGACGACACCAAGCATCACCATATGATTTTTTATGTATATATGATATGTTGGATGGTGAGTTTCTAGATGCATATGTCAGTCATAGTTAATCCTATAAGTTGAAATGATAATGGCCTTTGTTCTGTTGTTTTGAATTAGGTAATATTGATTTGTTCGCAGAATGCTGCCCTAATTAAATGGTTGCCCTCTCCGCTTTGCAACAATGTCACAAGTGGATGAGAGCGCGCTTCTGCAGATTGCTCGTGCGTGTAAATCTGGTTCAAACCAGTAAAAAAAGAAAGGCCAAAGAACAGGGACAGAGCATCCAGACTCTTCACGAGGACAGGGAGTGGGCTTTTGTTAGTTGGTGTCACATTTCAACTCCTCCCTCCTCTCCTATAAAACAGTGGTCCTGCAGGCAGATCAGTGGGGTTTGCAAACTTCCACCCGAGGGGACTTAAGCGTCAGCCTGGGTTAAGACCATCGCCACAAAAGGTGAAAAAACAACAACAAAAATGGCTCCTTTTGAAAAATCCATGGAAATGATGCCCTTCAAACAAAGAAAATGTCTTGGTGAGTTTCTATAAGTTTCTACACAGAATTTATCTTCACTCTCATCAAGTGTTAATGTCTTTTTATCTTTGTGCAGCCACAAGAAAAGATGAAGTGTGTAATATCCGGACCAAATTCCCAAATAAACTTCCTGTAAGTAAAGGTTTCTCTTTTATGCAACTATATGAGCAAAGGGGTTGGTGATAAGTTGGTAATAATAGTGGGACAGAATGCAATTTCTCTTTTGTTTTATCCATTCCCGGGTCACGAAGGCAGGAGTCCAAGCAGAGGTAACATGGCCAATACTAATACAAAATAATGCTTTTTTTTACCCTAAATTTTTAAAGGACCACTCCTCGTGCATTTTGAAGGGTGAAACAAACTATAGGGGTAAATCAATTGGTAAACAAGTTAAATTATGATTGTCAACTACTGTGTATGACATGATTGGACATTTATTGAAAGATTTCAGAGTAAAACATTGTAGCAATTGGAATTATTTGTAGCACGATAAACTTTTTAAGCTCTGTCAAACATCCATGCTATAGATATTGTGGCATTTTGTTTCATCCGTTGTCGTCAGGAAATTCACACCAATTCATTTATTTGCTTCTTCCGCAGGTAATTGTTGAGCGATATGTCCGAGAAAAATCCCTGCCTCTTTTGAACAAGACAAAGTTCCTGGTTCCCTTTGAGTTCACGTTGGGTCAGTTCCTCTGTCTTCTCAGGTACGCATCACACCACACACTATGTATCTATTTCAACAGGACCATATTCAGCTTTAATGCCTCCACACATTACACCGTACATTTGCATTTTCCGTGCACGAGTCACTGCTTTTTGCCTCACATGTTTCTCCACTTGTTCCCAGAAATAAAATCGATCTGGAGTCGACACAGGCCCTGTTTCTGTTGGTGGCGGAGAAGAGCATGTCTTGTATGTCATCGAGTATGGGTGACATCTATTCCCAGTACAGCGACCAAGACGGCTTCCTCTACATCACCTACGCGTCGCAAGAGGTCTTCGGAGCGCCCCAAACACCGGAGCGGCCGTGCTGACCACCGCAACACACACAAAAACTGCCTCAAACTGGAACCAAGCTATGATGATGACCGGTGTCTCGTTGTGACTGCACGCTCGCCAACATGAAGTCATCTCTGCAGGCTCTGTCTTTTTAAAAGTGGACTGTTTACGTGGTTGAAAATCACACGCAGATGTTGGTACATATAGGCTTATGCCAAATTCCAGATGTGCTGCTGTGTAAAAACAGGGTCGATATCCAGTGTTACTTCTTCAAAGCACTTACTGTTCTTGTCCTGACAGCCCTGATGATCCCTTCAGAATGTGAAACGAAAAAATCACTGCATCAGAGACAAGACTGCAGTACTCACTCTTCTGTATCGGACAACAATAAATGTTACTTGTTTAATTCTTGGCTTGTTTGCTTGTCTACAGACTATAATAATGATTGAGCTACAGATAAGTTTAGATTAGACCAACATTAAATGCATGTAAAAACTAGCAATAGATAACTGTTTGGTGAGGGATGAGACAGATTTTTTAGCTACCGCTTGGACTATTTATTAAGTTGTGCCGTTTTGAAGATTTCTCCCAGCACTAAACTAAATTGTTATTGTGATATTTCCTTCTTATATCGTACTATAGTTTTATGGCCATCTTTCCCAAAGCTAGCAGACATCACCTTTAATTTGTTTAGCCTGAAAAATCAATTGAAACAAATATCAAAACACATAATCATAGCTAATTACGGCATAATTATACATTGTCATATCATATAGGTACATACTGTAAATATAAATAATATTGGCCATTGTCATCAAAGTGTCCTAATTCTCAGCAACCCGTGAGAAGCGGCTCACCTCACACATGACTCTTTAACATGGGTCAGTGGGTCACAGATAATCTAAAGACCCTTCTGAGTTTGCAGATTCTAAACATTCAAAGTTCTCCAGCAGTGACCCTAAGGATCTACAATAACATAACATAAATGTAAGCCTAATGAAGCAAGAGAATTTGAAGCCTATGAAGAAGCAGGAGACAGATTGCAAGCTGGCTCTGTCTCAAACACCTCACACAAACTCCTCACTTCACACCACTCTGTGCATTTCATCACATTTGTGATAATTTATCATTATCCTGGAACAAGAGGGATCTGAGGCAGCTGCCACATGTAAAGTGGGCTATCTACATACAGTGCCTTGCGAAAGTATTCGGCCCCCTTGAACCTTTCAACATTTTGCCACATTTCAGGCTTCAAACATAAAGATATAAAATTTTAATTTTTTGTCATGAATCAACAACAAGTGGGACAAAATCGTGAAGTGGAACGAAATTTATTGGATAATTTAAACTTAAAAAAAAAAAAAACAAAACTGAAAAGTGGGGCGTGCAATATTATTCGGCCCCTTTACTTTCAGTGCAGCAAACTCACTCCGGAACTACAGCTGAGGTGGGAGAGTCTGTCCATAGGACAACAATCAGTCGTGCACTGCACAAATCTGGCCTTTATGGAAGAGTGGTATTTCTCAAAGATATCCAATAAAAGTATCTTAAATTTTGCCACAAGCAACCTGGGAGACACACCAAACATGTGGAAGAAGGTGCTCTGGTCAGATGAAACCAAAATCAAACTTTTTGGCCACAATGCAAAACGATATGTTTGGCGTAAAAGCAACACAGCTCATCACCCTGAACACACCATCCCCATCTCATCTGTAGTTATCTGCAGTTCATCCAGAGTGATCATGGGCCTCTTGGCTGCATCTCTGATCAGTCTTCTCCTTGTTTGAGATGAAAGTTTGGAGGGACGGCCAGGTCTTGGTAGATTTGCAGTGGTCTGATACTCCTTCCATTTCAATATAATTGCTCGCACAGTGCTCCTTGAGATGTTTAAAGCTTGGGAAATCTTTTTGTATTGAAATCCGGCTTTAAACTTCTCCACAGCAGTATCTCGGACCTGCCTGGTGTGTTCCTTTGTCTTCATGGTTCTCTCTGCGCTTTAAACAGAACCCTGAGACTATCAAAGAGCAGGTGCATTTATACGGAGACTTGATTACACACAGGTGCATTCTATTTATCATCATTTAGGACAACATTGGATCATTCAAAGATCCTCACTGAACTTCTGGAGTGAGTTTGCTGCACTGAAAGTAAAGGGGCCGAATAATATTGCACGCCCCACTTTTCAGTTTTTTATTTGTTAAAAAAGTTTAAATTATCCAACAAATATCATTCCACTTCATGATTGTGTCCCACTTGTTGTTAATTCATGACAAAAAATTAAAATGTTATATCTTTATGTTTGAAGCCTGAAATGTTGCAAAATGTTGAAAGGTTCAAGGGGACTGAATACTTTCGCAAGGCACTGTATACTGTGTATAATTATGCAGGCTATGGCCGTGCATAAGGCTCTCCAAAATCTATAAGTGTAGAAAATGTGGTCACAACATGAAGATAATGGTAGTTACTGTAAAGTAACTACCATTATCATTAAGACATCAGGGCATTCTGGTTAGTGAAGGTGTTTGCGTGTACAATTCATATATATATATATATTTTTTTTTTTTTTTTTTCTTTTAGAAAAGATGGGTTTACACTTAACTTGATAACTCAGCCCACTTTTTTACTTGATGCCCTGCACTGTAAGCCATATCGATTGTGTGTATTTTTTAAATTTTCCTGCATCTATATTTTCACTATTCAATGATTTGTATTGACACCATAATTCCAAAAGCAATTCCTTGTTTTTTTCCTGTTCACTGACTGAGATTCGGATTCTCCGGCCTGAAAAGTCAGGTGGTATGAGAAAAGTGTGATGGAGGGGTTTGGTTTGTACAAGTAATTAAAACATGTTCGTCAAATGTCGCAGAGAAAAGATAATATGTGGATTAATTATTCACAGACCACACAGCGGTGCGACTGTACATGGATGTAGGTCAGAATGGTAAAAGCTGTTGCCATGAGATACAGCTAAGAATGAGACAGAAACTGAAATGCCTGCGCTGGGTCTCCAGGAAAAGTGCATAAGCCTTGAATTGTCACGAAATGGCGAGAAATATTCCAATATCTTCACTGAATTGTTGTCAACTCTATATTATCAGTATTATAAGTATTTCCACAAATTGACCAACAGGGGTCAGTGTAGTGTAGTTTCATTTCTCCACATGACTTTCATCAACAAGGCCTTTTGTCTTCAAGATTGACTCATGGTGGGATGACTGCATGAGTGGCCAAACAAGATACAATAAAGATTTTTATTTATCTCACAAAATAATATTAAAAAGAAGCATTTGGTAAGAGTAGAAGTTAACCAAAGGGAAATACAAAAATATAGGTAAAACAGTTCAAGCTGTTGTTTTGATTTCCACTTCCTTCTTCTCTATGATAACTGTAATTCTTTGGATCAGAATATAATAACGCTATTCAGGACAATAGTTCATGTGACGTATGTCCCCGTGAATCATCCAGTAAAGTCTTTTCAATAGACAATCACCCTTCTTTTATTTGTAATAGATATCTAACTACATTTTGTCCTTGGAAGCTCAAAGTCTGGTGAACAAGCGCTCCTCAGATGTCCTCAGGTCTGGTGCTTTGTTCGGATTCATCACAGCACAAGTTTGAACGTTAAAGTAAGGATACGATTGTAGAAGCTAAAGCTACTGTAATTAATACTACCCTGCATTTAATATGTCCCATTAATCTCTCCCTGATACTTACTGAAACATTCAAACTTGTACTTGTGAAAGGCTCACAGTGCATTTTCACTCTGTATTTTCTTCTTGCCCTAATGTTCCACGTTTGGACGGAGGCACCAGATGAAGCGGCAGGTCTGAGGGCAGCTCGTGACCCTCCAGCTTCACTTTGATGAGGTGATTTGCCAGAGCAAACTCCTCGTCATCGAGGTAGCCATCTTTATCCACATCGGCCAGCTTCCAGATCTTCCCCAGCACCGTGTTGGGCAGCTTGGACTTCAGCATCTCCTTCTTGGCAGCGGCGCCAGACACTTTGCCGTTGATGGGGCCCAGAGTGTAAAAGATCTCATCGTACGAGGGTTTATCGCGGCCTACCACCCACTCCAGCTCATCTATTCCCTCGCTCGCCCCCTCTCCGTAGCCGTGGCCAAAGGGACCAGTCATGGTCCCCTCAAAGGCTCCTCCATGGACAGTCTGGCTGGGCATGGCGGCCTCCTCCTGTCGCACCAGAGCCATGAGTTTAGCGATATCATTGGCTAACATGTCCTCCACCTGCTCCAGCAGCTTGGGCTTCAGAGGAGCAAACTTTGTGAAGTCCTGACCGTTGAGGATCTCCTGAAATGAAAAGATGAAAACAGGAATTAGTGTTAGAAATAGATCAGTCTTCAATGGCTTCCAATGGGAGCCGCATACAAGAGGCAGGATTTCCTGACAAACCAGGAAAAATAAATCTCACCCTAGGCCTGGCCCATCCTGGAGGTAAGGGCAGGAAACGGGGGCAAAGATGTGAGAGGAGTAAGGGGTCATAGTCCCCAAACCATCTTTGTCTAAATCTTTAAATAACACTGAATGTAGACAGGAAAAATGAGAAGGTGCAGACCTGTGCAGAGCAGCATCAATAGCTTCTTTAGAGATTATTCATCAATAAGATGTTTATTATTGAACCCAAATGACTACATATTTCAAACGGGTCAATTCACTTCCTCTTTAAATCCTGTTCACATGTTTTCTGCTGCTGCCCTCATTTCTTCATACTGCCTTATCACTGCAGCAAACAGAAGTAGAGCTTCATTTATGGCTTTCTTATACGACTCAGCAGAGTGGAGCGATAAGAGCTGAAACTGACATTTTCTGTGCACTCATAAATGAAATTCAGAACAACTTTCTACAATCATGTTACTTTACTCAGATTTGCTTTTGGATTGATTTATGTTGATGATAAGGGATAAAGATAAGGTTGAAAGCTCATGGTAGAAGTAATGTTTGAATAACTGTTTAGGATAAAGAAAATGTTTGGCTGTTACACACCTGCATCTTAGTGATGTTGGGGAAGTCTCCTGGAGAGATCTGATGTTCCTTCTCGATCCTTTGGTAGATTTCTCCAAGATTACTAATGAGCTCTTTCTTCTTGGAATCTTTTCCAAACACACTGGGCATCTCCTTCTTCAGAGAGCTGATGATATATGCTTGCACCTATAACAGTTCAATTAATACATTTGTATGTACATCTTTAAAACAGTTAAACATAGATCAATGATCAAGAAAAAAACCTTGGCGAGTCGAGCTCTCTTGATGAGGTCGTTAAGTTTACGTAGCGCTGCATTTCGGGGCAGCGACTGAATATCCAGAAACAGGTCCTGCTCCTCGGCTTCGAACAACTTCCTGTTGTCTGGAACGAGCAGCGGCTGAGCCCAGAACGACCCAATGTACACACGCACCACCTGGATCGGGATAGCACAGGTTTTGTCATGAGGAAATGATACACAATGCATCAATACAAACCAGGTTCACAATGAATGATTTATGGCTGCAGTATTTATACATGTGTGAAGTGTATATGACAAGAGCCGTAGATCATGTGGAGGGGCTTTAGCGCTGACTCTCAAAAGTCAATCATTCTCCAACGATTCAAAGGTTTCCTTCCTTCGAGGTTTATGAATCCAAGGTTACATCAAACATTAACATTTGCAGGAGATGTCATGAGATTTTCACATGAAGTTTGGATTAAAGATGGCGTTTCAGCAACATTAGTACATTTCAGAACCACTTTCACTTCCTGAATCTCATTCAGAATTGGGAATTTGTTTGTCACTAAAATAAACAAATGCCTGTTTTATGGAAGAGTTGTGAAGATCTTGACAAGCTGCATGTTCATTCTTGTGTGTGGTTATCAAAGCAGCTGTCGTAAACAATAGTGCACTTAACAGTTGTTGTTTTTAGACTGTAATCCCCCCGGAGTGATCCAGAGTCATCCGGATGAGTCGGTTTTTCTACCATGCTGAGGTCTAAAAAAAATGTTTCTATCATTACCCAAAAAGTAACAAAACAAAATCAGAATCAGAATAACAAAAAAACAAAAAACAACAAAACATCAGTTTTGGCCCTTAGTTATGGCATATTTGCTAATATACAGTTTATTGCCCTACGTTGTTGCATCTGGAGCTTGTGTCCAACCAAACACACTTGGAGCCCCGGTTTGGCAGCAGCACGTACCTCCGGAGTGTTGATGATCTTCCCCAGGGACCACATCAGAGCGCCGTAGACTCTCATCAGCTGCTGCGTGCTGATCTGGTCGGCTTTGTTCAGCACCACACGCATTTTGTCTTCGTGGTTCTTCAGAGCGCGGATGACCTCGGAGAACTCGTCAGAGATGTCCAGCTTGTGCGCGTCAAAAAGGAGAATGATTCTGTCCACGCGCTCAGCAAACCATTCAAGTACAGCAGCAAAGTCATATCCTGAGGAAACACAGGCCGACACTTATAAAAGATATAAATAGGACTTAGCTGAATGTAATCTAAATGATGACATCCATCAACTATTACGTGTTGCTGTTGAAAACACAGTCATACATGTGTGGGAAGGGCGCAAGGAACTGATGACTCAAAGAATTATGTTATATATGAATCATAACACACAAAAAACATTGAATAAATGTTTACTTTAAGAGAAAGAAGAGTAAAGATGTATAATGTCTCCGGCCTTGTTGGTGTATGTACAGTACAAATAACAGTTATAAGAGCTTAACGGAATAATCAGTTGTCAGCACCACACCATAAAAACACATTACCATAGAAGCCACAAATCCATATATTGACCTTAAACAACAAAACTGTTATCAAAAGGTGAGGACTATATTTTCTACAAGGTCATGTAATCATTTCAACAAGTAAAGAAGGAATGAATCCATTTGTTGATTGCAATTATGATCATTGCAGTAATCAAGCAGCCCGAGCATGTACTACTCATCATAATCTGAAGGTTTCCCAAACGTCTCCTGAGAACAACATTTAACCCAGTGAAATCACCTGCCGTGTACCTGCAGTATTTGGCAATTCACTTGTGTCACAATAAAACAGTTGGCGCTCCGGTTGGCTGGAGTGGAGAAATACAGGAATGTAATCCAGTCTACGGCCTGTTGAGCAAAGGTTGGAGTCCTACAACTTGATCCAAAGTTGGCTTGATTCTTTTCAGCCATGATCTTGTTAATAGTTAGCCAACCTTTTACTACGCCCACACTGTGTCCTTATAAGGGAAAAAAAAGATCCACAAAGGATCTTGAGTAGTAGTTTAGTGTTTTGCATTTCACTAGATTGGGCAGTTAGAAAAATATGAAGCTGAGTTTGTTGTTCAGTGCCTTGTGTTTATGCGTCATCATCGCAACTCATTCAATGAAATCCATGTAGAACGTAAACAAGAAACCAGGGACTTTAAGCAATCCTGATCTATCCCAGGCAAATATTACAGCAAAAAAACAACAACAGTTCGCTTCCCTGAAGCATTTTACAGAAGTGGAGTGGGGAAGTGGGGGTGATTCTGTGTGATCCAACCAGAGAAAAATGCAACTGCCTCTGCAAGCAGCTCTTAGATGGATATATACAACATGTCACTAGGGCTGGTCTATCTGGGAATTTTTTTTTGTCTAATCATGTGCACACTGAAAACAGAAGGGTGATATTGGCACAAAAATAAAGTGCTATATATATATTGCTACAGCATTAAACTGAAACAAATTATTGACAAAAATAACACCATTCCCATTTTGCACATTTGAAGATGTGTTTTTTTTGGAAGGTCATGGTGGTGGACAATCATTGTGACACAAATCTAGTTGCATTTGTAAGTTATCAAATACACTGGTTAAATACTTTGAGGAAGCAGAGGTGAGTGTGCTTTGAAAGGCATGTGAGGAGATATATCGAGGTCCCCTGTAGGGAGCGGGCAATAGACATTTGTCGCTTCTTAACATGTGTGAGAGCAGCTGCCACAGACAAGACTTCACATATAGACACTTTAGGCCCTGATCCTTCCATGACACATGCAGACAGGAATACACCAGACGCTATCTGTGTATTTAAACAAGGAAATGGTGTGTGCATTTCACAAGCTGCTGAAAAGACCAGCTCTGTTTAAAGAAAAACAAAATCTATTCATTTTGTTACTGCATCAATTTTCTGCACCATAGAGCAGCAAAAGACACTATTGTAAAACAGTTTTTTTATGTCCATCCATTCATTTTCTTCCGCTTCATCCGTTGCCGGGTCGCGGGGGCAGCAGTCTAAGCAGAGACGCCCAGACTTCCCTATCCACACACACTTCCTCCAGCTCGTCCGGGGGGACCCCAAGGCGTTCCCAGGCCAGCTGAGAGACATAGTCCCTCCAGCGTGTCCTGGGTCTTCCCCGGGGCCCTCTTCCCAGTGGGACGGGCCCAGAACATCTCCCCAGGGAGGCGGCCTGCGGAGTGGCTGTGGCTTTTGTTTTATAAGTTAATTGAGTCTTAGTTAATATTATGTATTAACTAAATATTTGATCAAGACTGCAGTGATTTACATGGACCAGTGATTAGTAAAGTTTGTAAAGCAAAACTCCCTTTCAATGCATGTGTTCAGCTCCTTCCATTATTCAGATCAAACTTAGTACATATGTATTGCCTATTCTTCCAATTCTAACGTCAAATACGATAATAGTGAAAGATACTTGTTCTGCAAAACCAGTTTCTGCACAAGAGATTTCATCATTGCACAAAGGAAGTAATGTTGGTTCAGGCTGAGCTCACATGCAGAACAAAATGAACTTGTTATGTGTATAATGTGCTGCTCCTCTGAACTTACTACACTGTGTTTCATCTATAAACAGCATTATTGAGTGAGACTCGTCGAGAAAAGCCTAGTGATGTTTATCCTGAAACAATGGCTCAGAGCCCAGTGCGGCCATTGTATGAAGGAGATAAAATCCCACAGTCACGGTATAGAAAGACTGAACGATGTTATCCGGCTCCATCAGCTTTTTGGAGTCACCTCAACATAGACACAGGGCAGTACTTTAAATCCACCCTTTTTCAAAAGTATGCACAATGGTGAAGATTGAGTGTAAACAGGTTTTGATTGTTTGAAATGCTTCTTTATGTTGAAAGCATGGAGGCCTATTTTATATACATTATTACACCTCCACCTGTATCATAAAATGAGGTCTCTTTGACAGCGACCTACTATCTGTTTATGAGGAAAATAAACGATTTTGCAAGTAGAACTATATAGAAACCATGACAAAGGTTGCTCACTCACCCACCTGCTCGAATAAAACCTGTACGACTGAGAGTTTACACAAACTTATTGAATCCATGGTTTTTTTTTGTTTTTTTTGTTTTTTTTTTATTCATTCCGAGCAAGTAAGCGGGCATACATTTTGTTACATTTTGTATTAATGCAGGTGAAAAAATATGTTTACAATCACACAGCTCTAAGCCACATTAATTTATTGTTCAGGTCATGTATAATAACTAAAACATTATATTTAGAATTAAAAAGTGTGTCTGTGAAGGAACCTTGAGCCAATGAGAAGCAGTGTAAAACCTCTTGCACGTGTAAAGTCTTGAGAAGCTGTTATTTTACTCCACTTCCTGTACCTCAAGTCAAAATGCTCTGCTTCCTCTCAAGGGAAAAAAGAAGAAGTAGCTGAAGCCTCATTTACCGTTTATTTGTAAAATCATCATAACTAAAGGAAACTTTTGAATTTTGCAATACGCTGTGACTTTTGTGTGGAGGTCAGGAAGTGTATCTACTACGGCTCAGCAGTGGAAATGACTCAATGATTAATGTAGGAGTCAAATACAGTACAAAACAAATTATTTTCCTTCTGTATCATTTGTATTTACAGATGCATGTGGTTGAGTGTGTGCAATCAACAAACCTGGGGAACAACAAACGGCATTAGCAATTATTTCTTTTGGAAAGTCTTTCACAGCACACCGTTATTGGCATATGTGAAGTCTTTGCTAAGTCAAAATAACTATAATGACTTATTAAACTATTGACGACTACACCAGAGACCCGACTAAAACAGGCAGTGCTGACATTTTGAGTTCAGTGAAGGATTGTGAATGTATCTATTACTATTACAGTTCATTAGGAGTAATTAAACAATCCACCTTTTACAGTGTACGTATATACAGCTCAGCACCATGTCACATATTCTGGCCGTACTCCTGGGTGAATGCAAAGCAGTTCAGTTGCGTATGTGGGTGTGGCGCTCGGTCATTGCAACATGTGTGGTTCGTGTGAGTGAACCGACCTCTGCTTATCCTCTGCTTCTCTCCCGACAGGATTCCAGGAGTATCGATGATGCTGATGCTCTCTAGCACAGAATTAGGCATCTGGGCACACATGAACCTGCAGAGAGAGAACACACACACAATGAAAGATCAGATCAACGGACTGTTTTACAGATCCACAGACTGAGCACTGACTGGTTCATTTGAAGTAAACTCTTGTTCACTTGTTTTTGTACACATCACCATTTTGTTACTCCACCATTTCATTCTGCATCGCTTATAGCAAAGTCGTATATCTTCTTTATGATTGTTCTATCACTGAATTAAACAACAGATCTATCTTAATAATTAATATGTAACGACTCATCAATTAACTTGTTACAGTTCTAGAACAATGTGATGTTTGTGATGATGTAGCATAATAACAGGGGGAGAGTTTTCTCATGATGTTTGACGTTTAAGCAAAATATGTATGTGCTTTTGCATAAACCTGCACAATGATCCTAAAAGAAGATGGAAGGCATTGATAATGACATGACACCACACGATTTGCTTTGGGGTTCAGTTTGAGACTCACAACATGATCTCAGAGGCAGCGGGTCACAAGACTGAGAAAACCAGCCTTTGACATTCTTCCACTAACCACACGCAGGGGGAAAGGGAAAAAATCTGAGCCGAAAGAATAAGTACGAGTAATGTGAGCGAGCGGCTGTGTCTCTTTGCTATTGCATTACTATGAGTGCGAGTGCCAAAGATAACAAACATGACGCTTTTTCCCTTTCCTCTCGGTTCAGATGGTGTGCGATATGTATGCAGGCTTTCCATTCTGACATTTTCCACACAGCGTTAGTGGGAAAAATGCAGGAATTTATTCAAAGAAAGGAAGACATCACAAGGCGAGTGTTTCAGTTGTGCTTAAGGGATGGTATATCAAATATCTGTGATAAAGGAGAATTTCCCAGTGTTTGGTATTGACATAGGTAATACGTTTCCACTTGTCTTTGAGAGTCCAGTTTGTACTCAAGCATCTGCAGAAAACAAAAATTAATTGTAATCATATGTGATGATCAACAGAGTGATAGTGGCACGGTGGCTGAGTGGATAGCACTCTCGCCTCTCAGCAAGAAGGTCCTGGGTTCGAATCCCGGTTGGACCAGGGCCTTTCTGAGTGGAGTTTGCATGTTCTCCCCGTGTCTGCGTAGGTTTCCTCCGGGTGCTCCGGTTTCCCCTACCACTAAAAATATGTACAATAGGTCTGGCATGTGCCTCCTGAACTGGCGAGCCCGCTCCCAAAAATCACAATTGTAAACCGCTTTGAGACTCCGATGTGCAGTGAAAATGCGGTATATAAATACAGATTACTAAAGATTACTAGTAGTCTCCACAACAGTATGCCAAATATTGGACATTACATTACGCAGTGTTTCTATTATGCTCCAGAATACAGCAAAAAAACAGGCTCTCTGATGTAATGTTATCTCACCTCAACCCACCTCCTGACCTTCCCCCGCCTGTCATAACCCCTGCTTCCCCAGGACAAAGGGAAATGTGTGGCACAGGTTACAACTGCTCCATTTCCTCCACCGTCCACACGTTTTTACCCTTTATATGACTTTTTCCCCCCAGACCGTAGCTCTGTGTAAAGTGCAGAGTCAGTGTCCTGGAATTACAGGCTGGAGGCAGGACGGAGCAGGCATGGGGCGGGTCACAAAGGAACTAAGGACTTTGCTGACTCCAGTTTGACTTACTAATGGTTCACAGAGAGAATGAGGCCCACTCTGTAAGAGGAAGACATGATATGAGCATGAGAAGACCGGCTACAACCATGCACTGGTGATAGTTAGGCCTTGAGGCTTTGTCAGGTCAGCAGAGGCTCCACCTGTGCGGGACATGTCTGGATCAACTCCCCAGGGAGGCATCCAAAACAGGAGCCCGAGCCACCTCAGCGTGAAGGAGCAGCGGCTCTACTCTGAGCCACACCTGTGTGACTAAGCTACTCATCATATCTCTTAGAGATTGTCCAGCCACTCAGCCACTAATGAGAAGAAACTCATTTAATTGTCATGTTACAAATTCTTGGAATAAATGAATGTCATACATGTGTGACTCATGTCTGTGCCATGTAGATGTGAAATTATGTCCACTCCACTACAAAGGCATTCAGCAACTGTTGCGTTAATGGACAATGAGCAATGCACAAAGCTTATTGGAATGTTCCTAGGAGAATAGTTCTCAAGAAGAGGAATAATGATAAAAAACTTGGCACAAATAATATTCACTGCACCAGAGCGAGTAGACAAAGTAGATTAAACATTTATCACTTTAAGATAAGATCACACATTACATTCAACACTTTTATTACTTGTAACGCCCAGTGGAGGACAAAACAAGGTCAGAGTTACCTGGCAACATAATCAAGATCATTAAGACTATTGACACATACAATTATGTCAAGACCAACTATTATAGCTTTGAGATGAAAATGTGCGAGTGAATGTTAATTTGTGTTATTTAAAAGACAAATGCAATCATTTTAAAAATACGTCTCTCTTTTGTTTTCAGTAAACATTGTAGGTATAATATTACTATGACACCCTCATGTCAGATGGAGGGGAACAAGAATGCTGGGAATATTTATGCAACAGCCTACTCTCACTTCACCTACATGTTTGAGCATGTGAGGCCTTTAAAAAGTGACGTCCTCTTGGCTGAGTCTGTTTGACTTTATCCCGTGGTTTCATTCATTTAACTGTGATTACACCTGTGACCTTCAAACTTGGCGATGTACGTCGTCTTTAACTGCACAATGAAGTTAGGGCTGTGTAGCTTAATCAAACGTGTAATCTCTATTTGGGTGGTTGCTCTATTCAAATACAAGACATAGTGAAATCGAAGGCAACTACTTAGGTCACGCTGAGGATATATTGAGGAAAGCACAGCTCAAAAGTATACATTTAAAGAAAAATGTCACAAACAGTATATTTTGACAGCAAAGAAGTTTGTGACAGAACTCTGACCGAACTATGATTATGATTGTTGTTTCACATAGTAGGGATTCTGATACTAGTCACAGTAAAGTGGAGTGGAGACTTCTTGAAACTTGTATGTGTATGGTTAATGGCAGACAGTCACTTTACCTGTTCAGAAAGGCGTTACCGAAAGCATTCAGCTTACGAAATGGTTTCTTCGGGTCGACCACCAGCGCGTTACCGGGAATCACCCCGTCCTGCTCCCCGTGCATGACCGCGATGAAAGAGTCCGTAGTGGGCTCGGGTCCGATGCGCATGCCGGGGAAGTCCTGCTCCATCAGGTGGCGGATGAAAGTGGTTTTACCCGTGGAGTACTGTCCCACCAGCAGCACCATCGGCTTGTTGTCAAAGTCGGCATCTTCTAACGCAGGCGAGTGGAAGTCGTGGAAGCGGTACGTGTCCTCCAGAGGGAACAGCTTGGTCCGGTACAGCCGCCGTAAGCCCTCCGACACGTTTTGGAACAGCTCCGGGTCTTTCTTCATACTTTTCCTGAACATGGTGAGCCGGTTCTCCTTTGGTCGACACGGTGTTAAAATGTCCCTGAATGGGCTGTGGGTCGGTGCGCGCTGGCTGAACACACCGGGAGAGAGTAGTCGCTTCCTGCGGGACCAGGCAAGGACTGGGCGCGGTCTGGAAGTTTCTCAGTCCCCGCCCCTCTGCAGCTACCCGTCATACACGGGGTTTGATGGCTCACGGTGACTCATATGTGTGAAGCTTTCGGTTTTGATGCGATCATAAGGACAGCACTTTGAAAAAAAACATCCAAACTGAGGCGATCAGTGGATCTAATAAGCGTTCATGTGGACGTAACGTAGCGGTTAGCAACAACAACAACTATGGGCCCCGACACCCGGAAGTAAACTCTGTTTGACCAGACGAAAGATCACTCCATAATAAAAGTAAACGTGCCACATCCATGCACATACCATGAATCTGTTTATTTTTAACATACATTAAAATGATAAAATTCGTTTTTTTAAGGAATGTATCACTAGAATAACTACTGGAAGCAATGGCAAAGTTAAAGAAAATAAAAAATAACAAGAATTATATTTTCGGGAAGTTTTACATTCATAAATCTACATTCTCATCATTATCATCATCCCTCCTATCCTATCCTATAGTCTTCCCCTACATTTTTTATATATTTGTTGTCTCATGTCATGTTGTGTTTTGTAAATATTTGCTATTTGAATAAAAAGTTGAATTATATATATTTGATATTTTGCGTAAGGTCACTCATGTTTGACTAATAAGGCATCAGTATTATATAGCGCTTTTCGGGACAATCAAAGACGCTTCACATGTCATTATTCATTCACTCATACACTGTGGTGAAAAACTATTGCTGTAGCCACAGCTGCCCTGGGGCACACTGACAGAAGCGAGGCAACCAGTATATGTGTCATGAGCCCCTCCGACTACCACCAACCATTCACTCATACACCAGACTCATTCTAGGCAATATGGGTGAAGTGTTGCATAAGAACACAACAACAGTTTGGCATTTTACAGCGGCATCCACCCTATGGCATCTGGTGTTTTCAGAGGTCTCCCATTGTAGTACTTACCAGGCCCTGCCCTGCCCTGCCCTGCACAGTTTCAGAGGTCTGATGGGATCTGGCTTTTGCATGCAAGTATGGCCACAATCTTAAACAACAGCTACTCCATTAAAATGTCCCTAATTTTCATATATTTAAGAGAACAAACCATGTTTGCAAGCATCTCTATGGAGAGATAAGTTTAATTTCATACTTTGGAAGATGAGAGCCATGGAGCCTGGAAAGCAGGTTGTAAAAGTGACCTTTATAACTCAGGGGACTGATAGTCCTGACTATGTCCTGCACGGTATAACATGTTTATTGTATGTATTTTACCATTTTGTGTTCAAGTGTTTTTGTTTAAATGCCTTATTTGAACTATATTTCCAATATTCTATTATTTCTCATTGCACCAAAAATATAAAAGCATTTTTTTGTGCAATGACAGCAGACATTTTTATTCTGATTCCAAAATTAGAAATGTATATACGTTTTCTACATGTCAAAAATGTCAATGGTTTGGCCTTAAAATACACTTAAAAGTTAGTTAGAATGAGTTCACATTTCTATTTTTACACTGCTGTCTCTGGAAACTTGAAGTGAAAGAAATGTAAATGTGAAACAGAAAGTAATGGTTAGGAGAAACACACCTGGTTATTTAAAGTATTACTAAACAAGACTAATGTTGGATCACAGTTTGACTATCCTATGAATGTACAGTATTTTCCACATTCACTTTGAGCTTTTGCTTTTGCTTTTGAATTCACTTTGAGAGCTCTACTCAAACCAGAATGGGGACATGATGGTATCATTGGCACTTGCCAATTTTTCGTTATCTATTTTTACATTTAAGAGGGTTGACAATCATTAGACCTTTTCCATAAAATACAAAACTTTAAAACAATGAAACAGACTCAAATATTCATATATATTTATTAACATCATTATATTATTAGAATACAGGCATACAATAAAGCAGTGTTCTATATACGTTTATTGGTTGTCATCGGAAGAGTTTCTGAATATGTATTGTCTCAAATTGCAACAGTGTTTAGACGACAGGGGTGTCCCTCCATAGATAACAGCAGCTCCACTGGAAGTCCATTATTTTCCATATGGAGATGCTGTTACAGCTGGTGAAGACCCACACAAACAGCAGAGAGGAAGAGGCTCAATACAATACATTCAATTGAAGATTTGAAAGGTAACACTTGCAAACAGGTCAAAACTACAGCTTATATTGTTACAGCATGGAAGGAAATATAGCATAACTCAGGGCAGCCGTAGACTCCCTAAGGCTCAAAGTAGTCATCATGTCATGTGATATACAGAGGTTCACTCAGTGGTGATACATTTTATAGAATGACCTTTGCACTCCTCCTTTATCTTTCAAGGCTTGAGATTAAGATCTTTGCGGCACCAATAAACCATGAGGTGTAGCATTTAGGTTTGTGTCAGCAAATGCCACAATCATTTAGTTTATTAAACATTTTACTCACAACTTCTGTAAAGGTAATTTTTAAAAGTCCTTTGTACTGGCTGAGCTTTTACCTTTATCTTTGGCTTTCCACACAACAACAGAGCAATAAACATATTTAAAATCACAATCAAACGCCAAATTGTCTCTTCAAGCTTTGCCCAAGCTGAACTTCTGAAAGAAACATGTAAAAAAGCTTCAAGCACTAGTACAGTAAATCATCAATATAGAATGATGTAATCAATGCAAACGTTAGGTTGAATTGAATACAGTTGAATAAGATTAGTTCATTTGGTGTTGATATATCCATTTACTTACCTGGCCTCCTTTTTGCTGGGAATTGATTGAAAGTGATGGCTATATTTCTGGTAGTGATTAGCAAAAACCTGTAGAGAAAAGTGGGGAAAATGAATGAAAAATCAATGCAAGGCTAAGTTATGATGTCCTCACTGTTACAAAGACAAGACATCAATGAAGCATATCCAGAAGTGACGAACTTATGAATAATGCCTGCTTAAGACTGCAAGGGGAGAGAGAAATTAATCATTACATGTTGTAAATATATAACAGACCAAACCTTACCCATAAAGCTTAGTGATCACCATAGGATAGGACACGTACTCATGTACGTGTCCTATACGTTGATTTCATTCAGAAATGATACAAATCTCAGCGGAAGTTTTTTCTGAATTATGATTGAATTATAAATCAGTTAATTCAGTCATGCATGTGGGTCAAAACCAATGCCATTGAACTCTTCCAATTATAGTCACATGTTATGAATCAAGGAAAACATATTTATATCGCTTTTTATTATTTCTTGGAATATTTGAAATTTTAATTTCTCCATGAACGGAGACTGGACTGTGGAACATTATCAGAATCAGAATCAGAATATTTTTTATTGCCACGTAAGTAACAGGAAGTCACAGACTTGGAAATTGCTTTGGCTCAGTGCAACAGTCAAAAAGAGATAATAAAAAAATAAGAATAAAAAACACTTCTAAAGAATAAATTTAAATTTAAAATAGAGTTACAGTTACTATTTACAATATACAAGTGCACATGGTGCACACAATGTAAGGTGACAGCAGTACAGTGAAGTAAAGTGACGTATGATGGGCAGTAAAGTGACTTTATAAAGGGCGGGGGGACAGGTTAAGAAGTGTTCAAGATTCAAGATTTATTGGCAGAGCAATGACATATCTATAAGAGACAAGAATGGACCCTCACCATGTACCTTTAAATTCAATTTATGGACAACATCTAAATACATAATAGCATTTTTGACTTGGGTATTAAATGGTGGTGTATCTAAGACAGGCTCAACGCTTGTATTGTTCTTTGCCATTTTTGTTCTGAAAAAGTAGCAAAGTTGGAGACTCCTGGCATAAACTTACAAATATGAACTTTATTTATTAATTTAATTATGAATTATTTATTTATTTATTTCATCTAGTGTTTTTTTTTATCTGTGTTTATATAGTTTACAGAAACAAGTTTATCATTTAGCGACAATCTATGAACAATCACAGAAAGTCCTGACATTCTATGTTTTGTAATTCCTTGTTTGTTTTTTATCCTTTTGGGTCCCCTAACGAATGTAATATATTAATTGTTTTGTCTAAAGCAAATCGCTTTTTGGAGCAGCGTTGTTTGTCACATCTGGGCTTCCGTATCGTTGAATTGGTGTTGACTGATGTGTAAGTAGCTAACTAGCGTTTCTTGTAGAATAAATTAACCACAACGGGCTTTAATAGAAATGTTTCTTATAATGGCATATGTCTGATTGTGAACTACGTCACAATGGTTGTTTTAAGAATGATCGTGTGAAGTTTTAGTCCATATTCTGGAAAGCTAGCGATGATTCCCATTTAGCTTTCGATTTTGAATATTTATCGCAGAGTCATTGTACTGGGCATAAAACACATCATACAATATTACCTGTCTTTCCAGGAGGAGTGTAGATTATAACCCACACTAACTCGACTAGAGAGAAACCAAAAGTGTGACCATGTGCAGAATGATGGCACGTCCCAAGCTTTATTGATCATTCTAACATGGTGAAGGCTGTAGTACTTATATCAATACGTTTGCCAATGAAAAGTGTGTATGTGTATGGACCACATTGAACAGTATTGTGTTGTAATCTATTTCACGTTGTGTTACAGCTAAAGATGGCAGAACTAACTACATTGGAGAGTCTGCTGGAGATGGGATTTGACAGGAATAGAGCGTGAGTAACCTCAGTCATTATGATCCTCGTGATTAGTGCATTTTGACCCTTTAAAAACTTTAAGTCTTATCATGTAGTGAGAGAGCTGTGGCCAACACTGGAAACCAGGGAATTGAACAGGCTATGGACTGGTAAGCAAGGATAAGCAAGTCATGTGTTTGTCCTGATTTAAACACATATATTACATTTACTCAGTAATTTTCTTCCTACAGGTTAATGGAGCATGAAAATGACCCAGATATCGATGAGCCTTTTGTGCCACCTACAGAAAATGTCCTTGGAGGCACAGCAGAGACACCTAGTTCAGAAATGGCAGATTTTGATCCTGGGGAAGGTTGTTTTGTCATACAATAATTTACACATTATTTTTCAGTGTTTGTTTCAGTACATAATTTAATCTGTTTAATATCTGGGTGTCAGAGATCGCAGGTGGAGAAATCACTAATCCTGATGGTTCCAAACGGCCAATGACGGAAGAGGAGAAAAGAGAACAAGTTAAAAGGTAAGTACTATGTCTTAGTTTTGTTGTAACTACATGTTAATAACCAAGCAGTTAAATGCTCTCAATGCTTATGAACAGACTCTTTTGGTTTAACAATAGAATTGTCAACTATGTTGTTCAGACTTGAGGAACTGATGCGAATCAAGCAAGCCGAGAGGAGGGAGCGTGAAAAGGCAGAGGAGATCGAAAGGGAAAAGACGCGAAGGAAACACGGACAAGAGCTGCAGCAAATTCGCCAAAAGATACAAGATGATGACATGAAGAAATTAGCAGATCAACGGAGGAAAGAGAAGATGGAAGACAAACTAGCCAGGTACATGTTATTCACTGTGTGTATTATTATTATTATTTTTATATGTTTTTATACATCTGGGATTGAATTAGTTCGTCTTTATGTACATTTCCTTCCTTGTCATAATGTGAATGGGTGTGAACAATCTGGAACAAATCTCACAAAACTTTCATTATGAGATGTATAATAATCCAGAGGATTCCAGACATCAGATAATGATCGGGTTTTTGGTGTGCATGAAAACAGAGCCATTGGCAGACATAATCAAAAAAGGTCCATTGATTAAAAAACTGCTCTAAAATGGCAAATATGAAACTATTTAACAAAATCTCAAAAAAAAATGTATATTCCCACCTTTCAAAACCTCACATTTACAATTTTTTCAGACAAAGAGTTAAAGATAAAATTGCAAGGGACAGAGAAGAAAGAGCTCAAAAGGTATACCGACATTTAGCTTTTTTGTTGTTGCTGCAGTATTTTGTTTATGATTGTCTTTCCCCGTCTTATCAGTTTGGGGGTGGTGCGTCATCGTCCCAGGTGCCAAGTCCGACATCACCCACTGGTCAGGGTCCTCCGCCCACAAAACGAGAGTATGATGAGTCCCGGATACAGGTACAGTCTGAATAGAGCGTAACTGTTATTCATTCCGTATATATTCAGGGCCCGCTACATCTGTGAAGCCCCCAGGGAAGTGCTCATGATTTCCTTGTGTTGGTTCCCATTCACTTACGTTGACACACTTTGGGCATTGAAATCTTTGGTTTTGATTTTGATAATGTCTTTTTTAGTAAGTAAGTAAGTAATGTTTATTTATATAGCGCATTTTTACAGACCAAGGTCACCCAAAGCTTTACAATGTTCAGAGTTTAGATATCGTTCAATTCTCTCCACACACAGTAATGACGGAAGCGAGATCCCGAACACACAGCAGCTTCAAAGCCCCCAACCAACACCATCTATTCACTCTCTCCATTCATAGCTATTATTCATGTTTTTAGTGGTAGGGGAAACCGAAGCACCCGGAGGAAACCTACGCAGACACAGGGAGAACATACAAACTCCACCCAGAAAGGCCCGGTATTCGAACCCAGGACCTACTTGCTGAGAAGCGAGAGTGCTCTCCACTCAGCCACCGTGCCGCCCAAATCTAGATATCCCTAACAAATGACATACAGTATATGACTTTGTTCCCGCTCACATTTGTCCCTAAGCAAACAAGTACTGCTCCTGATAGGCTCTTTGGTTGCTAGGTTGTTGCTACCCACACATTTGGGACCAGATTGCCGAGCATTGAGCTGTATGAGTTAGCTTTTTCTTTGACTTGATCAGATCCGTCTGCTTGATGGCTCCACGATCACCGCATCCTTTAAAGCCCAGGAGCCTTTGGCAGCCGTCCGTGTGTACGTACAAATTAACGGAAATACACCAGAAGGTCAGGACTTCGGTCTTCTGTCACCGTATCCCCGTCACCTCTACACAGAGCTGGATATGGAGAAGCCACTTAAAGAATTAGGTTAGCAATCAGTTAACAATCATTTAACAGCTGATTTTTTTTTTTACCATTTTGACTAATAGATTTCTTTTATGTTGCAGGTTTAGTGCCTTCAGCTGTGTTGGTTGTTATAAAGAAGTAAATTTACACAAATCTTGAGCCAACCTTACCTCAAACAGTCGGAACTACATCTCAGCATCATTCACCAGTCAGTTTCAGCAGAGTGCATATTATTATAACAGTACTGGACTTATCAGAGGTGTATGAGAGATTTCCTTTTTAAGAATTTAAAACACTTCAAACTCTGTTGTTAAGTTTTCACCAATATTACCAAATAAACATCACAAACAATGCTCCTAATTGATTCTAAACAATTTGTGGTCCGAATTCTTTGCCTCCAGAGAAAACCATACTTGCCAATGCCAACATACAAAGCAGAATACAGCCCTTCTTCACGACAAATACCTTCATTTTTAATTGAAAGTCGATGGTTAAAATATGCTTTATGCTGTTGGACTTTTCAACTGCATGTGTTTTAAATATGTGCATTTTACATTTTCCAATAAAACTATATGGCAGAAAGTTATTGGTTTCACTCTGAGAGGTTTCCTTTGTTTATTGCATCAACACTTTGAGAACTCATAGAACATTATGGAACATGTCCAGACTGAAAAAACTACTAGTTTATAACATAATTCCAGAAAAAGTAAGGAAGATTTTGGCCTAAAATGAATAAACAGCTTGTACCACTAGAAGGAGATCTTGTCCCACAGCTAGACTCCAGTGTGTAGACTTAACAGTATGGATTTTGATTGGACTGAGTTCCCTGGTGGTGAATGCCTTGTGACTGTATGGATATTGATCTATGTTAAATTCATTAGGATTATAGTGTAACATTTATATAGGGCATATTTATTTTCATTCTAAAAGGTTGTGGCAGACTGACAACTGCGAGGCTGCCCATCTATGCTTTCGACCTCTAACCATCATTGATTCACTGCAGCCATATGTGGAGTGAAGTATGTTTCCTAAGAACAACAGTTCACAGGATTGTGCCATTCTAAACATTTCAATTCTAGGTTGTTACCCAAGTTGGGAATGACAGGGTTTTCATATGATGCACGGCAGCTCACAACGATATTATCCTTTTATAATAATTGGGATAACAGATTGGAACCAGTTCCCCCCCCCCAATCACAATTTGAACTAAAATTACACTTTGACAATTTCCTTCCGTGACCCACACAAATAAATTTAACTAATCTATATAATCTGAAGAAAAACATGACAGGTGCAAAATAGTAATACATCACCAGGCGGCTTGCCCTCGTTACATTTGTTTCATCCTACGCAGCCACCGCAGATTTAGTTAAGGCTCTGAAATTCCTACTGTGGGACGAGGATCTCTTAATCAGTTCTTTCAATAAGAACCAGGCATTGCAAGTTGTTGCCCTGTTATCACAGCAATGCAGGCCAACATGTAACACACAATTTAAAATAGAATTTATTACAATAAGTTTATCATTATTTCAGACATGCAACAACATCAATGCAGTTCACATTTGGTCAACTTTATTTTTCTTGGTCTCATCTTTAATACATTACACACCTTCTTCCGTTCTCATCTCCAACAATTTTGAACAAGATTGAAGCAACGTGTTAAAAACATGGCGATACAGTTGAAACAAAAGCCTAAAATTTTCAACTAGACAAAACAATCATTCTAAATGGTAAGAAAAAGCAAATACAGTGCCTGACTAGTATGTCACTTAAAGAACCAATGCATTTTAGCGGCTTTGCAGACTATTCCAATTCATGGGACTTTTGTTTATTATTCTGTAAGTGCAAACTAATAAGTTTGACATTTAAAAAAAAAACCGCCTCATGATTTAGTGGTTCACTCCCAGAAGCGGTATAACCGGACATCTCGGCTGCCTCTTCAGTTTTTCTAAATTGAAAACAACTAATTTCAGCTAACATTGGTCTTTAAAATAATCTCGAGAGCATTTGTTTATAGCATAACTGCTCACAAACAAACGTTCCTATGCTTTGTATGCTTGGAATGAAAAGAGCACGAGTGGGAATGACATTGAACTAGCCTACACTTGAAATGACAAGCCTAAAGAGAGGGACCTTAATTTTGTGACAATGCCAATGAAACTCATCTAAAAACCATGTAGTAGTAGTCATTCATTTGATAGGAATTGTAGGGACTGAACACAAGGACAGAAGAGACTTTAAAACAGGCCGATTTCAGATGATTTGATCCGAGGACTCATTTGTCATTCAATTGGGTTTCCATCCTACAATATCCTCCAGCAAAGACTCATCTTCAGTTGCCATCTCCATGGTTACTGCATCCTCATAATCTTCCAGCGCGATCTCCATGGTTACTGCATCGTCACTCTCCAGTCGTCCCCGACGTTCATTCCCGGTTTGCGCAGCGTCAACACTGACATGGAGGCGTCAAAGTCAAACTCCACACTGCTCTCCTGGCCATCTGCAGAAAAAAAACCAAAGATTGTAAATTTAGGAGTGGAAGCTGGAATCTGTGTTGCTGTGATACACAATCACCAACCGCTGCACCACCTTGTTACATCTATAATCTCAAACACTAACAACTTTCTAACGGTACATCTGTGTTAACCCACTACCAAAGCCCTGGACGCCCTGAAATTAACTGTGAATGTAAGGTGCAACATCACATTTATGATTGCCTTAAAATAGAAAGCTCAAATTGGTCATTTTACCCATAGATACTCAATGTCTCTGCACATCTTTAAAATCAAGAAACAGATCTGTAACTCACCGGCGGTCTGAAGCATCACCTTGCTGGGTTTACTGGCACCAATAATAACCACACGCTCAACCCAAGACGAAGTAGGGAACTGGACAGCTGAATTCAAGTTTCTGCGGCAAAACATCTTGATGAGTAAAACCACAAACCGTCGAACAGCCAAATTGTTTGCGCAGTTATTGAAACTCACACAGAGGAGAGGACATTGTTGGAAAATGCCAGTCTTCTGTGGATAAACTGGTTCTTCTGATAGCCAAATGTGTGGCCATCGTCAATGTAAAGTTCACCCTCAGCAGCTCTCTAATAAAAGGGTTTGAAGTATATAAAATCAAAAGTGCATTGCTCTCAGAATGTTGTCTTTATCATCTTCACGTGTTAATTTTACCTGTAGATTTAAAGCAACGTATAAAGTGTAAGGGTCATTTTCCATACAGGTAGATGATCTGCGAACACGGAGCTTCCTGGGAATAATTGAACCGCCGCGCTGGAACACTGGAATCTACCCAGAGACAAGATCCAATCAGATGAATGCAGACTGGAACAATATTTCAAAAATAAATGCTGTATTTCTTACAGTGCTCATAGTAACAGGAATGTAAAGACTTTGGCCACCGTTGTGTTTCTGGAAAGTTAGGACGTCATACCAAAGCTAGAAAGATGCAATAAAAACAAAGTCAACAAACACGTCAACATTAATGAGTAAATGTCTATTTCCTGTCCAACCTCGTTTTTCCCTGGCAGATATGCACTAACTGCTCTAGATCCCTCCTCAGTCACCGGATGCACCAACAAGTCTTTTCCTGTAGCAGAAAAGTTAAAAAAGGTAAACGGCTGATGTTCACAAAAAGTAAGAAGAAAAATCTTACCAATAAGAAACTCATCATCAATGGCAAAGGTGGCTGGATCTTGAGGATACTCCACCCACAATGGTCTGCGTATGAAAAATAATTTAGACAATATTTCCTAAACAGAAGCCCTCTTCTATGACAGTAACAGACCTCATGATGGGATCCCCGCTCAGGTGAGCATGGTAGAACTGCTGGTACCAGTATGGCAGCAGAGAGTAGCGCTGACGCACTGCGTCACGGATCAGAGCCGTGTTCTCAGGACCAAAGAGCCACGGCTCCCGACGCGGAGTGTCCAGGTGAGCGTGCGCTCTGAAGAAGGGCTGGTAAGCTCCTGTTTGGTACCAACGTACTAGAAGCTCAGCGTTGGGGGACTTGAAGAAGCCTCCCACATCAGCTGCACGTGAACGGGACAGAAACAAGTGTTATTGGAGTCATTATGTCACGACACAAATACCCCGGATCACAGGAACCGCATTATAATGGACTATGAAAAGTATGTCATCCATGTGTACTGTCTTTATTCAAAGTATTGTCCCTTGTGTGAAGTCTCATTACGTTCCTTTTTTTTTACTAAAAGTGAGACTCACCTCCACAGAAAGAGATTCCCACTAAACCAAGACTCAGGCACATTGGGATAGAGATCTTGAGATGATCCCACTCAGCTGCATTATCGCCGGTCCACACAGCACCTGCGGAAACACAGTCAGGCTGTGATCTCAAGCTACGGGGACTTCTAAAAAACATTCTGCACTAACCAAAGCGTTGAGATCCGGCAAAGAAAGCTCTGGTGAGGACAAATGGACGCTCAACACCTCCAGATCGCTGGATCAGACCTTCTGCTGTTGCCATTTGCTACAGGAGAACATTTTGTAATGACCAATTCATATTTCATTGAAAAAAAAGACAATGAGAAATAATGTCCTCACCACATAGAGCCCGTATAAGTTATGAACGTCACGATGCTCCCAGTCTCCATGCTTGGCGTCTTTGTGCATCGTGACCTCAGGTCCATTAAAAACAGACGGCTCGTTCATGTCATTCCATGTGTAGAGATTTTCCATACTTCCCTGTAAACAGACATACAGCATTAGTAAAAGACATGTTAGAGAAAAATGGCAGATAATAACCTGGTTGACTTACTTCATATTGATCATAAGCAAACATGCTCGCCCACCAGGCCCTCATGTCTGCACGGGTGAAGTCTGGATAACCAGCACTACCTGCAAGATGTCAATCGAAAAAAAGAAAAAGAATAAAAATGTGTAAAAAAAAAAAAAAAAAAAAAAAAAAACACATTTACTGCAGGTCATACCTGGCCAACACCAGCCCTCGTAGTCTCCCCCATCCTTGTTTTTAATATAGAATCCTTTTGACTGGATTTCATTATGGATCTTGTAGTTGCTGTCAACTTTGATGTGTGGGTCAACGATGGCTACCATCTAAACAAGATAAAAGTGCCAAACTGTACATTTCCACCACTACTGGTCAGCTGAGGTATGTCAGAGACCTTACCTTGCGTTTCTTGTCCTTGATACCCTGTAGCATCTCTTTAGGATTGGAAAACTTGTGGGGATCCCAGGTAAAGTAGCGCTTTCCATCAGTGTGCTCAATATCAAGCCAAATGTAATCATAGGGGATGTCGTGTTCATCAAAGCCAGCATCAACGTTCTTCACATCCTCCTGGTCATTATAGTTCCACCGACACTGGTGATAAGCCAGAGCAGCAATAGGAGGAAACGCCTGTGTGCCTAAAGGGTTACAATTTAGAATATTATTTAGCAACAAGACCTCCAATTATAACTTCCCATTATAAAAGAGACAATTTATGCCACTGTTACTGTGCAAAATCCACTGTCAAGAGCATATAGTTTCCCCTTTTCATTTACCCATGCAATCATTTATGTGTCAGTGTAATAAAATAACCCATGTATAATCTCGTGACATCAGACACCATTACAAATTACTCCAAAACCACCACCACAGTGATCTACAGCTAAGTCTGGCACAAATGTGTTGTCTTGAACAATCGTCCTGTGACCAAAGAACAAAGAACCAAAGTCTTGCAGGAATGTTTCCGGCCGACAGAGGAAAACCTACCAGTGAGCGAGGCATATTGGGAAAACACATCTTTGGGTGTTGGTCCAAGCATTATGAAGACATCGATTATCCCGCTCTCAGATATCCAACGCACGTCGGTTTGGGGCTTCTCACTGGATCCCTGCACATAATCCAGCATCTTTCCAAAAACGGTCTAAAATACATTAATATGGCATTAGTGCAGAGCCAGGCCAATCAGAGCAGTTCAAAATGTTCAAACTAGAACATACCTTTCCAGCTGTATTGGAGCTGATGTCCACCCACGTCTCTGCAGCATTGAGCCAGAAGATCCCGGTGGTCCTCTGCGCGTTGTGGGCCAACATGACTGGGACGGCCCCGTAGAGAGCCATAGGATTATAAAGCTCGTACTGGAAAACGTCCAAGTTATAAAGCCGATATGGATCTCCGTTTCTGCAAGTCCAAAAATGTTGTTAAATTATCCAAGACCAAAAGCAAAATTGGTTTTAGGTTGTTTTTTTTTGGGGACTCACTCTGTGGTTTTAAGCTTTAAGTTATCTGCATGTTCGGGAATGCCGTACACATGTTCCACTTCAGGCAAAGAAAAGTCTAAACTCACAGCTGAGGGACCTGTGAAAAGAGAACATACAAGACGACATTTTAGTCCCTCATCTGCCCAAATGCTTTTGAAAAATATAAATGCGCTCTAAAATCCTTCAAAAGAAAGAAAAACAGGTATACTTATGATTATTTATGATCTTAATGCTATCTTGTCTTGTTCAGCACTTTGAGTTGCCTTTGTATGAATTTTGCTATACAAAAAAACTTGCATTACCTTTTCTAGTTTTAAATTTGAAAATACCATTAAAAAAATTAAAAAAATTAAAAATTAAAAAAAGGGTTAGGGTTAAGGTTTAACCAGCGCTCTAGAAATCTAATGTTACCGTAGTTTTAAAGCACAAAAGAAAAATACTTTGGTTCTAACTTGGAGGCATGTTATTGCTTATTAAAATGCATTTCCAATACGTTTATTGCACACTACAGGTAGCTTGCATGGGGATTGGCCTTTCATCGCATTTTCCACCTTCTTTTTTTAAGTCTTGTTCTTACAAACCACACATTTAATTATTTATGTGCGTTTCATGCAGCCCGCATATAAAAGATTGAGACGAGAGGCCGAGGGAGAAGTGCTTGTGCTTGAGGAGAGGCCATGTTGAAGGGGTTTTTGACTATGTTGATTAAGATAAGTCAAAATGTGATGGACCCATTTTTCCGGTCACTGATAACATGCACAACCTGCTCATGATTGGCAGCCGATTGAATGGCGCAACTTTAACGGCAATGCACTGTGAGATTTCTGGATCATTATTAACCCATTTAAAACTGGGGCTGATCTCGGCTCACTAGTTTCTGGAAAAGTAAATCTTATTGGACAAATGCCTGGGAACCCCTTGTTTAAATGCTTGGTCACATACCATTCGGTTTGGTGTCGGTGTGAGACTTAAATGTTTCCTCCCACATGCCCTCTACTTTGTCATCCTCTTCTTTTGCTTCCTGGGTGTCAAGAAAAAACAACAAAATACTTAAATACTCTTTAAATAATCCTAATAATACTAATTAAAATTAAATACCTCTGGCTGGTTTGCCGGATCATCCTCTTTCTTCTCTGCATCGGCTTCCGCTTGACTACTCAAAAAAGAAGGAATTATTACGACCAAGATATTCCTCACAGTACATTTTTATCAAATAGAATTACTAGAAAACTATATAAAGCCCTTTACAAACACGCACGTCTACCCAGAGTTTCCGGAGCGCTCGGCTGTTAGTACCCATAGATTATCCCTCCAGGCCCCCAGTGTTAAATGTGCTGGTACTTTGTACAGAGCAGCCAAATGCTTCTGGGGTTAGAGAAGTGGCTCCACAGGTGGGGACGAAGGACATAATTTTTTATTTTCAGATGTTATTATCAAGTCTATTTGGTCTATTTTAAAGACGAGTAAGTAGAAGTATTATAAAAGTACTTATAGTATTAAAAAATACATTATGTAAGGCAAGAATAGACCAGTTTTGTTTTTCTATACCCTGTGTGCCTACCACCCAACCTCTGATACTTGCAGCGGATTCACACGGCATAAGCAATGTCCGTAAATGACTATATTTTCACTGGCATACAGTAATAACGGACACATAACGGCCGCAAGTCTCTCCTCTTCACGCAGTGACGCGGCTTTAGTCAAAACACATGGGAAACATGTTTGTGCTGATGGTCCTTGGCATTAGATCAGCTCCTCACACACATCACTTGTATTTAAACTTTAAGACCTGCGAGACGTGGCTCTCCTCTCCTGAAAAGAGGCGCTCCTCATTCGCTGCTCTCACAATGTGTAGCCGTATTATAGTTTCCTGCTAAAAAGCTTCAAAAATGCGAATCAACATTTTGACTGCAGCCTCCTTGGTCCGAGTCGGGAAGAGATATGAAAAGACGCAAAATATTTACAAAAAACAACACCGAAAGTAGAGAAGGTGGCAATAGCGATAACAATCACTGACATGCAGATTCGCACAGGATTAGTATTATCACTGGACGTCTGTGATTGGAAAAAAAATATAGGAGGTAATTTGCGGCGGAATTATTACTTTACTAATTACAGACATGGTGCATCCGCACAGGACTATGATCTCAGACGTCCTCCATGATTATCACAAATTACCAGCGGTCCACAGGTAATACTAATCCCGTGGGAGAAAGGATATAAACAAGTGGAAAGAATGTTCTGGCGCATTTCTACCTTTTTTTTGAGGGACACGGGTAGAAAAAGAACGGTGACAGAATGTAAAACAGTCCATGTTAACGATGCAAAGGTCTGCGTAGTTCTGAATGAGGACACAGATGCTTGTCATGGTAGACTTGCAGTACCGCTGGGAGCACATCACAGGCACTCAAAAATCTATTTGGCTGAAGGCTTTGAGCCAGGTTTGGTTTTTGAAAAAGCTGATTGCTGGTACAGCTCTGCAGTTCAGGAGATGGCGTAGAGACCCTCTGTGTGTACCATTTGTAAAGGGCTAATGACATTTATTTGAAGGGGATCAATATCAACCAACACGGTCATTTCAAGTCACTATTTCAATCTACCCTATCAATTTTCAAGGCTTGAGCAACTCCTTGCTTTGTGGCTATAGTCGAGATGTGCATTCAACATATTTACTCATAAGTTTCTTACGATAAAATCCAATTTGATTTTATCTACGGTAAAAGGATTAAGAACACGTAGGGTACAATTTAATGTAATATATTACAAATATAACCACAAAGACAGATGCTGCTACAAGAAATCTACATACGGGGATTTCTACCTTTACTAAACTAGTACACTTTGATTTTCCATAAGAAAAAAAACTTTGCCATGCAGTTTGAAGATTTATAACTACTCATCACCATGTTAATCTGCCCACATTTTGTTAAGACATAATCACTGCGTGATTGGAGGTTAACGCTAATAATTTCACACAAAGTGACTGACCAGTCAAGTTAGTCCCATACACACATTGAATAATTTTCTTCTTAGTTTTAGATCAACTCAATAGTTTACAGAGGACCCGAAACAGAATGTACCCTAGACAAGGAACAAAATAACAAGGGTCTTTACCTAGAGAAAACCCTCTTGACATTATCCCACACACTAGCCACTGTGCTAGTTACTTTATAGGAGAAACTGGGATGATAGGAAAAGAGGACAGAACAACCAGTCAGAGACAATACTCAAAAACAAATCATTTTATGGGAACAGAAATGTAAAGACGTAGATACAAAGAGAGTGTGTTGTGCAAGTGCAAAGTCTCACGTGTCCTTCCGCATCCTCAAGTGCTCGAAAGCCAACAGCCCACGGGAGTTGAGTGACATCACCACATCATGCCCTTCCATGATGTCCAGACGAAAGGGCCGAACGCTGACAATCACCCGCTGGGACTCTGCCCCCAGGGACAGCACCACCCCGTTCTCATCTTGGGATAAGAGAGCCAGGCTAGAGACGGAGAGGAGACATAGTCAGTACACTTACAGAAACACACTGTGCTGAAACTGCACATTACATTTATTTTCACTTTTCTATTAAGACTTTCATAAGGTCACATGTGCAGGCAGATGACTCATTGCTAGCTCTAGATAAAGAAGTGTTATTAGAATGATTTAAAAGAGCAGTGTAAGTAAGTAATCTTTATTTATATACCGCCTTTCACAGACCAGAGTCACAAAGCGGTTTATAATTGTTATTATTTTTGGGCATTTGTCTCTCACTCCACACAGAGATGGGAGCGGGGTCGCCAGTACAGGAGGCGCATGCCAGAACTATTGTGCATGTGTCTAATATGTAACATCATGGTTACATATTAGACAAATAATAGATTTGATCATTTAACATTAGAATGAAAACCTGGAGCCATCTTATGTACAATCGTCATAATGGTTAATATCTAAAAGTTACATCTCATTTAGATTTATGGCAGTAACAAGTAATTGCAAAATGTTTCAACAATTCAAAAACCATTTTAGTAATTGATCATGAATTGCTCTGCAGACTCCAACATATATGCAGTGAAATGTGGCTTTGAAACTCCGACAGGAGTAAGTATATGAAACCTAGAATTGTGTAAATGTTTAATGATTAAAACTCCTGGGTGTAAATCCATTAGTAAATTGGAGTGAGATAAGTGGACATCCCAACAATCTCACACCGGTGTTCTATTCAACTAGACGATAAATCAAAAGAATAATCAATAAACTTGAGTTGCAACCTTACATTGAGAATTAATGCATTTCCAGACGTACTGGAAAAGTAACCTTCTCTCAGTGAATAAACTAATTGATTGACTGCGGAACCTTCCGCAGTCAACCATTGGTTTTGTATTTCTTTATTCCGTCATTGATTGACTGCGGAACCTTCCGCAGTCAACCATTGGTTTTGTATTTCTTTATTCCGTCATTTTTTTTGACACGTTTCACAGCTTTCACATTTTCAACAATTTCCACAAGTTATACATCAAAACGTTCCACATGTTTGGGAGATTATTGCTATTACTTTTGGGACTTCAGCGATTTCCGGTTTTTCCGCAATCGGACAAAAATCTGCATTGAGAATTCTGCAATGCATTTTAATAGGCCCATGCATTTTAATAGGACTTCAGCTCTTTCAGACATTTCTACAGTTTCAATGATTCAACAGTTTCAAGGATTCAACAGTTTCAAGGATTTCAGCAGTTTCAAGATTTCAAGAAGTTTCAAGGACTTCAACAGTTTCAAGGACTTCAGCAGTTTCAAGGACTTCAGCAGTTTCAAGGACTTCAGCAGTTTCAAGGACTTCAGTGTAATCATGCAACCTAATAGGGATTTTTCCATGTAAACCAGTATAATGCAACTTAATAGGGATTTTTCCATGTAAACCAGTATAATGCAACTTAATAGGGTTTTTTCATGTAAACCAGTATAATGCAACTTAATAGGGTTTTTTTTCATGTAAACCAGTATAATGCAACTTAATGGGGATTTTTCCATGTAAACCAGTATAATGCAACTTAATAGGGGTTTTTACATGTAAACCAGTATAATGCAACTTAATAGGGTTTTTTTCCATGTAAACCAGTATAATGCAACTTAATAGGGTTTTTTCCATGTAAACCAGTACAATGCAACTTAATAGGGATTTTTCCATGTAAACCAGTATAATGCAACTTAATGGGGATTTTTCCATGTAAACCAGTATAATGCAACTTAATGGGGATTTTTCCATGTAAACCAGTATAATGCAACTTAATAGGGTTTTTTTCATGTAAACCAGTATAATGCAACTTAATAGGGTTTTTTTCATGTAAACCAGTATAATGCAACTTAATGGGGATTTTTCCATGTAAACCAGTATAATGCAACTTAATAGGGGTTTTTACATGTAAACCAGTATAATGCAACTTAATAGGGTTTTTTCCATGTAAACCAGTATAATGCAACTTAATAGGGTTTTTTCCATGTAAACCAGTACAATGCAACTTAATAGGGATTTTTCCATGTAAACCAGTATAATGCAACTTAATGGGGATTTTTCCATGTAAACCAGTATAATGCAACTTAATGGGGATTTTTCCATGTAAACCAGTATAATGCAACTTAATAGGGGTTTTTACATGTAAAACCAGTATAATGCAACTTAATAGGGTTTTTTCCATGTAAACCAGTATAATGCAACTTAATAGGGTTTTTTCCATGTAAACCAGTACAATGCAACTTAATAGGGATTTTTCCATGTAAACCAGTATAATGCAACTTAATGGGGATTTTTCCATGTAAACCAGTATAATGCAACTTAATGGGGATTTTTCCATGTAAACCAGTATTATGCAACTTAATAGGGATTTTTCCATGTAAACCAGTATAATGCAACTTAATAGGGATTTTTCCATGTAAACCAGTATAATGCAACTTAATGGGGATTTTTCCATGTAAACCAGTATTATGCAACTTAATAGGGATTTTTTCCATGTAAACCAGTATAATGCAACTTAATAGGGTTTTTTTCATGTAAACCAGTATAATGCAACTTAATAGGGTTTTTACATGTAAACCAGTATAATGGAACTTAATAGGGATTTTTCCATGTAAACCAGTATAATGCAACTTAATAGGGGTTTTTACATGTAAACCAGTATAATGCAACTTAATAGGGTTTTTTTCATGTAAACCAGTATAATGCAACTTAATAGGGATTTTTCCATGTAAACCAGTATAATGCAACTTAATAGGGTTTTTTTCATGTAAACCAGTATAATGCAACTTAATGGAGATTTTTCCATGTAAACCAGTATTATGCAACTTAATAGGGATTTTTCCATGTAAACCAGTATAATGCAACTTAATAGGGTTTTTTTCATGTAAACCAGTATAATGCAACTTAATAGGGTTTTTTTTTTCATGTAAACCAGTATAATGCAACTTAATGGGGATTTTTCCATGTAAACCAGTATAATGCAACTTAATAGGGTTTTTTTTTTTACATGTAAACCAGTATAATGGAACTTAATAGGGGTTTTTCCATGTAAACCAGTACAATGCAACTTAATAGGGATTTTTCCATGTAAACCAGTATAATGCAACTTAATAGGGTTTTTTTTCATGTAAACCAGTATAATGCAACTTAATAGGGTTTTTTTCATGTAAACCAGTATAATGCAACTTAATGTGGATTTTTCCATGTAAACCAGTATAATGCAACTTAATAGGGATTTTTCCATGTAAACCAGTATAAATGCAACTTAATAGGGATTTTTCCATGTAAACCAGTATAATGCAACTTAATAGGGATTTTTTCCATGTAAACCAGTATAATGCAACTTAATGGGGATTTTTCCATGTAAACCAGTATAATGCAACTTAATAGGGGTTTTTACATGTAAACCAGTATAATGCAACTTAATAGGGATTTTTCCATGTAAACCAGTATAATGCAACTTAATAGGGATTTTTCCATGTAAACCAGTATAATGCAACTTAATAGGGTTTTTTTCATGTAAACCAGTATAATGCAACTTAATGGGGATTTTTCCATGTAAACCAGTATAATGCAACTTAATATGGGTTTTTACATGTAAACCAGTATAATGCAACTTAATAGGGTTTTTTTTTACATGTAAACCAGTATAATGGAACTTAATAGGGTTTTTTACATGTAAACCAGTATAATGGAACTTAATAGGGGTTTTTACATGTAAACCAGTATAATGGAACTTAATAGGGGTTTTTACATGTAAACCAGTATAATGCAACTTAATAGGGATTTTTCCATGTAAACCAGTATAATGCAACTTAATAGGGTTTTTTACATGTAAACCAGTATAATGCAACTTAATGGGGATTTTTCCATGTAAACCAGTATAATGCAACTTAATAGGGGTTTTTACATGTAAACCAGTATAAAGGATAACAGTTTAAAGGATATCAGGAGCTTCAAATACTTCAGGAGTTTCAAAGGATTTTTCAGCTAAATTCCACATTAGATCTGTTCCGCAGTCAATCGCAATGGCTTCAGCCATTGCAAGTTTCTAGTTTTTTTTGACACGTTTCACAGCTTTCACATTTTCAACAATTTCCACAAGTTATACATCAAAACGTTCCACATGTTTGGGAGATTATTGCTATTACTTTTGGGACTTCAGCGATTTCCGGTTTTTCCGCAATCGGACAAAAATCTGCATTGAGAATTCTGCAATGCATTTTAATAGGCCCATGCATTTTAATAGGACTTCAGCTCTTTCAGACATTTCTACAGTTTCAATGATTCAACAGTTTCAAGGATTCAACAGTTTCAAGGATTTCAGCAGTTTCAAGATTTCAAGAGTTTCAAGGACTTCAACAGTTTCAAGGACTTCAGCAGTTTCAAGGACTTCAGCAGTTTCAAGGACTTCAGCAGTTTCAAGGACTTCAGTGTAATCATGCAACCTAATAGGGATTTTTCCATGTAAACCAGTATAATGCAACTTAATAGGGATTTTTCCATGTAAACCAGTATAATGCAACTTAATAGGGTTTTTTCATGTAAACCAGTATAATGCAACTTAATAGGGTTTTTTTTCATGTAAACCAGTATAATGCAACTTAATGGGGATTTTTCCATGTAAACCAGTATAATGCAACTTAATAGGGGTTTTTACATGTAAACCAGTATAATGCAACTTAATAGGGTTTTTTCCATGTAAACCAGTATAATGCAACTTAATAGGGTTTTTTCCATGTAAACCAGTACAATGCAACTTAATAGGGATTTTTCCATGTAAACCAGTATAATGCAACTTAATGGGGATTTTTCCATGTAAACCAGTATAATGCAACTTAATGGGGATTTTTCCATGTAAACCAGTATTATGCAACTTAATAGGGATTTTTCCATGTAAACCAGTATAATGCAACTTAATGGGGATTTTTCCATGTAAACCAGTATTATGCAACTTAATAGGGATTTTTCCATGTAAACCAGTATAATGCAACTTAATAGGGTTTTTTTCATGTAAACCAGTATAATGCAACTTAATAGGGTTTTTACATGTAAACCAGTATAATGGAACTTAATAGGGTTTTTTACATGTAAACCAGTATAATGGAACTTAATAGGGGTTTTTACATGTAAACCAGTATAATGCAACTTAATAAGGATTTTTACATGTAAACCACTATAATGTAACCTAATAGGGGTTTTTACATGTAAACCAGTATAAAGCAACTTAATAGGGATTTGTACATGTAAACCAGTATAATGCAACCTAATAGGGATTTTTCCATGTAAACCAGTATAATGCAACTTAATAGGGATTTTTCCATGTAAACCAGTATAATGCAACTTAATAGGGATTTTTCCATGTAAACCAGTATAATGCAACTTAATAGGGATTTTTCCATGTAAACCAGTATAATGCAACTTAATAGGGTTTTTTTCATGTAAACCAGTATAATGCAACTTAATAGGGTTTTTTTTTCATGTAAACCAGTATAATGCAACTTAATGGGGATTTTTCCATGTAAACCAGTATAATGCAACTTAATAGGGTTTTTTTTTTACATGTAAACCAGTATAATGGAACTTAATAGGGGTTTTTCCATGTAAACCAGTACAATGCAACTTAATAGGGATTTTTCCATGTAAACCAGTATAATGCAACTTAATAGGGATTTTTCCATGTAAACCAGTATAATGCAACTTAATAGGGTTTTTTTCATGTAAACCAGTATAATGCAACTTAATGTGGATTTTTCCATGTAAACCAGTATAATGCAACTTAATAGGGATTTTTCCATGTAAACCAGTATAATGCAACTTAATAGGGATTTTTCCATGTAAACCAGTATAATGCAACTTAATAGGGATTTTTCCATGTAAACCAGTATAATGCAACTTAATAGGGGTTTTTTACATGTAAACCAGTATAATGCAACTTAATAGGGTTTTTTCCATGTAAACCAGTACAATGCAACTTAATAGGGATTTTTCCATGTAAACCAGTACAATGCAACTTAATAGGGATTTTTCCATGTAAACCAGTATAATGCAACTTAATAGGGTTTTTTTCATGTAAACCAGTATAATGCAACTTAATGGGGATTTTTCCATGTAAACCAGTATAATGCAACTTAATAGGGTTTTTTTTTCATGTTAACCAGTATAATGCAACTTAATAGGGTTTTTTTCATGTAAACCAGTATAATGCAACTTAATAGGGTTTTTTCATGTATAATGCAACCTAATAGGTTGCATTATACCACCAGACCAAGACCCAAACGAAGACTCAGACCACCACCAGATAATGACCACAGACCAGGTTTCCTTAGTTACAGGAACCAAATTGTTTCAGCGGTGAGGGGATTTTTCAGTTTCAAGGACACTTTCAATACATTCAGTAGTTTCAAGGATTTCAGCTGTTTAAGAATTTAACCAGTTTCAAGGATATCAGGAGGTTCAAGGATTTCAGGAGTTTCCACACTTTCAACAGTTTCCAGGTTTAAAAAAGTTTCAAGGATTTCAGGAGTTTCAATGTTTCAACAGTTTCAAGGATTTCAGGAGTTTAAAGGTTTCAACAATTTCAAGGACTTCAGGAGTTTCAAATATCTATCAAGTATTTTAACAGTTTCAAGGCTTTTTAAAGGATTTCAAGGATTTTTTTTAGCAGATTTCCACATTAGATCTGTTCCGCAGTCAATCGCAATGGCTTCAGCCATTGCAAGTTTCTAGTTGAAGATGTGTAATTACCACTTTCATTTTAACCAAAACAACAACAAACATGCCAATGATCTAAAACAGTGGTCACCAAGTGACTTGGAATCAACTGATGGATCTCGTTCACTTCAAATATTTACACAAAGGATTTCCACTTATCATTATGGCCATTCATTCAAGTTAATAATTAGACTGAACAAATAGACGTATTCACAAAATTTTACTTTTTGGAACAATTTGGGTATCCCAGCTTTAATTGAGTGTGTTTTAGATGAGCTTCAGGAGACACAGGTGAATACATGGAAACTCGCTGAGTCTCTCACAATCCAGGTGTTTCGTACAGTTGTGTATTTGTCACATGTACAGGCAAAGACGCACGTTGGTCACATTCTGGCCACGCTACTGCTGCATGTCAAAGCAGCTGCTCTGTGCTTCTCCAGAATGCACTTACGACCAGTAGACTGGCTTTATCACTCTATAATAGAGTTTCCTCGTCTCTGCATCAGAGATCACATCACGCTGAGCCTGAATATCAAAGCCACGGAGACTGAGGATGTAGAATCCTGTTCTTGTACGTACAGCAAACATGGCCCATTCCCCGCAGCCACACATGCCCAATATTTGACAAGGACTGGCCGAGACAGTTTATTTTATGCACTTCAATGCTTCTGGTTTCTGTGTAATCTGTGTGTTGGTATAGCAGAGATCAGACGACAGATGACAATCCACATACTACTAACTATACAATCCATCAGTTTGCTGTGTCCGTAGCGTTTGGAGACTTACGGCTCAGTGGGAGGCTCTTTGATGAGGACATCTGGGACCTCGTAGCGCGGCTTGAGAGGCTTCAGCTCATTAATCTTCACCCTTGTCATGTTTCCCTGGAGACGGTACAGCTCTAACAACAGACGCACCTGCGACAAGAGCACACAAGAGCCATGTCGATATAAAACAAGGATTTCCAATATCAAAACACATCTCTCTTTGATGATATACCTTATTGTTATCATTTATGAGCTGTAGGGTTAGTCTGGTGTTGGTTAACTCCATGGTCTCCAGAAGGGCTCGATAAGGAGACTCCCCAGACTTCAATGCTCGCTGACGCCTTGAAAAAAATGAAATCACAATACAATATCACATTGTGCAGTGAATAAAAATAAAATAAAAAAACAACATGACTAGGATATGTGGTGATTATCTCTTACTTGCAAAAGGCACTCTGGTCACAGGTTTTAAAGTTGCCTCTGTCCACAGCCCATGCACCCCCAAGACTGAGAAACAGTATAAAAGCCAGGACCGGGGCCATCCTATAAATCAGAATGTGGAGGATTAAACAGCCTGCACCGCAAAGGCTTGTGGTTTGGTATGCGTTTGTTAGTAGCATGACAGGACAGTCATTTATTGTGTTGTTGGGCAAGGATCCCTGAAACTCCAACTCGATGCCTCCTCGCTCATCTAACCGTGAACGAATCTCATTATTGAAGAATATTGAAGTCGTGAGCAGATTAAATAGAGAAATCTAAAAGGGGATGAATGAGCCACACATTTCTAAGTGAGATCAAATTAACTCACTAAAAGAAGTACAAATTCTATTCGGAATCAGATCATGTTATAGATATAAGATAAAACAGCAGCGCCCTTTTTGCTACTTATAATGCTCACAACAGAGTTAATAATCTACTTAAGGTTTCTAATCGATCTCAGCTAAGTTAAGCTAATAGCGGCCGGATGTGGAGCGAGTTTGATTTGATTTGGGAGGTTCACGTTAAAATACGATCAAAATCTTGCTTCAAGGCATGACACAATATCTGTTTGTAGTTGTCTAAACCATAATCATGATCACATCCTATTTATGCACGTTTATTAAGAGCAAACATGTCAAATATTGCCGATGAAACAGCAGAATGGCTTTGTCTTACCTCTCAGTGAAGGCGGCCATCTTGCTGACCGCGCTACACTCCGCCCATTTGACTCCGCAACAAAGACGAGTGAAAAAAAACAAGACAACTCACTCTGTGTAAATAGTATCCGTTTAGTAAGAATTCAAAAACGATTTATCCCGAAACTAGGCCAGTAAAGGTCACATGAAACCATTTATTTGATTAAAATGTCATACCAATAGTCATTTGGTATTTAGATCATATTTTTTCCTCAAAAATAACTATATAACGATACATACTGTCTACGGACTAGACACGTCATCACTCAGCTCCTCCAACCAATGCAGACAGAGAGTGGCACAGACACACCTACTGACCATACACTATGATTGTGACACATCATCATGGATCTGTTATCATACTGTATGTAAGTGGCCATCTTTTTGATTGCAAATGTGTTTGATGTGTGTTGGTCATGTAAAACACCAGATTACTATTGCACAAATTAAGAGACAAAACAAGTGTTTATTTGCTGATGTAAACTTATTCAAAAATTGAATCATTACTCTTAAGTTAGAAAACAAATTGGATGACTGGTACACATATTTACTGTCTAATTTGGCACATACAAAGAAAACAATTTTAAAATAAAAGGGAAACAAAAGACTTTGTAGAACATACAAATGTTCGACATTATAAAACAGGTGTAATCATGGTAAAATTGTCTCAAAGTTGGAATCGCCAACATAAATGCCCCAGTCTATCTATGTTTTTATGCAATACACTGTGGATTGGTGCAACATATCTTGCCACGTCTCCATCTCGTGAGAAATCCCTGCAGAAGATTCCTCCTTTCTCTGAGCTGAAGGTAAATTTCTGAGGCATTGGCCCATTTCCCCTCACATACTCCCATACAGCCAGCAACAAGAGCCTCACCTCAAACGGTGCAAGGTGAGGAAATGCCTCATGAACATTCGCCAAGACAGGAGGAATAAACTGACCTTCCCCCATGCAGGATACAAGCAGGCTGGAGGCCTGAAGGTGCCAAGGGGAGTCTGTGGATGAAGCATCACGGGACGCCTCCCAGTGTGCAAGCAGAGTGGCGAGGAGTCCTCGGAGCACAGCAGAGCAGTAGCAAAGAGCAGGGCGTCCAGCTGCCACCACTTGAAGCATAGGAAATAGCACCGGATGGGCCTCAAAGTAACGACGAATGTGGATATCCCTCTCTACCGTAGTGCGAGCGTGCTCTTCTGGTGGCCATGACAGCTCACTATTGGACACATCGGGGCAAACATTTTCAACCATTGTGACTGCTACAACTTTGGCGGCTTCTGCATTGATTGTTGGAGATTCCCCGAGGTCAGAAGGTCGTGAGCCACTGAGACCCGAGGAGCTACAGCATTGCACCAGGACAGCAATGAGAGTCTGGATGTTCTGCAGAAAACAGATACATACAACATAAATTAGAAAAAAAGTATAATAGTACCAACCAGAGCCTGCTCTGAATGTAGGCTATAGTAGTCATTGCTGTGTTACTTAATTAAACAAATGAATGAACAAATGAAGCTCACGATGTGCATGAAAGTATCAATATCTCTATATTGGAAAATAAAAGAATCAATAAAATATCCATCCATCCCTTTTCTTCCCCTTATTCCATTTCTGAGTCAGGGGGGTGGCAGTCCGAGCACCAGCCCCTCACTGATCCTCCTGCAGGTGGTGAGTCCACAGGAGCCTTGATCTTCCAGCGGGGGCTTTGGGCAAAGTGGGGTTAAGTGTCTTGCCCAAGGACACAACGACAGCAGTCATCAGTGGGAGTCGTGAGGTAGGTCTCGTGGTGGATTCGAACCTACGACCTTCAGGCCCAAAGGCCGATGCTCTACCAACTGAGCCACTGTCAATAAAACATCTAACTTTGCATTTTCTCTAAATAACCTTGATTTGCTTAATAAAGTTAACTAAAGTTAGTTTTTTTTATAATCAAATAGAAGCAAATTTGGTGTTACTATAAAATGCAATGGAGCGATAGCAAAAACAGTGAGGTTCTGTCTGAGTTAAAACTCACCTGGTTTGCTGCAGAAGGATGAGGGACTTTAGTTGGAAAGTTGACTTTTAATCCCTTTCCAATCACGCCAGCATGAAACACAGACCACACACTTCCAGAGAAGTTGGCTGTGGTGCTGAACTGACAATTGATGCTAAGAAGTGAAGTTCTGTGGTCTGAAGACGCAGATGTGGAAGGTGCTGGTACATCAGTTATGTCGCACGTTTGCCCTCCAAACAGATCTGCATTTCCTTTGTGCAGCGCTCCTTCTACAAGCTGCTGAAGAATGGACTTGAGAGTGAGAGGGGAGTAACCAGCAAATCGCGACAGCAGCAGCACAGAGCAATTTACAGCCTCTCGTGTGAGTCCAATATCTCTTCCCCCTATTAGCCCCTCTTGTCTTTTTCGCAATGCCAAAAAGAAGTAAGTGACTGCAGCACGTGACAGCAGCAGCAGGTGGCTTGGAGAAGATGTGTGAGGGAGTGGGCTGCAAGATAAAAGCTGCACTGCTGCGTGGGAAACCGCAGAGTCACCGTGCAGAAGAAGAGGACCAAAATCATGGAGGTGTTCAGAGACTGCTGATCCTAACTGCATCGACATGGAACAGTGGAGTCCTGCTGCTCCTCGTGTTTCTTCCTCCTGGCTCCGGATAACAGCGGTGAGGTTAAGCAACAGTTGTCGAAGCTGTCGTGGATTGAGCGTGTTTGTGTGTATCTGTGCGACCGAGCGGGTGATGGCAGCAGGAGCAAGTCCAATCATACACAGGGATAGTGTGCTGTGGAGCTGCCAGGCCAGGGCCAGTTCTTCAGGGTTTCGGGCCTGGGTGAGGAGCTGACACATAGCCTCGGTGGCCACACTTGGACCCCCATAAACGGACAGCAGGCAGAGGAGCTGGTGCAACCACAGATGTCGTTTTCTCTCAAGGCGTAGGGTCTCAGCACATAGTTCACCCACAAAGGACTGAAGCTCCTCCAAAAAAGGAATTTTTCTTTGTGGTTGAGACATGATCGAGGAGCGAGATGTGCCTTCATCTGTACGGTTATAAACCAGTTTATGTAGATGGAGCAGCAACATTTGAAGCAGGCGATCACACCCTTCCCTTACTCCCTCGTGTGGAGAACAGGTAGGGCCAGAAATAATTACGGAGGCTGGAGTAGCAGAGTCAGCAATAAAGCGCAGGGTTCGTGCCCCCCCTGTGGGACTCTGGCTAATGAGGTGAACAGCAAGTCCTACCATATTGTCCAACTCTTCCCTGGGAAGGCCCTGCAGCATACTGTGAAGTTGGAGCAATACAGGAGGCCGTAAGAGCTCGACCAGCTCTGAGGACACAGCCCCAAACAGGTCAGGAGACATGGCGGCCAGCTGCAAAAGGAAGGGTACTACAGCTCGGCAGAGTTGCGGAGATGACTCCCAGGAACTGGCGGATAAATCTGGAGACAGAGGGCTGGGTGGGGTTAAGCTTTCCTGGAACATCCGGAGAAGCTCCTTCCTGATACAGTCAGAATGGTGCACAGCCAGGTGACCAAGAATTCCAACCACAGAGCCAATTTTGGGGACTTTAGCACCTTTGTCCATTCCCATCACTACCACACTTTGATCTTTATGAGAGCAGAAATCTTTGAGTCCACAGGCCAACACTCTGCTGGTGATGGTTCCTGGAAAAGCAGAGCCGATGTGGGCAACAACCCAGTCAAAGTGAGGCGAGTGTTGAACAGATGTGTCCAGGAGTGCATCTACACAGGCGTCAGGACACCAGGTCAGCATAGCAGCCAAACACTGGGAATAGGCCTCCATAAGAGAGCGTGTGGCAGCACAGGACATCCACAGCTGCAGCAGCTCATTCAGGCTGGAGGAGTGAGGGGCACCTCTGCGGCCTGCATGTTTACTGCTCAACTGCCCCAGTAAGTCTACAGCCCAAGTCGAAACCAGTGGAGCCCAGGCCCGTGGATTGAGACGAATGAATTCAGAAAGGACCCCATGAACTTCCTGTAAAAAAACAAAACAAAACAAGACTGTATTGAATTGAATGGATTACATACAACAGCAAATATGAAAGGCAGATAATAAATAATAATAATAATTCAAACAGGTTAATTTTGTCTTGAGTTAAAATGTTCCTGTCTTCTCAGGAAGGGTTAGCTTATAAAGGGCACTTCATTTGTGAAGATGGCTTGCAGCTCTGCAGCCGAAACAAAGTGTTCATTATACACATATTTATGCATGTGTTATATATTTATTCAAGATATTGTAAAAACAGTGATTACATGAAGAGTTACATGCATATAATTCATAAATAATCTTAATTTGTTGAATTATATTTTATTCGATTAACATCAAATAAAGTATTTTAAAAATACACCTCTATCCATAATGATGAATACGCAGCGCCATTACCATTTTATAACAAATGTTTGCATAAAAAAATGTAACAAACATTATAGCACTTACCTGGATAATATCTTCGAGATTTGTGCTGGTCGCAGAGCCTCCCTCTGCCTCCGTCTCGAGCTGGAGCAGGAAGGCGGACACATGTTCATCATAGACGCCTCTCAGATGCTCCAGTACCGCGGTGCGACACGCGGGGACCGCGCGCAGCAGGCGCACAGCACACCGGGCATGTTCTCTCACACTGAGCTTTCGTCCATGGACACTGTCCACACCATTGATAAATGATTTGATCTCCTGTGACAGCTCCTGTGCACTGTTTACACAAACAATAAACCATATCATTGTTAATGTTGTATTTTAACTAATGTAACACTTCGGTTGTATTGCATGCTTAGTATTTATAAAATGTAAACATGAAATATAGGTCATATGACAGGTAACTTTTCTGCTTGTAGCTTTCAGATGTTGTCAGTGTTGTACTCACCTCAGGGCAGTGTGTGGTGTGTGACTGTGGGAGCTCTGCGCCGCTTTTAGCCCACTTCCATCAAACACCGCAGACATGGCTTGGTCTTTTAACATCAACACGATGCATAAAACCTCATATAATCGTATGAAGCTCGATGAGAGCAACAGAACCCGCGTAAAGGAGATGTTGTACCAAATGTCAGAACAGAGCCTACAACAGAGGGAACCAAACCCGGAAACCGCTCTTCCTCTGTTGAGCCAGGCTGTTGTCAGGTGTCCTGGCCGCCACCTAGCGACCAACCAGAGCCACTGGAGGACCACAAGACTACTAGGACTTTAATGTATCTATTAATTTGTAGAAAACACTTACCATAGTCATTACAAAACATATTTCAATTATTATTATGTGAAACAGACACAATTTAGAGCCTTGAAACTTAAAAGATAGACTAGTAAATCAACAACAATAAATGAAAGAGAAATATGTAAGAATATGCAGTGAAAATGAAACATTGTGTGTTGAGGAGAACAAGAATAAAATAAAAGTACATAGATAATAAAACAACATTATGTTTATCATATCCTGATTCATCAACTCGTCTCAAACATATTGCACAATATGTAATTCAGTGTTTTTTAATACATAACTATATTTCTTCTCTTGCAGTTCCGGCATAGTTTTTAAAGATATTTTTAAGGACACCGGTCCCTGTGCTCCTCAGAGTCCCAGCAGGAGGCCAGTCTCTGTGCTCCTCAGAGCTGGTTCATGTGGCACTAACCTGTCACAGATGTATTTTGGTGTGAGATCATGGGGAGATGTTAAGGATTGTGTGTGTTTAGGTTTTGCCAGGAGAACTCCAGAGCAGTCCATTTAACAGCTTTTAGTTTTGGAAGTGTAAAACTTTTCATTCTTTTTTTTTCTTCATAAAATTATGCGTAACCCACTTTGGAATTAACATGAACGACTAGGTTCTTAAAGAGCTCAAATGTAAAGTGTTGGAACTATAGCCACAATGAAAGACAGACAATAGTTAAATGTAAATTGATTTAGTTAATTATGTCAAGAATTGTTACCACAAATACAATGTAATGTAAAATAAAATACAAAATAAATAGGCGCCTTTAAAATAACCCAAAAATAAACCCTTAAAGTCTGTGAGTGCACTTAAAGTTTTGTTCAAGGTGGTCAGCTGACACGGTCCTACGCAGCCGATAGCTCATGCGGTCTGCAATGGGATCATCCAGTTTTGGCTCAGGTGGAGTGGCTCGCCATCTAGTGGTCTTCTTCAAAGATGTTTCCAAATCTCATTAAAAAGACCTGACCGATTCACGCGCGTATGAGCCGGGACACAGTGACGTCACGGCTCTGGATGTGAGCGCTCGCGCAGATAACTGCCTCAATCCTCTCTCGTTCCTTTGCGGAACGGTGTCGGAATCTGCGCTCAGCTTGTCTTTCTCTCTTTTCTCTGCTCGATCAGTCAACTTTAACTCCAGGCCAGCAACAGGACTCTTCTTTTGGCTTGGATTGAGGTCATTTTTCCTCTGATTTGCGCTTTTGAATTGTTGAAATGATGGAGCTGAGCTTTGCGTGTGTCTCGCTGCGTGTGTCTCGTTGCTTGACTCCGGTCAGAGAGGGGAAGCGGGGTCGCGTGCACCGTGGATCTGAACGTAACGTTTTGGCTGTTGCTACGCAACTTATATGCTGCACTACAGTGCATTGTGTTGGCACATATACAAATAAATAAATAAACAAAGTACACATTTTCATTTAGTACTTAAATATGTTAGCCATTCCTTTGTGGTTTACATTTAAATTAGGAATTTAGTTTTACACCTGGGTTACATCTGTTTTATTTTTTAAATGTGAGAAGTTATTACGTAATTAAAATTAGGTCATTTTCTGTTGCTTGTTAACAACCTTAAAAGGGCAATTAAGGTCCTTCTTTCAAGGTGCTGGTTCTGAACTGCATCTGGGCTGGTTTTGGACTGAGCAGGGTTTTCCATCAGAGAAAAGCTAAAGGTAGTAACCACAGCAACACACTGTTCACTTGTCATTCGTCTTTAGCATTAGCCTGTTTTTGCTGTATGACAAGTTGTAATAAGCAGTTTTAGCACTTCTGGTGGAAAAGTCAATATTTTTTCTGATGGAAAACTCAATATTTTTTGGGGGTCCCAGAAACAATTATTCAATGCAAGTACTATTACTGAAATAATAAAAAAAAGTACAATTGAATCTGACATTGTTGGTTTATATGACACCATTTGGATTTCTTCAGAGCCCTCTTCTGTTGAGCTTTCTCCATCCCTCAGTCACATCTATCCATTATCTTGGCAGAGTGGCCCAGACTGCCGTCTTCACGCACACTTCCTGCAGCTGGATGAGGAGTTCACAGACCAGCTCCAGACTCTGCTCCTTCTTCACCACACCAGTCCCATACAGAGGCGTCACTGCAGCCGTTGCTCCTTACCTCACAGTGAACAAGACCATGACACTTGAACTCCACCACTGGAGGAAGGAGCTGGAGCCGAACCACCTGGAGAGGGTAAGACATCTTCCTTCAGAGGGGCTGAGTTTCATTAGAGCCGCTACTCCCTCGGCTGCACACCATCCCAGTCAGGCGCTCTCATCTGCAGATTTTTTTTTTAGATTTAGTTCTGGCGGCTCTCAGCAGGCATGGCTTGGATCTTATCTACACTGGTATACTGTGGGCTGTGGTTAGGTGCAGAGGGTGTGGCTCTCTGTGGTGCTGAACTCTGGTGGAGGCCCCACTGCTACGGGTGTCTTCCTTGACTGGCTCTGGGCCCCTGCTCCACTGACATCATAGTCGGCCAGGTGAAAAGGCACTGAAGAATGTCTTTCTGGTGGAAAGACAGAAACCTCCTGTTTCTGGGTTTTGCATCTTTGAACAGCCATCTGCCATCTGACGACAAAGGGCCATTGACTGTTCAATTGCTGGTTTGAGTATGCAAAAGTACTGTGCCATATCCACTTTGAAAAGGTGTTTTCTTTCATCACCTCAAATGGTTCTTCTTGATGTGAAGGAGCAGCGGCTTTAGTCAGAAGCTAACTCGTTTATCTCTTGTATCTGCTATCTTGTCCTTTGGGCGATTCTCCAAAGCTCATGGTGGGAACATACACTGAGCAGTTAATCCAGAGCTCTAACTATAGACGCTGCTCCCTCTCCACTACAACCGTACAAAAGTGCTCCTCAGCGCCTGAACGTCACAATAAATCAAGAAAATGTTGTAAATCTTACATTTGGTCAAATTAAATGTCACTATATTCTAATGTGCAGATACAGACCATGGACAGCTCCATCAGCGACACATCCTTCTGTGAACAGTGGCAGACTGAGCTTATTTGAAGATGACTCACCAGGACATGAAAGATGCAGCTGACTCCTGTCTCCAACTGGAACACAAATGTGGAAACAAACTGAAGACATCTTTGATAATGATATAGGGACAGTTAAAGCTGTCAGTGTGTGTTCCTCATGTGCTCATACACGAGTGTGCGATGACTTTAATACAAACTCCTTTCTTGTGTGGTGATGTGTGTGTGTCTTTCTCAGTGCAGTCAAAGCTAGAAATGCCTTGTCTCTGTCACGTGAGCAGACAACTGCACATGTCTAACCTTTGGCTGAGGAAACTAAAGTCACAGCCTCCAAAGGCTCTACATGTACATTCACAAAAGGGCACATAGACTTAAGACCACTCTTTGTCAATGGTTTTGACAAACTGTTAAATAGTCAATGATGACTTGTGTATGTGAGGAAATCCATTTTCTTCCCCTTAATCAGAGGGGGGCACCAGCACAGATCCTTCTGCAGGTGGTGAGTCCACAGGAGGATGGCTGCTGTCAGTGACGCCTTGATTTTTCAGCGGGGCTTCAGGCAAAGTGGGGTTAAGTGTCTTGCCCGAGCACACAACAACAGCAGACATCAGTGGACGTCAGTGGAGAAGGTCTTGTGGTGGGCTCAAGTGTAGAAAAGCCCACAGGGACAGAATGTTGTGAAGTAGCATTTACCTTATACTCTGCATGCATCACATCAGCTTTGTTTGGTAAATATACATATGAACAACACTGTCCAAACAAAAACAAAAAAATATATATATCAAATGAATAAAATAAATAAAATAACGTATTTGGGGACCATAGTTTGGTGACCATAGGATTTAATCTCTGCTGTTTGCAGATGCTGTCCTGTTGGCTCAGATACAAGTGGTTGAAATGAGTTTCCTCTGCGTCCAGCCCAGAGAGAGTGTGAGGAGCACAGAGTAGAGCCGCTGCTTCTCCACGTCGAGAAGAGCCAGTTGAGACATCTGTTTCAGATGCCTCCTGGATGCCTCCCTGAGGAGGTGTTCAAAGCGTCTCCAACCGGGAAGAGACCCAGGGGAAGAACCAGGACACACTGTAGGGACATTTGTATAGCACAATTCATACACAAGGCAGCTCATAGTGATGGAATTAAATTGTGTTTGAAAGATATGTTTCCAATACAGAATGAACTCTCAAAATCATACTTTCTAGTCTTAAAATTGTAAATCTAAGATAGAGCATTGATTTTGTGAAAACATTTCAGCCATGTGAACTTCAACGTACCATTCATGATAAAAACTCACATTTTCAACCACATCATCATAATGTCTAATCAACTAATGTTTATAGTATTCATTTTTCTCTTAATAAATAAAACAAGAATCTATTAGTTGTAACAATGTGGATAGGATAACCATAATTAACGAAGCACATTAGTTCATCCTTTCCCAGTGACATTAAACTAGCTTGTTGACAACACGTGTATATGACAGATTAGTGTGTAATGTCTCTCAGCTGGCCTGGGAATGCCTCCCTCGGGATTCCCCTGGATGAGCTGGAGGAAGTGTGTTAGAAAGCTGCTCTAGCAACCCAACAACGGATAAAGCAGAATTATTGGATGGAGAGAAACCAACACCATCCATTTACTCACTAAATTGTAAAGATATGACACATAACATCAACACCACTTTAGCTGTTTTACTTTCCGAACCACACAGACACACGTTCAGCCACTTGCTCTTATTGTGAAAGAGCAGGTTTTATTGTGAAAGCCTCTATCAGCTGATCTTTGTTGTTTGTAGCAGATCCACGACGATCAAAGCCGCAGTCCACAGAGCACACGGAAAACTAGTGAGTATTTCTTCTTGAAAAACAAACTGAAGGGGACACAGCTCCACAAACAGCGGATCATAAACATAAACATAACGTGGTGTTTCTTTGATAATGCTCGAGCCTTCCTTTCCTTTAGTCTGACTGTTCTGGTATTCTGTTTCAGTTTCCCGTAAACTACTGTCAATTCGAAACTGAAAGACCCTGTTGAAGCTCCACAATGGCACCAACATTGGTAAGAAATATTCTTGGCCTTCATCAGTGCATTTTCTACCAACTAGAAATCTACATTTGTAATTGTTTGTGTATTTTAATGTGTATTATATTTGGAATGTTTTTTTTCTCAGCTGAGAAATGTCCAAGATGATTTCAATTCAATTCAGTTTCATAATTCTTGTTTTTCAGTTTGATGAAAAGGTAAACCCTGGAGACCTAATAGAAATCTTTCGTGGCTCCTATCAACACTGGGCCATCTACATCGGTGATGGCCTTGTGGTTCATCTGGCTCCCCCCTGTGAGTTCTCAGATATAAGTTTCACAATATCAACTTAAGTTAAGGCATTTTTATCTTGTTACCATGACACAAACTGTTTCTATTAGCCGAGATTGCAGGTGCAGGTGTCGACAGTATGATGTCTGTCTTGGCGGAGAAAGCCATTGTAAAGGAGGAGGAGCTGTGGGATGTTGTTGGAACAAACAAGTGGGTTATCAACAACAGCCTGGATGAAAAATACAGCCCTCGCTCAGCTGAAGTCATTGTCCGGGAGGCACGCAGATATGTGGGGAAAGAAATCTCTTACTCTGTCTTCAGCGGCAACTGCGAGCACTTTGTCACTGAACTGCGCTATGGCCAGCCTGAGTCCAGACAGGTGGGTGACGTGTGTGGCATGTGTTTACACCATGAAGGACATGGGTGTGTGCGTACAAATATATTGCAAACTAGTTCAACCAGATTCTTCACATCGCATTTAACTGGTACTGTAGCCAGTTGCCTTGTGCTATTGGACTCCACAACCACCAGACTCATACTAGGCAATGTGGGTGAAGTGTCTTGCCTTTGGTGTCCCACTATGGCACCTGCTGTTGGGATAAGGCTTTTATTTTTTCCCCTGGGAATTTTGGAACAAAATGGCATGGTATTTAAGGGACCATATGTAATATGCACTTGGCAGACTTTTGTTGCCAGAATCATACTAGCTCTTAATTGATCACTGATGCAATCCACCTGCTGGTGTTTAGCTAGAAACTGTAATAATTATGTATTACATTTGACAACTTATTTTTGTATGTGTTTTTATTTAAACAAATGTGTAGTTAGCCAGCTAAAGACCAGCTAACTGTCACTTAACCCAAACAAGAGATTCTGCTCTCTCATTGGATAATATTATTGAAAATTCTATCAAGAATACTATGGTCACAATGTCCTTTGCATTTTGAATTAAAAAGAACTTTGCTTTAAACTTTTGACCTATTATATCTGGGGACAATTAATTTAAAATTGACATATTACATACGGCCCCTTTAAATACTTGATCTATATACACATATATGCAAACCTGTAACTTAAGTTACAAGTCCGATCTGTTGAGCTGAACTGAATTTAAGAATTCAGGTATTAGCAGTAAAACATTTGAAACTGTAGAGATTTTAATCCGAGTGGGCAACAAGCAGGTTGTGGACAGTGGACACCATCAGAAATCTTACTTTCAATTCAAACTATGAAGTCATTTCACTTCTTTATTTGTATTTGAGTAATTATTATCTACAGCTACATAGTACTGTACTTTGAACTGTATTTTTGTACATCATTAAATTTACTGATCTTGACAAAGAATTGCAGCTTGGGCTTTCTGACTTGAACACTTCAAGATCAGTATGTGAACCAGGATAAGAGAATAATAGACATGTTCATTTATATTTATGTACTCAATGGCAGGGCTTGAGTAGTTTAGGGAAAGATGTCGCTGAATGTGTTCAAAATAACTTCAGCCTTGTACAGATATCTAAACTTCTACTTACTGTAAGATAAACAAAAAAGTGGAGCAGTGTCACCTTTTGTTCTTTACATTCCACCATTGGGTATTTAATAAATGTATTGATTATTTGATACAATTAGGTCTCATTTCCTGTGTGTGGTTTCTACAGGTTCGCAAAGCTGGTGAAACGATGCTGTGGATGGGCGTGGTCGGTGCTTTAGTGGGTTTGGCGGGGGCGTTCCTCGTTGGAAATAAAAATCAAAAGGAAAAGGAAAAGGAAAAGAACATGCAATAAATGAATCTACTTTTGCCAAGCCTGCACAGAGATCATCATCAAACTGAGATCAAACTGCCAGTGACCAGGAGGCACACGGGGGGAAGGTCACAAAACACTAGCCTGTTCTGCTTACCAAAATTGGCCCACTAGGCAACTCGCATTCCAAGCCCGGCTCCAAGGAGGCGGGGCTAAAGGTCGGCTGGAGCCAGGCTAACACAGCCTCAGTATCAAAATGTAATACTTTTACTTACTACCACTTAAAACGTGTATTTTAAAACGTGTATTTCAGAAGTACTTATTTATTAAGACTTTTTAAATAATATATTGATAAGAAGTATTGCCTATTGATATCTGTCAATATTTTGTCATAAATGCAAGATTTTTTTCTTAGATTAGCATTGTGAGCTAATAAGTTCATGCCAATACAGTTAATTATTTGAAATGAAGAATCTTCTACGCCTTTTGATAATGTACAGAATTATGCCAAACACACACCAGGAGTGTCGCTGATTGTTACTTGTTCTGTAACATTTGGTTTGATTACATAAATAGGAAATTGTTTTCTACTCCATTGTCTGCAAAAAAATAAATAAAACAAAAGTACTTAACTGTAACTACGTATTTCTCACCTTATTTTCTTATTTCTATGAGTTAATTGTGAAAATTGCCATGAAAAGTAAAACAATTTAATGAAATATTCACCTCCTCAGTAATACAATATAGAATCCTTCAGATATTTGTTAAATGAAGGCACAAATAAAACTGTAAACGTCCTTTTACCCTGAAAACATCCCATCTGTTGTTTTCTTTATGACAAAGAAACACATGCAATACCATCGATTAACAAATCTAAACCTCCATTTTAGACTTATCTAATTTTTTTGATAAAATTAACAGTTTTAGGTCAAATACTGTGCATGCATTTTTTGTATGACAGCTCAAATACCGTAAACCATAATGTTCATGCTGTTTTATGTACAGCGACTACTTTGACAAAAGATGTGACTTTTGAGTCTTCCGTGGTTGAAAAGAACAAGTGCATTTTCTGTACATTAAAACCAGCACGATTCAGTCTCATAAAATATACACATTTTGGTTCAAGCCTGGATGATTGAGGGCTTAATATCGTCTGTCATGTTTAGTTTTGCTCCATCCAAGTTCATTCAACCACCAGTGTCTTCATTTTTACAATACATTTTGAAGAATAGTTTTTCTGGTCCTTCTCACGGAATGTCAAAGCACCATTTATAGGTCCCATCACTGCTCACTTTCCCCAGTCATTATTAAGTCTTTCAATCTAGTTTGCGTGCCCCCAGTTTGAGAGGTCCTTTGTTGGCTTTCCTCTCTGCACGTTTTGCTTCTAATTCCTTCCTTCTTTCCTCCCGCTTCTTCTTTGACAATTCAGCTTTACTCAAACCTGGTAAATATATCAAGGAAAAAGAAATGTAAGCATATTCACAATGGGAAAAAACCAAAAGGGATAATAAGAAGTCATACCAGGGACACCATCAACAGACTCCCAGCTTTCTTCACCTCCCCATTCAACTGTTGCTTCTGCGCTCCAGCCATCTCCTCCCTGAGAAATCAAAAACAGGCTAAATATAAACAACCGATAAGAGTAATACCAGCCACGTAATGTGTGTACTCAGGGAAGGTTAGGCCAATGAAAAGAAATTAAGTTGATTCAATTCAGAGGATTACATTACGAGAAAATACATTTGCCCTCACCGTGACAGGTGCATTAGCTGCTGATCTCTGGGATACGCTGGCAAACAGGTCATTCTGAGCAGAGCCTTTGGCCGTGTCCCAGTTGTATTCACTGGCTAACCGCACACCTGCAGGTAGCGGGAGTGTCTTATTTGGGTCCGTGTCCTCGTCCGCCCACTCATTCCCCCAGCCTTCTTCTCCAGCTGAGCTCTGGCCTTGTCCCTCTTTCTCATTGGACCAACTGTCATCCGCATCCCAACCTGAGCTGCTCCAATCAGAGCTCTGATTCTTCACTGCCCCTGTTGATGCGCGGCTTGTCTACAATAAAAAATAGACAATATCAGTTGCCTTAAGAGAATATAATTGAGTCTACCAATTGCCTTACTTTATCAATTGTTTTCTTTTTAGAGGATGTAACTCCTGACCAGTCAGCACCCCAGTCATCAGATTCTGTTAGAGTTTTCTCAGGTTCCTTAAAAAAAAAAAAGGAAAAAAAAAGAGTTTGTGTAGTTTGATTGGTTTTCTAATCTGAGTTGTGAGTTGTGAAACACACCTCGAGACTTCCCCAGTCCTCATCCTCATCCCAGCGGTCTCCAACTGGCTCATTACTGTTGCTCTGAGCAGCACTTGTCTCTGTTAAACTGGCACAGCTACTGGCACCTGGTTGAGGCAAAGAGGCCTCTGACGGGGTTTCTTGAAAATATGATTTTTAAAAAACCATTAGAATAAAACTTACAAAAAGATGTAAGAAAAGAATGTCTTGAAACGTTTGTAGGAAGCCAGGTCGCTGTAGAGTACTAGATACAATACTAGTTTTAATTTAACTTTCCCAAGTTAAATTAATCTTTGTTTGTGGCGGTAGGGTAAACTGACACTGGAAGAACAAGCAGTCCCCATGCTGCAGTATACATTTATCATGATGAACAATACAAACAGTTAGTTACCAGCAGAAGTAGCATTTGTTGGAGTGACAGCCTCAGAAGTTGAAGCCTCTGTGGCTTCGACCCCTGGACTTGTGCGGATCAGCTTTGATGTCAGTGACGACATTCCAGTGACCGCCCACCCCGTCCACCCTGAAGAGGCACCAGCAGGCTGAGCACACGACCCTACGTCTTTTTCTAAAAGGAAAAGACAAACACAAACTAAAGTCATGTTGGAAAACAAACAAAAACAAATTCCTTTTCCAGGATTATTCTCTTAAACATACCAATCTCTGTGAGCATGCTTGGGTCCTCGGAGACAGTCTCCAATTTAGACAGAAAACTCTTAATGGCTTTAAAGGCCTGGCATGGGTAGAACAAAGAAGCAGAAGTGGTATTGTGAACAAACCACACGACAATAATATAAACACCGCTACCAGTACCTGGTCTCGGACACCTTTATCTGGGTCGACTGTAATGGCACACAGAGTGGGCAAAATACGCGCTGCTATTTCTGATACACTATAATAGTTGTGAGTAGCAGCAAAGCCCAGTACACCTGCAGACCGTGAAGCTGGGAAAGGGTCCTTAGTGGCACGAGAAAAGGCCGAAATCAGAACACGCTGTCGTGCCTAGGAAAAGGAGAAAAGAAACAATAGTTAATTAATAGCTCTTCATAAAACAAGCTGAATAATGGATGCACGTCTTACTCCAGCATTGAGGTAGGAGGCTATCTTGCCCAAGCAAACAGTTGTGTTGCACCGGATTGGGCCTTGCTCATCACGAGCCTGTAGTCTAGCAAAATGACGCATTAGGTCCTGATTCAGATTTGTCTCATTCAGCTTGGGAGCCAAAAGTAACATGGACTGCAGCAGAAAACATTGTATAAACAATATGTAGATTCATATATTTACCTCGAGCATTATTAACTTTTGGTATAAAGAACCTTCACTGTCTGCTCTCGAATGGCCGGGTTAGTGTCTGTGAATCCATGAACAACATGTGGAAATATCTGATTGTTGACAGCAGCTTCATTTAAATACAGAATGAATTGCTCCATCTGCACCAAAATATAAATGTTTGTTAGCTTAAGTACAAATAAGAGAAAACATTGAAACAAAAGTCGTACTTGTTGGAGCAGTCGTATCCTCATTGCTCGGTCTGTAGAAGAAAACATCTTCACTATGACAGGGATTATCTTCTGTTGGTATTCCTCTGCAGACAGGAACTTTCCCACCTATATGATCAGATAAAAAGGTCTTTATTTCACATTCAGCTGCTAAAATCTAATTGATACAAAGGCACACCTTAAAGAGAGGCGTCAGGACGACAGCTCCAGCATTTCCAAACTCAAACGCTGTAAGAAGCTGAGGAAGGACCTTGTGTTTGCAAAAATCTTCAGGAAATGAGTCGAGGTTTTCACTCAGATCCTGGAAAAATTGCTGCTTTTCCGCAGGCTCTTTGATCTGCAAAGTAAAAGATTTGTTAACTTTCCTTATCATAAAATGTAATGTGTAGCCAATAGGGATGTAATAACCAAAATTATGTTGTCAAATATTGTTAGCAACATTGTGGCCTTTTCACAGTGTATTGAAAGTCGACAGAGCATAGTTATTTGCTTAATTTCAGTAAAGACATAATGAAGACTTGTTTGAGAATAGTATGTTAGGGTTCTCACCCCAATGAACCTACTCGTCAATTTGGACGTCATTACATCCCTAGTCACTGGCCAGTCCCGTCACTGGCCAGTCCCCAAAATACCTGGATTTCCTCCAGAAAGAGGTTGCTTTCAACAAAACTGTTACTGAGAAATCCTCCAGGAGCTCTGCAGTTCTGCAAGAAGCGTGCAGGATTGGGCCGAGCTCGGGGGTTCGCTCCAACAAGCTCACAGTAGTGCGGTACAAGAGCTTTTGGAATCTGTCCACATCGAATAGTCACATGGTATAGTTAAACTAGTGTTCTTGTTATAATCAAATATGATTTTTTTCTTATTTGTGGAACTCACCTTTCCTAATGAACGAAGTGATGAAGTGCGTGGTAGTATTCCATTGAAAACCTCCCATATTAGGCAGCCTAACCGCCAAACTTCCCCAGCCCTGAAACAAAGAAAACCAACGTATATATATACATAAACATATGCGTACACCACTCACTCAAATTTGACCAAATTTTATTAGTTCATGCAAAAGAAGTAAGAAAAGTCTGCAGAGTTTTTTTAACTGCATCTTCTTAAAATATCACATGAAAAGGTGTAGTAAACAATTCTGAGCATAAATGGGGCATATTTTATCTATAAAAAGTAAAACGCCTATCACATATATGCTGGACACGTATCCAAATGCGACCACTTAAAAATATTGGTCTAAAATCACTTCTAGGTCTAACTGTGGGCTCAATGACACCTAAAAAAAGGACAAACAAGTTTAATAACATGACTAAACTACCACAAAGGGTTGTCCAGTACCACAAGCTGAGGAACACTGACTTTTTTCATTTGTATTTATCCATCTATATATCTAATATTGACTGCTAATAACAATGTAATAGCAAGCATTATATGCAGAACTCTTTACTTTTTAACAATGTGACTTTCAACTTTAACACTTTGGCCTGATCTAATATTTGGAGCACATTTCCTTTTAGTCAAGAAGTGTACTCAAGTTGTATTTATAAATTCTTACCACTTCTCCCCACTACTGTTGGCACTTTCAGGTGGATCATACTTCTCCATATCAGGGTAGACCGCTTTAGGGGCAGGTAAAATTGTCCCACTGGGATCACCTTGTTCGGGGGAAACATGATCAAGACCTCCAAGTTTCCACTCCCCAGCTTTATCCACAAAAACAGCCCATACTCCCAGATTATTGTGGAGAAGATGACAGTCATTGATTAAGAAGCTCAACGCCTTCTGTTAGATCAACAAAAGAGAAGAATTTTAATGTTTCAGAACAACACAAGGTTCGATGACGACGTAAGCTGGTTCTACTGACCACAATCTGGTGAAGACCCCATGACACCTCCAGTTCTCCTGCACCACCCTTTTCAGCTTGCGCTTTAAGGTGGACAGCAAGTGGAGTTACCTGCTCAGTGACCAAGTACAGGCTTTTCTCTGTCTAAAAAGTCAGACAAATAGTGACTGACAGCATCGAAAATAACATAACTAGGCCTGGGTACCATCAAAATGTAACATTAGGTCAAATTAAGAACCACTACAGAAAAATATGGCAGATTGGATTTCATGCCAATTAATTATGTATGTATGTATTTAAGAACAATTGTCCCTGGCATAACCTGTTATGGTTAAAATATCACCAATGAAGGACACAGAAGATTTGGATGGATTAAATCATTGAAGGTGTGAGACATAAGCCAGTACAACATAGATACAATTATATAACATGTAAGGATTACTATAAACTATGAACTTTACATACACAATATTAAGGGTGGCTATTCTAATTCTTACCTCAAACTGAATGAAGGTGTGAAAAGTGATTGATAACGTGATTAATAAAGAGTAAAAGTCATCATTTAAACATTGACATAGAGTTTCAATTACCCACCTCTAGACCATCAACGTAGGCCAGGATATTGGGGTGTCGGAGGGTCTTCATGCGTTTGAAGGCTGCTTTGGCAAGCTGAGTTTGTTGTTCTGAGCCTTGGCAAACCTCGTACACCAAGACGGAGACGGGTTCTCCATTTGACTGTGAAGACAGTGAATCTATATAACCTTTTACACTTATCCTTCATAATACGAATACAAATATTCTCTTCAAATACGTGTTAACAAATGTGTGTACGAAGCGTCAAAGCAATTCGCAACTCCGGATCAGAAGTGACGTGGCGAGCTTTGGAGTAAACAAAGCTAGTCGCTGGATAACCATAACAACTTTATTTCAAAATACAAATCTGTTTTCTGATAGTTTATATATTACTGATTCGGGGTATTGAGATGACAATCCCACAAAAGTTCAACAAAATAACTTATGAGTGGATAGTGATTTCGCCACGGGCCTCCTCCTAGCGCCATAGCATCCACAGCATCCACGTCTTTACCTTTCGTTTGCCCCGATGAAGAGTCCATAATCCACATTTTTCTTGCGTTTCTGGGATAATTTCATAAGCAAAGTCTTTAACGGGATCCCTGGCGAAAAAGGACCACATCTCCCTTAACCGCTCACTGCATAAAACACACCAAAGCAAACAATTTTTGTTGCTCTAGTCCGCAGGTGGGACCATAAAACATGTTCGTAGAAACAATTCTCTACTAACGTTCCGCCTGATAATAAATCGAGGACATTGTAGACTGTTTTTTTAGTAAAATGGTTATTCCAGTCAGTTAACTGAATTGTTTTGAGAAAAGATTTAAAACACTAAATGTTTAACATTTATTGAATATCGACTTTACAATACTCAAAACATTCAATATCTTCGCCACACATATTTACAATCTATGGTAACTTTTCTTTATCTTTTTATTCATTCAAAGTCTGAAAACAAAAAAGCAACTAATGTTTTTTTCAATATTCGCTTTAATTAAAGGAAACAAATGCCACTAAATTAAATTTTATTAATGTAATAAATTGTTAAGATTAGAATATCAGAATTTTGCACTATTAAACATTTGTAAAATTTGAAATTCAGGAAATGATTAAATTTTTGATTATTCAAGCTGATGTGTTGCAGATTGGACCATCTATCAGAGACCATTCAAAGAATAACTGTCATACTTTCACCATCACATTAACAAAAGGAACGCGAGTAAACTTAGACATTACCATGTTTTTACCCATGTACAATGTTGAACAAACGACCTTGTTCAGTAAACAAACCCAACCTGTGTATGTTTACATGCTGGATTGGCCAAAATGGAAAAAGTGAAATTGAACTCAACACTGGATATTTTGAGCTAATTAACTTAAATTGAGACAGAAAATATCAGGGATTTGTGTAGTTCACAGGCTAGGAGCCATGATGGCAAAAAGCCCAGGGGTGGGGACAAGTACAATACATTTGGCACATTTTTATGAATACGTCAAAGTAGTTTATGATTTAAAAACCTTGGGCCTGCTATGGGGTCATAATTTTTAAGGAATGTTTGGTATACTCTAAATCAAGGTAAAGTGCTAACAAGTTGAGTGAATTTGACCCTTGTGACAATGATATATTTTAGTATTAGATTTTTTTAAAAATAAAGTTTAGTTTAGTTTATTTTTTTCTTCGGTCAATATGTACACCCGACCTCGGGTCACACGGATACAGAGCTCACATTTACTTTTTACAACAAGAAAATAAACTTAAAATGAAAAAAAAAAAAAAAGCAAAATGTGTCCATAAAGGAACACATACCTGACTGAAAGGGTTTAGGCTGAAGTCGAAACTTATACTGCCTAACCCCTAATACAATATGAAAATACGTCCAAAGATGACAAATTATACAGTTTCTCATATACTAACGACAGCAACATGAAGCACCAAAAACTTGCACTTGAACAAATCAAAATGATGTTATACATGATCAAAATTATAGGTGACACAATATACAGATTCTTGTGAAAGTCATTTTAACTCTTTGGAAAGAAACTCCAGCCATTCAGCAATGCGTGTCATTCCATAGTTTTATTTCTCATTAGACATGCACATTACAAGACATTAAATCAAGCTTTATTTCCCATTGAAATCTAGTGTTTACATTATAACTTTATGGCATTCCACCCACAGCAGACATAAAAAGCGACACCGCAGGGAGTCGAACCCTGTTCCTGACCGAAGCCAGGCGTGCCGACCACCGGAGTCTTTTGCTTTTTGTTGTTGCTGTATGAGGGGGGAAAAGCAAAACCTGAAGGAACAATCACCTTGTTCCTCCAGGAAAAGAAAACCCACTACACTGCTAAGCTTCCCTGCCGCCACACGACGGCTCACCTGGTCACGAAGCTGAAACTAGAAAAAAGGAAAACCGTTTCCCCATCCCCAACTTCAAATGTTAACCACAATACTGGCCTCAGACGCTTGATTTCACTGGACGTTGGTCAAGAGTACTGGGAGACTGCACTGAAAAAGAGAAAAACTTAAGCTGCCCCCTCCCCCCAGAGATTTGTTTTCATGTTTACCGCAGATCGCATAGTACAGGCTACCCTCTGCAACACTAAGGACATCCAACACCTGGAGTCAACGGCCTTGGTAGAAAAATAGGACTAGGAAATCTGGAAGAAGAAGAGAGATTTTGCCCCCCACCAAATGCCCTACACAAAACTACTGCAATGTTTGACGACTTCATGAAGATTTTACAAATGTTATGCAGCTGTGTTCATGCAAAATGTTGTGTTACACATTTAAGCCATGGTATGTTAAAAGAAACTCAAACCAAATCACTTAACTCAGCACCCATGAGACTGTAGTGATGCAGTATTAGCGACACAAGCTGGCAGCTCTGGATCTTATTGCAACTGGTTCTCAGTGCTCCATTACGGGTTAGAGGATCCCAGACGGCAAATTTAAAAAAAGGGGGAATTTGACCTGAGAAAACCAAAGAAGGGAAAGAGCACACAGACAGAGGGACTTTGGCAGAGGACATCAGGGATGTAAATTTAAGCGAAGCGCAGAGGGTCGAGACTTCATTCAGGGGAAACACTTGCGGACAGCTTCCACAGATGGCTTTGCATTCAGAGGCAGGCGAGATCGGAGTGGACAGACGCATATGATCTGAAACAAAGTGATCTACACAACACACCCACCACACAATACGTAGATTTGGCGACTACTTGTCTAAAAGTTTGTGATGCAAAGCAAAAGGGCCCGGGGGCCAAAGAGGAATCTAGTAAAGCATTGTTATAAATGATTTGAGGATAACAAGGCTAGTTCGAAGATCTCACATTGTCAATTCTAACATTGCAGAAGTTCAATTTGACAAATTTGCCAACTCTTACTATTTTGTAGTCTTCATTGAGGCACCAGTTTCTGGAAAAATAACAGGAAGGACAGATCCAAAACCATCTAAAGCAACACATTTGCATTGCTAAAGAGCTAATCAGTGCAATGCACAGTTTTAGTCACACAGTTGCATGACAATTTTAATCATTTAATATTGGCCACATGTACAGTTGCACAAGGGCAAGTGACTGATATATTTTATGGTGACCTGACTCATCTGACCAAACTGCGGGTTTCGGGATCTCAGGCTGCAGTCCAATTTTCTTGGAAGACTGATCCTTCGGACACTTCTGTAAAAATGAGAGAAAACCCCTGCCCCCATAGCAATCATAGAACTCACTGTTATCCTTACCAAATGCTTTACAGCAGATATCAGAATTGTTCCATCAAATCTTAGAATAAGGAACATATCCACTGGTTTATAGCAAAGTGACTTCAATTATTGGGAGGGGATTATTCACTAAGATCCTCTTTGGATCATATGTCTGCATTTCAAACATTTGATGGACTCCACTTATCTGCCTTCACTTCCACTTTGAAAAGACTTCAAGCCCCAGTCACATCCGTGCTCAATAAAGCTCCAACTTTAAAGACATACCTGAAAAAGCAGAGGAAAAGCTCCCCACACAGCCCCCCAAAAAACAAATGCATACCAAAACTGTTTTCAGACACAACAAGCTATGCATTTATTATGCAAATAAAATCCTTTACAGATAGTTTACTCATTGTATTTTAAATACAAAGCTTTGTAACTAATTGCAAAGGACTAGCAATGGAGGCACTTTGCCAGACAATGAATGTTAAACTTTAAAACGTTGTGACCTTACGTGACGATAGATGTGCAATGCAACTTGTACAAACAATGAATTCCGCATGACCTCAGGATATCGGCGCGCACAGGACACAGCACACTGAAAAATGCAAGAAAAAAACCTCCCCACAAGTTCCCCAGACAAAAAAAAACTCCAAAACAGAACCAAAGTTACAGCAATTAAGACTTCGCTACTTATCTCAGATAAGTCCTTATATTCTTACAGAACAACCCTGGGCCTGAACTTGAAGGCTCCTTCCTTGGGGAACTGAGATGTTGCTTGTGAAGCTTTTGAACAGTGGGCCGCTATCTGCAAAAGTCACAAATACAGATTCCCCTCCCCCCCAGACCCCACAAGGCAAAAAAAAACTAGTTTCATGAATTGACATTGACTTCTAATAAAGACCAATGAATTACCGCACTGATGGCAATAACAGCTTCTGGATACAACTGGATGGCTATAGAATGGAGCCTATACGCTGCGAGGAGTGTCCACTTGGTTCTTGAAGCACCTGGGAGTTTCCTAATTGTGCCAGATTTCCTAGTAGACCACGAGCTGTGAAGTCTAGGGAGAGACTCATTAACTCCCACACCCCGACCACCCCCACATACCCCAAAGAGTACACCCCTTAAATACAGCAGCACATAAATTGGAACTGGACAAGTTTTAAATACCTGCCTATAAGATAACAGGGAAAAAAATGATGCCAATCCGCTGCACTAAGTAAAAGATGGCGCAACTTGTACCACACCGATACGACCAGGGCGATGCTTTCGTGGATCAGCTTTAGAAGAGCAGGCCTGAAAAAAGAACTCGAAACACTTTTAAAACTCCCCCCTCCCCTCCCCACAGCTACTTCATAAGTTTGTCAGACCCTTAATTAGATGGATACACCCACAAGTACAACTATAGAATGAAGCTTATGGGTACCAATGGACGTGCTCTCGATTGCTGCGCCAAAACCTCTAGGGGGCGTACCAGGGTGATCCACGCACACATCGATGCAGATCTACAGAACAACACGGCCGCCACGCCTTTATGCCAGGGGGGAGAAGAACTACTTCGTTTTGGACTCTGGGGCGTAGACGTCCCAATACAGCTGTTCCTCTTGCCACCACACTATTAAGGCACTCACGAGAGCAGAAACCAACATTCGAGCGATCGCAATACAGGAGGGCGAGGTAAACACGAGTAACACGGCTTGCCTGTGAAAAGGAAGAAAAAAGCTGTGCGAGAAATTGGTTTTTAGATCATTCCTATGCTAATGCTTACAAGATACCTTTCTACCCAACATACAAACCCAGCTACTTGTGAAGCTACGATATCACATCCCACCCTCACTGTTGGCTGGCTCTGGGATAGCTGCTACTCTGCCCTTCGGCTTTGGCTCCCTCTGGTGTACCCTGGACGACTGGTAACAGGTTGGCCTCAGCTGGTCCCTGGAGATCCTGCCTCTATGTAGCCTCTGCTGGTCCCTGGAGATCCTCCCTCTATGTAGCCTCTGCTGGTCCCTGGATCTTGCCCACTGGTCCTGTTCTGCCTCTGCTCCACTGCGTCATCCCTCTGGTCTGGTCCTGTTCTGCTCCTTCCGCGTCCTGGTCCCACGCTGCTCCTGCGATGTTCTAATAATTAAGTCCATTCCCCCCCAATTACTCAGTCCATTTCCCAATAACTCAGTCCATGTACCGCAGGTAAAGGAGACAAAAAAAAACGAAAAATAAAAACAAATAAAAATAAAAAGGATCTTCCGAAAATGAACTACTGCAACGTTTTTGTGACGGGGCAAACAAAAGCAACAAACATTCTATGAACAAAAACGCTGTTATTGTTTGGTTAAACTTGGTTTAAAAAATAAAGCGTTTTAATTTGAATCAAAGTTAAAAAGAATTTAAAAACAAAAATCTAACTTTATAACGGGCCATACGCAGCTACATCGAGGTGGTAGTATAAACCATTACGTGTAGGCCGAAACGAAAAATGCACTCATGATGAGTCACTGCTCAGTACGTGCTAAGCTAAAGCCGTGACGCATGCTTTTTTTCAAACGCTCCAACCAGAGTCTATTTGCAGTATATTACGTCACGGCTCCCATTTTAACATAACGGTTGGGTTTAAATTATATGGTTTAAAAATATAATCATTAAAAACACTTAGAATTTAAATTGGCCGTAACATCCTTATCAATGTGACATTAAATCAGTTAATCTCGATCACATAGAACCGATGTCATGACAAAAGTCAATTCAATCGCTAACGTAAAAGACTAATCCAAAAACAGATTAAGCTACATCCACGACCACGACTTAAACATTGAAAAATAGCCAATAACTGAGTAATTACTGGATCTAACGTTGACCCTACAGTACGAGGCATTTGAAACAGTATAAAGACCATCTAGCTAATAAATCGCACATTTCGCAAGCAAATATATCAATATCCACTTAAAATAATGCCCTCTAACAAATACAAGGCCTATAATAGTCAACTTCAGACAGAAAAAGTACATAAAACCTGCGCAGCAAAGTATCAGCGTCCTCTCAGAATCAAATGGTCTGACCTGAAATGGCGCCGCTCACACCCTTTTTATACACTGCTGGCAGAGGGCACCAAATATATTCGTCCGCGAAATACAGGCCCTATACTTCGCAGTAAAAAGCTAGAATAAAAGGACAAAAGAGTAACTTTATACACGCTTTTCCTCATACAAATATAACTTACGGTATACATTTTCACAGTGCAACAATTTTAATTATATTTTTCAACATGTTTTTGGAATAATGGAATCGTTTGTAGAACAACGATAAAAATGAGTGGATTTGTTTATTACAACACAATGACACGCACAAAAACATGGTAATTCACTCAATGAATGTACAACGATGTTACGTACATAGACTGTAGCTTACGTGAAAAAAGAGCTCTTTGTCGCGGAGTGATTTCAGTATTGCACAGCTGTCCATGCGCCTGACAAACCGGTTCGAACCAGTCTAGCCCTTTCCATTTTCTCTTTATTTGGAGTTTTCGGAGTCTTTGTGAATTCTTATTTCTGTTTATGGGTTGATTGATAGTATAACGCATAACACACAACATATATCCTTAGTACTGTTGTACATTTAGTATGTTATTGTTAGGTGATCACTTTGCCAAGTATAATAGCTTAAATAACATTATACACGAATATTATGAAATAGAAGAATAACACATGCATAAGACCCCACAGTTCTAGTGAAAGTTAGAATCTCATGGTGGTTGCATTGTGGAAAAAGGATTCGAGCTCTTGGAAGGTTTCAGGTTGCACATGTACTACCGAGTTGTGTTCGGCAGAGGGAGCAAGTACTTCCACTTCAGGCTCAGGCATGTATGGACATGTCATGGGCATGGGTCTTTATAATGCATCCATGGTCTTTACGGGGTATAATGTATGTAATAATATTACGTAACTCTGGAAAGCAGGAGCTGAGTGGGCGGGCAGGGCTATGGAAACCTAATGATTATGATCATCCTTTGACTGATTGATTATCTGATTTATTTTGATTTATTTTTGAGTAATTATCTGTTAAATAGCTGCTCCTATTTGCTTTATTGTTTAGTATCAGATAATACTATTTATTGTGTTATTGTAATTATGTCACCCCATGGAGACTGCTTTCCCACCATGCTCTAAATTTTGACCTTAAAACTGATCTGTTAATAGTAACAAACTGACAAACCTTTTGAGGTACCAAAGTTTGAGTTTATTTCATTTAGGTGTCATGCACAAAAGTGCCCCCAACCTTCATGGGCTTAAATGACACTGAAGCAACAGCATCTGATGGCTACAGACTGCATACATACGTGAAAAACAGAAAGTTCTACAAGTTAGACAAGTTTGAAGCTGTATAATCCATTCCAACATACATACTGTGGATAGAGAATATTTCATTTTCAAGTTCAAGTTCTTTTGTTTGTATTATTTATAATTTATCAAAATTCTGAAACCCTTGGATAGCTAATAGATCCCAAGGAAGGTCAAAAAGGATTATATAAAATCAATGCATAATAGGTCTAGTAATAATAATTATTATCAATTCACATTCAAATTTTAATCATTATGATATGCATTATATATGTTATATATGTGTGGATGATTTTGCAACATGTCAACAGCCTTTTCAAACAAATGGACACAGCAGTGGTGTATGGACAAACTTAATTTTGGAATGGATCTGCTGCAGGGTGTTTGTTCGATTACCTCCTGTGTTGTGAGGACAAAGGTCTCTTGCCCCTTCGGTTCAGTGAGCAATTTGTTACATCCATTGTGATAAAAGGCCAGGCACGATCAGGACTTTGCATCTGTACAATGAAAACCACTGACAGACACAGGGCAGAGACACATTTACAACATGTCCAAGATGCTAAAATACACACACTTTTAAATCAATTTCATGAGAGTAACGTTGTCTGTTTACTTTTGAAGAGCTAGCTAATGGAGAAATATTTTAAACCTGTTCGTTGTCCTTCTGAATTAGACAAGAGCAAACAACATTTCACCCACCATCGTCAGGAACATCGGGCTGACAGGTAGGACATTCTGACTGTTGTCAATGTTCTGTGTTTACACATATTTCTGTTGTTGTTGTTGTTATAACTTTGTTTATAATGTAGATTCGTCACTTCTGATTACACTGAAAAAGAAGATAGTCAAGAGCAGTGCTATGAACAGCATGGACACTTTCACCAAAACAACATTTATCCTGATGCCCACACAGGTCATCAAACAAAGCATTTTTCCCACTGTGAAGATGAGTCAGACTATGACCATTCCCGTCCTCAAGTGAGTCGGTCCAGGATATCTTCTTCCTCTCTTTCATCTTCTTCATCGTCATCCTCTACATCCTGGTACACGGAGGCAAGTGCCACTGACACATTTTCACATCGTCATGCAGAGCGGCCTCAACATTCGCTTTCCTGTTCCAATATTCATGATGCCCGAAGATTGTACCAGCTAGACAACGCCACAGACCCAATAGTCTTTGCTACCGTAAAACATGGAAGCAATGCAAGCGTGTGTGGTGAAGTGCACAGAGCTTCAAACAAAGGAAAGCCATTGTTTGCCCCTCTTGACCGTGGCCACAGTCAAAGTGATGATGGATTTCTGCAAAACAATGAAAGAAAAAAGAGTAATTTGAACCGCAGTCTGGGTTTTAGTGAAGAAGACATTATGTTGGGGGTCTCCAATGGCCCAAAGAGAACGATTTCCTCATGTCAACTTCCAAGCAAAGGCATTTTGAAGAACAGGGAGCAATCCCCAGATATTCGCAAAGCTAAATCAATGGAGGTGCTGTCCCCAAGAATTGCAAAAGAACAAAGTTTGTCAGGGAAAAAAGCAAAAAGCCCTGACATAGAGCAAGCTAAACATATGTTTGTCCAGCAAAAAATTAAATTTTCTGCTTTTTTGGATGAAATTACTAAACAGGTTATTAGTCCATCTGATCTGAAAATCTTGGGTGTGAATGCCAACCAAACCACAAATCTCGAGATTATGAATTACACGTTGGATGCCCCAAAGCCCCAACTCCCACCAAAGAAACAAAGAGACATCTCAATGGAAGTGAATGAACAAATACATAAAAACAGACATGTAAAAGCTGCCAGTGGCAGTCTGAAACAACAATCTGATTCTGGCCAATCTGACACATTTAGTTCTTACTCAATGAACCATAGCTCTCCGTCTCATAGCAGTCACCACAAAAACAGCAACAAGTACAGAAGGCCTCCCTCCTCTGAAGGATATGGGAGATATGGTAGATCCAGTCTTCAACAAACTGATGGAACCAGCACTAGTCCTGAGCCCCATCAACCACGACATCGCTACAAAACACAGCCCACTGCCCGAAACCTCCCCCAGCACGAACAGCACAGAGCCAGGGGCCTTCCCTTGTCCAGCCATGGGTCAGGCACAGGCCTAGGCTCTGAATCTTCATCCACTAAATCAGACTCATCCAGGACCAGAGACACGGTTTCCACAGCAACAAGCTCGGAACAAAGTGGCTTTTACCATTCACAGCACGCGTCCCAGTCTGAACATAGGGTGAGTGCACATTTTATATCTTTTATCTTATATTAAAACAGTTACACTTTAAGTAGGCTTTTTAGTGCTTAAGCAAAATCCTGTAACTTAGGCTGACGCAGGAATGCTGCAGTGCTGTTGCAGAGGCATGCTGAGTCAGATTGAGGGGTTGGGCATTATTCAGACTGAGTCATTCTCTAAGAAACTTGCACACACACCTAACAATGTGGCAATGATAGCATTTACAGTGGACAATTCAAACCTTTGTCCACTGCTAAACATTACAGTTTTCACTGATTACAGTCAGGCCTTTTATCAGAATGGAGTCTATCAAAGCCAGATGGGGGAATCTTTCTCTGTAATGTTTGTGACGCATGAGTGAAAAACAAAATGTATGTCTAGTGATAAATAGACATCATATAAACGTTTATATTTGATAAAACGGACTTAATTTGTTTAAACAAAATAAGTACTATAATATTTAACTTTATTTTTCCCTCAGGGTACACAGTGTGAAACTGACCACCTTCTGTAAGTGCACAGTAAATATCAAATCTGTTGTTTGAGTGTCTTCCACATGATTCACCCACAGATATATATGTTTAGCGCTCTGCAGGAGGAGAACACTGACCTCCAACAGAACCTGCTGCAGACGGTCGTGTGCATCGAGAACCTGGAGGCTGAGCTACAGCGCACCAGAGAGGAGCTGGCCCACGTGAAAGACAAGTATAAAAGGTGTGAGCTTGTGACCCACAGTGTTGGGGAGTAAGTAAATACATGTACTGACAGAACGAATTTAAAATACTCATTTTGAGTTTTCTAAATACGTATCATGAATAAGTACTCACTTACTCTTTTGGTGCTAATCAGAATACACTAACATCTAAGGAAAACATTGTGATTGGATTTGATCATGGGTATTACATTAACAATTAAGAAATGATTTACAAATGGTGTAAACACAATACTCTAATTGGAATTGCATTGGTATGTAATGAAATATATTCTGTAACTAACAATCACTAGTGAGAGTCAAACTGCATAACGCTTTGGACCAAGGTCACATGTTCAGTTTGTTGATTTGGCATCGCTGACATGCCACTAAAGAGGTTAGGTCCAGTCAATACAGTCTATGGTCCAGTCGCACTGTTATGTGTACATATACAATACAATACAATGGCACTTTGCATCACTCTTGCTGATGGAATAATTGACTTGTGGAACATACAGTTGTCTAGTGTGGATTCAACTGTTCAAGTGCCAAATGTGTCCTGTTCCCAGTGGCGCATGCTTCTTGTTTTTAGGATTTGATATACTAGTTGCTTTCATGTACACTGTATGTAAATGTTCAGAGTACTGCCACAGATCAGTTATAATACATTGATTTTCTTGGTCTTGACGAGGGGAAGCCCCAACTTTTTTACTTGGCGTGCCAAGAAGGTCACTAAAGGGCAGCTATGAAATCATGCCTAAAGCAGGTCTTAAATAAAACACAGAAAGAATGAGATTACATGTGGATTGAGATCACAAATAATATTTAACTACAGGAATAGGTGTAGCCTACAAGCGGTGGTAGTAAGCCAGAGAAACATGCTTACAGGGAAAATAATTCAATATAAAATATATCAATTATTAAATTGTAATTTATTTTGCAGCCTTCTAGAATCACACAGTGGGACACAACAAGCCAATCACCTCCTCCAGGACCATCTTCATTCAGAGGTGAGGAGACGCAAGTGCCTTTTATTGTTTTATAGTGAATATTAACAATGAATATGTGTTTGTTTAGGCACAAACCCTGAGCAGTGAAAGGCAGCACATGTTCGCCCGTGTGGCCCAGTTAAGCGCAGAGCTGGAGGAGGCTCACAAGACCATAGCAGCCCTGGAGAACATAAATGCAAGTACAATGCCATCTACTGGACTTCCATTGTATCTATCTGAACATCTTTGGTTTACTGAAATGATGCTGTATTGTATTTGTGTCAGTGCTGAAAATATTGTAAATAACCATGTTTATTGTAACATTTATAGGGTTATGGTATATTTATTGTGCTCGAAACAGAAGAAAAACAGATATTGTACACATAAAGCTCACGTCACTTTATCTTTTTAATCGTAGGTGCCGAGTTTGATGAAAGAGTTATTGGAGAAGCACTTATTTTGTTCTGCTGGTCCCAGGAAACAGTCGGTGTCTACTACAACTCCATTTGGCCATTTGAATTCTTTTCCCAGAGCAGAAGACGTCCAGCTTCACGCTCCTAAACTAGATTTGCCTAAGCCAGAGCCTGGATCTCAACGACCTACTGCCTTCAGTCCGGTCACACATGGACTGACAGCACCAGAAAACCAAAGTGGAATTTCAGGCTCAATCATCCCTTGTCCTTTGCAGTTCTGTGCAGCTGACATCAGTGCTGTTTTCTCCAACAACATTCCTGCTGGTTTAGAGACAGGAGCACCAGTGTGTGAACAAGCACTGGCCACAACTACAGCTGACGCACAATTACCAAGTGTCCAACCAACCACTGCGACAAGTGACAAGTGCAGTGGTCAGGAGAAGGTGAAGCTGGTTCTGGATGAGCCAGCTGTGACGGCCATGTCAGCACAGCAGATCCTCAACGAGTTTGTGCTGCAGCTGTGGGCCCAGAAAGAGGCCGACCAAGACAAGGAGGCATGAACAGGCACTAAACAGCGATCCTCTGTGTATATACATTGAAGCATGTCCTGAGTTTGATTCAAGATTTAGGTCGTTGCCAAACCTCTCTTATCTTAGTGCTTATTTATAAAATATAGAAACTATCATACTTCTTAATTGAACTGCAACCAATGATTCTTCTAGTAGTCATGTACTCCTAAATTAAAATAATAGTACAAATAAATAGTATAAACTTCCTAAATGTTAAATAAGATTGCAGCTTTCAGAGCAGTGTTGGCACACTGAACAACAGATTCACATGTTTTTAAAAAATGGATACATGGAATACATGTATTTTCCAACAAGCTAAATAAACAGAATCTTGTTTAAGGAAGCTTTGTTAATGCAGTAAAGCCACGAAACAGCATAAACTTAGTAATAAATACTGAAGAATTGTTCATACTGCCAACTATTTTAAGATTTTAGTGGGTGGCTTAATTAAGAATACTAAAATGTAAATACATTACAAATCCCATAAACCTAGTGAAACAACACTGCTATGATTGAATTAGTTTTTGTTGACTTTGTAAGTATGTGCAGTATGCATAAGTACACTGTATACTCTGCATAAATTGTTTCTTGTATATTTAATGTTATATCTATAAATAAAAGTAATACAAATATTCTGTCATTATTATTAGAAGAAACACTGAGCTGATGTTTGAACAGCGATGTAGATCACCAAACAATGTCCAAATACAGTAAATAACCGAGCAAATGAATGTCTATGGTGTGTTCTTTTCAGTTTTAGCTTTTATATAATCAAAGGCTGAAAAGAAAGTTCTGCTTTTCAGTCTGTCAGGCATTAGACAAGTAGGCCTACATCCAAAAATAGATACGATTGGAGCTGTCACCAGTGCTCATCATAATAGTGCAATCCTTTTGCACCTGCTCCAATGAGCTATGATCATATTTATGTGTTTGTTTTTACAGAGCATGACTTCAGCACTTACCTCCTATTACATTGGATGTACAGTACATTACTATCCCATTTTTAATCATTTTATCTTATTTATTTCAGGCAAACACAGGAGCAAAACACAGTTGTTATAACATAAAAAACACACCTTTAACAAAAAAACAAAACAATTTTGCCTCAAAGGAAGTGGGAAGAGGATACACACACCCCATTTCCCAATAGCTCATTAGCTTCTCTGCTACTGCAGACTTAAAATCAGAGTACCCAAGAATACCTAAAGAGCAAAAACAAATACATTCAAGTAAACTAAGAAAAAGCATGGTGTGTTACCATAGGTGACAGATAAGTACATTTAAACCTCAATAAACACAAATGAGAGAAGTAAACAAGACCAGAGATAATCAAGACAAGTGATCCAATATAAGCAAAATATTTCCATGTAATCTTTGTAGAATTATGGACGCAATTCTGGAAACTCTAATGATCTTAATACCCGTGCAAGAGGGGGTTATTGTCCTGTGTGTGTTTGTAGGCAGGATTGAGCCCAAACTACTGAACCAATTGAGATTTAAATTGAAAGTGTGTAGATGTAGTCTGAGTGAGCGTTCTAATTTGAGTGGAAACTACATTACTTACTACCATAGTAAAAAGTGAAAAGTAAAGATGCCATGCCAAATCCTCAAATGTAGGCCCCATACCGTTTCCATAGTAACGTCACGACACTAGGCCCTATATGGTGTTCATAGTAACTTCACAACACTGCAGGCCCAATATGGTGTCCATAGCACCACACAAAAAAGATTCCACATAGATTACCTAGTTCAAACTCTGCCAGGTCCTGCCTGCCCGCCCTGTCAATCATATTAAAGTTTGCTGATCAAACACTGCCCTGCTTTCCCATTGGCCGGACGACATTAATAGGATCCTAGAGACTACCTTGAGTGGATTAGGGATCCAAACTCTCGACTTTGGCCACTCTCCTTGTCCTCCAAACATGGATACATGTTTTTAGGGGGCTCTAAGAGGGCAGCATCAGAAAACATTGCGTCATAGGGGGGCCAGGGGCTTTACCTGGAACAGAAGAGGCCGAGTCAAAAAGGCAGACTCAAAAAGGACTATCTACAAGAAATCTACTTTTTTTCTTCCAAGATTATACCAATTCATTTGGATGATTTTTATCAAAAAAATATTAATTTACTGCACATTGGACCTAAAAGACTCAACTTAAAAACATTTCCATCTGGCTATTGTCCTTCACCATCTAGGAGTCTACCTGCTGATCCTCTCAGCCTGGAACAACTTATGAGCTCAAGTTGTTAATAACGGCATAGACCTCACCTGAGTGTCTCATGCCTCAATAGCGGGTCACATCACTGACCTTCTCCCTTCTTGTTTTGACTCTATTCCTCTTTTCGCATTTGGGCTTTGAGTTGTCTCCAGCTAAAGCAGTCATGCTGATGAAAATGCAATTCAGCCAGCAGAGACGGGTGCGCCTGGCTCAAGGCTTGTGGCTGCTCTCGTGGCTGGCAGTGACATGTGGGGCCTTCATCTTTTGCCTTGGAGTTTACCTGAAAATTGAGCTACTCCGCAGGGCTGAGGTACCCAATAATGTTTTTTATTTATGTAGTTAGGGTAACAATAGGAGAAATGCATTTATTATTCTTAAAGTATAGTCATTATTTCTATTGGCAGTTGTGTAATGTAATTATTGATAAAGCATGGGTGACACAGGAAAGCTGCAGGCCAGGCATGTTTCTGTCAGATATTATAGATTTCCAATGTGCCAGATTTCATAATCACAGAGGTCGACTGAATCATCATGGATTTGTTGCCTCACAGGCCAGCATCATATGTAGCCTGCAAATGTTGTTCTTTGATTTAAACTATTAACTTCTATTAACTTCATTCTGTTCATACACAACGCCATATCTAATGAAGTGGATGGCGGAAATGACAATGCTCGTGTTTGAATCTGTTCTTTCTGTTGAGGTGATGGAGAACACAGAGATCCATGTGGTTCCCAACATCCTGCTTATGGTGGGCCTGGCGTCCATTGGCACAAACTGGATAGCTAGTCGTGTGTGCCAGGACTCACTGGACATGAGTCGCTTCCCTCGTTGGAAAGGACTCCTGCTGGCCTGGTTTGCTGTGGCTACACTGCTCTGTTGTCTGCTCGTGACTGTTGTCATACTCAGCTATGCCCTGCAGGGACGACTGGAAGAGTCTCTCAAGGTAGGTCTAATATAGGTGTACATCTGTCTGAAAGTAATGAAGAAATTACAACTCCTTTCTCTGCCGTTTATGATTAGATTGGCCTGAGGAACGGTATTCGCTTCTACAAGGACACAGATGTGCCCGGACGCTGCTTTCAGAAAGAAACTATTGATCGTTTGCAGATGGAGTTCCGCTGCTGTGGAAACAACAACTATAAAGACTGGTTTGAAGTCCAGTGGGTCAGCAACAGATACCTGGACTTCACCTCAAAGGATGTCAAAGAGTGAGTGAAAAATGAAGTTCAATCCATGTAGGCAGTTGGAACACAAGTTAAAACAAAGTTTGACAATAAATAAAGAAAAAACATTATTCAAGGGGCAAACTCATTTTTTTATGTTTCTTCCTCTGCAGTCGAATCCGCAGTAATGTAGATGGGCGTTACCTGCTGGATGGTGTCCCCTTTAGCTGTTGTAACCCCGGTTCTCCGCGACCCTGTCTTCAAAATCACCTGACGGACAACCATGCCCACTACAACTACGAGTACCAGTCTGAAGACCTGAACTTGTTCAATCGTGGTTGCAGGCAGGCTCTGACTGATTATTACATGGGCCTTATGAATTCCACAGGACCCGGTGTGCTCTCAGTGATCCTTATACAGGTGAAAATGCTCAACACGACATCTACAGACATGTGTTATGGTGATGGCTAAATAAAACAAACACTGAAAGCCACATACTGGGCGTAAACTGCTGAAGCAGATATAGTTTACATTACTGACCAGTATATAAGAATGCGAGTAAGAAAGTATTTAGTCTTGTAAATGATGACTAGCAAACACAAAAACATTTGAAATTATTATTAAAATGATCTAAAATTTCCTCTGGGGTGCTTGTCCTCATGCTCTTTACATCCCACATGTGTATCTGCGCAGGTGTCAGTCATCCTGAGCTTGCGTTACCTGCAAACAGCAGTGGAAGGCGCCATGGCCTCTGAGAATCCTGAGGATGACAGTGTGGGCTATCTACTGGAAAAGGGCCTAAAAGACACCTTTGAGGACATCAAATCCAAGGCCCAGGATCTACTGAAGCTAGCACAGGTCGATCCCACCACTGGCGAAGCATGTCCTGAAGCTGAGGACGAGAAGGCCAATAATGGGACGGATAAGGCAGCTTCCCCGACTCCCACAAGCTAGAGAAATAAAAACACAGTTACATACATATGCTAGTGCTGGGACGTGTCTGGGGGTTGTTGATGGTGACATAGAATCCTGCTCAGCTCCACATTTACACACTGCCAGTGCAGCAGCTGCAGCAGGGCCAACAAAGACAGCACTTAGGAAATCAGAAACTACCAGATGCACAGGAACCAAGTGTCTACAATGTGTAGGACAAATGAGTAACATCCCCTGAATATAATATAGAGCCAACTGTCAATACTGTAGAATCGAATACATTTATTTTAATGCAAAATTCAAGTAGACAAAAAAATGTAGCGAAATGTTTGACAACTATGTTTTGGAAATGTACTTTATTAGGCTGAACATGTTTGTCTCTTTTCTTTGCGTTGACGAAAAGGCATAGAAATCTGTTATCAAACTAAAATAAAGATAGACATTTTTAAGTGTGCTGTAGAGTTCGATTCCTTCTTTATCATTCTGTAAAATATTGTCAATCCTGAAATGCTTGCAGTTTACCAAGAGGAGCCTGGGCGGATAAGCGTGTTTGCGTAAGTATGCACTGTGATGGAGATATGAAGCTGTTAAAACAATCTGATAATCCTTGAATAGTTAATCCAAGGACTGCTGCACCAGCGTTCCACACCACACACCTGACCAGGACTGTGTCGGCAAGAGTGGACAATTTTACATATTGCTTTGAGTCATTTCATCCCAATAATACGTAAACTATACATTGTAGAAATCAGTGGTTACAATAGAGCAGTGGTGCAGAAGAGATTGGGACCACTAGATGTCTCCCTTGACCAGAACAAAACTGTGATAGTGAGAAAACCTATGTCAAAAACAGGCTTTTTCCACCGTGTTTAGTAGTTCATATAGATCTTAAAGAGTTTAAATTAAACATTGTGTTTTTTACTCCCCAGTCAACACTGTGTAAAACGTGTTAATATCGCAACTGGTCAGAAATATTATAACATGTAATCTTTGGTTCTGAGAGTGAACTTTGAGGATGTAAATGGTGCTTTTAAAACGCAACATGTGCTCTTTGTCAATTCCGGTGTGGTTTTGCAAAGGCGAGTCATAGAGAGAGGAAGAAACTGTCACACTCTCAGTGCAATGGAGGCTCTTTTGATTCATGACTTACACAGGGCTGATATTTCCTTAATTAGCTGTCCACAGTAGTGTTTTACTGCTCTTTCGACTCAACAATGGACTCCAACATCGTGCAGATAATAGAGGGATTCATGGGAAGTGCGTTGGTGCGATGGGTATGTCATTTATCATTCATCCCAGCCCAAGAAAAGGTCAGCTCTTCAAGATGAATAAGCTAACAGGGCATTTTCACATGAGATACCGTCTTACCTTTGGATTAAACATGGTTGCCTTGTTTCTGTAGTGGTTTTGTTTGTGGCAAGCCAAAATAAATACATGAAAAACACTTCTCAACTTCTCCTTTTGGCTGCTTAACTCTTGTCTCATTTTTCCTCGTGCACTTCCGCGTTCCACTTACATAAATATAAAGATAATTATGTTTTTTTTGGTCATAATATGATGTGTTTAACATACCAGAGTATAAGGTTTGGTTCCCATAATGCGTTTCACATGAGGAGACCTGCCCAGGCCTTTCTTCTTCTGGTCAATAAGCTGAGGCTAAGCTGCCTGTGACCAATGACTGGTGAAAGTGAGGTGGCCAGGGTCAAAGGAAAGGATTGGGGTCAGGTTTGGCCTAGAACAGGCCTTTAGGAGTCAATATTCCACTTTTACACAATTTGATGGAATTTGATGTGACAATAGTTTTAGATAGTAGTGATTTAGTTTTACAGAGTAGTAATTCTCAACATTTGGAGAGCTCTTGAGACCTTGTCTTTCCTGGTGTGAAATTGCATATGCTCTTGTCATCTTGTCTCCTGACCATGTTTACAGGTGCAGCTATGTGGGGAGATGCAGGAGAGAGGGGCGAGCCCTGAGTACATGGAGGTGAACTCCCTGAAGGCCATCGACCGCTACCTAAAACTTACTGATGGGATTTTCCTCAATGAGGCCATGAGGCTCATGTAAGAGTTATTTATCTCGCTTCATCATTTGCCTGCACTGTTCTGCTGTGTGTTACAGAAATTACTGAATACAAAATATTTTCACTCCGCTTTCATTGAATTTACAAAGTGAAACCATTTTAATTAAAGCTTTTTTTGAAACCTTGATAAACAGTTTGCCCAAAGCATTTTCCAATTAAATACTGAGAAACACAAGAAGAAGAGGCAGCTGTTCCTGTTCAGAGTTGGCCCTTAGTGTATAGAATGTATTAATATGTCACAGTTATCAAAATAGAAGTACTGAGTGTACGGTTCACAGGGTCAATTATTTTAATACACTCTGTCATTACTTTGTGTATTTCAATGGCTCTTCTTTGTGCTCAAAAGATTGTCCTTGTTTACTGAACAAGGACAATCATTTGCTCTGACTTAAGTCAGTGCGCTTCAATTTACATTAGATTTTTGAGCGGCCTGAAATAATCTTTCTCATGAACATGTAATTATCTGCCTTGAATAAACACACTGTTAATACAGTTGTGATTATAAAATTGTTTCTACAGAGATCCAAACCCAAAAGTAGAGCAGTTGTATGATATGGGTGAAGGAGATGACCACATGCTGAGAGTCCAGAACTTTTCCATTCTAAATCAACACATCAGGTCCTTCTACCAGGTACCAGAACACAATGATTTATATGCAAAAAAACCAACAAAACAAAACAAAATACTACTTGTTTTTCATATTTCACATATTTGGTATAGAGGAAAAAATTCTAATATTTATTCATTGTTTATCATCAATTGTATAGTTGGTGCATGGTGTGTGCGCTGCTTAGCAACACCTGTCATGCAACCAAAAGAAACCCAGTTTCACTTCGTAATTGTTTTAAATGAGCTACAACTCAGACTGAAACGCATGTGTTATTAAAATGTTTGTAATAATTGAGTGCCTGAACAGCCCACAGACTGTGCTCAGAGGAAAATATGCTTCAAATAGGCCTGCAATTTCACCAAACAAGAACGTGGTTTTTAGCTCCTCATTGTAGTTCAATGTTATGCCACAAATTGAAAAAGCCATTGTATCCTGACTATAAAGGTGCAGAGACAAATTTTATCTCTCACTTCTGTTTCGAATCTAGATCTTATAAAGTGTTTTCTTTTTACTTCAGGAAAATCTTCAGCAGCTGATACTGATGCCTCTCCCAAATGTTGCCATTTTGGGACAGGACCCCCTTACAGGTACAAGATAAACGTATCTTCTTATCCTCTGTGACTTAGAGATGGAAAATGTCCTCACCTCTTCTTTCTGTAAAAAAATGTTAAGGTGGTAATGTATGGAGAGTGAAGGCACTGAATATAAGTATACTTTTGTGCTTTAGAGGCTGCTGTGGAAGAGCTCAGACATCTGTTGCTGCTCTTATTGGGATGTGCTGTGCAGGTGACTCATGATGTCTGTGATTCTGTGACTGCTGTCTTACCTTTGAAATGGCAATCAAACAATTTGTACTTGATGTATTTTCCATATGGTTTAGGTCTTAGGACATTAAAAATCAAGTACAGGCCATTTAGGTAAAATTAAGTATGTACTCTGCATTATTCATTTCTTTCAAAGGCAGATTGCCACCTATCATTAACACACATGCATACATGCATACACACACACATGCACACACACACACGCATATGCACACACACACACACACACACACATACATACACACGCCCACATGCACACACTAGTACACGCACATGAACCCAGCTTCCAAGACAGGAAGCTGGAATGCAATGGAGCACTGGGGGAGGAGTCGCTTCTAAAGGCGATGGGTTGCACTTTCTTACACACTTTTCGCTTGCCCGATGAGAAAAGTGGGCTTAGTACTTTTTCTAGCCCCACTTTAGTTTTATATACGGTGGGAGAAAAGTATTCAAAGTTACTATTGTGCAAAAATGAGATGGGTCCTTAATTTGACTTAAATCCCATTTTAAGACATTTATTTGTATGATAGTGCAGAATAGATAATGGAACATCTGCTGAATAAGTTGAAAGCCTGTGTTGCCCAGCAACAGCCCCAAAACATCACTGCTCCAGAGAATATCTGCACTGAAGAATGTGCCTATGATAAACATTTGACCTCTGTCCCTGTCAAAAAAGGCTACATTAGTAAGGATGGAATTTTAGTTTTTCTGCACCATTATAAAAATGATTATATTGTTGTCGTTGAGTTTTTCATATTCTGTCACTCACAATTGAAGTGTACCTATTATATAAATTAAGGAAAACCTGCGCAATCGGCAACTGCCAAATACTTTTTTGCCCCACTATATATATAAAATAATCATGTATCATTTTGCTTTCAATTTGTGTTGGTTTATCACACAAAAAACCAATAAAATATCTTGTATGTCTTTATCTATGTTTGAGGCTTAAACAAGACTATCTGTGGTCATGTGGTATTAAAGCTTTATAAAAGCACTGTTTGGGAAATAGACTGAGGTCCGGATTAGTTTGTTTGTATTAGATTATATTATCTGCATTCAAATATCTGATTTTAAGAAGTGATTGTCATTAATCAACTGATCGTTTTTCTCTGCAGTGTGAGAACAAAGAAATATTTATTCAGCAGATTCAATCCCTCGACAATGAAACTCAGGCCACCATTGCCAGCTGCATTCAAGAGGTAAGACTACTAAATCAAGGACCTCAAGAGTTTTATAATGCCATGATGCTTCAGAAAATGTAAACTGTGAGTTTTGAAACTTTTATATCTGAAAAATTGTGTCAGCTAGGACATGAACTACAACATTTAGATTCTTCCAGTAAATTAAGAATTACACCACTTATCATTCTCCTGGCAGCCATTTTTAGGACTTTAGTTGCCCCTTACTGCCATCCTCCACCCATTATGTCAACTTTCTCCCATATCACTGTCACGGTTGACTCTTTTTCTCATGGCTTTGCATTGAGCATCTTTTCAGAATGCATTTTTTTTTCAAACAATTATTAGTTTTGCATGTATTTGTTCTCTGCCATTTCTCTCAACCTACTGTAATCATCTCACTCACTGCTGCAGGTGACTCAGGACCCACACATGGTGTTGCCGCTGCAGTGGGAGCTTTTGGAGGCAGATCATTTGGATCTGGTGCCTGTGTTCAACTCTATGGCCAAGCACATCCAAAGCCTCTTGGCACAAAAAGACATGCATCTCGAGGTATCGTGCAATTGTTATTTTTTAACACACAAAAAATGAAACTTTACATGCTTTTAAGCAGGAATCCCATAGAACAAAACATTTACAAATCATATTTGGATTTCCATTCTCAAATGTTCATGCTAACTTATTTATACAACAATGGTTATGATGACCACATTAGTTATGTTTACAAGTTACAGTTTGTTTTTCAAGCTGTTTGGCCAAACAGAAAGCAGAATTAGCAATCCATGATTCTCGGATTTGGGTTTGCAGTTTCTTCAGTGAAATGCAGTAAGTTTGGTCATTATCCAAATCTTTGGTTTATTGTACAATTATAAGATAAGTAAGCTAGTGTTCCATCTGCTGCGATTTGGCTGCAAGATTTGTTCTCTTGAAATTAGGTCAAATTATATTAGGGGAATATGTGTCGTAACGGTGGAATTTGCAATGTAAAACTTAAATGCTATTTGTTTACATATAGCTTTCAACATCTACAAAGATGTTTCTGAAGACTGAAAATTCCACTCTTACATTGTCTCTGTTGTTTTGCATACCTCGTTCAAAACAACTTTCCAGAGGATTGCAGAGCTTTGTCAGGAGGCCCAGACAAACCCGAGCACAGCACATCCTGGTGGTCACAGTGAGGAGCCGCCCCACAGTCTGGCTCTCCAGCTGGCTGACAGCAAGGCGAAGCTCCGACGCCTCAAACAACAACTGTTAGAGCTGTTTTTGTGTATTCTACAAGTTACTGCTACACAGAACTGAGAATAATTACACTTTGTTTTATGACTTTCTAGAGAAGACAAAGGAGATCAGATTTTGGATTATAAACAAGAGATTCAAACTATGGATGAACAGCTTAAGAGACTACAGAAAGAGGTATGGAAAACATCAAACAAATATAAAACAAGAAAATGAGCAACGTTATTACCAGTGATCTTAAGGGGGTGTAATAATAAAAGCTGATTAAGGTTCTACATATCACTATGTAGCTGACTCAAACTGCACAGACAAGACGACAAGTGAATGGTGACTAAAGTGAGTTTGTGCAAAAGGACCAGAGGAAACATGTTTATATGTTTCCTCTGGTCACATGGAAGTATATACTTGCTAAGTAAGTAAGTAACCATTATTTAATTCTAAATAATCTCTCTGACCCAGGGTCACCCAAATTGCTTTGCATTCATTAGAAATGTTTCACAATAGAAATAATAATTGAATTCTGAAATCTTTTTTTTGGTTTTGTTTGGTGTGTGTGTGGAAGTCAGCATAGTTTGTGTGAATGCGAGAGAGTAGGGGAGTGTCTACTGGTGTAGGAGTATATGATATTTGATACTAGAAATTCATGTAAATATATGTTGTTTCATTTTACATTTCTCTCACTGGGATGATGAATCAAAATACAGTTTTTGGCCAATTCTGTTTACATGTATGCACGCACACACACACACACACACGTTCACGCACGCACACACACACACACACACACACACACACACACACACAAATACACGGAGAGACTATTACAAAACCAGGGTATAAATAAGTATACTGGGACACCATTGAGTGCGTAATAGACTCATTAAACTAATCAGTATCCCTTTTGTGGCTTATGCATAATACTATTTTTGCACCACTATTATGCTCACATTACAGCGTCTTTGTGTGTGCAGAAGCGGTCATTGCAGGCGGAGGTCAGGGGAGTGCGGACGCTCCGAGATGAGCTGGACTGCAGTCGGGAGCGAGCGGTCCGAGCAGAGCACCTGCAGGCTGAGCTCCAGAGCTGTAAACACAAGCTGCGCGGACTGGAGATCATGCGCACTCAGCTGAAGGTAAAAATTGTGTGTTGTGGGCATTAGCCAGCAGTATATCATTAAGGTGAGAGGATATTTATGCTGCAGATCATAATATGCTGGTTGTCAGGATACAATGTTAAGCAATACTACAACATATTGGAAATTCCACGTGCCTCCTGAAAAAAACAAGTAATTCATGTTCTTATCTGATTAAATAAATGTAAATAACCAACAAATATATTAGTTACATTGAACAAAAGCATCCATACAATTAAATTAATGATTGTTAATGATTGTATGAACTACTAGTAGTACAGAACTACTACCAACCACTCACGGACACACCAGACTCATTCTAGGCAATGTGGGCAAATTTCTATCTTGCCTAAGGACACAACGTCAAACTTTGGCTTCAGAGTTCTTTCACATGCAGGTATGGCCAAATAAAAACATTATGGTAACAATAACAGTATGGGTCTACTGAACGTATATACAGATTTTTATCATTTTAGTTTGAACAAAGAACGGTAGCAGAAACAGCATGTCAACACTGACATGCTGTTTTTATTATATGTGAAATCCACCATCCATAAAATGAACAAGGAAGGAGGAAGGAGAGGATTCACACAAATACTCACAGGTTACAGGTTTGATTCCCCTACCAGCCATGCCACTTCTGTGTGGAGTGAGCATGTTTCTCCCTTTCTCTGGGCACTAGAGCTTCCCCCACCAACCAAAGAAAAAACCCCAAAACCATGCATCATAGATAGAATTCTCCATCTCTGGTTGTCCTGACAAAGCTGCACATCAACATCTGCGGGGACCACTGCTCCTGACAGATTTCCCTTGAGGTATTTGAAGGTGGATCATATAAAGAGGATACATTTCCCTTAATTACCTATATAGTGGGCATTAATAGAATGGCCAAGTAGTGTTTTGAAAAGGTTGTGGATTCTATTACAAATAATCCTTTCTACTGGAGCTTACTGCTGAATGCATTATCTCAAATGTTTTTTGTTTGTTTAATAGACTTCTATGATCTCAAAGGCCATGTCTTCTCATTGCCCTCAGCTTTTCAATCTAGAGTGAGTGAGAACATCTCCAGAGCTTAAAACCACAATGACATTATATTGTACGATGTCACCAGGATTTACAGCCTGGAGTCACTCTAACAGAGCTCCTGTTATTGGGGCTTTTAGCTCCAAATAGGATTCATTACCTGTTCAACAAAAGTGAGATGCAAAAAGATGCTCATATATTTGCAGAAAATATGTGCTGTCCTCTTATTGTCTGCTTCTCAGTCAGTTTTCACCATTTTATTTGTTATTTCTGACCGCCCAGATTAGATTATCCCTATATCCTCCAAGCAATTATCAAACTAACAACAAAGTAGTTATTCAAGAAAACATATAGGCTAAAAACTAATGATAGTAACTGTTTTCAGAAGTAGAAAATAGTTTGATAGATTTTTATTACATCATAACTTGAAGCAGGTAAATTAGTAAAATGGCTACTAGTTTATAAATGTATATATGGTGCAGCATGCCTTCTTCAATGTGTTTTCAGTTCCCCTTAAGAATGTATAAATATCCATATGTGAAGCAATATAATAAATAGTTTGTGACATTTTATTTATCAGGAGCAACAGCAGCTCTGTGCCGCACTCCAGGAAACCAAAGCTCTCCTTGAAGAACAGTTGTGTGATGCCCGGGCGCGCTGCTCCTCCATCAGAGAGCTGGAGAAAGAAAATCTTCTACTGCGACACAAAATTACAGACATCGAAGTTGTGAGTAAAAGATTACAAATATTAATTTGCTGTTCACTCGCCACTGTTGGTTCTACCTCTCAGCTCGGGTCCAGAAAGCTTGAGGGTAGTGGTGGTCCAAAACCATTAAAAAGAACATCAACCGGCTCAATAAATAAATCAAGAAGGCGGGCTCTATGGTGTAGCTGTAGCTGACCCTGGTGGAGGATGTAGCCGAGCATGTGACACAAGCATCGAGCCTACGTCCCCTGAGGGCCATCATGGACAATGCCTCTCACCCTCTACACAAGGCTTCACCCAGAGGTGGAGCACGTTCAGCAGCAGGTGTCCCAGCAATGCTTCACAGTGACTTAGAAATCTTTTCTCCCTCGTACCATGCTAAAGGAGTTTTTGTCTCATGAGATTAGAAGTTGTGACAGAGACCACAGACATAAGCATAATCTTATTTTCTGTCTATCACACTATTTATTTGCATTTCCTGTAATAAGTACAAGGCTTACCTTCTCTTCTGTCCTTTATCAGCGGTACTTTCAGCAGTTAAATAATGACGATGAAAGAAAACTACACATGTCACTTGTACGCTGTGGGAACAGCAGCTGTCATCCACAGACTGTTGAATTCAGAAACAAAACTACAGCGAGTGAACTGAGGCACTGCTCTCTGGACTTCAAGAAACTGTATGGACCGAGCTCTGTCTGGATATAAAATTATTTTATTGTTGTTTGAGACACAAGGAGTTGGTGAGGGGGTGGATCAGGTTAATGTGTGTAATTTTCTTTTTCATCACGCTATAGTTTCACATACGTCACTATGGCAGCGTAGCCGTAGCAGAAGTTTTGTGTCTGTGATGTGATGTGTGTTGCAAACGGTAATCATTAATCAGGCCATGCTTTACAGTAGGTCACAACAAAGTGTTGACATAGCAGCAAATTATGGTTATGAGCATTAGACTTTTTTTTTTTTTTTTTTAAGTAATTTTCTAGTGGCAGATCATCAGACCTATGGAACCTTTTATGTTAACAAATACATATACTACTTAAACATGTGTCAATGATAAAAAAAAAAAACATTAAACAGTTAAGAAGTTGAAGCTCTATAACACATTTTCACAATATGGTTTTGATCGATACCATCTGGTTTTGTTACAGGAGCGAGACACAGAGAGGCAGCGCGTTGATGAGTTGTTGGAAATGAACATAAGCCTTGAGGCCGACCTGAGGCAATGCAGTGACAGGGTGACGGCCACTGACAGCACAATCCGCCAGAATTTATCCCAACTGGAGCCCAACTCAGATGAAGACCTGTGGAAAGTGATAGGTGAGCCAACCTTCCTTTTCCACACACTGTCATTTAGAACATTTTAATTAACTGATAAGAAAGTACATTGATGTAAGACATGTCTGCGGGTTATCACTCAACAATATCTATCTCCTCATATTCTCTCTACTTCCTTTTACATTTTCCACCTTCTTTATTTTACATCCTCTGGGTTTTGTAGATCCGATGCCGCTGAGCGTGGAGCTGGGGGAAGCTTCCACACTGAGGCTGCTGGGAGCGGAACAGGAGAATGCAGAGCTGAGGAGGCGTTTGGAGGACTTACAAATGCAACAAGAGGTCAGAGTTTTAGGCTGAAGTTAAGACTTATGTAAGGGATCTTTTCACCATAGGTCACCAATACTATATATATCTATGCTCTGAAAGAGTACTGGAAAGCACAGGTTTTGTTCTTAGAAGCAACCAGTGTTTTATGTTTTTGTTTTTTTCCTCATATATCACATTTCAATTTTCACACCTTGACCAGAAAATCTTAATCACAGCTTCACTTTTCTAAAATACTTGAAGCAATTTTGCAGCAATCGCAGAGTCACCCATGCAGATCAGCCCTGGCTTTTCACATCGTGTGAGTGAACATGTATGGGAACGAGAGTGAGCGATGGAGGAGCTGCTATATCCTGATTTTTGTTGTTGTCAATGTCTAGTTTTGTTTTTGCATATGGTGGCTGAGTGGTTAGCACTCTCGCCTCTCATTATGAAGGTCTTGGGTTCGAATCCCGGTCGGAACAGGGCCAAGAGTGGATTCTTACAAGTACCTGGGTGTTCATCTGAACCACAAGCTGGACTGGACTCATAAGCTTATATCAGAATGTGCAATAACCACATGTCACTGTCACTTTACTGAGTCCCTGTGTCTCAGAGCCTCATGCTGCTAATGTACAGATGTAAACATACTGCTGCTAATGTACAGATGAAAACATACTGCTGCTAACATACAGATGCTAACATATAACTACACTTTCCTTGCTCTGGTATACACTGTACTGTATACTTCTTTATTGCCAAATGTACAATTTTTACACCTCTTTCATTATTATTTTCAAGATAGAGTTTTATACTTATACTCTAAAGTAAGAGATTTTTATTTCAATTATTTTAAAATAAAATTATTTTAATCAATTGTGATGCAACACTGAAATTTCCCCACTGTGGGAGGAATAAAGGATCTCTTAATCTTAATCTCTTAATCTTAATCTCTTAATCTTAATCTCTTAATCTTAATCTCTTAATCTTAATCTTCTGAGTGGAGTTTGCATGTTCTCCCCGTGTCTGCGTAGGTTTCCTCTGTGTACTCCGGTTTCCCCTACCACTCAAAATATGCTCAATGGTAAAAATCCTCCAACTACGGTAGTCCTGACCAAACCGAGCATCAACATCTGGAGATGGGTTCCCGGGCGCTGTACTACGGCGACCACTGCTCCTGACGTAAGCCTTAGCAGCATCAGGAGGGGTCAAATGCGGGGGATAAATTTACCTACGAGGACAATAAAGTGCACATTTACATTTTTACATTTAGATTTAAATGTCACCAACTGACTGGCGTCTCTGCTTAGAGTACTGCCCCATGACCCGGCAACGGATGAAGCGGAAGAAAATAGATGAATCCATCCATTCATCCGCCTCTTCTATCTACAATCCAAAACATGTTTTTGTTGTGTGTGCTGCAGGTCACGCTGCAAGAAGCCAAAGATGAGCTGGAGATCAAGTATCAGAAAACTCTGAAGGAGGTTTGTAGCGTCATATTTATTTAACTCAAACGTGTTTTACATATGTATTGTAATACGGCCCACAATGCCTGTATCAATGTGATAAAAAGAAACTACAGCAGTTATAGAATTGTCTGTAAGAATGTGTTTGTTTTATTAATTTGTTAAAGGTGAATCATTCATGCTATTTCACCCAATGTATTGTTCTTTTGCAGTTACAAAACCTGAAGAATGACAATGCTAAGCTCAAGCAAGAACTAGTTAAGACAGTTTCATATGCAGAAGAAAACAAGAAAAAAACAAATGACAAAACTGGGGTCCAGAGCGTAGAGTGTTTTCGGAGTGAAGGCGTAGGGCAGGGAAGGACCACAGAAGAACAAACAACAGAAGCAACCTGCCTCCAAAGACAAGCTGGAGTTGGTGAAGACTTTTTGGAGAGAATTATGGATCAACAAAGTGAGCATCTACAAAGGGGTGAGGCAGAGGGAGGCCAGAAGGAGAGCAGGGCAGCAAATTCATCCACAGATACTCAGCCGACTGTATCCAAAGAGTCAGTGGGCTTCCTCCCTGCTCCCGAATTGGAGAGTCTGAGTCACCAGCTCCGGGAGGCTCAAGACGAGGCAGAGAAGCAAGCCAATGCTACCCAGGACCTGCACTCTAAACTGGGGGAACAAAGCCGGAAAACCTGGGAAGCAGAGCAAAGACTGATTCTCCTTGAAGCTGAACTACAGCGGCTAAAGAAAGCAGCAGAAAGCCTGGGAGAAGCCCGGAAGCACATAGAGGTAACTTGAAATATTTTCCATTCAAAACACAGAGCAGTGAAAATCTCTTGACTTGATAGGTGCTGCACTCGGAAAATCTGGTTTTGGAGGAGGAGCTGTGTCGCCTAAGAAGTCAAGTGGAGCTGCACAGGATGCAGACCACAGTCATCGCAACTCTTGAGGGGGAGCGTGTGGCTCTGGAGAGGGACAGAGACGCACTGCGCTGCACCGTGGATGTCCTGCGCAGCAACCAGCGCAAGGTGTGAAAGGCCCCACATATAGCACTAACAATCGCACTTTTAGTTATTAAGAATCAGTCAAACTTAGCCATGTGAATTCAGGACCTTTATCCGGCCTCCCCTAAAGGCATGTTGATTACGCACATTCCTGTAAGGTCTTCATCAGTATACAATAAATGCAGAACCTAATTATTTCTGCTTATGCTCTTTTGTAACAAATGAAGTCCTGTCCCGGAGAATTGGTTTTATTTAATAATAACCTTTCTGTTTGCCGTTGAATGTCCGGTGTGCACACTATGACCAAATATAGCAAAATTCAACGGCAAAAACACAACTGTTGTATTTCCTGTTGCTTACATGTGGGTTTCTCTGTGGTCTTGGGTGCACTGCATTGTGATTTTAGAAGGACATACAGTATGATTGACCCTTGACACATGACAAGCCCACACAGGTTCAAACAACCAGCCTACTGTATCCACTGTAGTCCTGGGTCAATAACACAGGTCTACGGTGTGGACACCCCAATAGATTTTAGCTGTACATATGTATATGTCATTCAGTCGGTATGATTGAAGAAATGGCCTTCTTCATAGTTGTCTTCATTCCATAGTCTTCATTCCAGGAGTCTTGCTCGGCTACTGTCCTAGGCGGGGGATGCAGAATTCAGTAAAAATGGTTAATGTGCTATTTGCAGTAAAATCTCCTGACACCTCAGAAATTGCCAGCTAAGTAAAAGAACAGTGCAAAAGTCAGCATTATAGAAATGCCATCAAGGGGATTTATGAATTCATCAGTCAAGAGTCATCTATTATCTTTTTAATATTACTCTGACTGTAAGAAAGTCAAAGAACCAAGTCCAGTAGGTCAACACTATATTCTACACACCCGAGATAGTGTATATTTATGTGCCCATAGTTTAATGTCCCACATGTTTTTGACAAATACTTCCTATTCTATGGTTTAGCTCAAAGTGAATAACGACGCTCATTATTAGGATAGAAGAGTTGAATGTTTCTTTTATTATTTCTCAACACCGTAAACTACAAAGTGTGAATTTACTGTGTCACCATTTTGTTGCATGAATAACATAATTTAACTTTAGAGAAGCACAGTCAGCGGCAAATAGAAATATGCAACACTTTGCACTGTGGCAATGCAGAAAAGTTTCTGTCTTTTTTTATTTTACGACCAGATTAAAAAGCTTGAAATAATGAAAACTCCTGCAGTGTATGTTAAGTTCTCCCCGCAGGGCCTAACAAACACAAAATTACAGATCGCCTTCTTTCAGAATGCTGCTGCCTACCTTTACTGTGTGGGAAGACTGAACCGCTGTGTTTATTTGTTCATAGGCTTAACTGGTATGTATTTATATCAGGGCGCAATGTCAACGAGGTGAATCTAAAGTCTAACCCTTAGCCTTTAGACAATGGCTATGTTATTGTTTTGTGGAGGTATAACACAGAAATTATACATAAGCAAGCAACAAAAGGAATAATGCATATCCACAGATATGGAACTTTGAATACAAACTGATTGACTGAGAAAAACAACTTTTAAAAACCCTAATTTACAGTAATTTAATCAGAATTTGAATTGGATTACTGTATTCATTCCAAAGGGGAATTTCTGTTCATAGTTATCGCTGGTAAGAAGAAGAGACAATAGTCATGCTCAAAGAGCTGTACAGGCAGGACTCTACAGGCTGTAACAACGAATCAACTAATAATTGTATTTCGGTGAAAACAGGAAGTGGGCCATGCAGATTCTAAAACACGCTGCAAAAGACTGATTTAAACAGTGGCAGTGAGATTATTTTATTAAATCAATAATATATCTTGATTAATCTGAAGTTATTTGTAAATAGCCTCTATCCAGGACCCATCATTCACCATCTCTAAACCAATATGTAACATTTAATTTATAAATGATTGGGCTTTTTAGGAGTAATAAATACTCTAAATGCATAATTCTCTAAATGTAAATTAAGAGGATCTTTTCAGGTGTATTCAAGGGCCAGGTTTTTTGGAGGCCCTTGGTTACTGGGCAGAAAAACAAGTTTGTTCTTGTGATTATTATTTATTGTATTCATGAACATCGTTGCGACAGTGGCTCAGTTGGTAGAGCATTGGCCTTTGAGCCTGAAGGTTGTGGGTTCGAGCCCACCATAAGACCTACTTAACGACTCCCACTGATGTCTGCTGTCGTTGTGTCCTTGGGGAAGACACTTAACCCCACTTTGCCTGAAGCCCCCCCTGAAAGATCAAGGCTCCTGTGGACTCACCACCTGCAGGAGGATCAGTAAGGGGCTGGTGGTCTGTGTACTGGGTGCAGCTCTGACTGCCACCAACCCCCCCGACTAAGAAATGGATTAAAGGGAAGAAAATGGATGGATGAACATCATTGTGATATCTCAGAAAACCAGTGCCAGGACATTTCACAATAGTTAACCCATATTGTGAACTCTTACTACATACACTTTTAAGACTCTAATTTATATATATATATTTGTGACAAAATTAACAATATGAAATACTATATAGCTTTGGCGAGATGCATAAGACAAGGATTTTAAGGCATAACATGAGACAATAATAATGTGATTTGGTTTTTTTTGTGTGATTTTTTTCAGACTGACCAGTTGGAGCTCTCCATCCAGAGCCTGCGTTGTGAGCTGGAGAGTCAGGGCCGCAGTCTGGAGACCTGCCACCGGAGGGAGGAGGAGATGAAGGCGGAGCTGCTTGATGCCACTGCAGAGACAGAAGCACTGAGCAAAGCCCGGGACCAGGCGCTGCTGGAGGCCTCGCGGCTGGAGCAAGAGAAGGACACGTTTCAGACGGAGCTCCACACCCTGCACAAAGACAGCAGGCAGAAGGACAGGGACCTGACCAGGCTACGACAACAGCTGGAGAGCACCACACTGGCCCTGGAGGGCAGCCACCAAAGGACTCGCGCTGTGGAGACAGAGAATAAGTATAAGGGTCCTTTCCTAATGCTCAATATAATTATTCTGTGCAATCTTTGTTAAACTACACCTTCACCATTATTTTGAATATTGCCAACTATATACCACAATACGGATCTAATTTTACTTAATAGAATAAAACATTCATCAACATTAGTTCAAAACTGCCTTACTGATAAGCTCCGCCTCTATATAGTTACAGTCCTCATTTCAACATGTAAATCAGCTGTAACAGTTTGATCCCAGCCTGTTCTGGAGTCAGAATGATTTATTATCTGAAGTGAGTAAGGGATAGATAGGTAATAGATGAAACAGACATTTCCAGTGCACTGATGCCTTAATGACTATACTGGAGTACTCAAACATGTATGAATAAATTGAAATTAAACTTTGGGTAAGGTAATGATCTCAGAGCACCTTTATGACAAGGTCAAAAGATAATAATTTTACATAATAAGTCCTCATTAACCTTTTGTCTGCTGCGTGGACAGGTGTTTGTGCCGTGAGCTGGGTGAATCGCAGCAGCTCTGTGCTCGGCTCCAGGACTCTGAGAAGGAGCTGATGGTCCGTCTGAGCAGCTCTGAAGCGGAGAGGCAGCAGCTGCAGGACGACTGCGCACAGGCACAGGCCCAGATCAGCGCGCTGTCCCAGGTGTGTGCTGGAGCCTAGTTGTACAGGCACTGCTTATCCACACACTATGGATGATATGGCTCAAATAATCTGCACTGTAAATCACTGCAAAAAAAATTAAGTCTTTTTTTTTCTCGTTTTTTTTTGTTGATAGGGGTTAATGTGGACTGTTTCAAAGGAGCAGAATTAATTACTGTTCTAATTCTAAATTGCATCTACATCTCCCCAGGCTCAAGGTCAACGTGTGCAAATCATATTTGGCCTCAAAATGTGAATGCAGATTTATATAGAAAAGAAATGGATGGGATAGTCACAATGTATGTTTATATTTGCCTAAATCATTGTCTAAACCCCAACAACTGCACCACATCATTAATCAGAGCTGGAGAAGTACTACATATGTGGACTCTTTGCTTATCATGAAGGAAGTAATGTTTTAAAACCAGTAAGAGCAAAAACGGTATCAGATTTGTCTATGGGTCGAGTTTTTTTTATTTTTATGAGAAGAGCAGAATTTGCTTGACCCGTTGGCAAATCTTCAGTCACAACTAGACAACGCCAAACACAAGCAATGTTACCTCCTTGACTGTAAAAAAAAGGTTGAAATGTTTTTTATCTGTTTAGTATTTCATGAAGAGGGCTTTTGAGATCATTTATGATTCATTAATGATAATAACCCACCCATCTCAATAACCCAGATCTATGTTTATTTTATATGTTTTGTAAAGCGTCTTTGAGTGTCCAAAAATCACCATATTAGTTTTTATGATTTATTATGATTATTATATAAGCTATATTACTATTATATAAGCTATTGAGTCTGTTTAAAGCCTGACAAACCCTGTTTTTACCAGATGTCAAGATGTACTTAATTTTGTTTTTGCTCCTCTTGATTCTCTGCTTGGTTACAGGACATGGCGAAAGAGCAGATGCGTTGTATTACTCTTTCCACTGAAGTTGAGCATTTGAACCACAAAATTCGAAATGCTGAGATGGGCCTGAAAATGTCAAAAGAGGCACTCAACCAATCACAGCAGAGAATAGGTGTCCTTTCATGTGATCTCAAAAAAATGGAAAGTCTACTTGAACTGGAAAAGAATAAGAACAAGGCAGAAGGAGAGGACAATTCTTCTGTAAATGAAACACAAGTTGGGGAGCAGCAGATGCAAGACAAGTTGCTCTTACATCAATGGCATCAATTTAACAGAGGTCCTGACGTGAGCAATGAGACAGAAGAAGCTCTCCGGGAGAAAACAACCATCAGTCAACTGGAGCGAGAGGTCGGTGTATGCCCATTAACTATATTAAAGCTGGGGAACCTAACTTTCAAATCACAACAAATTGAACTATACTATGTTAGACAATTTGGTATCACGTGTATTTTTGGCCTCAATATTTTAGGTAGTGACTAACAGGACTCTTTTTAAGAAGTGCACAAAAGATAACAAAAATTTAAAGGCAGCATGGTCATGGTCTGATTTATTCACATCAAGACTCATTGGGACCAACATGTGTTATTTATTAAACAAAAAAGTTAGGTACCCCAGCTTTAATAGATTTTATTGTATTTGACTGAAGAAAAAAACAAATATGGGTCTTCAAGTGTCTTATTATTATAATATCCTGGCTGCTACAAATATTGAATTGCAATCTCCAAAACCATCGAGTATAACATATAGATGCACTTTGATTGACAATGACCTTCTGAGTGAAAAACAACTCGTCTGTATTTAACTCTGAAAAGTGATTAGCTAAAAGGGAAATACGTGAAAGAACTGATTCAAAGCTTATTTATTCTTGAAATAACCAGACAGCTTAGTATAACATTATTATTTTTAGGCAACACGGAATGCATAGTGTGTCTTACTGATAGATATACACACAGTATCTAGTGAATCTGGGTGATGTGATGCAGCTTTTTTGAATAGGAGACAATTTTGTTATATTGCATTTCTTGTTCTTGGGATCCTCTGTGACTATCAACTTACGCAGGTCTACAAAGTGCAGCACTTGAATTCCCGAACTAGGTCCTTATCTGCAGTCATCTAGTTTTATTGTGGCACCTCAGCTACTGTTAATCTTTTCTTATCGGCTCGCTTCTGCTGCTCTCCCCTCTTCACTTAAAACACACCCAACTTCCCCCATTGAGTCGTGCGTGTTATCAAGGTCAGGAGTTTTATTCAGTCCAGGTCCCCGCCAGCCGCCATGTTAACAGTCTAAGAGCGTGTTTTCTTAGCGGCTGATCAATTGGCACGACTGAGTGTTGAAAAGCATGAAGACAAGTAAATACAAAAGGGTTGAAACACATGGAACCACGTTTAACAAAATGAACCCAGTGTTGAGGTTTTCAGGACAGAAAGCTCTTTTTATTAGATTCATTCACTGTTAGTAGGAAATGTCCCCAATGTGGGACAAATAACGATTATCTAATCTTATCTTAATAAAAAGTGCAATAATTGTTATACTCTGGTGATGCCACACACCTTTTCTGATAACATTTTTGGCAATTACCGATCATGATCAAAAACACACTGGTGGATTGGTATGATGTGTGGTGAATATATTTAGATTGTGGGATCATGTTTTCTGTCTTTGTGTCTCAGAAAGCAGTGGCAGGTCAGGAGGCCTTGTTGTCTCGGCTGTCTCAGTCTCAGGAGGACAGCGAGCACCTGAAGGAGGAGCTGGAGGCTCTGCGTCGACACTCGCTCAGTCTGCAGGACTCTTGCACCAGATTACAGGGTCTCAACACACAGCTGCAGGTAAAAAAATACAATAATAATTGTATAGTGGATGTACATTGCTCTGATTGGATCATCCAACATAATAATAATGCAATCCCATAATGCATTTTAACAGTTATTACTTTCATATTTTCAAATGTGAAACATGACTTTCAGTAATATTATTCTAGTAAAAAATATATATATTTTTTCCAAATGGAAAATCATCAGCTGCAACCACTGCCCTGTATTTTCAAAGAACGTAATTTTATGTTCAAAGTATTCTCCAAACACTGTCTGTTTCAACATATTAAATGTAATAAATAACATTTGTAAATTATGATAATAAAATGTGTTTCTGTTCCACAGATTGAACAAGCCTCATTGCATTCCCAGCATGCAGCAGCCCTGGCACAGTGCAGCGAGGTGAAGGCCCAGTGTGCAGCGCTGGAGGCTGAGGCAAAGGTTTGGGCGCGAGAGCGCGAGGACTCACAGACTCGAGCGGCAGCCATGAGACATGACCAGGAGCGGCTCACGGCTCTGCAGCAGCGTCAGGAGCAGGAGATGGACGAGCTGCTGGACAAACACTCACAGCTGCGCACCACTTACCGCAGCCTGGAGGCCCAGCACCGGGAACTAGGGCTCAAGTAAACGCAGCTTTTCATATTTTAGACTATTTCATTATTTCTTCTAAATGTCTTTTTTTCCTCATCTAAAAAGGTACCAAGAACTTCTTCAAGGAAAAGTTCAGCTTGAGGACAGAGAACGGGAAGTGGAGCTTTTGCGAGTAGAACTGGAAAGAGGAGCCCAAAACCATATTGAGACACAACGTGAGCTGGAGAGACTGAGAGAAGACAGTGAGAGGTAACGGCCAAGACACTCAGCATTAACGCAGGAGGATGAGAACATTCTTTCACTTGACTTTGCTCTGTGTGTATGCATATCTAAATGAGACAGTGAGAGTATTTTACTCTATTACATACGCTGAACAGAGATAAATGTACATCAATGACTTGATTTATTTGCAGTGAAACCCATAAAAGTTCTGTGGCTTTAAATTGAACAGCAGCGATGTGCTATGGACACAATTATAGCAGAATAGCTTTAAATGACTCTGAATAATACTGAGGTGATGTGAACACAATGGAAGTATCCAAAAAGCTGTGATTAAGAAAAATTTCAGTGGAAGGGGTGTCAAAAGAACCACTCCACTTAACAACATATTTTGAGAAAAATCATGTTTATTTACAAAAAAACCCCAAACCCTCTTTTCTGTTTGATTCATAGAATTAAGATGACTGCACACATCTGAATAGTTTTCAATGACTTTAGACTCATGGTCTATTGTAACGTTTGCTTTGATAAAGGGACCTTTCATATTGCTTACTGTTTAATGATGCTTTTTGCTTAGAGCGCACTTAACTAATGAGGGGATGGAGCCGTGCACGGCTCGTGTAACAATAACAGATGAGTGCAGTTCATGCGTGTGGCTGTTGCAGGCTGCAGGCCCAACAGAAGGAGTGGCTGGCGTTGCAGGCCGAGCTTCTGGCCCAGGGCTCAGTGCTGAGGGGGGAATTGAGCACCTCCCAGCTGGAAAAGACACGACTGGAGGGAGATCTGAGCTCCCTTAGGGAAAGGCACCAAAGCCTGGACATTAGCTACGCCAGGCTAACCAGCCAGTTCCAGGTCTGACACGCACACAACTCTCACTGCTACTGTGTCTAAATCCTAATAGAATCTTTTGAGGTGGAAATACAACGGATTACCAAATACATGACCATATAATACAACAAAAAGAATGGTAATAGAATTATTAAAAGCCCTTTCTTGGTATATTAGCAGCATTGTGACTTTCAGTTGACACTGCATTTATGCTTTTTCATCTCTTTAAGTGAATGGTCAGTCATATTCCTGGAGCGTAGCAGAGCGATCTTATTAAAAGGGAAATGGTCAAACCTATTAAAACATTACCGCTCTCCTCACTGTCACAGTGCTTCCTAAATGAGCTCCAGTTTGTTTAACCTGACAATAAAGGTAAAATAATTGGACATAGTTGCATTATCCGTGCACTTGCAGTCTAAAGGGATTTTAATTATTTCTTGCCCTTTTTGTGGCTGTGATACGTATGTTTGGCATTAATATATTTTATGAAAGTGTGAAATTATAGCCTGACCACATTTGACATAGAAAAAGTAAAATAAAGAACCAAATCCATCTATCCATCTGGATGGATGGATGGATGGATGATTTGGACATTAATGTTAGGGTCGATTTTTTTTAGCTGTTGACTCAGTTGAAAAGTAACATGGAGGAGGAGAACCGGCACCTGGCCCAGCAGAACCAGAGTCTTCTGAAGGAGAACAGAGGTTTACTGGAGCAGAGTCTGGAGCGGCGCGACCAGCACCACTCAGAGCAGAAGGAATACCAGTAAGTGACAACAATTCTTCAAAATACTTATCATTTACTTCAATAGTCAGAAGATAATGTGACAATGCATTACAGTTGTGCTAATATATTCAAGATTTACAAATAATAATTATGTTAAAGTGCAGGACTTTTAACTGTGTGTTTCAAAGATTATACCTGCAGGTTTTTCTTTTGGTGTTTCACTGTAATTTTATAGTTTATACTATAAACAATGAGCTCAAAATCTTGCATATCTTTATAACAACTATTAAAAAATTATCACTTGTTCCATACATTTCTCTGTCATTACAAGAAATGTATTTATTTTTTAAGCCTGGGTAGATATTAACACTACAGTACCTAACGTTTTTGTCCGCAATAGTAGATGCTGTTTGTTCCAACATAAACAGTCTCATACCCCATAGAGACCTGGGGCCGTATTCCTAAAGATTCTTACTGCTAAAAGTTGCTCCTAGTGGCCAAATTCTAAGAATTTTCTTAGAATCTTGACCAACTCTTAGAATTTCCCCTAAAAGTGAGGAGTAGCTCCTAGTTAAGATAAAAGCTATTCCTAAAAAATCCTAGCTCTTAAGAGTGCTCTTAAGGGGAGATCCCTTAAGAGTTGAGAGGAGGACTTTTAGCGACTTAAAAGTTCCCTAAGAGCACAAAATGGTGGACGGTGGAGACAGGAGAAAGATTCTATACACTGGATGACAGTGAATCAGTAAAACGCTACAGATTCAAGCAGGAATCATGTTTGTGGTATATTTAAAAGTCAATCATGTGACCAGCTTCTCATTGGCTGGTCAGCAATAACACCTCATCCATTTTACCTTTGTTACACAAAAGTAAGTAGAAATGGTAAAAGTTGAAAGAGAGGAAAAAGTGGTCCTAAATTGTCACACATTCAGTACAAATGAATGAATACTTTATTTTGAGCCATGGCAAACAAGAAAAAAAAGGACAAAACAAACAAAACAACAACAGAATAGAAGTACAAATATACAGTTTTGTTTTATCAACAACAATCCAGCTCAAAAAGGAGTAGGAGAGGATAAGACTTTTAAGCTCCCTTGTACTTGATTTGTACAGTGTATGTATAATATGTTTATATTAATATTGTTTCCTTAATTCCTTATAAGTCTATACATATCACAGCCTTTACTAATCCTAACGTTATCATTATCATCATTTATCCATATAATATTTATAATAATAATTTTCTTTATCATGTATATTATATATAGAGTAATATTTAAATTATATGTATATATATATATATATATATATATATATATATATATATATATATAAAATTATAAGTGCTCATGATATATACGTATTATGTGTGATAAATTGGTGCTGAGCAAGCTCTGATGATGGTGTATAAGTCTAACTTTACTATTCACAGTATTTATGTACCATTGATATATCTGACTTTATAGCTTTTGGTTATTATTTACAATAACACAGTGTTCCTAAGATTAGATTCCATGATTGAGTTTGTCCATTTTAGGGCCCTTATTTTGCCTATTATCATCAAAAATATGTTTGTTCTAACTTTTAGGATCAACCAATCACAGCGTCTGAAATTATGACTCATACCTAGCAACGGGGTCGGCCACGCCTCCTCACTAAGATAAAAGTTGTTGTCAATTCCTTGCTCAGAGTTCTCTAAGAGTGTTCTGGAATAACTTTTAAGCTAAGACTCCTAGCTAGGAGTTTTTAGGTTAAGATAAGAGCTCTCTGAGAGGACTCTCAGAATCTTTAGGAATACGGCCCCAGAACTCCCACCTGATATACACATGCATTTCATTTGTGCGGCTGCCTGGTCAGTAACACAACTCCGTCAACAACAACTACAATAATTATACATTATATTGTATATTATCATTACTATATCCATCCTCATTCTCGTCACCATCATCATTCTTATGTTCTGTAAAGTCGTGAATATATTATTATTATTATATACAGTACTACCAGGTACAGTCTAATTTAACCATACCGTAAAACAAGACCACACATGGTGGGTTCATCCTTTTATTTGTTGTATTATTTCCTTCACTGTCAAAAGGCAGGAAATAGTAAATATAAAAACATGACCACAATTCTGATTCTGTTAAATCCAAGCATGTGGTGAGATGACACATTGGTAGATGGTGTGCGACTGTCACTTCCTGTTTACACTTCTGTGGGCAATATCTATTAAATAATGGATGTAATAATAACACTGTTAGTGTTGGTTGAAAAACACACACATGCAGAGTTGGCATCCTCATATTGGATTATCTGAAAACAAATACTATCTCAAAACAATTTATTAACAATGTATTTTAAACAAAATTACACTATTTCTCGTATTAAACTGACATGATGCCAAGAATAATAATAAAATAAAATAAATCATTATTCTTATTTCATGTTTAGAATGTTTTTGGAACACAAACGTGTTCAGGTTAGATTCGCTCCTAATGAGAAACGCAATGATTTTTGAGGGTCTCAGAGCAATAATCTGCTGTTTTGACTTTGTCTGACATGTGACTGTGAAAGACTCTAATTATCATCTGACTTGAACAGGATCAGACTCAGTCCTCTCGACTCTCACACGACAGCAGTAATCTGCTCAGAGATGCCCTGATGATAAATGCATGAAATGAATCAAACGTCCCACTCAGTCCTTCCTTTGTCTGGATTCATCTTTGTTCTCACCCCTCATGGTTTTCCTTCAGAGAGAAGCTCAGTGAGCTCCGGAGAGAGAAGCAGAAGTTGGTGGAGAAGATAATGGACCAGTATCGAGTCCTTGAGCCCAGCATGCTGCCGCCGAGCAATAAAGCCAAGTACTGTGCCTTACATGGTCTTCACTCTCTGTTTAAACACGGCTAAATCTCTTCTCTTGTACAGCACCGTCGCTCCTCCTTATGAGCTACTGAAAATACTGCAGACTCTTGATGTAAATTAAAAATTATGTATCACAAGAGTCTAAATATAAAATAAATTATGGACATATTACATGTATATAAATGTTTATAAAGTAATAAAAGATAAATGAGTTTTTCTTTGATGGGGATATTGGTCAAAGTAAAAGGACGATAGGTCACAAAGCCTCAAAGACAAAACAAGTGTTTAGGTCACTGTAATGTAGTACGGTATTCCTAATGTGTTCTTGTGCTCAATGAATAAACAAGCAGTTCAGTAACTCACAACCTTTTTAGTAAATAGTATGTGTCCTCTGTGTCCTCAAAGGAAATCTAACTGGATTGCAGACAGGATGAAGAAGCTAATCAAACCCCGGGGAGGAGCAGGGAGGGATGGCCGCGCCCTCTTCACCGCTGCAGGCAGCGTGGAGAACCTGGCCGACAGCGCTGAATTTACATGTGACTCACAAACAGCTCGGTCCAGTAAGAGCGCACACACAAACACTTCTCAAAGATACATTCACCCCATCAAGGCAGGCTACGGGCGTGCATACAAATCTACTCATGACTACCAAGTGTGGTCAATGCTGATAGTGCGGCTCTGCTCCAGCCAGTGCAGACGTCTGCCGCCATTCTCTGCTAACCACAGGGAGAAGTGCACATTTTGCACGGTTTCATGCATACACGATCGTCAAAGAGAAACACAAAATACATGGCATGCATGCTTTTACATATTTATGGGTTTTTTTTAGCTACAGTAATTTTTTGAACATATTTTGTATTGAATTTTTATCATCAATTGCAAAGGATTATAATGTACCTAATTTAATTGTAATCATTACTCACCATGTAAGTTAAAGTTTTTATTGACAGATACACTGAGCATGATCAGCAAAAAAAAACACATAGTTATCTCTGTTGGCAAGTGGTAGACAGGACAGTGTAACTTTCTTTATTTTTTATTTCTATGGTTAAGCAAGAACCGGTGTAATTACCTTCATTCAGGACGTTGTTGATGACCTCATGATAGTGAGGAAGAAATGATTTTCACTGCTGCTCAGGTCTTGTTATGTCATTACTATAAGGGGACATTCCAGACAAAACAATAATCACCATGGAGACATGCAGATGGAGACATTATTCAGGTGACAGTGCACCTGAATAATGGAAGTACCCTTTACACAGTGTAAATGACTCTTTTCTTCTGCAGCAGCAGACCCGTGCAGTGCCCCCGTGTCTCCGTCTCCACAGAGGAAGACCTCGTCTGCAGCAGATGCTGATGCACCACTCCCAGGTCCAGCAGTGGTGCGTTCGGGCTCTGGGGGGCGCCGTAAACTGGGCTCTCGTCATGGCTGGGGCTTGGGTTTGGGGCGGGGATCTGTCTCACAATCATTTAGTCCTGGAGACAAGATCCCACCCCGCCTCCGTATGGGCTCCAGCCCACGCTCTTCACGAGTGCTGTGGGAGGGAGGCGGCACTCCCCCCATCACTGACTCACCCCTGAGCTGCCAGGACCCAACGGAGGGAGGCCAGGAGGAGGCCAGAGAGAGGAGCCAATCAGAAAATATATAATGTAAATATAGTACTTTAAACAAATACATTTGTTAAAAGACGTAAACCAGTCTTTGGGGTTTCATTTAGGTTTTTTTTTTTAAGTAAAGAAATCTCTGCAGCATTAAAGGTACAGATAGAAATAATCTTCTGCTGATGCAAATGTGACTTAAAAACATTAAGATTCAGTACTGGCTGTGCACCGTCTTCTCCCCTAAAAACTCTTATAGGATTATCTGAAATGTCTGCTGGCGTCCTGTTCTCTCTCACCACTTCCTTTGGTTTGCTCACCTTATGTTGAAAAGGAAAAATCTTGTCACATAGTATTTTTAAAGCTGCACTTACAGTAAAAGCACAGTACTTAAATAACAAATGCTACATATAGAAGTATCAAATTAAATACACGGGAGCTTTACTTTCAAAGCTGTAAACTAATAAAATCTTGGAAACGCAGGTCCTTGACGACTGCACAGGCGTGGGCTGCATATATGAGGATAAATATCGTGAACGCAGCCATCTGCTTCACATATGGTTCAAAAATCCTGATACTTCTAGTCTTAATCCTGTCACTGATCTAATGGCAATTGATCTCCTTTAGTGGCTTAATGAGACGCCTCTCTGCTGTTTTCACTGTTGCACCAAATGGTGTCAGTGTGGAGTTGTGAGGGCTGGTGCATCATACGCGCTCAGACAGGGGATGAAAGGGAATTAGCATGCAGCTTTCCAAATGAGCAGACCTGAGAGTTCATTGTGAATCTAAAAGGACACTCTTAGAAGACAGGCGGATTGGAAAGATCTCCCCTGTGAGATTAGGGCCCAGCACATCACCATACCCAGTCAGCCATCGCATGTGTGTGCTTACAGGACAACCACAGTTTTTTGCCCGAGCTTCACAACTTGAATTTTGATTTGCAGATGACAAATAGGCTGCTAATACTATTCATGAATTATGTAGTTGTCATGGTGACATTAATCAAAAAGCTGCGCTCTCTTTTTTGCAGCTCTGAACACTGTGTTTTGTTGAATTGAGATGCATGACAGGGCGTGCACACGGAGCCGCTTGAATGAGCACAGGGCAAAGCGATAGCAAGATATTGGTTCTGCCAGTCACTCAGAGGCTTATTATGAGAGCATCGCAACAATCTTCTGCCCCCAGGCTCCCAGACATGCAGCCTGCGTAGATATTTGTATGAGGGAATGCTTAAGTTACCATTTTGAACTACAACCAAAACCTGTAATTCCTGTAGATATTTTCTTGGACTGAAAGGGGTAAAAATCACACTTTTCCTTTTTGATCCTTGTTTATTCTGTAGCCTTGAAAAGAAAATATGATAATGTGTTGAAAGCTTTTTTCTGGAATTAAAAACAAGCTTTAGGAAATCATGTAAAAACAGGAGCGATGAAGTGTCACCTCTGTCTCTGAACCCTCAAGTGTCGAGGATGATTGATGGATGCCTCATATGTTCTTAGATACAGCTATTTCTTTTCATCCATTTAATTATTGAGCATGTGTGAAAGGCGATCCGCTCACTGCACTTTTGTTTTCTCCTCGCTTATGTACACAGCGTGCAAACTTCTCCATTCATGTGTGTTTTATCTTCCCTCAATTCCTTCCTGAGCCATCAAATTTTAATGCTGGTGTCTCACTAAAGAGCCTCCAGTGAGTTAGACCTCAGTTCAACTACTTAAGCGAGCTAACCGGACGGACCTGGCATCCTAAATGTGATGCATTATCTTTAGTTACAGAAGACATGGTTTGTCATCTATGAACAGTGTTGGGGAATGAGGGAATGTTAGAATACTATTTTTGAGTAACTGTACTCGGAATATATTACTTATACATAATACAGTTTCTTTAAAAAATTAGGATCACTTTGATAATGCAAAATTCAATTCAATTCCATTATTCTTGTACAGCCCTAAATCACAATAGTTATCTCGGAGGACTTGACAAAACTGTTTAATTTACCAACACAGATCAAAGAATCCAACAATTTAAACACTAGAAATGCCATGATAAAAAAATAATCACATTGAGCCATTGGTCCATAAGGGGCAGATGACTAATGTCCATGAATGAAATATTGAAATTATATTGCACAAAGCAAATGAAAACATCTCTTTCAGGGATGTATGCAAGTGTGTATAATTCTAATCAACAATAACAACTGCGTCTAAACCAGAGAAGTCAAAGTCAAATACAACAGAAAACAAAAAACAAATTTGCTTCTAGCCGAGGACCGGACTGGTTCAGTGTTTATTAAAACATATTAAAATGATTGCATATAATCCGTTGAACCAGCACCTAACACAGTGTACCGTATTTTATTTAATTATTTAATTAATATTCCATTATTTTTGTATGGCTCTGTCAGTAATTTCAAACATGTTTCAACAGGCTCATAGACAAAAACAAACTTCCTTCAAAGAGAAAACACGTCCTGAACATTAACTGAATAATCCAATATTTTCTTATGACTATTTGCAGCCCGTTCTAAAACTAATCAAATATCACCCCGGGGGCAAAGATAACTAATTCCCAGGCCGGATTTGGCCCGCAGGCCTTGACTTTGACACCCATGATCTAAACATTATTACACCATAAATTCATCCAAATGAATGTAAAAGTCTAGAGTATACAGTACTCTGATTGGGGCATGTAACAAAAGACACCATAGTATACTTTATAAAGCAGGTGTTCAGTATTCACTATGCAACTGAAGTACTGTTTATTATATATTATAAATATAATCCAATCCACTTTTTATACAGCACATTTTATCAAACAAGTTTCCAAAGTTCTACACAAAGACAAAAGTAAAATTTAATCATAAAAGTCTGACAGCTTTATGAAAAGGTAAGGTAATATAAAAATGTACAATAATAGTGATTTCATAGTTTTTATTTTTGAGTGGGCCGATGAGAAGAGAAAACCATCACAATTACTCATGTCTCATTTTAGGTAAATCCACCTTCTGAATTTTTTCTTGGGGCAGTACTGTGGTGCAGTGGTCAGTGCCTGTGCTTTACTGTAAGAAGGTCCTGAGTTCGATTCCACCTTTCACAGGTTCATAGGTTTCCTTCAGGTGCTCTGGTTTGCCCTACCACTAAAAACATGTACAATAGTCCCCTGCAGCACCCTCCCCGACCCCTCTCTCTGGGGATAGGACTCAAAAAGAGACTAATTCCAGTGGGACTTTCCTGGTTAATGAAATCTCTTCTGCACCACTAAACTTCAGCAATACAAAGTTAAATTTCAAGATCGCTTTCTAGTCTTGTATCTTTGAGCCCAGACTAGAGCCGTCATTTGATCCAAAATCTGTATTTCAATTAACTACATTTTGCCTGGAGCTTGAGTGGAGGCGAGAGGGGTGGAGGGGGCATACAATACAAAAAGCCAGAGGAAAAAAACATCTAGTTAATAGCTGTGTTTGTGTGCACACCGGCTGACCCCACAAACTCCCCTCCTCACAAAGCTGTCAAGTTCCTAGTGCTTTCACCGGGCTCTTTCCTCAATGAGGTTAGCCCAAAGGTGAGTCTCTTCATCTATAACTTCCCCCCGTCTGGCTCCATCCATCTGCAGACCCCCACAACACTATTTCATCATCGCAGCTCTGTTTGTCTACGCTGCAGTCCCCCCACCTTGCTCTCTCTCCCTCAGTGTATTAAGGGACTTTGACGCTCTTCGTAAAAGCTGATTTATGCTCCCACTTGTATCGATCGGTTTCTGCATTAAAGATTATAATTCATTACCCCAGACTCTTTTAATACATTGAACACTCAAAAACAAAATAAACCACGCCGCTTCTCTGCCCTGCAAATGAACAAGGCACGGGGGGTCATATTGTCCTGTCTGAAATCTACATATCTGCCCAAAGCTGTATTCGTGACCACACAGCACTGGGGAATGGACAAAGAAATATTGCAGTGAATTGTGGATGATTGCACAAAAAGGCAGTTATTTTCTCTCAAAACTTGAAGTAACTTTTTTTATTCTGTTTCCTTAAAAAAAAATAACAATCAAGCACATATTGGATTTGTCATTAAGATAAAGACTTCACGACTAAAGCTCTATTCTAGCAACATGATAATTGTGGACGTGCCTCAAGGTGAAGAGAACTTGTTTACCGAGAGGTTCACAGAGGCTATGTTTAATCTAAAGTCGTTTTGTTCCATATTACTTTTCTCCATTAAATTATATCACATTTAATTGCATCGCACAGCCTTTGTGTGGAGTTTGCATGTTCTCCCCATGTTTTCTTAGACTTAGACTTGGACAGACTTTATTGGTCCACGAGGGAAATTGTGTTGTCACAGTAGCTTGCATAGAATTTCACAATAAAAAATTTAAAATAACATTAAAGTAACAATCTGAAAATAAGAATGATAATAATATAATATTGTGAGAATAGAATAATCTGGATGTAGGTTCTCAGGAATATACAGATCTGTGAATGTGTACACATTTACAGTATAAAATAATATAATAGCGGAGATACAGAGATTGTGCGGTTTCCTCCAGGTGCTCAAGTTTCTTCTTGGTGCTTCGGTTTCCCCTAGCAGGAAAAAACACGTACAATAAGTGTGAATGTAATGAGGGAGTGAACAGATGGCGATGGTCGGAGGCTTTGATGCACCAGTGTGTTTGGCGTCTGGCTTCTGAAGTGAAAGGAAAATATTGGTACCTCAAAGATATTGTAAAGCACTTTTGATGACCTTCGTCTGTGAAATGTGTTATATAAATGAATAAAGATGACTTATTTACATACTGAGGGGAGAGGTGAAGGGTCAGAGAGTGTTTGGGCCTGTGTCTTGGCTGACTGTGTGGAGTGAATGTATTACATTTCAGGTGTGTGTGTTTTGTGTTGTATGACTGAATAAGTTTCTTTTTATCCAACTGCATTTCTGTTTTATTTTTGTATTCTGTCATTGTTTTTGTCTTTTACTGTTCAAGTTTGAAATAAAAAATGGTATTAGTATATATTATTAAGGTTTTTAAATCATTCCTATATGTTTCTCTT